CCACACAAGAGTTCCTGAACTATGTAAGCGCGCTCTCGTACGGTGAGATCAAGTTTCACATTTCACATATGTGAAAGTTTGCGAACAGGCTGTTAATCTGGGTCAGACTAGCGCTGCTAGCGCTGATTCATAATAAACTCCTGAGGCGCCGCTGGGGTTCCGGGTCGCGCCTGCGCCGTTATCTCAAAATGTTCATCGGTCACATCTATTAACTCTATCGCACTCGGCGCTGATTTCCTCAGGCACCACCTAAACTCAGGGGGGGGCCTGTTCTCCACCAACGCTTACCGCTTCTGCCAGCGCAGGAAGCGAGCAGCGACGAGGAGAACCATAATGTTGAACACGACGTAGCAGATAAAGATGCCCACGTCGCGCCAGCGGTTGGCGAAGTTGATAGACAGGTTGGCGAAGAACGCCTGGCCGTCACGGTACTGGCAGTACTCGCAGTCGGACGTGGCGTTGGGGTTGTTGAGGTACGCGCCCATGACATCGGCGAACTTGCCGGCCCACTCGGCGCAGGTCTGGCCCGAGGGCGGGCTGAAGCGGTGGAACTCGCTCGGCTTGCACTGCACGGGCACATCCTGGAGGACGGTGGAGACGAGACCCTCGATGAGGTAGGTGAAGGGGTCGAGGGGCCACATCCACTTGCGCCAGAAGTAGGGGAGGGTGACGGGGGGCGCCGTGACACCGCAGAAGACCGAGAAGAGCACCAGCAGGAAGGGGTTGAAGAGCGCGGCAATCATGATCGAGGGCGAGAGGGCCGCGAGCGCTTGGCCCAGCGTGACCGAGTACACCTCGGTGATGAGGACCATGAAGAAGAAGTAGCCGGCGCGGTCCGACGCGAAGGGGAAGCCGACGGGGTAGTAGATCAGGAGGAAGAATGCCGTGGCGCAGAGCACCGAGTACGGCATCTCCGCGATGAGCTGGGTAAGGGCAAAGATCGTGCTCGAGTACATCTTGGACGACGCCTCGCGGTTGAATGTCATGCGGGACATGATGTACTGCGGCTCGATTTGAGCGAGAATGAGCGCGGGCAGGACGGTGGCGTAGAAGACGACGAAGACGCGGTACTGGAGCGACTGGAGGCTGTTGTCGAGGTTCAAGAAGGTGAGGGCGACAACGAGACCGATAGCAAGATGCGCGAACAGACGAGTGTACTGGTAGTCGGCATTGCGCCAAAGAGCAATGTTGGTGCGGCGCAGCACAGTCTTGAACTGGAACATGAACGAGGTCGCGTACTCGCGCGGCTTGCCGTCGTCCGTGATTGGCTTGGCGAGCGCGGCGGCGTTGAGCTCCTTGATCTCCTCCTTAACCCTAGCAAACTCGGGGCTCGCCTTCCACTTCTCGTGCCAGTCGCCGCCGATGCGCTTACGCGAGCCGGCGCCAATAGCCTCGAGCATGAACTCGGCGGGGTTGGCGTCGTCAGGGACCTTGGCGCCGTTACGCTCAAGGTAGTCGATGAGAGTAGCCGAGTCGGGCCCAATGTCACCGAAGTAGACGCACTCGCCGCCACGCTGGAGAAGCAGGAGGCGGTCGAACGACTGGAAAAGAAGCGCGTTAGGCTGATGGATGGTGCACAGGATTTTCTGCGTCGTTAGCTTCTACACCTTCCAGGGATAATGTTACTCACTTGGCCGGCGGCAGCGAGCTTGCGCAGGAAGCGGACGATGTTGTAGGCCGACTGGCCGTCAAGACCCGAGGTAGGCTCGTCCAAGAACAAGAGGAGGTCGGGCTTGGCGGCAAGCTCGACGCCGATAGTGACACGCTTGCGTGCCTCGACAGACAGACCGTAACCGGGGAAACCAATCATGCCGTCCGCGAGGTCCTGGAGCTCGAGGAGCTCAATGATGTCCTCGACATACGCGTCCTTCTCGGCCTTGGGCACACTCTCCGGCTGGCGGAGGTATGCCGAGAAGCGGAGAGCCTCACGCACAGTCGTCGTCCACTCGTGTACGTCGAGCTGCTCGGCGTACGCACAACCACGGGCGAAAGAGACGTCAACAGGGCGGCCGTTCATGAGGAGATCGCCCTCAATCACACCGATAGACTTGCGGGCAGCCAGAACGTCAAGCAGAGTCGTCTTGCCGGCACCCGATGCACCCATAAGGGCCGTAAGAGAGCCAGGCTTGACATAGCCGTACACATCGTTGAGGAGCTGGCGCTTGCCGCCGGGCACAGGGACGGTGTACTTGAGACCTTCCCAGGTGAAGGGGGTGGGCGCCATGCCGAGGTTGCTGAGGTCCTGGTCGAGCTTGCCGGCGCGGTATCCCTCCTTGCGCTCCTCGAGACGCTCATTGAGCTCCTTGAGCTCCTTGGTGGGCTTAGCAAAGACGACGATAGCAAGGTGTGCGGCTCCGAGCTTGAGCTTCTCCATAAAGAACACTGGGATTAGTGACTTCCAACACCCCCAACAAAAGACTTACTCTGCATGAACATGTAGAAGCAGAACCAGCCGATGAGCACGCCGAAGTTGCGCCAGATGTGGGCCTTCGAGTACTGGAACCCGGCGGCCATGTAGGCCGTGCCCGTGACCATGTCGGTGCCGGGCGACGAGCCCGGGAGCGCGCACATCTGGTTGGGGCCTACGCCGGAGGGGTAGCCTGTGATGCCGAGCTGGGGAATGTTGGTTGGGATGATGTAGTTTGCGTCGCAACGCATCGTGATCCGTGAGAACTCGTTGGCGAACAGCGCCTCGTAGCCGTAGTAGAGCGGGTTGAGGTACGAGATCCAGAACAGCCAGCGCTTCATGGCGAACTGCGGGATCATGTAGCCTGCGTAGGACACCATCAAACTGATCAGGATGGATGCCAGACGCGCGGCGACGTTGTAGTCGCTTGTCGCGACACCGAGGGTGCGGAAGAAGCCAGCCATGACCATGAATGTCGTAAAGACGAACAAGTAGAACCTGCGGGGTCAGCGTGGCACATGATAACGGTACGAACATGAAGAAGGCTCCAGCAGAGGCCGCGAGACCGCCCATGAAGTACAAGATTATGGCGAAGATCTGGGGTCAGCGTTGGTGTGTGGAAAGCGAAGAGTCCAGTCTCCCGAAACTCACGAAAATGTTGGTTGCGTTGAACGGCACATCGCTCACAACGGCCGCAACAGCGTAAGCTGCGGGACGGTAGAAGCGATACCCGACCTGGCGATACAGAATGGGCCGACCGAGCATCTGACCGGGCAGCTCTGAGAAGGACGTGAGAGCGTTGAACAGGAGACCCAAGAAGAGAAGACCGCCGCGGGTGAACGCGCCGCTCGCCGTCTCAGGCAGGCGGAAGTAGACGGAACCGACAATAAGAGCAATGATGATCGAGGTAGCGTAGGACGTGTAGATGTCAAACTTGTTCTGGAACTTGAGGATAATCTGGCGCTGGACGATGGCCATGACCTGGGCATAGAACGAGACGGTGAATGGCGAGGTCTTGCCCACACCACGGTGCTTCTGCTCGCGGACGGCGATGCGGAACTCCTCGCGGTCCTTCTCCTCGGCCTGCATCTGCGCCTTGTACTCGTCCTTCTCGGCTACCATGCGCGCGTAGATGTCTGCCTTGCGGTACGCCTCCTCCATCGCCTCGGGCGTCGAGGGGACGTTGGTCTCGTCACGGCCCTCCTGGTAGCGGCGCTCGTTGGGGTCCGTGCAGCCCGAAAGGTAGTCGGCCGACGTCTGACGGGGGAGGTCGAGGAAGCCGAGGCTGACCATGTAGGCGCGCGCTTCGGCGGCGGGGCCGAAGTAGACGACGTGGCCGTCGTTCAGGAGCAGCACCTTGTCGAACTGCTTGTAGATGCCTTCGCCGGCCTGGTAAAGCGAGACGAAAGTTGTCTGCTGCATGATGTCGGTGAGGAGGCGGAGGGACTTGGCGTAGTCGAGTGCCGTCGAGGCGTCGAGACCACGGGTGGAGTTGTCCCACGAGCACAGGGCGGCGCCGGAGCAGAACTGCTCGGCAATGGAGACACGCTTGCGCTCACCACCCGAGACACCACGAATGAAAGCGTTACCGACGACAGTGTTCGCCGTGTGCTTGATGTTGAGCATGGAGAGGAGCAGCTCGAGGAGGTTCTCGCGGTACTCGCGCGCCGAGACGCCGGGGAGCTTCTTGGGCGTCTTGAGGCGCAGCGCGAAGCGCAGCGTCTGCGCGACCGTGAGCGTCGGGAGGTGGTCGTCGTCCTCCTGGTTGTACAGCACCTCGCCGGCGTACAGCTTGTGCATCTCCTTGGCGGGGATGCCGGCGTAGTCGACATCGCCGTTGACGGATAGGAACGAATCGCGCTGGTTGGCGATTGACTTGAGGAATGTCGAGCAGCCCGAGCCGGGGCGGCCGAGGACGAGACACATCTCGCCCGGCCGCAGAACACCGGAATTGGGGTGCAGGATCGTCTTGGGCTTGGGAGCGAACGGCTTGTAGCCGAAGACGCCGAGCACCTGGAGTTAGCGACATCCATCAACTCCGCTGGAGAGTCGGATGATTCATCACGCCATGACCGACGGGCGGTGGCGAAGCCACTTCATACCGCACAGACCAACAATCGTCCCGGTGGCTCCGCCACATCGGCTCATTCGCTCTATCGAGGAATGCTAAGCCACTCCATTCAGTCTGGTTAGACTCACACTGAGAGCGGGCATCAAGAACTGCTCAACGATAGCGTTGGGGAAGGTGCGAATGTTCATACGAATGCTGATGTTAGCGACTCTCTTCAGCCTGTAACCCACCCTCCACCACCAACGACCTCTAGGTCTTCCCACACAACACCGACACGCTTGGGCTTGATGTTGGCCGAGTCGCACGCCTCGCGGCCGGCACGCAGCTCGTCCGCGAGGTTGAACTCGCTGTCATCCTGACCCGCCGCCTTCTCGACGTCGGGCGCCTCCTTGCCCTCTGCGATGCTCATGTGCGTGGTCGTGCGGCGCGGCGGTACCATGTTGCTGCGTGCTGAGCGGAACGACATGCCCGTCGACACGCGGCGAAGCATGGTCGGTGGCGCGTCGGCGCTCTCCTGGCTCATGGCCGAGAACTTGCGCTCGAGTGCAGCAAACTCCTGTTTGCCGCGGCTGACGGAGACGTGCCGGTCCTCGAGGTCGCCGACGAACGAGCCGTTCGCGCTCCGCTGCAGGTCCTCGACGGCCGTGCCGCCGTCCGAATGCTCGTGCTCGTCGCGGACCGCGTCCCGCGACTCGGCGATATCATATTCCACCACTTGGGGGTTTACTGGTGGGGCTGTTTCCAGCCCCGTCTTGCTGGTTGGCGTCGGCGCCATTCTCGATACTCTCGATCGAGCAGCAGGTGAAGTTGACAATGGAAGGAGCCGCTATTCACGCTGGACGCAAGAGCGGGTCGTTCGCTCGGTTGTCTCGTACCACCTCGGTGTTGGCGGATAAATATTTTCCAGGTCGAGCGCACTGATTACTCAGTATCAGCCCGGTATTATGACGTTCACATTGAGACCGTCGGTCTGCTCCAGGGACGTCCCTGTTGCCAGCGGAGGGTCACCGACCTTGGCGAGACTGGGACGTTCCGCGGCGTATGGTCTTGGCCGCTGCGCCATAAACTCCGCCGCAGCGGAGATGCATCGACGCGGTCTGCCTCGGGTCCGGGCATGTGTCACTGCTTCCAGACTCTCTTGTCCATCAGCGCAGCTGACAGCTTGTGAGCTGGGCTGATGTGAGAAGGCGAGTAACCTCGGCTCTCACGTGGGACATGTGATCGTTTCATCGGCAAGGCGCGAGGGGGGCCGGGAAGATAATCCGGCAATTCAGGGGCGCATGTTGACATGTTCAAGAAACTTCTGAGTGGCCAGCGCTCCATGCTGCGGCCAGCCAACGCCACAACATCCCGGATTGCCCTACATCCTGGTAAATAAGCCTTGTTGTAATCGTGAGGATATGTCGTGAGGACTGCGTGGAAGCCGTCGGCCTTGGGAGCGTTTGGGTTGGGGGAGGCCGGATGATGACTAAAATCGAGCGCCGACACTATCTCCGGTCTGATGCCGCAAGCAGGCACGTCTGCAAGAGCTGGCTGGGCGGCGATGCAGACGCTCATACAACTCCTCCGCATGAGCGCTCCGCCGCTCCCGCTTTCGTGCTCGGCAGTGTGAATGCATTGCTGCGTCTCGGGCCCCGACGGGCGGCGTGCGCAGCCGCATGTGGTGCACCAGTTCATGTAAGACAATATGCCGGCGTTGTTGAATGCGAGTGAGACATTCCGCGTTATCATGAGGAATGGCTGAGGGCCAAGACGTCAGTCTCTGTTTCCAGCCCCGGGCAGTTGAATTGGTCTGCGGAATGTTTGTGTATTGAGGCGAGCATCAGGTGAGCGGCCGCGAAGAGGACCGCATTCATTGACGAAGTGTGGTTGATCACTATCGCCGGGCAGCATGTTGTCAGCTCGTGAGAGGTTTCGATTCCGCGAATGCCCCACTCCTATCAATCTACAATCAGAGTGGGGCGGGAGGAAGTTTCGCAAGTGGAGGTGGAGGTTTGTCAGCCAAAAGTCTGTCTTGAGGGTCTGGGTTGCGATCATTCATCAACATTTGTTTCCTGGCATATCCTATTCATGATGAGCACCCAAGAACCAACACGCGACGCGGACCAGCTCGCCGAAGAGCTCGAGGATGTTGTCCTTGCAGCCGAGGACGTCGACGAGGTGATCGACGACGACGAGGACGCCCCTCATGACGAGGAAGACGAAGTGAAGGACCCCAATGGGCCTGTTATCGAAGCTGAAGAAGGCGAGCCCGAGGCGCGGCCAGACACAGCCATCTCTGGGACGTGTGAGTAATCTTTGTCTCATGGCCTCCGGCGATTGCGGCGACGACGGGAGCTAACATTAATCAGTTCTTCACACGCCGGGGTCTGCCATGTTCGCGCTCGCACTGCACCCGACCTTCCCCAACCCGCCGCTGGCTGTCTCAGGCGGCCAGGACGACCTGGGCTACCTCTTTTGTCCACTGCATCCGACGCTTGGGAGCTTCAACCGCGACACATTCGCGCCCATTCCTCTGCGCGGGCATGAGGACAGCGTCGTCGCCGCGGCGTTCAGCAGTGACGGGGAGTACGTAGCGACGGGCGGGCTGGACGGGCGCGTGCGCGTGTGGCGGCACGCGACGCCGAAACGGGTGCAAGCAGCGGAGGGGAGCGCGGACGCATGGAAGTATTGGGAGTTCGTAACGAGCGTGGAAGCCGGCGAGGTGTCGTGGCTCAAGTGGCACCCGAAGGGCCCCGTGCTCAGCGCGGGCTGCGAGGACGGCACGGTGTGGCTGTGGAGCCGTGAGTTATCCTCTAGGCAGTGCTGATTCAGTGCCCTCCGGACGTACGATGACGGTACTCTCAAGCCACACGATGGAGGCGACAGCGGGCGTCTTCCCTCCGCCAGCGGGCAAGCAGCTCCTGACCGCCGCGTTGGACAGCACGCTGGTGCTGTGGAACCCGAGTGCTGGCGTGCCCGAGTTCAAGATGACCGTGTTCCAGCCTCCTGGTGCGCGTTCGCTCGACCCCGCAATCCACGGGATCACGAGCCTCGCCGTCGCTCCGAACGGCGCGCTCGTCGCCGCCGGCGGCGCCAACGGCAAGATCAAGCTCGTGGCGATCGCGCGCGGCGAAGTCATCGACGTGAAGGCTGAGGTGGTGCACACGCTCGAGGGGCACGAGCGGGGTGAGAGCGTCGAGGCCCTCGCGTTCGTCGACCTCCACGGCGGGTCTTATGGCGGCAAGGGCGTCGTCCTCCTCAGTGCGGGGACGGACGGACGCGTCATTCTGTGGGACACGACGACGGGGCGCATGCGCCAGGTCATGGTTCACCCCGAGGCGATCACGGGCATGGTATGCCACCCCGCGCCGTGCCACTACCTCGTCACAACGGCTTGTGCCGACCGTACACTCCGGACATGGGATATGCGCTCGGGCCAGCTTATCGCGGAACATCACGGGCATGCCGCAGCAGTCAACTGCGTCGCGGTGAGCCCCGCGCTCGACGGTGACGTGTCGCCGCTCGGCCTGCCACAGGCCCAGTTCATCGTGAGCGGTGGAGACGAGGGTGCGAGCTTGCTCTTTAGGATATAGACTGCGCGTAATTGAGCGACAACCTATTTGCATTGCTTCAATTGTTTACACCGTACAAAGCTTCTTACTAGATTCTGATTCAAGACTACCGCTCTACAGTGTCTAGTTCTTCACAGCTTTACCCACCCGCCCGAGTCACGACGCGCCTTCTTGGCGCCGGGCTTGAGCGTGAGGCGCACAGTCTTGATCTCGTATCCGCGGAAGCGGAGCTTGATCGACGAGTCGTCACTCGCGTCGGCGCCGGCCGACGACAGCTTGAGGTCTTCAATGTTGTCCTCCATGATGTTGACAAGTTCGGCCTTGGCGACCGGAAGGCCGGTGCTGGGGTCAGAGGTGATTTCATTGCGCGACTCACATCTGCAACTCGGCATTGGCGTGTCCGCCATACTGCTCGAACAGGCGTAGAATAAGCGTCTGCGACTCCCCCTCAGCGTGCACGTCGTCCTCGCCTCGCTTGACAGTCTCGAGAATGACATTGGGCGCGTTGGCCACACGGAACGGGTTGCCCGAGTACGTGAGGGCGGTGGACGCCGAGCCGAGGCGTGCTGGGGATGAGCACTGGTAGCTGATGGAAGACTCACGGCGCATGGGCGCATTGAAGGCATACGCCACCGGCGTCACGTCGCTTTCAATGTACGTGCCGACGTGCGGGTAGATGGCGAACGAGAACTCGTGCTTGCCCATATCGCAGTCCGGGTCCGGCATGGTCGGGCCGCGGAGCAGGGAGAGGCGCATAACGTTGCCGTCGACGGCACTGGGATCAGCGACGCCGGCGCTCGCAGGAGAACTCACTAGCCGTACTTGCAGTCGTTGATGAGCGCCACGCCGTAGCCGTACTCGGAGAGGTCGGCAAACTTGTGCGCGCACACCTCGAATCTGATGTCAGTCCTGCGGCTGGCGCGACCCACTTGGCGGCATCCCAGCTCGTGTTGCGGTGCGTCGGGCGCGCGAGCGTGCCAAACTGCGTGTCGTACGTCGCGACGTCGTTGTGGATGTCGAGTGGGAGCTCAAACTTGAGGAACTCGTGCTTTTGGTGCCACGAGGCGCGGGCGTCGAAGCGCACCATGCTGCGTGCCCCAGGCTTCGTGGAGGCCGGCACGGCGTCGAGTGACACGTCGAACTCGAGATCGCTGTCGCCGTACTTGATGCTCACGCTGAGCGCCGCGCGCAGGGGACCCGCCTCCTTGATCCGCACCTTGTCGAACTTGAGATGCTTCTGTTTGAAGAGGTGGAAGAAGTCCACGTCCCATGCGTCCCAGTAGTTCGGGTGGTCCTCCATGATAACGAGACCGCCGCTCATGCCCTCGGGGATGAGCTCACGGTTGAGCTCGAGGTCGAGCAGGCTCGTGATGCGCCCGTCTTCAATCTTCATCTTGACAGACGAATTGGCGAGCTCGTAGCAATCACTGCCAACCTGGGTTGCGCGCGCCGGCTGCAGGTCGGCGTACAGCCCTCGCGGGGTCGCGAAGGCGCTCTCCGGGCTGGCGTCCATTAGGAGGTAGCCGTGCTTCTTGTCGCTCGACACCTGCACCGAGTGCGTGCGGACGCATGAGTGCTTCGCAATCGGAATCTGCATCACTTCAAGACGAGATGTGCCGGGAAGCGTGTTGATCGCGACAATCTGCGCCTTGCCGTCGGGCTTGGCCTTGGGCGAGAGCGGCGCGGTGCCCTGATACAGCGAGTGGTACGCGTCCTCGATTACCTTCGAGATCGACTTTTCGACGCCGCTGTAGATGCGTTCGGCGTCGTCATAGACCATCTGGATCGACGAGCCGGGGAGCACATCGTGGAACTGGCAGAGCAGGAGATCCTCCCACGCCGAGTCGAGCTTGTCCTTCGGGTACTTGTACTTGGGGTCGTTCATGCTCGCAAACGCCGTCGCCCACTCGGCCTCACGGAGCATGATCTCGATCTTACGATTGTGCCGCTTGATCGAGCCGTGGGTTGTGTACGTGGCACGGTGGATCTCGAGGTACAGCTCTCCGTGCCACGTCGGAAGGGTGCGGCCGTTGTTGGTCTGCTCGCGGATAGCGTCGTAGAACTGCTCAATGGTGCCGCCCATACGCACGAGCGGCAGCTGGCCGCCGGCATCGTGACGCTTGCCGATGGCACGCGCGCGCTTGAGTTTCTCGAGCATGGGAGGGGTGGGTCCACCGCCGCCGTCGCCGTTACCGAAGAGCAGGAGCGACTGGTTAGTGACCTCCAGGTTCTTGTGCCCAGTCGAGCCGCGGCGGATGTCGTCCATGTTGCACTGCGAGTTGTAGTTGTTAACGGGTGTCATATGGGTGAGCACCTGCGAGCCGTCCAAGCCGACCCAGTTGAAAGTCGTATGCGGGAAGGTGTTACTGTTGTAAGCTCAGCCCATCAGACGGTGCGCCAACGTACATGATGTTCCAAGAGATCTTCTGGGTGAAGAAGTTGGGCGCGCCCGCGAGACGGGAAATCTGTGGGAGCTGGCTCGAGTAGCCAAAAGTGTCGGGCAGCACAAAAGTCTGGGAGCGCGAGCCGAAGCGGCTCTCGTAATAGCGCTGGCCGTAGAGGAACTGCCGACAGAGCGCTTCGCCGGATGGCACGTTGGTGTCCATCTCGACCCACGTGCACCCGATGGGCTGGAAGGCGCCATCCTTGACCTTCTCCTTGATGCGCTTGAACAGCGTCGGGTACAGCTGCTCGACCCACTTGTACTGCTGCGCCTGGGTGGTGGCGAAGCGGTGCTCGGGGTACCTCTCCATAAGGTCGATCTGGGTAGACCATGACCGCGCCGACTTCTGCTGTGTTACGGAGAACGGCCACAGCCAAGCCGTGTCAATGTGGCTGGCGTCAAAGTGCTCTGTCAGTCAACTCACCAGTGCCCCAAAGCCCAGAGTTCGCCCTTCTGCTTGCCCGCGTCCTTGCTCTCCTCGTCCGAGTTCTTCTCCCAGTCCTTGCCGAGGATCTCCTCGGCTGCTTTGCGGCAGTCCGCGACGCTGGACAAGTCACCAGTGCGGAACACGTCGATGATGTTGTTCAGCACCTTCTTTGCATGGTTGTGCAGCGACGAGTCGCTCGGCAGCTCCTGCGTGAGCTGGTGGAGGGACTCAAAGTCCCACTTCAGCCGCCATGCGTCCATGTTGGGCGCGACGAGGTCGGCGCTGTTGAGGCGGTAGTAGCGGTTGGGCTAGGGTCAGCTCTGGTACGCAAGTGGCATACATCAGGCGCATTCTCGCCGTTCTGGCCGAACATGCCGTTGCAGCTCGCTTCGATGTAGTAGTGTCCGACGCCCTTCTTGCAGTCCTTCTCGGGGATGATGAACTCGACGCGGCGGTCCCAGCTGAATCCGCCGGTGAGGCCTGGTGTGAGATGGGAAGGGAAGGTACTGACCATGGTACGGGTTCCCGTCGGTGTCCATTACCATGGCTTCGCCGGAACAGTCGAATTCGACTGCGATCAGCCAAACCCGAGCGACGTTGCGTACGCTGGATGCGCTCGTACTTGGCCCACTCCTTGGGGATGTTGACGGTGACCTTGAACCAGTGGTTGGTCTGGCGTCAGCTGTGTCGACGGCGCCGTGACTCACCCAAGACGGGCCGAACTCCTCGCCCTTCTTGGCTGGCCGGTACGTCTGCTTCTTGGCCTCCTCGAATGTCGGCTTGGACAGCCCGGGCGCGGACCACACCTCGAGCTTGACGTGCTTGGCGTCGTCTTCGCGGTGGGCGAACAGCAGCGCCGAGAGGTTGTAGCCCGAGAAGTGGCCGCCCTGGTATCAGCTGGCGCATAGGAGGGGGAGGACACACGATAAACGAGTCAAACCGCCCATTGATGCCCGTCATGTACTTGTATCCTGGCATCAGCGCGGCCGCGGGACAACGTACGGGCCTCATACTCGAGGTGGGGATAGTTGTCAGCAGTGGGCTTATCACCCCGCGCGCCAGGTGCGCTGGCCATGATGAATGAATAGATGGAGAGATGAGAGACGAAGGTGTCGAGCGATGCCCGGATGGCTGGGTCGCCAAGGGATGCAAGCGACAACGTGACCTGTGTATGACGCACTCCGACATTCCGGCTATTCAGCCCTCGGTCATTTCATCTCCTCGCCACCCACCACCCATGCCGAAACATGCGCTGTCGTTCAAACACCTCCTCGGCGCCGTGCCACGGGACGCGCGCGGCGGCGCAGCGCCGAGCGTAACGGACCTCTTGGAACGCTCGCGCGCCGCGCGCGGCGTGGACAAGGACAAGCCCGCCGCACCCGCGTGGTCCGCCGGCCCCGATGGCGGGGTGCATCCGTAAGCCTCGTCCAGCTGCCGGAGGGTTGACGACAGGGCGGAGCTTTTGCGCCGGGAAGAGGTGGCTGCCGCGTCCGCCGCGCGTGGGGTCGCGGGTCCTGCGCCGCCGCGGTCGTGGCGTGCGCGCCCGAAGCCCGCCGTCGTGGAGCCGGCGGCGCGCGAGCGCGCGGCGAGCGTGGACGAGATGGAGCGCGCGGAGGCTTTCCTCGGTCAGACGCGCCGTGGGGAGAGCCTCGTGGATATGTGTCTAGCGCTCACGCTGGACCTTTTGCGCGACGACACGGTGGTGACGGACGAAGGGGAGGAGGAGGTCACTATGGCGCAGGCGATGCGCGCTGGTGTGGTGCAGCTAAGCTTGCATCTCCGCGGGGCGTTGCTCGCGGCGTCGGGGGTGGTTGGACCGCGGCTGTCGGACGCGGATATCCGTGTGCTGCTCGAAGAGGCGCCAAGGGAGACGCCGACAGATGCGGGAGGAGAGGCGCGAGAGTGGGAGGAGCACGACGACTGGGACAAAGACACCGCCAGGCCGAGCCTGCACCATCTCCCCCTCATGGCGCATCCCAGCCCGCTGCGGCTGCTGCGCGACGTGCCCCGCTTCACCGGCCTCACGCTCACATCGCTCGACCTAGCGTTCGCGACGCTCCCGCTCGAGCGGGTGATCGGCGTGCTGCCCGCCAGCTTGCGAGCGCTCGGGCTGGCAGGCGCGCGCGCAAGGGACTGGGAGCGCGGGCTCGGCGCGCTCGGGCGCAAGATGCGCGTGCTGCGTGTGAGTTTCAATCGTGCTGACCGGTGCATTCGTGACCAGCGGCGTTAATGCTAGACGCTCGATGTATCGTACTGCCCGCTTGGGGCGCGCGGGACTGTCGGGGCCCTCTTCCCGCCCCGTACTATTGGGCCGCAACCCCTCCCGTCATTGCGTGTTCTGGGACTGTGCGGCGCTGGCGGCGACCTCGGAGACGAAGAGGAGGCCCCGCCTAGACGCAAAGCCCTGCGAGCCGCCGTGATCGAAGGCGCGGGTCACTGGGTCGACGTGAGGTTTGAGTGAGTACGCAGCCCCGGTAAACTATTGTACAACACCATCCATGCATTCTTACAACGACGCTTGCCGTATTACCGAAAACAGCGCAATGTAACACGATATGAGCCGATCTTGGCTCTATGCAGGACCGGGCAGCGTGGGCCGTGGGCTGTGGGCCGTGGGCCGTGGGCAGCTGCTGCTAGACGCTTATGTGGCTCGCTCTGCAGTGTCAGCATCACTCAACATCAAGCAGCATGCCATGCTCGTGGCTCGAGAGATCGAGAGACGAGAGATCCAGAGCTCGAGGTGGTGGGATTACGGAGGAAAGTGAGGAATGGGAACGGACCGACCAAACGACGTCAGACGCCCTACCCCGAAGGCCGGGACTGCCGTGGTGTCCAGCTTGCTTGGCTGCGCACCCTGCGCCACACCACGCCCCCACGCGCCTCTCCGCCCCAACGCGCCCCGCGCCCCCGCGCCCCCGCGCCCCGCGCCCCGCCGCCTCACAGCCAGCACGCCCAGCACACTCAGCACGCCTCGACGCCCCGCGGCGCTATCGGCCCAGGCTCCAGACTCACAGTGGTCGCCACCGACGGCCATCGAGTTGCGCATATTGGTCTGGTCGCTGACGTCCTCGACCATGCTCCACACACGGTCGATGCGCCAGTTCTCGTCAAAGTGGTAAAAGACGTGCTCGCTGAGGCGGGTGATGCGGGGCGTGCTTGTGGTGCGGGTGGGGGAGTGGCGCTCGTGTGTTGCGCTGCCTGTGGGGGAAGCTTCGCGAGCGTCGCCGTTCGACTCGGTGCGTGAGCGCACCTTCCTCACGCCGCCGGGGTACGAGGCGGGGAACTCGATGTGGAGGCGTGCGGCGATGGTGCGCTGTGAGACATCGGCAACGATCTCGTCGGCGCAGAATGTCGCGCCGGGCTTTATGAGGGTCGAGTACTCCTGTGCGCTCATGCGGTGGCCGTTGTGGACACACCGCCGTGCGACGAAGCGTGCCATGAGGTCGAATGTGCGGTTGTTGAGGACGCGGAGGTACTGTCGGTAGAGGGAGGTGAGGTCTGCGGAGGAGCGGATGTCGGCGTGAAGCGGGTACGGGATCATGGTGGGGGGTGGGGGGTGGGGGATGGGGGAGTGAGAAGAGGAGAGGAGGGTGAGTTGTGAGGTGGGGAGGTGGTGGGGGAGTGGGGGATCGAACAGGCGATGCAGTCGGGATAAGGGGGGGGGGGGGGGGTGTGAGAAGAGTGGGCGAGGCGGTGAGTGCGAGTGCGAGAGTGACTGTGCGCGTTGAAGCGAAGCGATGTGGACTCGAGAGAGAGAGAGAGAGAGACAAAGAGAAAGAAATGACAAGTGTTGCAGGGAGGATGTTGTCAAAGGTGGGATGTCTCCTGGCGCCCTGCAGGTGGAGGACAGCGAGAGAGAGAGAGACACGGACCGCGCAAGGGAGGAGGAAGTTGAGGAGAGAGTGGGAGAGGGAGGGTGTGGGAGATGTTGTCGAGGTTGTTGAATGCGTTGAATGTGAACGTGGAGACGTGGAGAGAGATGAGGAGGAGGATGAAGAGGAGTGGGAGAGGGCCACGAGTGGCAGTGAGGCTAATTGGTTTCAGTGGACGTGTCGATCACCTTTGTGCCTCTTGACTCTCAGGGGCCTCTGTCAGCCTTATACTGCCTAATTACTCAAATGCCATTAGCCTCCTCTAATCCCCTCCTCCTAATCCCACAGGGTGGCCGCGCAGGGTGAAGGGCCAGACAAGGGCCAGACTCTTCGTGTCGATCCCACTCATAATTCAGACCTGGCCATTGTTTCTCCTTTCATGTCCTCGAATATCCTCAGCATCGCCATAAGCGCGCTTCAGCTACCTTGATGTTACCAGATGGTGCCAGATGATTTCATGCAGACCTCCTCACAGAACACACCCCCGCTCGGGCCATCCCCGGAGCATCCTCGGGCCACCCCAAGATCCCCCGGTCCATGCCTCATACCGCACTCACATGCCACCGACCGACGCGACTTGGCATGCCATTGTCATACTGTCGCCCTGGACCGTCACGCCCTCGGTCCTTCGCCACCGCCATCCACCATCCACCATCAGATCCGGACGGAATTACTGCTTGCTTCTACAACCCGTGGAATCTTGATGCGGGGCCGCAGGCTCGGGAGCGCGCGGATCGGCGCGACTGCCCTCCCGCCTCAGCCCGCGAGCCGCTGGAATACACTTGCTCGCCTCCTCGCCTCGACAAATAGACCAGATGCTGTCGCTCACAGCAACGTCCCGCCTGCTTGGCGGTATCTGTCCACGCCCGCCTTGAGCTGCTCGAGCGTGAGGAAGATGAGGATGGCTGGTGTCAGCTTTGCCCGCGTGCTTCTTACTAGTTGGCTGGAGACGGATCCACGCCGGCAGCCATCCCTTGAAGAACACGCCGGGGCCCTCTTTAGCCACCGACTCCGTGATGACTTTCACGAGGCCGGCATTATCGTGCGCATTCATAATACGCGACTTGATGACGTCTGCCGGCGAGCACACGGCTGGCGTTAGCGCGTCAGCGCACTCTTCCCTACTCACTCGTAGCGACGGTCCCCGCGCCGATCGAGGCGAGGAAGTGCACGGCCGGCCCGTCTTCGAGCTTGCTCAGCCCCAGCAACTGGTGCTTGAACCAGTCGTACGACCCGAGCTGCGACGCGTTCATCAGCACCGAGCGCACGCCATTCGGCACCACGCCCCGGAACCACGACGACACCCCCTCCTCCGCCGCCATCCGGTACAGCCCCTGCACCGAGTTGCGGTATCCGTAGCGCTGGCCCGCCGGCTTGCCCCGGTCCGCTTGCATCCGCACCATCATCAGCTCGGCCGGGTTCCCGATCATGCCTGCGATCCCGCCGGCGCACGAGCCCGCCAGCGCCAGCTTCCACGCAGGAGGCGGGCCCGGGCCCTGGTGCAGCTCCGCTTTGATATGGTCGTATGCTGCGAAGCGCATTAGCGAGTACGTCATTTGTCGGAGGAGCGTGCCGGTGAGGCCGTCGTACAAGCCTCGGACGCCTGGGGTTAGCGGTTGGAGGCGACGGAAGCGAGCATGTAGGAGCTAGCGTGTAGGAGCTGGCGTGGAGGGGATGTATTGTCGTGGGGTGTGCGCCTGCTTCTCGGTGCGATGTGAAGGGAAAGACCCCGACCCCCGTGGTTTGTATCTCTCGCAGTCTCGTCGGCCTCACCATACCTGAGGCTCGCGCAACGGGGCCAGCCCGCACCACATCACCATCCACTCACCATACGTCCCCACCGTCCGCCTAAAGCTCTGGATCATCTTCTTGTCCTCGGACGTCTGCAAGCGGACCTTTGTCAGGTCTAAGGGATGGGTAATAGCGCCCGCGCACGACGCCGCAACACCTGGGGTTAGTCGCAGCTGGGACGAGTGACTCACCGCCCAACCAGAAGGGGTACGGTCGTCGCGGATGCGGTGCTGGGGGCGCGCGTTCGGGGATCTTGCTCATTGCCGTCAGGGGTGGAAGGTGTGAGGAGGAGTGGCTGACAAGACGGGGGAGGGAGTGCGAATGGACGTCAAGCAATGGTGAGGAGGGCTGGTTGAAGATGCGCCTCGACAATTACAATTGAGGTAACTGAATAGACGATTATCGGGGCATGCGGTTGTCAGATTGCTGGGAGTCAGCTGTGCGATGCCGCCGCGAGCGGTTGTGGTCGGGGGTGGAGGCGGAGCGGGGGCGGGCGGGGGCGCGTGGTAGGCGGAGGTCCGCCCCTTCCCATCTCTACCCGTTCGATGGGACGCCTCGCGAGGCACACTTACGCTCGCTGTGGATGCGACGGATGATGGGCGACAGACGATGGGTGACGGACGATAGATGGATTCGACGACCGACAAGATGGGGAGTCACGGACATGGCTCGGCATTCGGTCATGCCGGACTTGGGACCGACGTTCGCCGATGCGGCCGCGCCTGAAATTCGCGCTCCTCCATCGCTCATTGCTATACATTTCTTGCATCTCCTCTCAACGTCGATGCCCTCGATCCTTGAGCTGCATTTCCGCGCACACGCACAGCGTCCCACATATGCGAGCAGCACCCACGGCGATCGTCTAGTGGTTAGGATTGACGCTTCCCATCTCCTGCAGGTGAGATAGCGTTAGACGTGGGTTCGAACCCCGCTCGCCGTAGCCTTTTACTTGAACTCGGCACCTGCGAGGTGGCCAGTTGAGTGGGTGCAATCATTTGCATGGCTGGGATGGGATCCTTTCAGTGTCTACGACTGAGGATGGCGATCTGCTCTGCCCATGTCCATGGTCCAGCTCCCTACCAATTGGTTGCGAGTGCACCAAAGCTTCCCCGCGAACGGTTTTGCGCGAGGTCAGCACGCCGAGCTCGCTGTGATACCACAGAGGGAGGCAGCAGAGGCTTCGGTGGAACTTGAAACCGACCCACTTCTCTGAGAGTCACCGGCCCACTCTCTGAATCGGGACGTCGGCTGTGCTTGCAATCTTCGAGCCCCCCGTCCAACGGCCGCACGGTGTCCTGCACACGTTTAAAATAAAGCGCATCGCGAGCACTCGCGTCGGGGATGCCTCTTGCCCGGCACAAGGCTCCGCGGCAAGACTGACTGGATCTCGCCTTCACACCCTACGCATGCATCCCCACCCGCCCTTTGAGCCATTCATCGAGTGGAGGGATGACGGTCCCTATAATGCTGACACTCTTCGTGGTACGCATGATTGCCCGTCGACGAAGGGAGAGTGGGACGGGCGCGGCGCGGTTGCTGGTCTTGCCCTCACCAAACAGGCCGGCTGGCGCGTGATCCCGTCGCCCCAAATCACGACACGCTATCAGCAGGGTCGGGAGAGCGTCACGCGCGCCGAAGCGCAGCAAGGTCACTCGGTTGGGAAACCGAGGGGCGTATCTCGGTGATTTAGAGGGGTGATAAAGTGATCTAGTAGTTCGGCGGTAGAGGCGCTCGTGCACGCACGACGGGTGCGCGAGAAGGTGTCACATATTCTATGGTGTGCATCTCGAGGCGACATATGCTGTGTCGAGAGGGTGGTGGACACATGAATTACGGACCGACAAACTTCGTTTTCCCGCGTATCGAATATCGGCAGCATCCACCTCGTTGACGGGAAGCGTGACGACCTCACATTACATCGAGCTCAAGCAAATCGTTGCGGATGCACTCTCCCAGATGCACTCCCCACTCGGCCGAAATCTCACTGCTGCATATACAATGACTACTGCGTTCCGAACTCCCTCTGTACTAGTCACAAGGAAATGTGGGGCTCAACGGGAGCCGCCATCTTTAGACCTCGCGTCGCTGCGCAACGCGAGTTTACTTCCAGCCCATGGCGGTGTAGACCTGCTCGGTGAGCTGGTCGACGACCTCGGGCTTCTCCATGGACGAGAGGTCGCCGAGGGCGTCGGCCTCCTTGGAGCAGATCTTGCGGAGGATGCGGCGCATAATCTTGCCCGAGCGCGTCTTGGGGAGGTCGGTGATGAGGAAGATGCGCTTGGGGGCGGCGAACTGGGGTCAGCTGTCGTTACGTGCGCGGAGCCGAAACTCACAGGACCAATGACCTTGCGGACCTGGATGGCGAGTTCCTTGGTGAGGGCGTCGATCGAGGTGGCCTTGATGTCAAACTCGGGCTTCATCTGCACAAAGGCGTAGACGGCCTGGCCAGTGAGCTCGTCGGGACAGCCGACGACGGCCGTCTCAGAGACACCCTTGTGGAGGATGAGGGCGGACTCGACCTCGGCGGTCGAGAGGCGGTGGCCGGAGACGTTGATGACGTCGTCGACACGGCCCTTGATCCAGATGTAGCCGTCCTCGTCGCGGGCGGCACCGTCGCCGAAGAAGAAGTAGCCGGGGTACGGCTTCATGTAGGTCTCGAGGTAGCGCTTGTGGTCGCGGAAGACGGTACGGGCGATAGCGGGCCAAGGGCGCTTGGCGGCGAGGACACCCTCGACGTCGTCGCCCTTGAGGACAGCGCCGTTGGTGGGGTCGAGGATGTCTACGTCGACACCGAAGAAGGGGAAGGTGGCCGATCCGGGCTTGGTGGCAATGGCACCGGGGATGGGGGTGACCATGTGCGACCCGGTTTCGGTCATCCAGTACGTGTCGACGATGGCGCACTGGCCACGGCCAGCGTGCTCGTTGTACCAGTGCCACGCCTCGGGGTTGATCGGCTCACCGACCGTGCCGAGAACGCGGAGCGACGAGAGGTCGTGGTTCTTGACGGCGTCCTCGCCCATGCGGCGCAGCAGACGGATGGCGGTAGGAGCAGTGTAGAGCTGGGTAAGCTTCCACTTGTCCACTGCGTCCCAGTAGCGCGAGGCGGTGGGGTACACGGGGGTCGACTCGAAGACGGTGGTGGTGACACCCAGGCAGAGAGGGCCGTAGACGATGTAGGTGTGGCCGGTAATCCATCCGACGTCGGCCATGCAGGCGAAGCGGTCGTCCGGGTGCACGTCGAAGACGTACTTGACGGTAAGGTAGCCACCGAGGAGGTAGCCGGCGGTGGAGTGGACGACACCCTTGGGCTTGCCAGTCGAGCCCGAGGTGTAGAGGATGAAGAGGGGGTCCTCCGAGTTCATGTGCTCGCAGGGGGAGTAGGTGGGGAGGCGCTCAGCCTCCTCGTCCCACCAGAAGTCACGGCCCTCGGTCATGGGGACCTTGGAGCCGGTGCGGCGGAGGACGAGGACCTTCTCGACACCCGGGCACTGGGCGAGGGCGGCGTCAACGATCGCCTTGGTGGCAATGGTCTTGCCACCACGGCGACCCTCGTCGGTGGTGATGAGGACCTTGCACTCGCAGTCGTTGACACGGTCACGGAGCGACTCGGCGGAGAAGCCGGCAAAGACAGCCGAGTGGACGGCACCGATACGGGCACAGGCGAGGAACGCAACGACAGCCTGCCAGGTCATGGGGAGGCTGGGGGCGTTAGTGGTGCCATCAACAAAACACAGCAAGCCGCACCGCACCGCACCGAAGCGGCGCCACATGACGTCGGCAATGCGGAGCCGTACGGCTACCGGCAAGCCTTGCCGGACGGCGCGGGTGGAGGGAGGGGGGTACTCACTAGACCGAGACGGCGTCGCCCTTCTTGACACCCCACGAGCGGAGGACATTGGCGACACGGCAGACCTCGTGGAAGAGCTCACGGTAGGTGATCTCACGCGAGTCCGAGGGCTCGTCGGCCTCGTAGATGATGGCGACCTTGTCGGGGTTCTTGTAGTAGTGGCGGTCAACGCAGTTGTAGGCGGCGTTGAGCGTGCCCTCAGGGCTGGGGGGATGTCAGCCACCGTCGTCACATAATGGGAAGAGGCGGCATGTGGAGAATACTGGCTCCGAAAACGATGGATGGAATGACTGGGAGCGAGCCGAGCCACGAGCAGGCGACCGAGGCGAGTAGTCCGACCGTCTGACCCATGGCTCTGGCTGAAAGTGGCTCAGAGGCCCAGCAGAGACCAGTGTGGAGCTGATGGAGCAATGCAAAGGTCCACATCGCTATGCCAGAACGAGTAGCGAGATCCCCGCGCGTTCTACCAACAATGTAGTAGCACAATAGCTTGGGAGGAAAAGTCGCCCCCAAACTGTAAGACGACGACCGGCGCTCGCTCCCATTTTGCCCCACCCATTTGGGCTTGGTGACTGCCTGCCACCTGCGGCTCCCTGCGGCTTGCGGGTGCTGGCATATCGCCATGATGCTCCGACCTCCACTTTTTCTCAATCACGCGATGCCAGATGCCAGGAGAAGGACATCACGAGAGAGACGAGACGGAGAATACTCACAACCACTGGATGTCGCCGTCGGCAAAGCCACCGGCGCGGACAGTCTTAAAGTCGGAGAACCAGGTCAGGCAGTCGCGAGCCTTCTCGGCCCACCACTTGTCCGAGTCTGGGCCGACCGACTTCTCCCACTCAGCCTTGTAGGCGGCAAAGTCTGGGCCAATGTGGGGCTTGGGACGACCGTCCTTGCCCTGGAGACGGGCAGGAGGGGGGTAGGTGCGCTGGTGACCCTCGTGGGTGTCTGCGATCTCGACGTGGCGGACAGTCTTCTGCTCAGCCATAATGTTTTTGTGTGTGTATATGGAAGAGCGGTGAAGAGAAGTGGTTGATTGAGGAAAGAGGGGGGAGGCGAGTTGGCCGAAGTCGGGGCAACTGATATAGGGGGGGATATGCGCTTGATGGGGGATCGGTCCGTCCACGCAGGGACGGTCGAATTCTCCAGTGACATTGTCCGCCGTCGTGCTGGCCTCGTCCCAGTCGCGCTACTCTGCCGCCCAACCGCCTCCACTTCCAACTGCATGCATCTCAGCCTATGGAGCGCCAGTCGCCATGAAAGTGCGGGGGGATCGGAGGAGGGTCGGCAAGGGAGCTGAGGCCCAAGGAACCAGTCAGCAACAGGTTCATCCCAATCCGCGTCCTTGCTGCCGTCTGCCGCTGCCGAGCACACGAGGGCTGTGGGGCAACCGTTGGCGCGCGTCCATCCTGGCTCCTGGCGCTTCTCGTGCATCCTGATGGATGATGCCAGCAAGCCTGTTACGGAAACCTTGGGCCCGCCGGCGTCGCTGCGGCATACAGTAGTAGGGCCAGGGGGCTTGTCGGATGTCGGAGCGGGGGAGAGGAGGGGCATAGTAGTGGAGTCATTTGCTCTGGCGCTTTTCCCTCGTTGGTTACCTTGGATCCTTGGAGTTGCGAGGTGATTCGCCCAATGCTTGCTTGCTGATCGTGGTCGAACAAGCCACGCCACAGTGACCAGTGGGAGTGGGGACCGACCGGCCTAGCCCCACCCCACACGGTCCACACGCTCAAACGTGTCTGTCGGTGCGCGTGAGAGGCGCGCGGGTGGTGCCCGGATGAGCCGGGGCAGGCATGTTGAGTGGTCGAGGTGTCCCAGGAACAGGCCGTGGAACGGTGGTGCCCCCCCCCCCCGCTGCCCCCGAGCTCCCCGAGGCCGCTCTCGGAGTGCAAGGCCGCATTGGCCCCCCCTGGTGTTGTGATCTGTGGCCAATCCGAGGACGCCGAGAGATGCAGCCAATCCAGATGACGTCTGATGTAACAGGAATTGATTCCGCGTGGAGCGTTTGGGTGGGATAATGAGGAATCGGTTGTCGGTAAAATGACTAGCCGGCGTCCTCGGGGGTCCAACCGGGTGTACAGAGGTGTTGATGCTGCCCCAAACCAAGCATGGATGGGAACCAGGTACAGGGTATTGCATGCTCTTTTGCTCTTGCAAGGCGACAGCTTGTTGTCATTCTCAGGGATGAACAGAGGTCTCGTCTTGCTCGCTCGTACTGCACGCTGCAGAGCACCACAGTGGAGTTTGAAAGCGTCAGGGACAATCCCAACGTCTAGATTACCTCTGTCGTCGCTGCCCGCTCGTCCTCAGCCAGACCAGGCGTGTTATGTGTCACCTGGGGGGGGGAGGAGGGAGCGTTCCGGAAAACCCCTGTCATACCTGACGAAAGTCACTCACCATCCCCCCCTCGCTCTTTTCGGATCAGCTTCGGCAGAGATCGGCCGACGGCATAATACATTGTCCTCTCATCCCATCATTTGCTTTCCTCCTCACATCAGAGGCCCAGCGATCCATGGTCACTCGCCTGCTCAGCCAATGCTTGCGTCGTCCTCCGCCAAGCTGTGCACACTGCGGGGCGATACGTGGGGATGTAGAGCGGGGCTCGGGCTCCCACCCCCTCCCCCCCCCTCCCCTTGCGATCGTGAATCCGCACCCCCCCTGCATCTTGCGGGGCTCACCTGGGCCCACATGGGGGCCATACCCGCACACAAGTCCCTTGGTCTGCATTACACCAAGTCGCCAAGCCAAGCCACCCATCACCTCCAGCGCCTCACCTGCGTCAGCGGCCCAGCGGCCTTCTACAACGTCTGGCTTGGCAGCTCCTGTCGTGTGCCTCGCCGCGTAACTATTCTCGGATGCCGATTCTGATTGAGTCGCTTGTTGATTGCCGTGTTTTCGAAGATGTGTGAGCCCCGCACAACTCCCATTATTCGTTGGATGGCGAGACAAAGCCGATGTAGGCCGCTCGACGAGTGGGGTAGTGTGCATGGCATGCGTAACATTCCAGTGCGGGGCAGCGCACGTCTCGTGCAGGCTGCGCGACCAGGTCATGCAACTGTAAGAGGGCGTTCTCGTGGGAGGGAAATAGAAGGGGCGCAGAAACGTAGAGCACGAATTCGAAGAGCACGGTGGGTGTGCAGGCGATCAAGCGATCTTCAGGCCCTTGTGCTTCCGGCTTGCGGCCGTGCACGCGCACAGACGCTTCCTTTGAAGAACACTTCTCTTCTCGCTCTGCACGATCGCCACTCTGCTGATCTGCGAAAGGCTGGACACGGCCACTGTGTCGGGCACTGTCGATCAGGCGATCAGTCGATCCGCACAGATCACATCGTATGCACACAGCACAGTTCACACACCTTGTTCCTAGGCCGTGGGGTCGTCGGGCCCCGGATCGCTCGACGTGACGCTGAGACTGAGAACGAGAACAATATGCTTTAGGTCCCGACACGGCATGCAGAGCATATCATTCATCGGATCTATTGGCCAACCTCGACCCGAGCTACCCCCAGCGAGTAAGTAGCCAGTGCCTCTCCTCTTGTCTTTGTTCGAATCCAACCGATCCCACCCATCACTCGCACAGATACCCCACACCCCGCTCCTCCCCGATCGCTGTACGCTGTACTCTGTACATATCCAGCGATCGTCGCGCCAGCTCAGCTCCATCTCGCCATGCTCAGCCTCTTGACCATCCCCGCGCGCGACGCCGAGCTCCCCCCCGGCTTCCCCGCTTTTCTGCCCGTCCAGCTGCGGCAGGACGCGGCCGGGCGCGTCCTCGAGTGCCCCCCGTCGCTGCAGCCGTTCCAGCATTTCCTGAACGGCTTCTTCTCCATCTCGGCGGGCCGTGTGCCGACCAAGGCGCCGTTCAGCGCGGATGACTGGCACACCCATGTGCTTGCGGCTACGGCATAGCGCTGAGATTACAGTGACAAGTCTCGAGTATGGGGAGGTTGAGGAGGTGAGTCCGTGGCTCGAGCTTCGCTGATAATAGACCGTGCGCTGTCGACGGCGATGCGCATAAGAGGAGCCTGAGGGCCACTAACGGCCGCCGTATCCGGCCATTCGCACCAAACGCAATCCCTCCACCTCGACGCTCGACGCGCTTGGGTCTCAACTCCCAGACCAAGGCGCTTGTGGACGTGCAACAAGTCCTTGATCTCCAACCACAGCACCTGATCCGTGCATTTTGAGGGGTGCACCTACAACGGTGCATTCAGAACGGTGCACCTGGATCAGCGCATTCTGATCGATGCATCGTGATCGGTGAATCCTGATAGTGAGTCATCGCTCTCTCCCCATCTCACACCAGCTCCTTCGCCCAACCCGACCCCCCGCGACCCACCTCAGCCTGCAACAGCACGCCACAACGTTCTGTGCTCCTCACAGTGTGACGATGAGCTATCGCTCAGAAGCAGGATGCTTCCCGCGCGCCGCGGATACCCTCCGCAGCTCTACGAGCGGCATTCATGATCGCCACTGTGTGGTCGCCTGATCGCGGCTTCGCGAGCACGCTGCTCCAGTTGCGAGTACTGCTGGCTGCACGCTGAGCACGGAAAGTATTGATGCATACTTGCTCCTGCGGTAACGAGATACAGGCCGTTTCTTAGCGGACGTCAGTGGAGAGACTAGGATCGCGGTTGGTGGTTATGGTCAGTGACCTGTCCTCGGCAGGGGTGCGTTCAGGAACTCGTGACGGCCACATTGCAATCCGTGGATGGTGCTTTATGCTTCACCGACCTCGGAGCAAAGCTGAGTGGGATACTGGTTGAGTCCTCGGCCAGCCGGCAGGTGACTCTGACCGCTGGGGTGTGCTCGTTGGCGGTCCAGCGCAAGAAGGGCGCTGACCGATCAACACGGCGCTCATCGGGACGGAGGTGGCGATCGTTGGTCAGAAGCGCAAGAGATGGGCGCGGATCAGTGACGCCGTAAAACTTGGACGAGAATGGATGTCAGACGGAGGTTGCGCACGCCATGGCGTGATGTGATGTGGAGAGTTTTGCGAGCAGTTTGCAGCAAACGGCTGGACTTTGGGGGCTGTGAGAGTCGAGGGAGCAAAGGACAGCAGGGGCGGTGGTGAGGTTGGTGCGCAAATGCACAAACGAAGCGGAATGCCGAGATGCGGAATGTGGGAGACTGATCCGCACGCAGTGGGTCACGTGGGCGATCGCAGCGATGTGTCGAAAAGAAGTATTAAGCTCAAGATAGGGGGCATGAAGCAGGAAGCAGGAAGCAGGAAGCAGAAGGGACACCTGCTCTCAATCTCTCACATGTATTGTCATCTCTCTCAAAGGCTATTTAGCACTTCTCCTCTCAATTCTCGCCCTCACTCACTGCTTCAAGCTCCCTCCCCTTCGCCCTCCCGCCAATCTCCCATAGGTCAACAAGAATTGCTACGGAGCGGTATTTTCTCGCGCGCTGTCACGCTGCGTAGCTCTCTCCCCGCCTTTCCATCCACCTCTTAGAGCGGGGTTGTCCTGGAAGATGATGAGCATGTTCGCCACGTAAGGATGAAGTGTTGGGTCAACAATCCCTCCTTCTCTTAACCTCCACATGTGGGAGTCTGAAGTGGATGAACGGACGAGGAAAGGGGGTACCGATGGGTCTTCCAAAGGTTGTCTCGACGAGAGCACCGAGCGGGGTCGGGGTCGCAACCGGCAAGACCTCCAGACAGCTCCGGTTACTCAATAATGTTTGGGATAAGGGTGGAGACCTGTCACACTTTGGATGGACAATATGGGAGACTATCGACCCGTTCAGACACACGGCTGAACGCAAAGCACAAGGGCCTCACGGCAAGATTCCATGGAGGGTGATACGCAAGATCCTCGGAGATTGTCTCCTGTACATCCAACAGAGGACGCCTCAACTTGTCAACAGCGACATCTGCCCCGTCACGCTGCCGTACACCCCGGGTGGAAAGTTCTTTGTCCTTCTCGCTTTCCAAGCAAGTCTTCCGCGATCCGACTCAGGCCACAAACATTGATATGATACTTGGCCCAATTTCCGGCAGTCGCTAGCCTGAAGACTGACCGCAGGAGACCGCCGCTAAAATTGGCGAATACCATAATCGATCGAGCCACTGCAGCAGCCTCCAAATGCTCAGCGGAATGAAGTCCTTTCGGTGGCGCCGAGAGGCCGTAGCGTATCTTCACTTCGTAAGACCTCGTAGCCACCTAAACGTATCTTCCTGTTCCGTCTGCCACGGGGCTCACGTACCACTCTTGGCCCCGCAACCACCCACATCCAATCCCACACCATAACGCCCCGCAAGTCGGCCCCACCTCCACCCCGGAGATGACCGTCGGATCGTCGGAGCATTACCTCCACCGATCCACCATCCACTCGACTATTTCGAATGCAGTGACGTCTCGATCGACGACGTCGACAACGGCCAATCTTGCTTCCTGCCGGGGTGCGCGAGGTGGGGGTCGTGTAAGTCTAGTCCGACCGCTATCGTGATATCAGCGATTCTCCGCCTGCATCTTTTTGCCCGACCTCCGCGACATCCACCGAGCCCCGCAAGCCAGCAGAGATACGCGAGGCGCATCGCCGCTCGGACCACGGTAGGAGAACGGCTCGCGATTTCGGCCGCGTCCGGCTGGATAGGCAGCTCGGCTGGATAGGCTTGGTGTCCTTCCCGCTTGCCGGCTTCAACCACATGAGGAAGAGCCGTCCACTGAATGCGCGCGAGAGGTTGCACGACTTGTAGATTCCGCCCGGACATCTAGCTCCACTGTAGGAACGGGGTCGCGTCTTTAGAAGGGCAGGCGTGCTGTGACCCTGTTCGTGAGGTACGGGGCGCAGTGAGTCTTGCGGTACGAGGGCAAGGCGTGGCACATGTCCCGTCGAGAACATGGAGGCGGTTCTGCTCGAGCGAGGTGCCTCCACTTCGACGCAAGTCGTCTTGCACATGAGCAGCAAGCAGGGGGCTTCAGTCATTCATGGTGTGCCGGCCGCAGTTGGTGTGGCAGTAAGCATTGGGAAGTACGTGCCCATGGCCGGGGGTGCCCATAGACAACCGCGAACACCGAACTCACGGTACACAACTGGAGTTCAGACTCCATGATGAGGTATTCGTAGAGACACTCTTCACCGAACAAGCCATGATGAAAGAGAAGTAGACGTTGATATTATGTGCCAACCGCGTCGTCCTCCTTCCCCCGCACTGCCGATCTTGCCCCGCATCTGTATTGCTGGAATACTAGATGACCCATGACTCAAGCCACCTCACAGTGTGCATGTGCGGCAGATGACAGCCGCTTGAGTAGGCATTCACCGAAACGTTCCCGCCACCGGCTACGGTCGACTGATTCGAGTTGAACGTCGACTCAAATCATACCCTGGCCCTCTGTCTCAGACCTCTGTGACATACATTTGTTCTGGCTCCAAACCTCCTGCACCCCCCTCGCGTGCCGCCCCCACACCTCCGAGGGCGAGGCATCCTTCCACTGACTCCTTAGCTTAGTTGGTAGAGCACCAGATTCCAATACGGTTCTCTGGCGGTCGTGTGTTCAAGTCGCACAGGGGTCGGAGCGTGTGCTCAAGCACATCTTTTAGTTTGCAGAACAGGTCGAGTGGAAGCGGGAGGACGCTGGGACGCCGAAGAAGAGCGGGAGTGACCGGAAGTGGTTTGGGATTGTGATGGATCCTCTATAGCCCCCTATGCCTATAGCCCGTGTGGTTGGCATGTTCTTGCGATTAACGCACCCATGTTCCGCGCCATGGACAGCACTGCAGATGTCGACAAGCTAGCTACTCGGCCTCGCGTAACAATGCTACTCTACTCGAGACAATGCCCGACGGGGAACGCCGAGCCCATGACCGCAGATCACGTGCGTGCGGTCGACAGCCTCCGTCATCGCGTCGGCCTCCACCTGATCTGACTTTCGCCTCCTCTCTCTTCGCTGATCGCTCTGGCTCTCGTCCTTTATCTCTCCCACTCCGCCGCCGCGTCCCGCTTACGTCCTGCGCTCATCAGGATTGCTCTCTCGCCGGCCCGGTCCCGCTGGCCCACGATGCCAGCCTACCCCCGCCCCACCGTGGCGCTGCAGTATGCGTTTGAGCGCGTGGAAGACTTCTTCCTGCGCTCCTACCCCGTGCGCGACTTGCCGCTGCACGTCCGGCCCGTGAGTATGCCGCTCGTAGCCCATGTCACCGGGCGTACTGACAACAGGCGATGGTCGCGGCCGTCGTGGTATGGGCGACGCTGCTCGGCGTGCTGGGCTTCGCGCCGCTCCCCGAGATCCCGCTCAACGACAAGGCGCTACACTTCTTCGGCGTACGTCCCCGCCCCGCGCCCCGCCCCGCTGACGCCAGATGGGCTTCGCCTCCTTCCTAATCTACTTCTCGTTCGAGGTGCCAGAGTTCGTCCCGCACATCAATGTTCGCTGACAACAGAGGGCCGCACCGCCGCGTATGGTACATCCGCCGCGCGCCGCTGCTGCTCACCCTCGTCTTCGGCTTCCTCTTCGGCGGCATCGTGAGCGAGTTCGTCCAGGCTATGCTGCCCGTGAGTTCTGACATACGCGCCGCTTACGCAGTGGAAACACTTCCAGTTCGGCGACATCGTCGCCAACCTCCTCGGCGCGACTGTGTTCCTATACATCGCGCATCTGTTGCATGCGCGCGCACGGCGCCGCTCTGAAATCGCCGACTTGTACCAGCCCCTGCCTTCGCACTCCTTCCGCGATGCGCAGGGGCGCACGCACGCGTTCGCGCCCGCGGCAGCGGCGGGGGCGGGAGGAGCGGTGGCGGTAGAGCTCGACGAGGCGCAGGGGCATGATACGCGCGACGTGCGTGACGACGAGTGGGATGACGAGCTCGATATCGAGCCGCGGGAAAACAGCGTTTTCAAGCTCGACGACGACATCGTATAGGGTGGATTGGGACATGCATTGAGTATAATACAGTGGAGGAGGGTACATGGCATCAGAGTTACTCGCTTGCCTCATCGTCGGTGGGCACCATGAGGCCTGCGAGGTCGTCGTCGCTTATGCCACCCGGCGTCTCGGCAATGGATGCGATACGCGGCGCGTAAGGTGTCTCTGCGATAAAGGCAGGGCCGTGACGCCGCGCTACTGGTGTCTCGGCAACAAAGGATGGCGCGCGCGGCGTCTCGCCCACGAAAGGTGAGCTGTCGATGCGGTTGGCTGTGGGCGTCTCAGCGACGAAAGAGCGCACGCTGCCCGCGGCGGATGACGGCTCTTCACGGATTGGGGTGGGATGATGCACGGCGCGGCGGAAGGGGTTTGCCTTGACAGGGGTGGCTGTGACGAACGTCTCGGACTGGGTCTTGGCCAGTCTCCGCGCCTGTGACTGCGACTGTGATTGGGACATGGTGCGAGAGAGGGAACGCGACGTCGATTGTATCGACGACTGTGAGCGTCCCAAGTTGCGACCCATGAGTCCGCTGCCCGGTTCACGCACGGTCTCTGCCGCTTTCGCAGCCTCCTTGCGTGCAGCCATTGACTGAGCGCGCTTCAGCTTAGGCGCCGGGCGTGCCTCAAACTGCCGCGCTCGCTTCGGCTTGGGCGGGAGGTCAAGGAAAGAGGGCGGGGGCGAAGCAGCAGATGCACGAGAGCTACTCCGCCCCATAGCCGCAGATGTAGGACCTGAGGCTGTCGACGCGGGCGACGGACGCCTCGTAAGGCGGTGCGTGATCTCCGGTTTGCGGCGTTTCTTCGGCGCCACCAGTCCAGGAGGAATCTCCTTTCCGAACACCTCAAGGTGGAAGGTCGTGAGAAAGGTCGCTTCACGCGGGAGGAAACTCGTCAGGATCGTCCAGAGAGTAGTCACAGCGGCGGCGGGGCCGTTGTCGGCGCGCGACTTGCCCTTGCTTCCCTCGATTTCGAGCTCACTCATCGCGAGCCACAGGCTGATACGATCAGTGAGGTGAACAAGGGCGGCGTCGGTATCCTCTGTGGGAGAAGCCGCCTTCTTCCGCTTCTTTTTGGGCTCTGCTGGCTCAGGGCGCGCCGCACGGTACATGAGCAGCAGGATGAACTGAAGTATGACTCTGAGATGGTCAGCTAGGCCATAAAAGACCACTTACTCGCGCATCTCAAACTCCTGGCTGACGGCGCGCTGTGCTACCCCGCGTGCGCCATCGATTACTGCGCGCGAGTTCCCGCGCAGCGCCACGCCTGTCACCAGAGCGCCGCGCTCTATTGAGCTCAGCCCAGCGGCCTCAGCAGCAGCGCTAATACGTGCCTCCCCTGCTGCTGTGTTGCCACTCGACAAGACCGCACCGACGACGGGCGCGAGTGTGCGACGGTGCCGTTCTTCCACCGCCGAGAGAGGCACGATCATGCGCTGCACAACGTCCGCGAACCCATCGTTTGCAGATGCACGCTGCCAGTCTGCTGCAAGACCTGCGAGTGGCGCGAGCAACTGACGTTAGTTGACAGTCGTGAACCTTGCTCACCTCGCCGAGGTAGACGACCTCATAGTATCTGCGCGTCACGTACGACTCTAGAGTCTCGTCGGACGCCGTACTTGGGCCGCTGCTGTCAACTCTGCATCTCCTCGGTATCTTACGCGACGGGAAATGGCCATGGGGAGGTAACCGCTTTGGAGGGAAGGGGGAGGGGACACGTGAGGTCTAGGCTGAATGGAAGGGGAGCGAGGGTGAACACGGGCGCCGCATGCTCCGACATGAGCGTTGCGGCCATGGGGTGGCGGGTGCCGCGTGTAGACAGATGAGGATGCGGATGCGGAGATGCGGGACTGTGATAAGATGGACGCAGGAGGGAGATTGTTGTTGTGAGGGCAAGCCGAATGATGGAGAGATCCGAGGAGGGCGTTTCCGAGGAATCCGCGGGTTTCTCCAGGTGGATCGCCTCCACGCGCGCGTCTCGCTCCTCACCCAAGCTGGATGTTTATCCGTAATCCTAATGGAGTGTCCGTGGTCTAATGATCCTAATCTGCTTCCGCCAATTCCCTTCAACCTGGTGATGACCCGGTGCCTGGCCGGCAAGTGCCGGGTGGGCCCCGCCTGGCAACACGACGTCACATGTAACAGGATCGGATTCCTCGTCCCGGGGGGTCATGTCCCACGCAGACGCGCGCGCTTAGCAGCTCGTCCTCACGTCGCCGCGGAATACATCAATGCCGACGACAACTTGCTTTCCATCGCACTATCTCTCCTCCCCAACTAGTCCGTCTCCGAACGGCATTCTCAGCGCTCAGCCAAGCTTCAGCCACAGCCAGCGACATATATAACTAGCCTCAAGGCCCACAGTCCGCCATGTCGTTCCACGCACTCAAACACCTCCGCACCCACCTCGTGCGCACCCCCTTCAACATGCCTGCTCCCATTGTCTCCCAGCGCACCGCCCTTTCGGCCGCCAAGGCGCAGCTCTCGACGCGCGGCCTCCGCGCCCTCTCCAGCCGCGCCTCCCAGGTCCTCCAGGCCGTTGGTCTCCCCACCGACGGCTCGACCATCCCCGGTGTCTACGACGGCGCATGGGGCGGCTCGGGCGAGATCATCGAGACCGTCTGCCCCTCGACCGGCGAGGTGATCGGCCGCGTCCAGACCGCCACGCCCGACGAGACCCGCGTAGCCATCGCCAAGGCCGTCGAGGCCGGCCGCGCCGTGCGCGCCATGCCTGGCCCCAAGCGCGGCGAGATCATGCGCAAGATCCGTGTCGCCCTCAACGACAAGATCAACGAGCTCGGCGACCTCGTCTCGCTCGAGATGGGCAAGATCAAGAGCGAGGGCAAGGGTGAGGTCCAGGAGTTTGTCGACATCTGCGACCACGCCGTCGGCCTCTCGCGCTCGATCCAGGGCCGTGTCCTCCCCTCGGAGCGCGAGGACCACGTCATCTACGAGATCCCCAACCCCCTCGGCACTGTTGGCATCCTCTCGGCCTTCAACTTCCCCGTCGCCGTCTACGGCTGGAACTTCTCTATCGCCTTCGTCGCCGGCAACTCGACCATCTGGAAGCCCTCGCCCACCACCCCCCTCTGCGCCATCGCCGTCACCCAGATCATCCAGCAGGTGCTCGAGGAGAACGGCCTCCCCGGTGCCGCCGCCTCGCTCGTCACCGGCGACATTGACGTCGGCAAGAACCTTGTCGCATCCCCCCAGCTCCCCCTGATCTCGTTCACCGGTTCGGAGCGCGTCGGCCGCGAGGTCGGCAAGAACGTCCAGGAGCGCTTCGGCAAGACCATCCTCGAGCTCGGCGGCAACAACTGCGTCATTGTCGACAAGGACGCCGACCTCTCCCAGGCCCTCCAGGGTGTGCTCTTCGCTGCCGTCGGCACCGCCGGCCAGCGCTGCACCTCGACCCGCCGCCTGCTGCTGCACAAGGACATCGCCAAGCCCTTCATGGACAAGTTCCTGCAGTTCTACGACTCGGCCAAGCCCGAGACCACGCTCGCCATGGGCGACCCGCTCGACCCCAAGACCCTCATCGGCCCCCTCCACTCCGAGGTCTCGGTCGCCAACTACGAGAAGGCGATCGCTGGCGTGCTCGAGCGCGGCGGTGAGCTGCTCACCAAGCGCTCGGGCCGCATGGAGGCGCCCGAGGCCTGGGCCGAGGCGACCGGCGGCAACTGGGTGTGGCCCGTCGTCATGCGCCCCGCCCTCGACGACCCGTGCTGGCAGGAGGAGGTGTTCGCGCCCGTGCTCTACGTCGCCGAGTTCGAGACGCTGGAGGAGGCCATCAAGATCAACAACTCGGTGCCCCAGGGCCTCTCGTCCTCGCTCTTCACCAAGGACATCCAGTCCATGGGCAAGTGGCTCGGCCCCGAGGGCTCGGACTGCGGCATCGTCAACGTCAACGTCGGCACGTCGGGCGCCGAGATCGGCGCCGCCTTCGGCGGCAACAAGTCGACCGGCTGGGGCCGCGAGTCCGGCGGCGACGCCTGGAAGCAGTACGTCCGCTGGAGCGCCGCCACCGTCAACTACGGCTCCAAGCTCCCTCTTGCCCAGGGCGTCAGCTTTGGCTTCTAAGCATCCCCTCCATCTTGGATCTTGGATAGAGTGTATTACGTAGCAGCACAGTAACATTATCATCACATGTACGGGTTTTGGATTGAATTGGGGGGGTGAAGGGGCGGGTGAGATTAGGCGACTTGGGCGTGGGTGTGGGAGGCCTGCTTGAGCTTATGCTTCTGCCAAACCGTCATATCCATCATGAGCTGAGACGCGCACCCACGTGCAATAACTCCAGATCCGCCACCATCGCACCCTGCAGAGCAGCAGCGAAGGCAAATACTGCGGGTGTCAAGTATTGCGGCGAGTGGCACGAGCACATTCCCGTACAGTCTACCCATGTGCAAGCACCCACGCCTCCACTGCGTGACCTATCCCGCGCATCCCGCGCGCGCATGGCGGTTGGAAGTGGAAGCGGAAGCGCGGTCGGTCGTGCGGGAGAAGCGAAATCCCCGGAAGTCACACCCTCCGGAATTGTAATCCGGTCGCACGTCCCTGCCTCCGCTGATAATCGCTATCTCCGGATCGCATGCGTCGCTCAGGCCATGATGGATAACGGCTGACTGAGGGCGGCTGCTGCAATCCCGAGCAGACGATGTCGGCATTGTCGTAGCTGACCGACCGTCGCGACTTCGCCGTCGTCTGCAGCGACGTCATCCCCATCACCCAGGGCACGCACAGAGACCTAATGTGGCATAAAGTAGGATTAAAGGCCAAAGACGCCGTCTAACAAAAAAACCATGTCCATCCGCTCGCGCCGCGCCATGCGACTGCGTGCGCCAGCGCCCCCACCTCCACCCCGCAATCCAAGCACACCACCACCCTGACCAGTACGGTTCAGCACCGTTTAGGCGGCGTTGGCGGAGGGCTCGTATCCGTTAGGGTTCTTAGTCTGGAAGTTCCAGAGGTCGCGGCACATCTCTGGGAGGTCGCGCTTGGCAAGGAAGCCGAGCTCCTTCTCAGCGAGCGCGGGGTCGGCGGTCAGGTCGGGTACGTCACCCATGCGGCGACCGACAATCTCGTACTTGTAGTCAAAGCCGGTGGCCTTGCGCATGGCCTCGATCATGGTGAGAACCGACTGGCCCTTGCCACGGCCAAGGTTGAAGGCACGGAAGAAGCCGTCGGCGCGGGGGTCGCACTTGTCAAAGATGTTAGGCTGGTCGGCGGGCACGGCGATGGCGTCCAGCGCAAGCACGTGGCCCTGCGCCAAGTCCATGATGTGCAGGTAGTCACGCACACACGTCCCGTCCGGCGAACCGGGGTAGTCGTTGCCGAAGACCTTGAGTTCAGACTTCTCGCGGCCGACAGCCATCTGGGCAAGGAGGGGGAGGAGGTTTCCGGGCTTGCCGCGAGGCTCCTCGCCCAACTTGCCAGAGGGGTGAGCACCAGCGGGGCTGATGTCAGCTATTTGTTCGACACTTGAGTGTGCAAACAAGGCGCCAATCCGGGTAATCGGGGCACAGAGGGTACTCACTTGAAGTAGCGGACAGAGACAGCCTTGAGGGGCTCCTTGCGAGGTGCCTCCATGGTCCCAGAGCGGCACACGTCCTGGATGACGTTCTCAACCATGGCCTTCGTCCGCCCGTAGGCAGACTCGGCCTGCACGCGCGAGGTCTCGGGGATGGGGATAATCTCGGGCGTACCGTACACGGTAGCCGAGGAGGAGAAGACGAAGGAGTTGCACCCGTACTTGGCCATGGACTGCTAGTTAGCGAATTGCGGAAACAGGTAGCTCACCTGGAGGAGCGACACTGAGCCGCCGACGTTGACCTGGTAGTATGCGAGGGGAATCTCGCTCGACTCGCCGACAGCCTTCAAGGCAGCCAGGTGGACGACACCCCAGATACCGCCGTCAGCTTGATACTTCTCGAAGACGGCGTCGATGTCGGCGGGGTTGCGCAGGTCGACCTGGTGGAAGATGGGCTGAGGCGCGTCGGCACTGGGTGAGCTCAGCCTTACACATAAACTTACCCCATCTCGTCACGCGCAATCTCGGCGCAGCGGTTCACGGCCTCGGGGAAGGCATTGTGACAGTTGTCAATGACGATGGGGAGGTAGCGCCCCGAGAGGAGGAGGGAGAGGACGACATGCGAGCCGATGTATCCAAGACCGCCGGTGACGAGGACGCGCTGAGTGTCAGCTGGTCTTTTGAGTAATAGTTACCTTGAGCTGGGAGTTGTCGCGGGACATGGTGAGTGGAAAGAAAGAGAATGGGTGAGGCGAATGTAAACAATTGAATGAGACGAGGCAAAGTTGTGTAGTGAAATGGAGGGTGAAGCGGACTTGTCAGAGTGGAGGCTCAAGGGAAGGTTGTGTGGGCTGGGCCGATCGATCGGGAGTGTTCGCAGAAATCTGCGACTCTTGGAACAAGGGGTGGCGCGTGCTTTAAACGTTGAACAAAGAATGCACAGATCGCGAGGCGCCGTCAACGTTTCCTTTATAGTGCACAAGTGGCGCGGTTTGGGCGTGTCCGAAGGGTGGAGAGTGGGACGTGGAGTGCGGATGGGATGATGGCGAGTTGAGTGCTTGAGTGCGAGATTCCCGTTCGTCTCTGCAGATCACGGGAATGTTGACCGCTTTCTTTTGCAATCCGCCCCTCTACGCACCCCCACCACCATAACATTCCCGTTCGCCCATACCGGCGTGTTGCCCTTTTGCATACACACGTCGCTCGGGTGCTCACCGCCTTGTCCGCTGCCTTGGCCCCAGCTGCTACTTCACTCCCCCATCCTCTCTACTGCTCATCACTCACTCCCACCCAATCGTTGGTCCGCCCGGAGCTCGGACCGCCCTCTCCGCCCAGGCACCTTGTGCATCGATACGGGGAGGGCCCAATAACAATAGCGCGGACTAGCCTTCAAACTCCGCTGTTCAAGTTCAAATGAACGAGAGCCCATTGGCTCATGTGCCTGGATTACAACCCCCGGTTTATACGTAATACCACGTGATTCAAGTTTCGATGAGAGCAATTTTGCCCCCGCTTGATGATGCTCTGCCCCGTCTCTGACTCTTTGCAAGATCTTTGTTCGCTGACAGCGCCGCCCTCCAGTTCACTCGTTTGGCCACCCAACTCCTCATCACCTCATTCTCCAAAAGGCTCAGCGCATCAACGCGACTGCAAGCTCACACTCGACGCCTCGAAGCACCCCTCTCCCCCTCCCACCACCCCCAACCACCCCCCTTGCCATGTCTGACCGCCTCACGCGTGTTGCCATCGTCTCCGACGACAAGGTACGTTGGCTGTCGCGCGTCTCGTGTGCCACCTGCTCGCGTCACAAGACGCGAATGTGTGTTGAATATTGCTGACGCCCCAGTGCAAGCCTAAGAAATGGTACGCGACCACTGCGCGCGCAGCCTCGAGCTGCCCCGCGCCAGCATCCCTCGCGATGCGCGAGCTAAGCTAACGGCAGTCGCCAGGAGTGCAAGCGCTCATGCCCTGTGGTGAAGATGGGCAAGCTGTGTATCGAGGTCACGCCAAGCGACAAGAAGGCGTTCATCTCTGAAGAGCTCTGCATCGGTTGTGGTATCTGTGTTAAGAAGTGCCCCTTTGAGGCCATCTCCATCCTCAACCTGCCCACCAACTTGAGCACGCACGTCACCCACCGCTACGCCGCCAACGCGTTCAAGCTCCACCGCCTGCCCACGCCGCGTCCGGGCCAGGTCCTCGGTCTCGTCGGCACCAACGGTATCGGCAAGTCGACGGCGCTCAAGGTGCTTTCAGGCAAGCTCAAGCCCAACCTGGGCCGCTACGACGACCCGCCGGAGTGGACCGAGATCATCAAGTACTTCCGCGGCTCGGACCTGCAGAACTTCTTCACCAAGGTGCTCGAGGACGACATCAAGGCCGTCACCAAGCCGCAGTACGTCGACCAGATCCCGCGCTCGATCAAGGTGCCCAACATGACCGTCGGCAAGATGTTCGACCGGCAGTCGGAGATGGACAACCGCGACCAGCTCGAGCAGGACCTCGAGCTCAAGCACCTGCAGACGCGTGAGGTGTCGCAGCTCTCGGGCGGAGAGCTGCAGCGTTTCGCCATTGCTATCGCATCGGTCCGCAAGGCCGACGTGTACATGTTCGACGAGCCCTCGTCGTACCTCGACATTCGCCAGCGTCTCGCCGCCGCGCGCACGATCCGCGGTCTTGTCCAGCCCAGGAACTACATCATCGTTGTCGAGCACGACCTCTCCACCCTCGACTACCTCTCCGACTTTATCTGCGTCTTCTACGGCGTGCCCGGTGTCTACGGTGTCGTCACCCTCCCCTACTCGGTGCGCGAGGGCATCAACATCTTCCTCGACGGCATGATTCCCACCGAGAACCTGCGTTTCCGCGACGAGTCGCTCACGTTCCGCATCGCCGAGACAGTCGACGAGACGGCCGCGCCCAACATCCGCACCCTCACATACCCGAACATGACCAAAACGCTGGGCGGCTTCAAGCTGCACGTCAAGTCTGGCCAGTTCTCCGACTCGGAGATCATTGTCCTCCTCGGCGAAAACGGCATGGGCAAGACCACCCTCGTCCAGCTCCTGGGCGGCAAGCTCAAGCCGGACAACGAGGCGGACCAGGTCTCGCTGCGCGTGTCGATGAAGCCCCAGACAAGTGAGTAACGTCTCTCTCATATCTGACCCCAGTCTCGCCCAAGTTCCCGGGTACTGTGCGCATGCTCCTCCTCAAGCGTATCAAGGCCATGTTCATGCACCCCCAGTTCAACTCGGACGTCATCAAGCCGATGAACTTGGACGGCATCATCGACCAGGACGTGCAGACGCTCTCGGGCGGTGAGCTGCAGCGTGTCGCCATCTGTCTCGTGCTGGGCGTGCCCGCCGACGTGCTCCTCATCGACGAGCCCTCCGCCTACCTCGACTCGGAGCAGCGTATCCACGCCTCCAAGGTCATCAAGAAGTTTGTCATGTCGTCCAAGCGCACCGCGTTCATTGTCGAGCACGACTTCATCATGGCCACTTACCTCGCCGACAAGGTCATCGTCTTCGAGGGCCAGCCAGGCAAGGAGTCGTGGGCCGGCGAGCCCGAGGGCCTGCTCACCGGCATGAACAAGTTCCTCAAGTCGCTCGACATCACCTTCCGACGGGATCCTACAAACTACCGCCCGCGCATCAACAAGAACGCCTCCGTGCTCGACCACGAGCAGAAGTCGTCGGGCAACTATTTCTTCGTCGAGACCGACTAGCGTCCTCGCTCCCCCACCTGTTGGCATTAGGCGCATGCGCGTGCGGGGCTGCTAGAGCGGGCCGTCGCCACGGGAGGCGCGGCAGAGCCTCGTCGCGCTCAATCTAGATACCCGTGTCCGTGTATAGCATGCAGCATTGAGCATATGAACCAGGCAGCAGCGGGTGGTGGGCACAGACGCGCTAGAAACTGCAAGTGGCATAATGATCGTCATCTATATGTCTTCCCAGATCGAGGCTGCTCTGCAGCCGCAGCCTCAACGCCAGCGTCGGAGGGAAAGTATGTTGTTGTGGTTGAGCTCTGCTCCGTGTGTGCGTAATGCTACTTGCCGTTGCCCCGTTCACCCTGCTTATCCGCGCCGGTCGACTTGCGCTTAGCCCGCTCATCCCGCCGTTGCGCACGCCGCTGCCGATCCAGGTCCTTCTGCGTCTGGGGGTCCGTCACGTGCGGCTCGGCGAAGCGCGTAGTCTTGGTCGCCGCGGGAGTCAAGAACGTGTCGTGATGCTTGCCGAACGGCCAAAGCTTGCGCCAGGGACTGCCTGGCGAGGGCGCCGGGAACGTCGCGGCGCGCGGTGGCGTCTGCTTGTGGCCTGGAGGCGCGCCGCGGCCCACAGTCGCTCGCGGATCCACCGGTGGCCGGCTCGCCGTCGTTGGCATATGTGGTAGTGGTACGGGCCCCGGAGTCCATGGCAATATGCCCGGGGGTTGTTGCACCGGCACCTGCATTGGCGGCTGAACAGGCGGATAGCTGTAGCTCGGCTGCATAGGATATCCGCCGGGGGCGACCTGCTGCACGGCCGGAGGCATACCGAGAGGTATCTGTGGACCTATGAAGTGCTGCGCAGCAGGCAAGTGCTGTGGCACTTGGCCGGCGTAGTATAGAGGGAACCCCGGCGCATGTGGTTGCACCACGCCAGGTACGTAGGAGCCAGCGGGGGCGCCATGTTGTGGAGCTCCGTGTCCTGGCAGTGGGGCGGGACAGGAAGCTACGCCAGGCGCCGCGTTGTTGAGAACTTCGGAAGCCGAGAGAGATCGGCGGCGCGTCGGAGTCTCCCGGGCGTGAGGCGGGACGTGGAGGGAGGCACGCCGATCCGGCGCACTGGCGCCGTGAGATGCGGCGGGTCCACGAGGGTCGGGCTGGCTCTGGGCACCTCGCCGGCCCGGGAACCACGCCAGAGACACGTGTAGCTTGCCGCGGCGTGCAGCAGGTACCTCGAAGGTTATGTGATCGCCATTGTCGCGGACGTTTGCAACACTTGCGCTCGAGGGCGAGAACACGATGCCGTTCTCATACGCTGTGTGCTCACTTGCCAACGAAGGAGCGCGCTCAAGACGCTTGCCAGTGTGAAATTGTCCGTCGACCGAGGCTGATTTCGTCAAGACGGGGCGGCGGCCAGTGGCAGCTGAGGAATAACGGGAGCGGATGTCCCGAGGAGACGTAATCTGCTCGACCGGTCCGCCTGCATCTCCGGAAACGCCGACGCTCTGAGCTTGATGATTCCCCTTCGATGTGGTGCGGCGCGTAAGCTGCGAGGCAGGGATTGGGTTTTGATTCAGTGAGGAAGGTGTGCCGGCGATCGCGGGCTGTAGCGATGCTCGTCTATGAGACGTTCCTCCGTTGACGGTGTGGGGCTCAGCGGTAAACGCGCCTGATTGTGCCAAAGGAACAGCATCCGCTTTGACGAAAGAGTGGCCAGAGTCAGACGTTTGCATTGAAGAGCACTTGCTGTCCTCGTACGAATAGGCTGGGGACTGAGCGGCAGCGGGGCGAGTCTCAGGACCGAGCCCAACTTGTGGCGCATGTGCATGGACGGGCAACTTGGGCCACACCTGCATTTCTGGGACACTGCGAAGCGACTGCTGAGATTGTCGTCTTGTATACGCCTTTGATTGCGAGTGGCTCAAGGCATGCGATTGATCAAGGACAGATGGTAGAGGCGCCGCGGATTGTTGAGGCGTGGCGCCCGCGGCGGCTCCCTTGAGGCCGACCGTGCTGCGCGCCCGCGACAGAATGGTGCCAACGCGACCGGGTTTGGGCGCGGGCTCGGGCAGGTAAACCTCGTCTGGCGCGGCAACCTCCGTCAGCATGTCGAGTGGTAGTTCGAGCGCCTGGTTAAGATACGCGTCCCGCGCGTAGCGAGCCGAGCAAGCGGATGCGGGCGAAGGGTTAAAGGAAGGTGAGCGAGTAAGGTGCTCTCCTCGAGGGAGCTCGGGCTGTGGTTGTGAGTAGTGCTGGGGCGTTTGAGCGAGGAGTGGGACAGGAGGTTGACGCCGTAGCGGGGGAGCTGGAAAGTGCTGTGGCTGTTGACGCGAGTGACCATTTGAGTGACCGTTCGAGGAGGGGGGCTTGCCGCGCTCGCGAGACCGGGCACCAACGGGCCGGTAGCCCTCCTCCGAGACAGTCCCGAGGCTGTCGCTCCAAACGGCGGTCTTGGCGCCCACAGTGGTGCTAGGAGACTGAGGGACCTGGTTTGTCCATTGCTCGATGCGTTGGCTACGGCGTCTGTACGCGTCCACAGACGAAGGAGAGGGCGAGTAAGCTGAGTACGAAACCTCTGTCGCGGGAGGAGGAGCTTGACTCTGGGGACCGCGCTGCGGCGTGTGGGGATAGGCCATGAGGCCTGGAGGCGAACGAGAGAATTAACACGGTTGAGTAAAAAGATGAAGAAGAGAGAAACGACGGCCCGTGGTGGAAGGGAAGCCAGTCGAGAGGGGAGGAGGTAACGAGGGTCATGGCGGGGAAGGGGCGAGAGGCGGGGCGGAGGCGAAATGGGGTGGCGCACAGACCGGTCAAGCCGGCGCGAGTCCCAGAATCGCGAATCGGCGAGGCCAGACGCAGAGTCGAGGCAGCCGGGAATGATGATCTGCCCATGCGCGTCCAGTGTTGCGAGGGGTGCATGGGTGCACTGGTTGCCATCACCGACCACGTTGCCGCCTTTCTGGCCCCTTCGTGGAGCACTTGCTTCTCCTCAGATCTGCTGCGAACGCATGCCCCGCTTGATCCGCCACTCGTTGCGTTCTGGCCGCTGTCCGAGGCGTGCCGGGTCCGAGCGCCCGACGGAACTATACCAATGCCCAACTCGCTGCGCACCCGCCCCAAACCCGCGTCGCGCGCACGCCAGTATTGAGAAGCTGAGCGGAGTCGATTGTGTTCCCGACGCCGAGATTTCCGTGCTCATTCCACCCTCCCGCCCAGAGGTCTGTGCGCGCGGCGGCGCGTGCCAGGGCCAAGATGTGCTCGCTCCCGGCGGCAAAGGCCTCGACCGCCTCTGCCTCCAAGGGTACAGGCAAGCGTGGTGCACGTGTTTCACCGGCGTCGGAACGCAGGAGCTGACCATGGGTGTTGGAGCCCTGCGACCAGAGCTTGTCTGTCAGAAGGTAGCTGCCGTTCCATGTCGCACCGATGGCGCGGACGCCGGTCGCGTCGTCGAGGCCCGTAATCTGACCCTTGAGGTCGCTGCCCCACGCAAGCACCCTGCCGTTGGCAAGGAGGACAAGAGTATGCGAGGCGCCAAGGGCGATATCGATGATGGGTGATGAGAGCTCAAGAGTGAGTTCAGTTGGGGGCCTGGTGCGAGTTACGCGCGCTTTGCCCTTGCCCATTGGGGGTTGGGGCTTGGGGTCGAGCTCGCCTCGGCGCGCCGCACCCCAGCCGATGACGCGCTGTTTGCGTGCATTCCCGCTCCCGGATGACAGCACAGCAAGCACATGTCGCTGTCCTCCGCGCAGGTGTTCGACACGCTCACCGTCCTTGAGGCGAATAACACCGCCGCCTAGTTCGCCGAAGTCGTCCGAGCCTGCTGTGACGATGACCTGTGTGCGCGCCGCGCTGCCATCTGGCGACTCGAGGGCGACAAAGCTAGTCGTCCACGTTGCTGCAACTTTGATGGGCTCCCAACCCTCGAAGCCGGCATCGCGGACGATGGAGAGCGGGCGGAAGCTGGTGGCCGGGCGCGAGGAATCAGTCAGTGCGCACGCTTTACCAAGCTGCCCATGTGTGTTCGTCCCGGCGCCTAGAAGATGGCTTCTTCCCTCCGCGGAGACGAGAAGCAGCGCGTGCGACGCGGCAGAGACAAGGTCGATCACGCTTTCAAATGGGGGGCAAGATGGGTCGAAGACACAGGGCGAGAATACCGCCGCGTCTTCGACGTGGCCGATGGCGAGCTGGCCTGCGCCATTAGATCCACATGCGAGGAGGGTGGGCATGAGATGTGTTGGATGCCGATAAGTTTGAGGGATCGTGGCACCGGGTTATGGCGGGTGGATGGAGATTGCCTGCTTATGCCGCTCCTGGCGTCATAGGCCGCTTAATAAAATACAGGCATTACCTGTCTTGATCGCAGCGGTCTGTGCATATGTGCCTCGGATGAGCGACGACGACAACAGCGTCTCCCCATCCCCGTCTTGGCCACTCCATCCACAACCCAACCACTACTCTTCGCTAACAGCCTCTGTTCATGGGCATTTGAATACCGGTGGCGTGAGCTTTGATACTTTCCGACCCTGGTTTCGCACACTTCACCATGCCACCCCGCCTGCAGCACCGCAAACGCAAGAACACCATCCTCTACCCGCATGAGGTGGAAGAGTATGAGCGTCAAATGGGGTTCTCGCGCGCCAAGAGCCGTCGTAGCTTGGAGAGTGGAGTGAATTGCGCGCCGCGGGATATGGCTGACCGCAGAATGAGCCCCAGGGCGGCATGGAGGTCACAGTGAGTCATCCATTGTTCTAACTAACCGCAGCCAACGTCTAGCCACGCAACAGCTCCGCCTCCTCGACGCGGCGTCAAGCGCAAGGCGAGCGAGGAGCGCGCTGCGCCCACGCGCTACTCGCCCCCGCCTATCGAGACCGGCGTCAGCGACGAGACGCTCAACAGCTTCGCTCTGGCCATCGGACGTGGGCCCCTAGTCGCGCCTCTGATGTGGCGTGGCATCGAGGACGCTGCAAAGCTGTGGGCCGGCGTGGAGGAGTACGTCCTGTTCGCACGGCAGCGAGGCGACCGTGCTCCGTTCTTCCCGGCCACGCGCGTCGTCAAGTACATTGCGCATAAGGCACTCAAACAGTACAAAGAGGCGGGCAAGGTCGATTTGCGCGCGCTCAAGGAGGCCGAGCAGGACATCAAGCGCTTCCAGGACGCCCTGGGTTTGACGTGGGACCCGGTGCAGGAGCGCGCGACGGCCCTTGTCATCGCCGGCGCCCAGCTGTCGTGGGGCGCCGACGAGGCGCACGTTGACGGCGCGAGCGACACCGGGGGCATATCCTAGCGGTTCGCTCGACTCGATCGACTCGCAGCCGACGACCCAGCCGACGCACCCGATTGTTCTCCTCGCGTCGCGGGGCGCCGGGGGCAGTCGTAAGTTGTCGATCGTGGGCGTTCCCCTGTGTGCAGTGTGCCCGTTGTCACATTCCCATCCTCCTCGATCTCGATCCACCCCGCCTTGGGCAATGTGCATTGGTTTTTCTCCTCTTCTCCTCTTCTCCCCTTCGTGTCATTGCATTTCCAAGTATCATGTGTTGGGTCGTCGTCCTGTGCACAGGTGGCGGATGCGCGGCAGGTGATGGGTGGGAGGTGGTGTACTGACGATACGACCCTGGACGGTGGTTGATATTGCATCCTGCGGCAACCTTTTCACGCGACGCTGATGGCCCCGTGTTGCAAAGGTAGCATTTTTCTCTTCTATTGCACGAGTCGAAGAAACGGTTGCGGGTTCGAGCCCCGCCGGGGCCTGATAACAGGCTCTAGTACGGTCGGCAGTCATTTTTGCGGCTTTCGTACCTCTCTACCCCTTCCTGTGCGACTCAGAGTGCTTCGAATTGCAGCGTCCAGACTCGAGAATGATACAAACGACAGGCGCGACACGGCGGGGGCTGCAGACAATGGGCGATCATGGCGCGGATCGCGTCCTGTCATAGCCCCTCGCGCGGCCTCGCGATCGGCGCACTCAAGAGGGCGGCGCCGTGTGTCGATCGGGGAGGGTGACGTTTGGGCACCTCTTTCAGCAGCCGAGCTCCTCACCACCTTCTCGGTCTCATCGGGTAAGGATACTGATGCGGCGCTTGCATGTGCGCGCATTCATGCATGTTGCCTGTATAATAGCATTTCCTAGAAAAGGTGCGCCGCCATCGTCACCTTGCACAGCAAGCAACAAACACACGAATCCTTGCTTTCACGCATCTACCGACTGATCGCCACGCCCCTCGCCCCTCGTTGTCCCTCGTTGCCCCCGCGCTCGGGTAGACCGCATCGAGCGCAGCGAGTGGAGCGGGGCAACCGAGAGGGGCAGCCTTGTGGTGACAAGGGAGGTGAGGATGGGATGCACACGCGTTTGGGCGGCCAGGGGCGTGGGAGTCTCCAACGCTCTGACTCACTTCACTTCCGTTTCTCCATTCCCTCATGTCACCGATAGCCTTAGCTCCAACACTCCCGTACTCCGCCAGGTCCGCCCCCGCCGATACTTGCAAGCAGTTCATTGCCTTGTCTTCTGATCTCACCGACCGGATTCCCTCCATCCCACGCTACTGCGGAACAAACTGAATCTCCGAGATAGCCTTGGCCTCGAGCGGCGGGAAAGACTTCCGTCAACCTTCCTAGACCATCACCCCAGCCCCTCCTTCACAATCTTCTCTCCGCCTGTCTCTCTTCCTCTCTAACACTCTCCCACTTCCCCTTCCCTCGTGCCCTCCTCTGCGCTCTACTCTCTCCCCCTCCATCAAGATACTAACCACGAAGATGGTGTACTTGCTGATCTTCTCGCCCGCAAACTCAATGCGTCCCACCCACTCCAACCCCCGGATCTTGGCTCCGTCCGCCAGGCGGTCCTGGTCGATCCGCCCCGTCGCGAGCACCGTATCCGGTAGCCTGCCGCACACCCACACATCGTCCAGGTAATGTACTCGATTCTGGACAACTTTGGCGCCGACCTCGCGCATGTGCCGCAGTTGCTCCGTTCCGCGGGCAGTCACGCCGCTGAAATCGATGACACAGTCTGGCGTGAACATATCCAACCAGGAGTCGTCAGCCCGGTCGGAGGAAGCGTAGAACTCCTCGACAAGCGCCTTGCGTTCGGGGGAGAGCGACATTGTGCTTGTGAAGCAGAAGAGATCGAACGTTTCGAGTGGACTTCAACGCGCAATGACGATACGACGGCCGCAGACTGATGGACGCTCGGCCGAATACCGTCGTTGCGAGGTGCGGAAGCGCATCATGTCGTCTGACCTCTTGCATCCTGCAATACATGACCGATCGCATGACCGAGCCAACAGACCCGCTCGAACCAAACAATCTCCCTGCATCATCAAACCCCCAAGATGTCACTTGACACCCCACTTGGGGCCTAGCCCCATGGCCATGCGCCCTGGGCGAGACCTGCGGCACCTGGATACAAGGGGACCTGGAACTCATCCGGCATTCGGCGGCGTCAACGCCGGAAAAACCTCAATCATCTCATCGACCGAGATGCCCGCGGTATCTCTGCCGTCGGCCCGTTGTAAACCCCTCGTCTCACGATCTGCCATCCAGCCAGCGCAAAATGACGCCCAGAAAAGCCTGTGCTTTTTCGAGGATTCATTGCATACAGAGCAAGTCTGGGCGAGCTGAAATCACGCGTATCGGCCATGTCCGAAGCCCGGGTTCCGGCAGCCACGCCCCCCTGACTCCACACCGTATAGCATACAGCCCCAGTGCCAATGGATTTTGCCCTCACCTCGCGTCGGTCGACTCCGACAACTAGTTAGAAAGGCGGGATGTAGGCCCGTTCCGCGCTGTTTCTTTCTCATACTCCTTCTCAGCTCAGTGGATGCTCATCGCTTGTCCGAGACGATGAACCCCCGTCCGTCGACCTCGCCGGGCCCTTCGACGGCCACCTCGCCGTCGCTGGTGGCGCGCGATCCTCCAGCCCCGCCTGACCTACTGTCTCCTCCTCAGCGAGCCACCTCGCCAACAGGGCGAAGATCGATGCACAGCGGACATCCGCACTCACATCCGCTCTCGCCTCCATCCCGTACTGCGTCTACATCGCCGCCACCACGCTCGCCCTCGCTTGCTCCCGCGCGCTTCCCCGCCACGGGCGATGAACTAGACGCCGAGATCGAGCTCGAGCGAACACTCTCTCACGCCGAGACACGGAATAGTCGTGATGGCCGCCCGCCGTCGCGAGCTCGCTCCCCTACTATCGCGGAAGAAGACGAACCCTCTGACGGGACGACGACCGCAACATCGGAGGCCAAGGACGGCAGTGCCGCCGAGGCGCAGCGCGAGCCAGATATCTATGACCGCTTCTCTCCCCATCGCAAGCACATCATGATTGCCATCGTTTCGTTCTCGGGTTTCCTTGGCCGTGAGTATCTTAGGAAACGTGCACTTACACCCAGCTGTCGCGTCGTCGGCATTCCTGCCGTCTATTACGGTGATGGCCGACGAGCTCAATACAACACCCGAGATGATCAACTACACCGTCGCCATTTTCATCGTCACAATCGGCATTGCGCCGCTCTTCTGGTCTCCCCTTGCCGGATTCTACGGCCGCAAGCCCATCTACCTTCTCTCGATGCCGATTATGGTATGCTGCCCTCGCAATGTGGCTGACGCACAGACTGTCGCATCAATAGGTGTCGCCAACTCGAAAACAATCGGCCAGATCATTGGCACGCGTATTTTGCAAGGCATCGGCTCGTCTGCTGTCCTCGCAGTCGGCGCAGGCACAGTCGGCGACCTGTACCGCCCGACAGAGCGCGCCAACGCCATGTCCTGGTTCTACAGCGGCATCGTCATGGGCCCCGCGTTCTCTCCCGTCCTAGCTGGCCTCTTCACAGAATACACCGCCATCACCTGGCGTGCGACGCAGTACTTCCTGTGCGCAGCGTCCGCCCTCTCCGTGGGTCTCACCGCCGCATTCCTGCCCGAGACATCGCACCCGCCCCTCCCCCACACGCGGATCAAGGCTGAGCGCGGCAAAAAGTTCGTGCCCTTCTGGTTCAACCCGATCCAGTCGGTCCTGCTCATGCGGTACCCGAACATCGCGCTCGCGACATTCACGAGTTGCTTGGTCATGATCGAGCTGTACTGCATCATGATCCCGCTGTCGACCATCTTCAAGGAGCGGTACAACCTCACAAACGTCGCGCTCGCGGGCTGCATCTACCTCGCGCACGGGGTGGGCACGCTGCTCGGCGCGCGCATCGTCGGGCCCTACGCGGACCGCATCGTGCGCTCGTGGATCGAGAAGCGCGGCTACCGCAAGCCCGAAGACCGCTTGCGCGCCGCATTGATCGGCACGGCCCTCGTCCTCCCCCTCTCGTGCTTCGCCTACGGCTGGCTCCTGCACTTCAACAAGGGCGGGCTCGCGCCCCCCATCGTCTTCCTCGTCATCAACGGCGTCGGCACGCCCATGTTCTTCACCCCGCTGAACACGTATCTCGTCGACGCGCTGCAGAAACGCTCGGCCGAGGCCATCGCCGTCAACAACTTCTTCCGCTACCTCTTCGCGGCGGCCGCGTCCGCCTTCGTTCTCCCCATGATCAACGCCGTCGGCCTCGGCTGGACCATGACCATCGGCGTCGTGTGCTGCTGGTTTGCGCTGGGTCTGATCCTCGCAACAATGCGCTGGGGCGAGGCGTGGCGCGAAGCCGCCGCCGTCCACTTCAAGGAGGTGCCGGACGCCGAAGACGGCGCCAGGCACATGCCGCAGGTGGAGGAGAAGGCTGATGTCGAGTGCATCGAGGGGGACGTTGCTTCGGGGGGAAGGGCAGGGAAGGCAACGGAGAAAGAGAAGGAGAAGGAGGCGTCGCGCCGCCCCTCCGCTGGCTCAGATCACGAGCACCACGATGAGCGGCACGAGGAGCCCGGCCACCTCCCGACCGCCATCAAGCGGAGCCGCACGCGCGGCAATACTGTCGGCGGCGGGGGGCTGGCGCGCGCCTCCTCGCGGCAAAGCACCAAGTCGCTGCCGACCGTCGGCGAGGTTCTGCAGCGCACCGTGTCAATCAGTGGCGCCAGCGTGCACGGAGGGTAATAATAGCACTACTGTATGTATGCATTCGTCTGGGCGATGCTTGGCCGCAGCCGTCTATCTTTACTATCGCGAAAGCCTCTACTTGCCGCCGTTCTGCCACGGGTCGCACCCGTGCTTCGTGAAGTCGCTGTTCACGGTCGGTGGTGTGGGGTTACCGTCGTCGTGGATGTCGGCGTGCACGTGCACCTTGATCTCGCGGATGTCGGTGCGCGCTCCCATGATGTGGTTGCGCACACGCAGCTCTACCTCGTGCGAGTCGTATACGCACATCAGGGCGGGCACGACGATGGTGAGGTCGAGGACGATCTGGCCTGTCGGTTAGCGGGAGTGCAATGCCACCGAGGGGTGTGTGGTGCCTGCCGGTGGCCGGGGATCAAGGTGTTTCGGCCAGTCACCACCTGTCGCGCATGACTCACCTCCTGACCGCACGCCGCGGACATTGCGGATGCCGAGGAGCTCCACACCGTCCACCAGCTCGCACGCGACATTCTCGATGCTCTTCTGCGTCTTGGCGTCGATCCCGACGTCCAGGAGCTCCATGCACGCAACCTTGGACAGCGACAGGCCCTGCTGCAAGATGAAGAAGGAGACGGCGATGCCGCCGAGCGGGTCCAGCCACTTGATGCCGCCGAGGGACGAGCCGACGATCGAGCCGAGGGCGACGAGAGACGTGAGCGCGTCCGCGCGGTGGCTGGGGTTAGTCGCGGGTGCGCGGGGTGACTCACTGCAGCGCATTAGCTCGCAGGACGGGCGAGTTTTCCTGCTTAGCGACCTTGTTCGTGAGCTGGTACAGCCACTCTTTGACGAGGACGCTCGCGAGCGCGAACCATGCAGCGTGGGGGTTGAGGAGGGGCGTCTCGCCCACGGCGTGGCTGTGCGCGTGGTCCACGCCGTGCGCGTGGTCCACGCCGTGCGCGTGGTCGTGCTCGCCGACGCCGTGCGCGTGGAACAGCTCGAGCAGGGGCGAGGGCACGCTGCGCGGCAGCCACGCTTGCAGGCCCGCGAAGGGGCTGTCGGGCGGCAGGCTTTCGAGCCACGGCAGAATCACCTGCATCAGCAGGTGGTACGAGTGGAGGCCGATGCCGATGGCGCCGCCAACGAGGATGACGGACACAGCGAGGGTGCCGCACGTCTCGAACTTGGCGTAACCCCACGGGAAGCGGTCGTCGGGCGGCTTGCGCGATATGCGCCAAGTCGCGAGGGTGACGAAGTCCTGGAGTCAGTGGACGGGCGACGGTGGCACCGAGCATAGCCAGCCGTCGAGCACTCCGGCGTCATGAGGGCACTCACGCCGAGCAAGTCGCTCAGACTGTGTCCCGCTTCGGCGAGCAGCGATGCCGAGTTCATAAAGAAGCCCGCGGCACCCTTCGAGATAGTCAGCGCGACATTCGACCCAAGGCCTGGCGTCAGTGCGTCTGCCTTTGCGTGTCCCCTCACCCAGCAGAGTAATCTTCGTCCCGCGATCCATCTTGCCCGTCTTGAGCGCATTGATGATCTGCTCCGCGCCCTCTGAGTGGCTGTGGTCGTGCGCGTGGAACAGCCCGTGCGCGTGCTCGTCGTGCCCATGCGAGCTTTTCGCACCTGTCCCGCCCGTCGCGTGTGTATGTCCCGCAGCTTGTGTATGTCCTGCAGCATGGGTATGTCCAGCCTCGGCGTGGGTATGCCCTCCAGCGGCGGTGTGGGTGTGATCATGGGCTGCTTTTGACGGCGGGTGCTCGTGCCGCAGCCGCGCGCTCACAGCAAACCCGCGTACTGCCAGGCGCGATATTCCTGGTCGCGGGATTGATGGAGGGTGCGGTCGGAGGGCGCGGCGCGCGCACGCCGCGAATCGGAGCGACATGGCGGCCAGAGGTGAGGGAGGCCAGGAGGACGCGGAGGAAGACGGTGCGCCGCCTCAGAAGGAGCGGGAAGTGTGCGTGAAGGAGTGGAAGGAGAAGCGCGCCTGCGATAAGTTAGAGACTTAATGTCGAGATGAGATAATCCAGTCGGCGGTGAATCGGTGGCTCGGTGGAGGACTTTGAACAAACGATGGAGAATTAGGCACGGCCGATGTCTCGGTGTCGGCATCCCTCGGCCGGCCATGGGCGAACCGTGGCGCGCTCGGTCGCGCGACTCCTACCTCGACCGGACACGGTGTGGGAGCGTATAGCCAGACAGAAGGCTGGTGACTGTCAGTGTCGCTCCGATCACCAGCATGTATGATTGACGCCCGCCGACGCCGGGACGTTCCGCAAGATAAGCCCCCTCCACGCCAACCTCCGCAGCCACCTCCACCACCCTCACCGGGGCTCACTCTGGACCACTCCTGCGCCCACCACCGTGCAGTATTAAGTTCATAGTATCAGAGTGCGTGCAGCATCATTATGCAGCGAGAGTATGACAATTTGACAATGTGACCCCATCTATCCCCAAAGACCTTTCCGCCCGCGCCTACTCGATCTTGCTGAGGCTCTGCATCATCACGAGGTCGTAGTAGCGACCCTTGCGTGCGAGGAGCTGCGCGTGCGTGCCGATCTCGACCTCCTTGCCCTCAGAGATGAAGTAGATCATACTTGCTCCCTGGATAGTCGAGAGGCGGTGCGCGATCGCGACGACAGAGCGACCCTTGGACGCGTTGTCGAGAGCCTGCTGTACGACACGCTCGGATGTCGAGTCGAGCGCAGCAGTTGCCTCGTCCAGCAGGAGAACCTTGGGGTTGCGCACGAGGGCACGGGCGATGGCGATACGCTGCTTCTGCCCGCCAGACAGCTGGGACCCCTTGCCACCGACGTCGGTGTCAAAGCCATCCGGGAGAGACATGATGAAGTCGTAGATGTTGGCCTCCTTGCACGCCTTCACGATCTCCTCCTCGGTGACCTGGTCCATGGGCTTGGACGCGCCGAGCAGGATGTTGAAGCGAATCGTTCCAGCGTATAGTGTTGGCTCCTGCGACACGAGAGCAATGTGGGACCGGTAGCTCGCAACATTCAGCTCCCTGATGTCTACACCGTCGAACCTGACGGTGCCCGCCTGCGGGTCGTAGAAGCGCTCGATCATCTGCACCGAAGTGGACTTGCCGCAGCCAGATGGGCCAACCAGGGCAACGTAGCTGCCAGGGGGAACGTCGATGGTGAGATTGCGCAGGACACGAACACCAGGACGCGACGGGTAGCGGAAGTGGATATTCTCAAGACGCAGATGCCCCTGGACCTTCTCGGGGTCGAGCATGATGCCGTCCTTGGAGTCGGCGTCAATCTCGGCCTGGTTGTCGAGGAGGCGGAAGACGGAGCGCGAGGCCGAGCTGGCCGACGAGGCGTCCGGCACGAACATAAACACATTTCCGGCTTGGATAGCGGCGAAGAGCGTAGCCATGAGGGTGGTGAAGAACGTGGCTGTGTCGTACTTGCCGTCGATCATCCAAAGCGCACCGATGTAGAAGACAAGTGCAATGACAAGGAAAGCGATACCCTGCGACGCAGCGTAGAGGAGCTGCGAGTAGATGGCAGTGCGGTTGGAGATCTGGAACGGGACCTTGAGGGCCTCCGAGTAGATGCGGTCCACGTCGGCCTCGCGCGTAAGCGATGCCACAGTGCGGACAGCGCCAGCAGCCTCAGAAGCGAGTTGAGCACTAGCAGCGTTCCACTTCTTGTTCTTCTCCTCCTTGAGGACGACCACACGCAAGCGGATGTAGCCACTGGAGATGACGAGAGGAATACAGGCGATGCCGATAAGAGCAAGGAGCGGACCATAGCAAAGACCGATGATGCAACCACCGATAAGGGTGGCGAGCGACTGGATGATCGAGCCGAGGGTGACACCCATGAGTCCCTGCACCTTTTGAGGCTGATCCGAGAGGTTCGAGGTGACACCACCGGTCGAGTTCTCCTCCTCATCGAACCACTCGATGTCGTGGCGCAGGACGGCGCGGAACAAGCGCGTGCGGAGCAGACTGGCGAGCTCCCAGCCGCTTCTAGAGAAGCCCCAGATCTGGATAAAAATGAACATGGCGGCCAGGATCGCGACGATAAAATACCAGAGCGCGCGGTTGTCGAGCGCAGCTCGGAGCTCTCGGGGATCAGTAAGCTCGAAGTCGGAAATGGCCAGGCCGAAGAGAATGCCCATCGCGGGATAGACCATGCCAGAGCAGATAGCACCGATCAAACCCAGTGCGTACAGCTTCCACTGGTCGCGGTTGAGTTTGAGGAGACGGAAGAAAAGCTTCATGAAGGGAACCTTCCTGGCCGCTTTCTCCCCGTTCTCGCGGTCCAGACGGCGCTGCTCGAGAGCAGCGCTGGCGATAGAGCGACCGGTGATCTGGCGCGACAGCTTGCGAGTGGGGGGGTCGAAGTTGGTCCGCTCCTGGAAAGGCGAGTCAGGGCCCGCCGTGACCTCGTCCACGTCCTCTTCCTCGTCGTCCGAGACATCGTCACCGGCATCGTCGGCGGCCTTCTGCGACAGCTTCTGGTTCTGGACAAGAAGAGCGTATGCGCCATTCGGGCTGTCGAGCAGTTCATTGTGCGTACCCTGCTCAATGATCTCACCGCCACCCATGACGATGATGGTATCGGCGTCCTTGATGGTGGCGAGACGGTGGGCAATGACGATAGTAGTACGACCAACAGAAGCCTTGTCGAGAGCGTCCTGCACAACACGCTCGGAGAGACCGTCGAGGGCGGAGGTAGCCTCATCGAGAAGAAGAATACGCGGGTCAGAAACAATAGCGCGCGCGATTGCGACACGCTGCTTCTGACCACCAGAAAGGAGCATACCACGCTCGCCGACGATGGTGTCGTAGCCCTCGGGAAGCTTGGAGATGAAGCTGTCGGCGTTTGCGTTGATGCAAGCCTTCTTGACAAGCTCAAAGCGCACCTCGTCGGGGGCGTTCTCCCACTTGGAGCCAATGAGACCATGCTCGACGTTGCCACGGACGGTCGTAGCGAAGAGGACCGGCTCCTGCTGGACAAAGCCGATCTGCTGACGGAACCACTTGAGGTTGAGCTGTCTAATATCCACGCCGTCGAGGGTCACCCGGCCGTTGATGGGGTCGTAGAAGCGCTCGATGAGCTGAATGACAGTCGACTTGCCCGAGCCGGATGCACCGACGAGGGCCGAGGTCTTACCAGCCTGGAAAGTCGTAGTGAGGCCCTTGAGGATGGGGACGTTGGGGCGGGACGGGTAGTGGAACTGGACGTTGTCGAAGCCGATCTCACCAATGACGGTGTCAGGTTTGAGGCCGGCCGGGTCGTCCGGCTCAATAGCGGGGACGCGATCAATCGTCGCCCAGATCTTGGCGGCGGCCGACTGCGCCTTGCCCACAGCCTGCATCTCGGGGGCAAGCATGGCAATTGAGAATGAACCGATGAGAATCGACATGAAGACGTTGATGACGAGACCTCCGTCTGCTTCACCGTTGGCGATCAGGATGCCACCGTAGAAGAAGGCCAGGGCGTACGAAGAGTAGATGGCGAAGAACATAATGCACAGTCCAACACCCTCGATGAGCGAGCCCTTGATTCCCATGGCGCGGCTTTTGGCAATGAAGCCGTTGAACTTCTCGCCAAGGACATTCATGGTGCCAAACGCCTGCACAGTGCGAATAGACGAGATGATCTCCTCGGCAAGCGTGCCGCCCTTAGACACCCACTTGAGCGAGCCGGTGGTGTACTTTGTCGTCGCAATGCCCATGATTGCGCCCGTGACCATGATGACGGGCAGGATCGACGTCATGGCACCGGCAAGCTTAGCCTGGCGAGCATACGCCAGCGCGAAACCGGTGATGAACGTTGCGATGAAGGATGATGCGATGGGAATCTTCTCGCCGATACCAGTCTGCACGAGATTGCAGTCAGACATGATGCGGGTTGCAACCTCGCCGGCGCCAAGTTGGTCGAAGTAGGCAATCTGGGGTTAATATCCTGCGATCTCCGGTTGACTCACCTCCTGACGAAGGACGGCGTGGAGGTATTTCTCGCGAATACGTTTGTTCTGGCGCTCGCACGTCCAATTCCAGATGAGCATGTATACATACGTGCACAAGAAGAGACCGAGACCGATGGCCATGAGATAGAGGGCGTTGTTGCCTGCTTCCTTCTTGAGCGTCACCTTGGCCTGCGCCATTGCGGCGGCGTTCTCGGGTGTCAGGCCCTGCTCTTGAATGCGGCGGGCAACACGACCAAAGTCGTTGAACGCTGTGGTGAGTCGACCGAAGATGAGGGTCATGAGCGGCTGTGTTGCGCCGGCGGCGCACGCCAAGAACAGGCCGATAAAGTTGAGCGTGAGCTCGAGCGGGGTCGCGAAACGGAAAAGCTGTGGGATGCTGACGGGCTTGAGGTCATCGTCCTCTTCGCCCTTCTTCTTCTTTGCACCCTTGTCCTTCTTCTTGAAAAGGCCGCGCTTCTTCTTCGCAGCCGCCTTCTCGTCCTCGTCGCTGCTGGACGTCGAAGACGAGTCGTTGAGCACAGCAGGGACCATGCGATCAGCAGGGTCCTCGACAAGCGAGGCCTTGCTGGCGCCCTGCTCCCCATCTCCGACGCCCAGATACGCCTTCTCGTTAATGGTTCCATCAGACGAAGCGGGCGGGCCAGGCGCGGTGCGGTGTGCGGGAGTCATGTCGGGGCTCGATGGGGTGCGAGGTGGTGCTGAGGGCTGCTGCGGCAGGACGGCGGGTTGTACCAGTGGAATGGCGGGCTGCGCAGCTGGGAGGGGCTGCGCTGGTGTCATTGCAGCCGTTGGTGGAGCCTGATCGGGCTCATGGCCAGACATGGCTGGTGAAGACGTAGTGTGAATAGGCAAAGAGTAGATCAAAGACGGGCGGGATGCGAGATGGGTGAAAGCGTCCCGCGGTAAGTCGTGCGACTTGCGGAGAGGAAAGTAGTTGACTCGACTTGATGTGATCGAGTGGGCACCAAACAAGGCCCGGTGCCGAAATCACAGAAATCACTGGTGGGGCCGGAAGAGGCCGAGATCGAATGGAGTGGGATGGAGAGATGAAGAGAAAGATAGTGAGCGTGGGAGGGGGATGGGGTTTATAACCAGATAAGAAGAAGAAGACGACGGGTGAGATATAAAGAACAAGCACAAGCAAAGAGACGAAGAGACGAGAGCAATGCATGCGCACAGTCCAAGGTGCCCGCCAAGCTCCGCCACTCAGTCGGCGGCGCCCGGCGGCCATCTGGGCCCCAGGGCACCGCCGTCGCTCAAATTGGCCGTCCTCTTGGCCTCCTAGATCTGCTCCTCTTGTCTTTTGCATCTGCTCTTCAGCCGTTCAGCATGCCTCCGCCACGTATTGCAGCGCTCACGCCTGCTGCGGAGACGACGTTGTCGATCGTCGGAGTCGTTGTGCTCTAGGGGACACAGTGGCGCGCTCATTGATGCCGACAGGTGACGTGTTGGCGTGTCAACCGCGGCACCAATGGCACGCGACAGGCCACCTTGGCGTCTGGATCGTTTCGCACCCCTCGCGCTTCATCAAACTCGAAGCACCATCATCCGTCGGCATGTCGGCACTGCCGCTGCGTGACTGCACGATCTAGCACGATCTGCATGACTGGCTGCATCGTGCATGGCGCAGGCATCGGGAAGGATTTGAGGGCGCCATTGTCCCAGGGCTAACTCGGCATTCCCGTGTTAGTGAGATGCCGATCCCTGCCGCTCGGGTTTTCCAGACCCGTGTCCGTCGTTCAGATTACCTCAATATCCAACTCTAATGTCATTTAGGCATGTTGAGGCAGAGACACTGAATAAGCATTTGACAGCGCTGGCGGTGGGTAGCGGCATCTCCTCGTCATTAGGCACACCGTGTGCATGGTTCAGTCATCCCCAGGTGCCTGCGGACTTTTCGGGTGCGAAGGGTCCCGTCGCTTGCGAGATGCCAAGTGATGGTGTGTTTTGCGCTTCGGCAGATGGCGACCCGCATACGCCCGCCGCCGGCACCACTTTTGGAGAGGCGCTTGCGGGGCAGATGGCAGAGCTTGATTCAGCTATCCCGGAGAGAGATCACTTCCAGTCCCATGACAGTTTCCACTTGCATTGTCGGGATCTCCAAACTTGTCATGCCCTCCATGCGACGATCGTCACCAAGATGTCCATCTCTTGGCCTTGAAGGGGCCATATTACAAAAGACGTAAAATCGTTTTATCTACAAATCTCCATATCCTCTCCCGTTCCTCCGCTACCTGGAGTATGACACTCCAGCTTACCCCTCCTCTCCCCACGCGCAATTTAGGTGAACAGACCGCTGCCAACAGGAGCTCCGAACACCTCTCCCTTCGGAAGCTTGAGGCGCGGGCATCCGCCAGCCTCACAGCCAACACCCGTGACGTCGTTGCCCCACCACGCGATGGTGGCGTACGCGCCGTCCTTGGGGATGGCCGTGCCGAAGAAAATAACGAGCGCGGCGATGGCAATGCCGGCCGGGAACGACGCGGCAAGGACATAGTTGTACTTTGCCCAGAAGGCAGTGTAACGCTTGCGGATGAACTGGAAGGAGAAAACGGTGATGTACACGTTGCCGATGAAGTAGGACATGTTGAGAGGAGGACCCCAGTATGCGCCGCCGTTGAAGATCATGACCGGGTGGATCTGGCGCAGCCACTCGCTGCGGGGGAACTTCTTCCGCAGCGCCCAGTAGACGAGGACGGTGACGAGGCCGACGGGGAAGCCGAGAAGCATGAGCGTGTACCGCTTGCCAGGGCCGAAGAGGCGGGCTGGGCCGAGAGTGCCCCAGAATACAGCCGAGGTGAAGAAGGTGTTGGCGCCAGGGCAGCTCATGCCGAATTTGGCAGCCGAGGTGCACACGTCCTTGAAGCCAAGGATGTAGTTCTGGAGACCGGCACAGATGAAGCAGTAAATCGTTGTCGCCCACAGCTGCATGGCAAACGTGTGACGAGGGTTGATCTTCAGGTAGTGTGCGAGCTTGAGATCTGACGAGAAGGCAAGAGCTTGGTAACTGTCGGTCAGCGACGTGATGAGAGACAGCAGCCAAGTCAATTACTCACGCAGCAATGTAGCCGTAGGTCTTGAAGTAGATGAGCGAGTTGGCATTACCAGGCTTGATGGTGCCACCGATGAACTGGGCGAGGACATTGAGAGGAATGGGCATGCCGGTGATGGCCTGGATAAGACCGCACGGGACAATGACAATGAGAGGCATGAGGACACCAAAAAGGACAGTCGCGGGAGAGACCTCAGTGGGGTAGATGCCGAGGCCAATCATACCGCAAGCCATGGCGATCAGGAGGACGATGAGGTACTGCCACTCGGGAACCTCTGGGTAGGCACGCATGAGGCGCATGTGGACATCCTCAAAGAAGAGGTCATCCTCGTCATCCTCAGCCTGTGCTGCCTCGGCCTCGCGGTTCCTCTTGCGGAAGGGGTTGCGGAAGGTCTTCTTGAGACTCTTCCAGCCCATGACCATGTCGTGGCGGTGGTAGAGAATCACGTACATCAAAGCTATCGTTAGCACGAAAATGCGGCGGTTATAGGGTGTGGTAACTCACTCGCGGCGTACATGGCGAAGTACGTCATGAAGATGACAATGTATGCTGCGCCCATCCATGGCTCCGAATAGCTCTGGTACTTGGCGTTGTCAAACTTGCTGTGCTCGTCCAGAATCTTGGAAACATTGTAGCGTGTGCCCATATTGCTCCAGGTCTTGTTGGAGTTGATTGGGAGGTAGCCAGTGTTCCAAGCGTTCGAGTACCAGAGGGCAAGAGAAAGAATGGCGCCGAGAAGGACGCCAATGAACTGGTTCATGATAGTGAAAGTAGGGAGGGTGAGGGGAATGGTGCCATTGGCGTTGGGAACGTTCCAGTCGAAGGTGGGCCACGGGTTGAGGCCCATGCCACCCGCGAACGACGTGACAGCCGCCAGGTTGACGTTGTTGGGGGAAATCCAGGTCAGCCAGCTGAAGTACGACAGGGCCTGGAAAATGTAACCGGGGAACCAGAAGTAAACAAACATCATCGTAAAAGTGATGAGGAAGAACTTCTCTCGAGAGATGCGCCAAGTGCCGAAGGGGCCCCTGACCGGCTCGTTCTGCTCAGTGTGGAAGGAGCGGTTAAGTGCGATCTGGGCGAAGGCGGAAGGCCAGATTGCCACCGATGGGTAAACGAGGAAACGACGAGTCAGGCCCGCAAGACCATAACCGACAAATGTAAACCCGACAGTGTTACTGCGGTCAGCGACATCGTCAAACGTGGAAGCCATGATGGGGGCCACTTACAGGAACTGGTAGCCAAAGGAGCGGGCGAACTTCATGTTGAAGAAGAACGGCATAGCCTGGGTCGGGATAATGCTGTTGGTGTAGCCTGAGGAGAAGGAGACGTTCTGGTGGGTCAGCAATGTGGCATAGCAGGGCGTGGAATGCTGCCATGAGGAGGGGGCAATAACGCAAGGATTATTCAGGGGCGACGGAGATCAAATCAAGCTTAATGCTCCACCCTCCAATCCGCCGATCACCCCAAGCAGATCCTCGAATGTGGCACTCACCGCCATGATTGCAATCAGCATGTGCTCCTTGGAGTTGAAGCGACCAGGGTTGAAGCTCCACTCGTGTCCAAATGTGCGGAACTTCTTGGTGGGCATGACGCGAGCAAGGAATTTGCCGCATGGGTAGGCGATGAGCTGAGCAACATTGGCCGAGATGAAAACGGACGGAAGGCGGTTGGCGAAGAGCGTGTCAACGAACGAACCGAGACCGGACAGGAGAGTGCCAAGGAGAAGCACACGGAAGGTGAGCGAGGGCAGGGTAGGGTCGTCGGTGGGGTCGACGTTGGCGCGGACCTCGAGGTAGGGCGAGTTCTCAGTGGCCAGGACGGCCTCGAGCTTCATTTCCTTGAGCAGCTCATCGTAGCTGTGGACCTTGGCAAGCTCCTCTGTCTCGTGCTCTGGACGCTTGAGAAACTCCTCCATGCGGTCCAGGGCAGTGCGGGGGAAGTTCTGGTCGTGCCGGTGGATCTTGTACAACTTGGAGATAATCTGGCAGTCAGCAACAATTGCCTTCCATTGGGGCTGCGAATCGTGATGACGAGCCACTCACGTTGTGCGCCCGCTCGTTGGACATGGCGTTCGCCCGCTCCTCGAGCTCCTCGAGGTCCGCGCTCACGAGCTCGAGATCACTTGGGTTAGCGTTGGTGTTATCGGCGTGACCGATAAGACCCACTTCTTGGCGACATCATCCTCAGCAACGGGTGGGCCAACATAGGTGGTCGCGATGTTGGCGTTCTTCTCGTCCAACTTGTCGTCGTATGCCACAACGTCTGCGGGCTTCGACATGATGGAGGAGCCAAAGGGCAGAGTGATGGGAGAAGCGAAAAATCGATCTTCCCGGGCAGTCTTTATGCTCACTCGTGACCTCTATCTATTGTCTCAGTGGTATCACTCAGCCGTGTCAAGTCGCGGCTCCTCGTGGACCGCAGTGGCAGATGGTACGGTGCCTGAGCCCTGCCCATCACTCCGTACAAGAGCGGGATGGCACCATTCAGACGAGGCGTGAAACAGCCGCCTCCACGAAGTTGCATGCATACACGCTAGCATGCGGACTCAAGGGCTCGAGCTCGACAGCACCCTGCATTTGCGGAGGAGTGGGGGCTGGGTAGGCGATTGGCGTGCACAGTGGCACCTAACAAAGCATGGAGCCAAGGTCGGCAGCATGGTGCTCCGCAACCCAATACGCCGCTCATCCTCGGGGGCCGGCCCCACAGGCAGCCTGCATGACCTGGATAACCTGGAAGTCGCGCCGCTTATCCAGAGAACAGCCGTAATCACCGTTCCCGAGTCATCTGCACCACATGGGCCACCTTGCGGCGCACGCGGTCGCATGTGTCCAACCATCCTCAATTAGCATTGACCAAGGTGGGGGTGCCTCAATTCGTGCCTGGCCTGCACTATCTTGGGTGCTGGGCCGCCTTGGCCTCGGCGGAGATGCGTGCGCGTATATTTCCCTGTGCCACTCCCTCGGCGCTCTCACAGGCACCGTGGCACGTGGGGCCATCCGCACGCCAGTGCGCGCCATATCGGCGTGAGGCCGAATGACATCAACACCGCGGTTATCTTGCTCATGTCACTCAACCGGAGCGCGTAAGCATGAGCGTAAGAGCGGGTCGTTCCGCGCCAATCCCGCCAGCCGCCCACTCATGAACATTAGTTGTTCATGCTTAGGTCTTCGAGAGCTCGCGTGCTCGTGAGCGGTCATCTCCATCGATCCATCCCGATTATCCAGGTCTCTCCGAACAGTGGAGTGCCAGACGGCCGGGGTAAGTCCGCCGCCTAACCTTTCTCAGCCGAATACCGCGTTACTCGGCCGACGTACCTCGTTCCGAGACGGGAGCGCCAAGCTCTCGGAGCAAGCTGGGCGTGCCGCAGAGACGGCGCGCAGGGCATTTCTCCGCCGATCGACGCCTCGACACTTGCAGATCTCGCGTACCTCCGTGATGCTTTGCTCCGACCGACTGCATTGCGAACAGCTGACGCAAGAAGCCTGTCCACCTACCACGTCACGAGTCGCACAATACACAACGCACAAGCGAGCGGTGTGGAACGATCGCAGACAACCTTGGGCCTCGCGCACAGAGCGCTTACCGTGTCACCACAAGTGGCGAGCTCGACTCACGCCACGCTCATGCCGTGGGGCCGACACTGTGGCCCCCACGTCACAGGGCCGTCGTGCCTTCAGACCATGCGGGGCAACGGTGCATGATCCGGGCGGTGCCCACATGACAGTTGTTCTGGCCGTAATGTTGGTGGCAGTTGCGCTCACATGTCGCGGAGGCACCGACCTCCTTCGCCAGTGAAGCATACCCTGTGTCGATCGTCCCCGCGGGGACGCTGGGGCCTCCGGGGACTCGGGAAGGAGACCAATCTGAGACTGATGAGCTGATGAGCATTGAGGGATAGAGACGTCGAAGAGAGAGCGGTGGCCGGCTCGGCACTTGAGGGAGGCATGTGGTGCTCCTCAACGATGCTGGGGCTGTTGCTCACGTGCCGGGCAGCTCCACTTTGTTGAGCGCTCTGTAAGTTCTGAAAGCCGACCACTCAACGTTGTCGTCCTGCTGAGGAGACCGCGCCCGACAGATCACCACGCTTTGGTGCTACTGGAGGGATGAGAGGTGGGTTCGACAGTGCGGCTGTGTGCAACTTTCTTGGCTGCGTTAGCATTCTCTGCCAGATACGAATGGAAGTGTTGCACGCGCATCTGGGCATTGAACAAGGGCAGCCGGAGGGCGCATTGATGAACTCAATCGAGTGAGGCAGCCACCGAGCTGGCACCATCGGAAACGACCGACAGTGGGTAGCGACAGGATATACATCCTTCGGAATACCGCTCCTCCTGAGTACGGTACTGGAAGCTTGCGACCGACGAATTGTTGAGAAACCGATGAGCTGCCCCCAGCAGCCGCCATGCGCACAGTTACCCAAGTTTTGTCGACCTCTCCTCGCCCCTCTTCCATCCAACGCCCCCTCCTCCATCCAACATCCCTCCCCCCTCCCCCCAGCCGAAGGAGCTGGCCCCATTCCCGTCTAGTCGTCGATCTCGAGCACCTGCAGCACCTCGCCCATCTTGGTGTTGATCTCGCTGTGGCCTCCCAGCACCTCGCTGAGGTCCATGTCCTCGACGCCGGGCTGCTGCACCGGCCCGAGGCCCGCCACACATACGCCATTGTTGCCCGTCACGCCGCGCGAGACGACCTCATGCAACCGCACAATGGAGGCGAGCACAAAGTCGCTCCCGCACCACGCGTTGACTACGCGGCGGGCGGTCACTCTGCGCACCGCCGCCCACTCGGCTGTCGTGGGCGCGGAGGGGAGTGACACGAGGAACACCGAGTCGACAAGCTGCGGTGTCTCTTGCTCGGACAGGTAGAGGAGGGCGTGGAGGACAGTAAGTGCGCCGACGGACGTCCCGATCTGCGTCAGATCCGTCGAGAAGGGCACTCACGAGTGTCACGGGGCGCTCGCCCTGCACGCGCTGCACCAGCACCTCTCCAAGAAGGCGGCCGGCCTTGACGGCCTTCTGCGAGCTGGCGGACCACGAGTTATCGAGTGCGAGTGTCGAGAGCTTGTATACAGATCTGAGTCAGCTGAGGGATGTGCAAACGACTCACATTGGTAAAGCGATGGCGGCATAGTAAGCGCTTAGCACGGTACGCTTGACCACCTCCGTTGCGGCCATGCTCTTGACCCGAGTCATAACCCATGATTCGAGGTCGCGCCCGGTGGACAGCATGATCTCGGGCTCGTAGCGCAGGACGTAGACGTCACGCCCGTCCTTGAGGCCTGTGGTTGCGCCCTCCCCGCCCTCGGCCGCTGCCTCGATGGGCTTGCGCGGAGTAAACGGCAGCGCAGCCTCGCGAGAGCAAATAGCGCGCCACGCGCTGATCGCCTCCATTCTCGAAATGGTCAGAAGGCCGGGCACCACAATTGTGGCCGTTAGACTTGGCACCTTGTCCTTGAGCTCCGCGCGAATGTCGGGTGTGTCCGGCGGCGTCTGTGCGACCTCCTTCTTGTCCGTTCCGGCATCAAGTGACAGTTGCTGCAGCCTATTCTCCAGCTCGCGACGGCTACGCGCAACCTCCCGCCTCGCGGCAGCATCGTCGTCATCGGGGGCCTCGAAAAGCAGCTCTGACCCGACTTCCTCGCCCTTGCCCTCACGCGCCTTCATGTCCTCGATCTCGTCCCTAGTCGGCTTGCTGTTGGCACCCACCTCGACGAAACTGAACTCATCGACACCGCGCCAGCGCTGTGATACTCTCCGGCTCGCCAAACCGCCGCCGGTCAGACCAAACAGCGTTCCAAGAACGACGGGCGCGGCAATTCCGGAGAGCGCGGCGCCAAGACCAAGCGGAGCTAGCAGGGCAACGATCGCTGGAGCAGCTAGCCCTCCAGTGACTCCGAGAAGAACACCGCCTGCGATGAACCCTCCTGCCGTTGCTGCTGTCAGATCGACCTTCGGAGACTAGCGCACCTAACCGACGCCCGAGAGCGCCGCCCCACCCGTCCTTTTGCTTCTTGCGCGCCTCGTCGATAGCATCATCGTTCGCCACTGCCGCCAGCATGGTGGCCAGCGCGACCTCTGCTCGAGGAAGGAGCACGCCAGCATCCAAACCAAGGAGCTCGAGGGTGCTGTGCGCCGCGGCACGCGCAACAGGCGTGTACGCGACCTTGGGCTTTTCCTTCTCACGCTCCTGCGGCGCCAGGGCGGCCTGCACGAGCGCGCGCGCCATCGCGTCCTGCTCCTCGATGCTCCAGCTGTCCCTTTCCGTCGCAACTTGCGCGACATCCTCTGGCGGCACGTCGGCGGGGAGCGCCTCGCGTTCTAGTTCCAGCAACTTGAGCAGTGCAGCGAGCCATGGCGCAGCATCCCACGCAACACCTGGTGGGGGACGGTTCACGGCGCACACAGCCGCCAGGGCCGTGATGAAGACATGAGCCCGGGGTAGGTGCAGCTGTTGCTCTGGGGCTTTTGGAGGTGGTGGAGACATGGCGGATAGCGTAAGCTTGAGTACGCGATGATGGAGTGGTGGATCGCGCGTCGTGAAGCGGTCATGGCTGATACCGGTTGAGACTATTGAAATTTCAGGCACGGGTGCGGCATGACGTCAAATTTAATATCCGCGACAACGAGTATATCCAGGCAGGCGGTGCACAGCCACCGTAAACGAGGTGGGGACCATGTCATTCTCTTGGCAAAAGCTGGAGAGGCTTTTCTCGTCGCTGTGGATGCATCTCGAGGCGGTGCAAACAGATGTTGGCTTGGGGATGATCGTCGATCAGTAGTAGCAGCCTTGAATTGGGCACACGCGACGGGATGGATCCAATTGAACGCGCGTCAAGGACTCAATTTGCCACTTAGTTGGATGAATCCGGTGCAAGCTGGCTGGCAGGCGACCTTCCCTGCGGCAACGGCCGACACCACTCGAACCACCAACCATCATCATCATCCATCTCTCATCCACAAACATCCCCTTTTTCCATCCTCTCTTCTTTCTCTCCACATTCCGTCCCAGCCTCTCTAGTCCATCGCCACCGACGTCCCCCGCAAACAGCGCCCACTCAACGCCTTGCCTGCATCTTCGGCCACATACGCGCATACAGGGTAGCGCACCCCGGGGTGGCGAACACCACCACCACATCATGGCCCTCGGGACGCCGTCGCGCGGCACGCGCCGCGCAACAACACGAAGACCCAAGCCGGCCGGTGCAGCAGCATGGGTGATCATCGGCGCAACAGTGCTCCTTTGCTTCTTCGCTGCTCCCCGGTTACGTGAGTCGCCCGTTGCGTACAGCTCGCGGATCGCCAAGCGCGCGCTCTCATTAGAGGAAGGTGGTGGCGAACATGGCGACAGTGGCGGGTCACTCCTCCATATCCCCTACGAGGAGATGTTTGCCGCCACTCCGCCGGCACTGAGGCCGCTATGTCTTGCGTTCTTCATCCTCGTCCTCCTTTTTCTCTTCTGCTCGATCTCGATCACCGCATCCGACTTCTTTTGCCCAAACCTCGCCAGCATGGCCGCCTACCTGGGTCTAAGCGAGACCACTGCCGGTGTGACGCTTCTCGCGTTCGGCAACGGGTCGCCGGACGTGTTCAGCACATTTGTCGCCATGCGGGAGGGCACATTTGGTCTTGCCGCCGGCGAGCTAATCGGAGCCGCGAGCTTCATCACCTCCATCGTCGTAGGCAGCATCGCCCTCGTCAAGCCTTTCCAGGTCCCGCGCTACGCGTTTCTTCGCGACGTCTCATTCTTCATGGGTGCGGTTTTGTTGTTCATGTGGGCCCTCGCCGATGGCCACCTGACCCTTCGCGAGAGCGGCGCCATGATCAGCCTTTACGCTCTTTACGTCGTCGTTGTCGTTACCGGTAACTGGTGGCAGCAACGCCGGCGGCGCAAGGAGGAATACGCGCAGCTTGGGTGGAAGACGGCCCCACGGGACGAGGAGGAGGCCGCACCGCCAGTTGAGCATGCCGACGCCCAGCTCATCCCTCCCCCCGCATCGCCCACTCTCGCCCCACCGCCCTTCTCAGCGGGACGGTTTGGACGCCGCGCGAGTAGCGCTTCTTTACATCTAGCTACCCATGATTTGCCTGACGTTCACCCGTTGGCGCAGTCTGCGCATCTGGTCGACACTGGCAGCGACACTCCGCGTGCTGGCTTCTCCTTGCTCGGCGCCGTTGAGTTCCGCGACGTCATCAACTCGCTCAAGCAGAGCGGTGACCTGCCATCACCCGGCAGTTCACGGCACCCGTCTCGCCCCTCGACGCCCCTGCGATCGCCCATGCACGATTCGGCCGATTCTGACTACTTCCACTCACATCGCACGAAGCATCACCGACATTCGTCCGTTCAGGGCCTGGCAGCGGTCGAGCGCAGAGTATCAATCACTCGGTCCCGCAGCGCGTCGCTCCATCCAGCGTGGAGCGGCAAGTCGACGCGCCAGTCAACTCTCGAAGATGCATCGGTTCTTTCGCCTGTCTCCAGCTCGCCTCCGCAGCCGACAAGCGACCCGGAGGTCGAGCACATTCCTCTGTCGGCGTCTCCTCGGAACAAGAACAAGTTGACCCTGGACATTCCGCCGCAGGGGGTGAATACCGTTGTGGCCTCTGCGTCCCCTCAATCGACCGCTGCGACTCTCACACCTCGGGCATTGGCCCCAGTGAGCGGGCTTACCACGCCCATCAACAACGTTCCCCAGATCGCTTTGCAGAACGAGGACGGTGTGGAGGAGACGCCTATGATGCCTCTCTCGCGGAGCCAAACGGTCGAGCTCGTGGCACGGCGGTCGCTGAACAAGGTGCGCATCGTCTTGCACACACTTTTCCCTTCGCTGCAGGGCTTCAAGCATAAGTCTATCCTTGGCATGGGTCTGGCTGTGCTTTCTGTCCCCGCGATCTTTATCCTCACCCTCACTCTGCCAGTGATCGACGACGGTCGATCAGACGAGGGCGGTGTAGTGCTACCCGGAACTGAAGACGAGCCGCTGGATGACGCGACGCGCGAAAACGAAGAACGCCAGCACATGTACCCGGACATCAGTGGCGAGCTACACCACCTCACGCATGATGGGTACCCGCACCGACCAAGGAGCGAAGATGGCGACACTGAGTCTTCATGCTCGGCCTGCTCTGAAGAGGACGACTGCATGGTGTTCAATCCGATCCTTACAGCGGCGCAGTGCATAATTGGCCCAGTCGTTTGCTCTTACCTCGTCTTCCGTGAGTGCCGCTCGTGGAACTAGTGCTGACAAGCAGAGGACGAGCCTTACCTGCTCTGGGTGCTCTTAGGAGCAGGGTTCGCCGGCTCCCTTGTGGCGGCCGCTGTCCTCAAGTTTGCGACAGACGGATCCGCGCAGCCATGGCGTCTTATCCGATGTTGCTGCGGGTTTATCTGCAGCATGGTGTGGATCGGTGCCATCGCGGACGAAGTGGTTGCAATTCTTTCTACTTTTGGCGAGATTTTCGGGCTCAGCGACGCGATCATCGGTCTTACGAGTGAGTTGACGCTGCCAGCTTCGCTAACCTTCAGTCTTCGCCATCGGCAACTCGCTGGCCGACCTCGTGGCCAACGTAACGATTGCGCAGTTCTCGCCCAACATGGCATACGCGGCATGCTTTGGCGGTCCAATGCTCAATCTTCTTCTTGGCGTGGGCGCGGGTGGATCATACTCGATCCTGTGGAGTCGGAGCCATACACCAGTTGTGCTCGATTTCAGCCCCACTCTTTGGGTTAGTGCGGTCGGCCTCGTGCTCGTGCTCGCGACTACAGCCGTCGTCGTGCCGCTCAACGCGTACCGCATTGACAGGCGGTGGGCATTGTGCCTGCTTGTCGCGTACGCCACGCTCATGACGGTGAACGTGGTCGTCGAAATTCGATCTGAGCGTCGAGGTGGGAAAGGGATATATTAGAAGTGTCTCAGGATAGAAGGGTTTTTGCAGGGTAGTACTCTAGAGGGTTGGCATACATGAGCCATGCAATGTATTACAGTGAAGTGTCGTCTGCTCTCTCTCTTCCACAGGTAGGTCTGTCTCCTCGCCTCAAACAACCAAGTCTCTTGTCTACTCGCCGTCCACCGGCGGGCGCGCAGTGGGCATGATGCGCCCCGCGGGCGTGTATCCGCCAGCGCCAAGCCCGCGCAACCCGCCATGCTGATGCGGCGCCTCCCACATATCGGCTCCGCCAGCGACAATGTACTCCTCGCCCCACTCGGGCACCTCAGTTTCGGCCGTGTCCGTGTCCTCCACTTCGACGCGTACGCCGCCCCCGTCGATGATAACTTCGGGCCCCGTGCCACGGTCTCGCCCCTTGGCCTGCAGCTGGAGCGACTCGAGGGCGCGCTTGAGGTCGTCGGCGAGGGGCGCCATATTGGGCCCATCCTCAGCGATGGGCTCCCACCCCTCAGGTGGCGAGCCGGGTGGCGAGATGAGGAAGTTTCTCTCGTGTTCTGGCGGGCGGAGGTGGTCGGTCTCGGAGTCGAGGGGGGTGGGAGGGAGGGAGTAAACGCGGAGAATGTAGCTGGTGTTAGCGGACACACAAGTGTAGAGCGTGAAGGCGGGATTAGGAAGGAAGGAAGGTGGCCGGCCACCAACGGCAGCCTACAGCCAGTCGGCCAACTCACCCTTTGTGTTGTTTACTCGAGCGGGACGACTTGCGCGAGTGGCTGAAATACCCGTCGTCCTTTTCTCCACTTGGCGGCTCGCGCACTTCTGGAGCCACCCTCTCCTTCTCCTTGTCTTTCTCTACGATGTCGACGTCGACGAGCGCAACGTCGAGCTTGAGCCCGTCCGCCCCGCGCTTGGCAGCTGCGGCGTCCTCGTCGAGCGTGTACACAGCGATGATGCGGCCCATGGCACGCACGGGGGCCCAGTGAGCGAGCGTTCCGTACGCGCCGAAGGCATCGCGCAGAATCTGGAGGGACGCAGGGGCGAAGAAGGCCTGGTGCGGAAGTAGAATGGCGAGTGTGTTCGTTTCGGGCTCGGGGTCGTGTGAGAGCTGTGGGAGGTCGAGGTGGCTTGGGGGCATGGCGCGCGTGGAAGACGGGTGTGAGGGGGGTTGGCCGAGTGGGGACGCGGGGCCGGCGTCGTGTGGTGCGTGTGGTGGCGCTGATGGGGCGGACATGATGCGAATGTGCAAGAGACCAAAAGCCAGAAGATCAAGTTGAGAATGATGACGCGGCGAGAGATGGGTGGCCATGGGTGGACAGACAAGGTGGAGGCACGTGGCTCGAGGCACGTGACTCGAGGCACGTGGAGGGCCGCGCCGCGAGGACGGGTCGGATGCGAGGGATGGCTGAGAGCCGAGAATTGAAAATGAAACCCCACTCTGGTCGACCTTCCCCGCACTGTCGCCCCTCACTGGCTGACGAGAAGACAGCACGCAACGAGCCAGGCAGCCCGGCGACACACATCCATCCACCCCAGCCAGCCCACCATCCACCAACAACTCTCGCTCTCGCTCGCTCGCACTCTCCTTCATCTCCTCTGATCCTCTGGGTCTCCTTCATAAACTCTCTCTTTCTCTCTCCTCTCTTTCCTCTCCTCCCTCCGCCTATTCTCACTCCCCACACCATGACAAAGACCGCTCTCTTCATCGTCGACGTCCAGGGCGACTTCCTGCCCCCCGACGGCTCCCTCATGGTCCCCGCCGGCCTCCTCGTCAAGCCCGCCATCATCTCCCTCCTCACCGACCCAAAGTACAAGTGGGACTATGTCGTTGCCTCCCAGGTATGCTCTCTCCCATCCTCCCCCATACTCACGCCAGGACTACCACCCCCCCGGCCACATCTCTTTCGCCTCGAGCCATCCCGGCCACAGAGTCTACTCGGACATTGAGCTCAAGGACGGCCGCGGGATCCTGTACGAGCAGAAGCTCTGGCCCGACCACTGCGTCCAGGGCACCAAGGGGTGTGAGATTGCGCCCGACCTCGCTGCCAAGATTGCCGAGCGCGGTGACACTGCCAAGCTCGTCCGCAAGGTGAGTTGTGCATTTCCTATCGCGATCGCCGCTACCGCTGTTGTTGGTCGCTAGCGTTCATTGGCGCCACTGGGTGGCGGGCGGGGCCCATTGGCTACAGCCTGAGGGAAAGTTACCTCTCCGCTCCTTGCAGCCAATTAACCGCCGCCGGCCCCAATCTCCATCCAGTCGGGTTGCTCTTGATCTGACCCCAGGGCTGGCACAAGGACGTCGAGGCGTACAGCGCGTTCGACGGCTACCTGACCGACTTCAGCAACCCGGCCGACCCGCCCAGTGAGATCGACCCGCAGCCGGCGCGCAAGATCGTCCAGTGGCTGCGCGACCAGGGGGTGACCAAGGTCGTCGTTGCGGGCCTCGCCGCAGAACTCTGGTGAGTATTACCCGACCTTCCCCCGCTGACACCAGTGTTGCGCACACCGCACTCTCGGCTGTCGCGTCCCGCTTCCAAACCGCGATCCTGCAGCCCGCGACGCGCGCGATCGAGGAGCGCGACGCCGAGGAGCAGTGGGACAAGCTTTGTGCCGTCGGCGCACGCATCATCGGGCGCGCTAACCGCCCCCGCACCCTGCGGTGGGAGGACGAGCTCGACCAGTGGCTCGCCGCCGAAAAGGCCGGCGCCTGGCCCGAGTGGAAGAACAAGAACAACGGCACCGCCTGAGTTCTACCCCTGGGGTTGTACTAGTACGCGCGATGCAGAACCTGCGAGCTTGCTCTGGCGCAACAGCTGCCAACAGATGCAAGATTGCACAGGGAGGGCGTGCGGGATCGCGGTCTCCACCGTAATTGACGCTGATCCCCCGCCTCCACCTTTGCCCACCCCCACTTCTGAACAGCCCGAATTTTCGAATGCCGGCGCTTCGCGCTCCGCGCTCCGCGCTCCTTGGAAATCGTCGCTCCGGTGTCAGCGGGCTTTGCCTCATGTTCATATTGACCACATAAGCCCTCACGGGCCGATGGCTGACGCGCTGACCGGCGCATCTGCACTCGATACCGCACCAAAGCAGGTTTCCCGTGCGGCCGACAGAGCTCGCACCGCGCAAATGAGCAGCTGATCCGGGTCTTGGCGATCGCGCACAGGCCAGGTATGCAGACATGACCTCTACTGCGCGCCCGGGGTGGGGTGAGCGGGTGCGAGTGCGAGTGCTGCTGATCTGCTGACTCCGCGCAGGCGCCTCCATCGTGAGCGCCGTGCACAATCGCTTGCGCGGGTTCCGCTTGCTAGCAAGAACGCACGGATGCATGCATGGTGTTACAGTGTCAAGAAGGCCCCTCGCTGCTCTCGTCTCCTAACCCCAATCCCTACTCCAGGAGGAAGCGCCACAGCGCATCCTTGTCCTTGTAGTCGTGGTGGATGAGGCTCACGAGCCACCACTCGTCCGCGACGCCGTCGAGGTATGACCGCGCCGGCGAGCCGCGGGGATACAGCCGCGCCCACTCCTGCCAGATCTCGAACGCCTCCTCCTTCCAAGCAAGGAACGATATCTCCTCGATGATCGTCGACTGCTGGATCTCTTGGCCGGGGAACACGCCCCACGTGACGGCGTTCACGGCGTCCTTTTGCGTGTTCGTCGCGTAGTCGCCCCTGCGGTTTGCCGCGTACATGCTGATCAGGCTCTGCGTGGGGCTGCCGTCGGCGCCCTCGGCTGACATCGACACGAGCTTGGCCTCCAAGCGCTGCACTTCGGAGAGGGGGACGAAGAACTCGACAAATGCTTTCTGGAAGACGTACCCGCCCACGGGACCCCAGCCATGCATGGGATCCGCCGAGCTTGCGGCGTCCACCGCCGGCTGCGAGCCGACGGTCCAGTACGCCTTGTCGGCGCTGTTGAGGGCAAGGAGGTGCGGAAGGATGAGCGACGACTCGGGAGAGAGCGGCATGTCGCAGAAGGGAGTGGTGGGTGTCCTCTCGTCCCCGCGGAGGTAAGCCTGGAATACGGTGGCGAGGTCCGCCGCGCTCGTCGGTGTGCCCCACTCGCGCAGCGCTTGTGTGGGCGTGATCTTCAGCCCAGACCCCCAGCCGTCGATCTCTCCGTATGCTGGTGACCGCACGTCTGTGAATCGTCCGTTCGGGAACTCGTCCCACGGATCTTCACCCACGCCGGGGATTACACCTGGGATAGGTGGAAGTTTGGTGGGACTAGTGGCGGCGGCGGCGGCGCGGCTCAAGCTCCATTGCGCAAGCTGCGTTGCGTCAGACGCGCGGATGGAGATGGGCTGCCCCTCAACGGTGGGGAGCGCCTCATCGCTGATAAGCTGGTTGTGGCGCGCGCGAGGAGAGCCATGTACAGGGTGTGCGTGGTCCAGAGTCCACTCCACGTTCTCGAGTATCGTCCTGACAGAGCGCTCCAGGTTGAGAGTGCAGAAGTGCACGCCTGGTACGAGCCGGGACTCGATGAGCTCCTTGACGAGGTCTGTCGCTAGTTGCGCGCCGTACTGCTTCACGGCTGCGTCGTTGGACTAATGTCAACGCCGTCCAACTCGCTAGTTAAATGCTGCCAGACGCAACCCTTCTGTCATACCTTGATCGGGTCAAGATCCCGCAGTATCTTCTCCGGTACAACGCATTTCGTGAGGTTGATGAGGCGACGGAACGACGAGTAGCTCTGAATTGGCATGACACCGGGGATGATGGGCTGAGTAACGCCTGCCATTAGCACCATCCTCGGTAAAGCCCAGCAAGTGTTCCTTCTTGCACTCACCGGCAGCGCGGCAAGCCGCGACCCAGGCCTCGAACTGGCCAAAGTCGTAGAACAACTGAGTGATGATGTAATCCGCGCCAGCATCACACTTGTTCTTGAGCCAGTGCATGTCGGCGGCGGCACTCTCAGCGTCGGGGTGCGGGGTTGGATATCCGGCCACGCCGATGCAGAAGAAGTCGCCGTGCTTGTCACGGATATACCGGACGAGGTCGTCGGCATGGTTGAACTCGTCAATCGTCTGGCTAGACTCAGCCTCGGCGTACTCGTCGGGACGGGGTGCATCGCCACGCAGCGCAAGAACATTCGTAATACCGAGCGAGCGAGCGCGCTACCATCAGCACTACAACTTGCTCGCCGTTGACTCACCTCGAGCGCAGTGTCCACCTTGACTTTCGGCATGTTTGTGCATGTGAGATGGAGAATGACCTCCATGCCCATCGCCACGATTGCCTCAGCCAGTTCAAGGGAGCGCTCAGCGGTGCTCCCGCCAGCGCCCCATGTCACCGAGACAGCGAGAGGCGCATTTAGTGGCGGGGAGGAGAGACGCTGGATGCGGTCAAGAAGATTCGCCATGCCAGGAGCTGTGCGAGGCGGAAAGAACTCGAAGGTATGGAAGGGGACCTTGCGGTCCGCCATGATGGCGGTAAGGTGCGGCATAACTGCTTAGCTCTCCGCGCGATGGTGTGTAGTGAACAAAGGTGGAGCTGAGGAGGATGGATAGAGGAGATCTTGTGAGGAGCATGAAGGTCACTAACTCGGGAAGGCTGTAAGCGGAAGCAAAATACCTATGCTGGGGGGACTGAAGAGTCGCGAGACAGACATGCATGAGCATTAGTCACATTGGCATGCAGCATACCAAGCGGTAGTTGATCGCATAGTTGCCGTTAGTCCGCATGTACTTCCAGAGTACTGGGCGCTGGGGGTGAGTAGCGGAGCTAAGAGGAGGGTGGAGGGTGGAGGAGGGGGGGTGGTACTCGTTCCAGCATGCCCAAAGTCGCTGTCTTACCTGCCGCCCCACTCCTCATCACACCATAAGCTGCCCCACTCTGTTGTGCGGGCCCTATCATTCGCTGACTTCTGTTTCCTCAATATCCGTTCCAAAACATCACATTGGAAACTCGAGGGATAAGGCCTTAAGGCAGCGGCTATAGATCTGGCAATTTCATAACATCGAAAAAAGGGTGACTCGCGTTGCACGAGATCTAAAGCAAAATATCAAAAGTGGGGCAGCTGCATTTTCTGACTGCGCACGTGACTGCGCAAGCCCTCCTGTAGTAATGAACCTCCACCTCTTGTTGACACTGAAATGCCATTATCGCTCATACTTCACGTTCTTCTCAACTCACCTCAATTTTCTGTGCTCATACTGTCTTAAGTCCTTTGCAACCCTCGGTGCGGTCTGGTCTGCTTGTTATCGCAATGGCGGTCCCGGCTGAGTCCCGCCGCAGCCTCAGCCCCGCCGCCCGACTACCAACCTGGGCGCACCGTGCGCGTCAGCTCGTGCCGCCGGTAGTGGCCGCCTTCTTGAGCTTTATCTGCATCGCAGTGCCCGCGCTCAACCATCTCACAGGCGAGTGAGTACCTTCGGCTATCCCAGTTGTGCTGATGCAAGCTATGCGTTCCTCGTCAACACGTCTCTCATCCTATTCTACTTTCCCAAGGGTCGTATTAGCACCATCCTGGAGAACAACTGTGAGCGACCACCAGTGTTTCCCTGACGCAAGCCATTGCACTGCTTGGCGCTGTCGGCGGGTTGGGATGGACCAGCGCCGTGCTCGCGGTCGCGGCGTGGTGCGGCGCGCACTTTGAGGCAGACGCGGGCCAGGCACGCGCAGTCCTCGCGACGGGACTCGCCTTCCTCAGCCTTATCTGCGGCTGTCTCCGCTCGTACGCGCCGCGGCTTAATGTTGCTTGTCGCGCCGCTCTGTTCTATCCCATATTCGAACTCACCTCGGCACAGCTCATCACTCGCGTATGTTGCTCGGCGTTCTCTGCTTACAGCAGATGGATAAGTGGCTGTTTCTGCATCAGTTCTTCGTTACTGTCTTCGCTTACACCGCTGCAACGGTGTGCGGCGTCGTCTTGGCCGAGCACTCCTCGGCCCCAAAGCTGGGGGAGCACATCGTTGCAAGTGTGCGTACAACATGCGAGCTCATCCCGACGTCCTTGTCCACCATCCTTGAACCTCATGCGGAGCACCCCGCAGAGCACACAGGGTGGACCATTGAATTTCCGCTGCCGACCTCAATGTCGGAGAAAGCAGTTGAGGAGCAGCAGCCCGGCCGCTCGCGACAGCAACATCTCGCGGGTGACCTCCGAACTCAGGTTGGTGCCATGCGCATGACATTCAGATCATACTCCCTCGACATTGTGCATGCCCGGCGTCCGCCCAGCGCGCTTGGACCTATAATCAAAGTGTTTGAGAGACTCCAGCGTAACCCTCTCCTCATGCCCACTGGACACGTGCCCGGCGAGCGGATAAGAACCGCCCTCGAGCGTGCGTATGCGACGCCTCTTTCCCCGGCCGTGTCTCGTGCGTCGCGCAGTTCCAGCCGCATAGGTACACCGCGACGGTTGGCCAGCGCCACGTATGACCCAGACCCGTCGACGCCCACTACTCCTACCGCAAGCATTTTCAGATCAACCTCTCCTGCTGGCACGCCTACAGCGAGCGTATTCAACTCTGCCTCAAGCATGCGAAGCTTTCACCTCCACCCACCACCACTTCCTCGCGAGACCGCCGCAGCTCATTTGGCACGCGAGCTGACCAAGGTTGCTACTCACACCCACGGCGGAAGCCGGATACCGAGCGGAAGCCATCACGAGCATTCAGCTCGGAGCAAGCTCACCTCCACATGCGGGCGACTCAGCAATGCTATCATCGCTGCACTTCAGGCTGCTATCGTTCTATTGATCGAGGCGTGTGAGTGGCACAGGCTAGCACCAACTCCGCGCCCAGACGTAGACGCCAAGGAGCTCCTTTCTCAGCTCGATGTCGCACTTGATGAGCTACAGAAGCGCCTTACTGGCATCCTCGACGGTGCCGAGGAGCCGATGAGTCCCGCAGCCGAACGCGTGGTGTTTCAGGACGAGATGACAAGCGACTGGCTCGACGACGAAGATAGGTTTCGGATTGCGTTCTTCATGATCGCGCTCCTTGACCTTGCTCGCGACACGCGGCTGCTGTTACATACTGCCGCGAGGCTGCAAGATGAGCGCCTGCCGAAGCGCTGGTTCCTGCCTGCCCTAAACTGGCCGTGGTTGCCCTTACCAGACGATTCCCAGCTACCCTCCATCGACAGAGAAGTGCCGACAGGGACAGATGATCCAGAATTCCGGTACAAGAACTGCGAGGACGTCGACTTCGTGCACACATTGTTGCGCGAGTCGCGGGAGACGAGCAAGTCGCGCCCCCGCATGGCTGCAGCGCGGACCCTCGGAGAGCGTGCCACCGCCGCGTGGCGCTCCATTTGGGACCGCAGCGGCGTAGTGCTAGCCCGGGTTCTTCTCTCACAGGGCTTCCACACGCTCAAACACTCGCGCCATGTCCATTTCGCTCTCAAGCAAACTGTGGGCATCAGCCTGCTCTCTCTTCCTGCGTTCTTGCCCCTTAGAAACGGCGGACGTGCCTGGTATGACTCAACGCACGGAGCGTGGATGGTCGTCTCCTTCATGTATGTACTTGAAGTAACCACGGGTGCGACGTTACTTGTCGGCTTTTATCGCATGTGTGGGACATTCATCGGCGCCGTCTTAGGATATATTGTGAGTTGAAATAGAGCAGCAGCTGACGGCAGTTCACGAAGATTGCGGGCGCCAACCCTTATGGCCTTGTGGTGCTATGTACGGCGGCATCGGTGCCAATTGCCTACGGTATATTGTTCACTCATGTCGCACCCATGGCCATGGTGACGTGAGTCAACTGGGCTGCAATGCAAACTGACATGCAGTGGCATTACCCTCCCACCCATCGTCTTCCTCCAGTATCTCGGCCTGACAGAGGGAAAGAGCCAGATCCACATTGCATGGGAGCGCTTCGTTGAGATTGTCATCGGCATCGCCGCAGCTGTCATCATTGGCATGTGGCTTTGGCCCATTCACGCCCGTGTGCAGTACTTCTCGGCTGTCGCGGACACGATGGACCAAATCACCGAGTACTGTAAGCTTAGCGCGTCTGCCAGAGCTAAGACAGACCTCCGGATGTCGCGTGACCTTCTCCGTCCGTCATTGGTCTACCAAGCGAACAACAAGCAATACCCCGTTCTCGAGTCGGCGGTGCGTAGACATTTGACGCGATCTCGCCTCTTGGTGGACATTCAGACACGAGAGATTTCGCTTCTTCCTCGCCCCATCAAATTGTACTTAGAGGTGATTGACCTCGCCGAGCGCCTGATCGAAACCTTCACCGAGGTACGCACCCTCCGCTTCAGCCTCCCTCGGCAGGAGACGGTGCTCGATGTCCTGCCAATCCGACGTGAGCTGGTCTCCGCCATCCTTATTAATCTTTGGGCCTGCGGGCAAGCGTTCCGCTCCCGTAGCCCTCTTCCGCAGCTTCTCCCGTCGCCGCGCGTCCCTCTGGGTGAAGTGATGGACGCCACAGACAGCCACGCGCAGGATGTGCGCGGTATTCGGGCACGCGCAAACCTCCGTCGGCGCAGGCGGAGGGAGGGGCCGGACGAGGCCCCAGAGACTGGGCATGACGAGATCGCTGTGCTGTATGGCATGGCGGAGAACGAGGCGCTTGGCGAGGTCATCCTAACCATCGAGGAGGTGAGTCGCATCCGGAAGATATGGTCGAACTAACTTCCAGCTACTCGCCGCGGCGCGCACACTCTTTGGCACACAAAGCTTCCTCGACACGGCCGACCTTCACCAATTATAATCGACTGTACCATCTACACTGTACCTCTAGATTATCAACAATCAGCAACAAGCAACACCACCAGCCCACTCAGCGGCATCAACACTCAACAACACCAATAATATTCTTGACCTGGGTAAGAAGGCCAGGGCATGTATTGAGCTCCTGTGTGGAATGCGGAAGTCACCCTGCACGCAGCGCGCTTCCATCTTTCGTCACATCTGCGGACACAAGGGGAGGCATTCTGAGACATGCAGAATGACGTGATTGTTTTGCGGCCATCACACGGGTTGTCGTTGAGCGCTCAAGGCCGAGAATAGCCCTTGGCCGCAGGAGTTGCGCCCAAATTACCTCCCCGCGGCGCTTTCCCCGCGTGGTCGTCGGCGGCGTGGAGAGGTTTGCTTGCCGCGGTTCTGAAACTCCAACGCCGACTGCCCACCTGGCGTGGCTGCCGCCGGTGAGCAGAGTACCATTTCTCACCCCGTATGCTGGTCCGCGATCGACAATACACTATCTCCTGGCCCATTGAGAGCGAAGCGGGTATTCGTCCAGTTGCACAAGCCCGTACTTCTGAGCGATACGGATACGGTGTTCATGTTTCAACTTCCCGAATGAGATCTGAGACCTTCCCCGCCCGCCCTCACGCCCGACAACGCCCTCGACGGGATATGGCCGTGCCACTCGTGGTTCCCACTCCCACGGTGTCCAGTGTCAGCCTGCGACCTGTGAACGTCCCCAGAATTGTGGAATGAGACGGGGGAGACGAACAAATCGAGCACTGATCAACCCGACCCTGATCTTCTCGCTTCATGTTTATCCATTCCCGTGGACAATAGCGATGGAGTCGAGGGCGCTTGGAGCAAGCAAAATGCATCGCCCTCCACTAGACATCCTCTCGTGGCCGCGGAAACTATGACGCTGCGGCCATCTTAAGCGCAGAATGGCGTCAAGGATTATGGGCGGGCGTGATGGGGTGACGCAAGGGCACGTGTCGGCGATCTCGTGAGTGTAATCTCGAGCGCGCTCGCGAGCGACGACGACAAAAAGGCCGTTCCCGCTTCGTCATTCCGGCGTTCCGCACCGTCCTCGTCACCGAGGGGATCTCGTGACGCAACTCCGCCAATTCACTGACGAAACTAAGCGAGGTGTGAGATGCAGGGGGCGCATGCCGCACCTGTGTAGCGGTAAATTAAACCAAACCCTATCCTCGGTGTTGAGGAGAGCGGATCGCAGAGTCCATCATGTCGGTGTTTCACACATACGCCGCGCTCGAGCACATGCGCGCTCACGGTCCCTTCCCATTTGACCGACCTGCGAACACATGTCCGCACATGGACACTGGGCAAAGGGACACATGGAGCACCCATGCGCATGAGCGCTAGTGTGGGGGCGGGGAGGTTGGAGACCCCGCGTGTCCGAGCGGCGATCGGTCTTCGGATCCTGGTTGAGGCACCATGAAGTAATGGGAGACAAGGTTCTGGGCTGAACTTGAGCCCTTCACACGTGCCCACGGCCAGACATGTGCTCGGCCACTCACGGCTATACCGCGGCGCCGCATGCCGCGCGATCCCCCGACATGTGCTCGCGAGCTTGATCCCGATTGGCTGCTTGCCCGAAGTGAACTGACGCCTCCTGCTCTGATGCGCTGATGATGTCTCGGGTTTGCAGCCTGTGGGCGGTGTGCTTTTGCGCATAGCCCTTGTCTCGTCTCGCGCACAATTCCTCTCGATCTCTTGTTGTCGGACAAGGTGTGACGAGAGGTGCGCCTGGCGTCCTCGGTTGCTCGGCCCCGCGTGCCCGTTGCCCGCGCGGCCCGGGCGCCGTCCGACAAGATCCAGGGGACAGTGCGCAGTATCAGGTGTCGCGCCAGGCCACCAGGCGGTGGACAGGTGGCTCCAGGTGTCTGGGGCCTCGGGAGCTCGGGGGCATGCTAGCTCAGGGGCAGAGAAGATGGGCTGCCATGCGTGCGGCGTGGAGTGTGGAGCGTGGCGAGCAGTTGTTAGCGTCGAGCACATGGGGAGACTGGCAACCAGCCAGCCGTCGAACTCCATCGCAATCGCGTCAGTCAAAGCTCCGGCGAAAGCACCGGCACGTTCGGAGAGAACGAACCGGGAGTTGACGACAGTACGACAACTGAAAGCGAGAGAAGCGCCGTACCGAGTCTCGGCCCGCCAAGCCTGTGCGGCTATCGTCGCACGCCCGCACATTTGTCATTGATGCGCAGGCACTAATCACGCTGGAGCCGCAACAGCTGACCGGCCGCCAAGACGGCAGCAGATCCGGAACGGGAATGGAGTGCGTGGGGAAGAATGAAGGGCGAAGGGCCGGGGCTGGGAGGGCAGGAGGGCACGCAGCGGCCGCCGAAGTTTATGCAGAACATCACACATGCCCCGGGCGCCAGGGCCCAGCAGTCAGCTGGGATGTCTTGTGAGCATGACGGGCAGATCCGCCATACCACGGCATTCCGGGCAAACCACTTGCGAAGCGGTGAGGTCCAGGGGTGGGGATCTGGGGCCGAGGCGGGTGAGTTGCGCACTTGGAGCGAGGGTCTGTTGGTCTCAGCCGTCAGCCCCGCCGCCCACATGATCTGTGCCTGCAGGGGACAAGACGGAGACGAGGCGGGGGGGTGGGGGGGGGTCCGGAGGGAGCAAGAAACGAGGCATGGCATGAGGGACAAGGGTGGGGGCGGCAAGAGCGGTCAGCGGTCAGGACTTTGTCAAGCACCTGACGTCTTGGCACTGCCTACACCTCCTGAGCCGACGGACCAGCGCGAACGACCATCCACCACGCCACGCACAACCAACTGCCTCGCGACCTGGACGCGGAGCCTGTATGGGCACAGCAGACGGATTCGGATCACGCTCTAATCCATAAGCGACCATCGCGTGGATTATTCAGCGAAAACCTGGCTAATCCTATGCCTGGGCCAAGTCCTCGTGCTCGTGCGTGTGGTATGCGTGCGTGCTGGCACTAGCTATGGCTCTGGCATCTCGGCTTTTCGCTAGCTGTATCAGCTGGCGAGGCGAAGGTCTGTGCTTCTCCAGCTCTTGGCTGTCAGTATGCCGCCCTCTACTCCCTGCGGAATCGCGGGGAAAATCTCAATGTCGAACCTGATTGCTCCGCTTGACGTACCACTGTGCTGGTTACTGTTCGGAAGCGGCGAGGCGAGGAGAACGAGCTCAAAATCAAGTGGGGATAAGTGGGGCCGGGGGTGGGCTCCGGTACCTCACTTGACCTAACCTCGCCTTGCCTCACCTCAGCTGGAAGAGGCGGAGGCACGGATGCGACACGAGCCGGACCAGCCGGTGTTTGCCTTGGCCTGCACCAGGGGTAAACGCACAGGTTAATGTCGCGCACCAGGCCGCCAGGCCGTCAGGCTGCCAAGCCGTGTGCCGACAGAATCTCGAGTGATCGTCGCAGCATGTTGCCGGAGCCTTTGCCCCCGTGCCCCCCGTGTTACCGCGTTGTTGCTCGCTCCTGAGGCCATGAGCCCATGAAGCCTTGCGACCCAGTCTCTCTCCTCGCCCCCGCACCTCCATTTTGGAATCTAGCCGATACAGCTCACAGCGCAAGAGGCGAGCGCATGAGAGCAGCGATAATTCAACATCGGTCGAGGCCGCCTAATCCTCAACTGCTCAGGTGCTTTGATGCCCAGATTGCCCAGATTGCTCAATTGCGCAGATTGCCCGTGGTGCCCAGATGCCCAACGCCTAGATGCCCAGATACGCCTCTCGTACGCCTCCCCTCCTCTTTGGATCACAAATGGCCGGCGGTCTGTGAAGAGATACCGCTCCTCCTACCGCCCTACCGAGCCAATCTTATCCCTCCTACCGTTGTCAGCCGCTGTTGCTTTGCCTATTGCCTAATTGCCTGCAAGCGTTCCCTTTGGCGAAAGAGTGGGCACCGGCATACCGGCACCACCGCTCCCTGCTCTCGTCTGTATTGCCTGCTCCCTCTGCTCTCGTGCTCTAGGTTGATCTGTTGCCCCACAACGCCTCGAAGCTGCGCGCTCACGAGGGCCAGGGATCAGTAGACAACCTTACATTCTACCTGGCAATCAAGACTCGGGCCGCCCAGTACCAAGCAAGAGATCGCTCCTCTTCTCCGTGTCTGTGAAGAATAAAGGTCATCCCACGAGATCGACGCCCCCCTCTCTTGACCCCTCCCCCTCCCTCCCCTCCGTCCCGGTGTGTCGCTTCTCCCACCACCAGTCTTGCTTCTAGACCATTCCCACTCGTCCTCCATCACCACTCACTCTCTTGCGATCAACCTCGACGCTCGGCGGTCCACTGCGAACGACTTGCTTCGCTTAGCGCCGTTGTGCGCGCCACACGACTATCGGACCGCTTCTGGCCCCGTGGCAGTCAATAGGCAACATTCCGCCGTCCCGCCTCTCGCTCCATCGCCCCTACCCAGACTACCTACTTGTCCACTAAACCCCGTCGACACCGGAGACGAAAGCCTAAAGGCCGTCCACTGCTGGTCGATTTCCACCACGTCCAGCTGCATTGTTGTCCGCTTTTTCCACATTTGCGCTACAGCAAGCATTCACTCCGGCGTCATTCCCATCGGGAGACCTCTCTGTCCGGCTCCACACATCAGCCCCACGCATTAGATCTAATACGTGGAACGCAACACCAACGGAACAGATACCTCTTCCGCCATTGTGACGACGACGGATCTGGTGTCCCCACACAATCCGCCCAGTTCTCGAATCGGGACCGGTTGTGCTGAGCTCGCACGCTCCTTGCGCTTCTCTCTCGCCTTTTGAGGACACTTGTCTGTCACCGCCGGCCGCAGCGATTCCCTGGCGGCTCTCCGGCTGTCTTTCATCGCAAATCGCTGTGTCAGTCCTAGCGATTGATCCCCACGCCCCCACGCCACCTGCCTGAGCACTTGTCAGAAGGATCTGCCCGCCGATCCCCCTTGCACGTGTGACCCCCTCGAGCATCGTGCATCAGCCCCGGTTCGCCGCAATCACATCACGACATTTGACATTTAACAAGGTGTCCATCCATCCTTGACACCTTCCACATCTCCCCTCTCACTACACCATGCAAGACCCAAGAGACGCCCACCGGCCAGACGCGCGCTCGCGCTACTCGCCTCCGGACCGCTCACCGGGAGAATCGTCCCACTCCATCCCCATCCCCAGCCACTATCAAGGAGGGAGTGCGGAACGCTCTCCCCGTCCCCTCCCATCACCCGGGAGCTCGCGCTCGCCCAGCCAGTCAAGCCTCAACTCGTACCGCGACCGCGCCCACCCATACCAGCAGTATCAGCGGCGCTCGAGCGTGACGCAGGGGGCGGAGGACCGCTTCCTGCCGCCGCCCAACAGCTCGGCGCCCCTACATGTCCTCCACGAAGGCCGGCACCGCTCGGGCAGCGACGAGGAGAGGCACGCGCACCACGAACGTACACACAGCTACGATCGCGAGCGCGACCGCGAGCGCGAGTGGCGGGACCACCGCCCGCCCCTCGTGCGCGCGCAGAGCGACACGCGCGGCGGCGCCTTCAACCTCCCGCCCATCTCGTCGCTGCACTCAGGCTCGTCGTCGTCCAGCCCCTCCGGCTATCCGCTGACGCCGACGAGCAACGGCGCGGCCCCGCCGCCCGGCGCCCCCATGGGTCCGCCGAGCGTGCCGCACCCGACGTCGCCAGACGGCTCGCGCGCGACATCGCCGCGCCCCTCCCTCGGCCCCCTCCGGCCCTCGTACCACTCGTACGAGTCCACGTCGCGCCCCGGCCTCGGCCTCCAAAATTGCTACCGCAGCGAACACAGTCCGCCGCGGTACGAGCGTGAGCGTGAGCGTGAGCGCGAGCGCGAGCGCGACATTGCGCCCCCGCGCTCTCCGCCACACGCATATGTGCCCTACCAGGACTACCACGGGCGTGCGCGCTCGCACTCGGCGGCCTCGGCGCTGAACCGCTACCCGCCGCCGGCGGCGCGCGCCCCGTCCGAAGGCGAGTGGGTGCAGCCCGTCGCGAACCAGTACCCGTCGCCGGGCACGGGGCAGAACCGGCGCCTCGCGCACCTCATGAGCGAGCAGAAGCGGCGAGAGTGAGTGCATGACGATCGGACGATCAGACGACCGCAGACAGCTGACGCCAGGTCGATCAACACGGGCTTCCAGTCGCTGCGCAACGCGCTGCCGTCGGCGATCCCGACCGACTCCAAGGCCATCATCCTCCGCAAGGCCGTCGGGCACATCAAGCACCTCGAGGACATTGTGCGCAAGCACGGGATCAGCCTCACAGACGCGGGCGAAGACGACGAGCCGATGCGCGAGGCCACGGGCGCCGTCAACGGCCTCCACGTCGACATGGACACAAAGTACGACAGCATGCACGTCGAGGACGTCGAACGCAAGCCCGCGGTACAGGACTCGGTTTGAACACTTTACGCACTACGGACAAGACAGGATAGGACAGGACAGAAACGAAGGGATTTTTCGCGCACGAGATCTGGGATCGCAGTAGTTGTCGGGATTGGTTGTGGAGCGCACTGTTGTAGCCTGGTTGTACGGGTAGTGGGACGTAGCGGATGCAGGCCTCGGAGCTGGCTTGGCGCCCGGAAGTGTCTGCGGTCTGCTGGCCATGCCGCGGCTTTCACGCAATCTCGGTGTTTCCGCGGATCCGTCCGCGGACCCGCCGACCCGCCGACCCGCCGATCGGCCAGTCCGCCAGTCCGCCAATCCGCCGATACCATGTTAAGCTTCGGCCACACCACGTGAGTGCCTGTAGCGTGGCAGTGACACGTGAGCGTGAGCGTCATGCACGGTGCGTGCGTGATTGTGCGATCGCGCGATCGTGCGAACATGCGAAACAGTGGCGTGTGCATGGGCCGCTCGATGGATCAGCTGGTGTCCCGCGGCGTTTGCATGCGAAGTACGCCTGGGCTGAGGTGGCGGACAAGAGGCACGGCACGTGCGCTTCGGCGGATCTGTCGTCGTGAACATTCCGCCATGTCAATCCTCGTCTCTCGTTGCGCTACCAATATGCTCGTCGGCCCGAGCGAGAACAGATCCGGGAAGGCAGATGTATGTGTGGACGGGATGGACGGGAATGTAGTGTGCTGAGCAGGCAGGCCTGGCGTTCATCTTCACCTTCTAGCTGTTGCGCGTTGTGAGATTTTGCACTTTGGTACATGGATTGATAAACGAACATTCTGCTGCTCTCAGGCGCGACGCCACACCTCCTCTTCCTCGCTCTGTCGCGGAATTCCCTGCTGATCATTGAGCAGGCGCACGCCCGTTTCGAGGTCGACCTGGTCGTCGGTGTCGTCGGACGCCACGCGTGGGAGCATGGGAAGGTGGCACGTTGGGTGTGCGAGATGAGCTGGAGTCAGCCGGGAACGGAGATGGCAAGCTGGAGCTTAGAGCGCCTGCCGGATTGTAAAATGCCAGCTGTGTGCTTCGACCTACGATAGTATGTCCGGTATGCAATTGTAGCTGCTGTCAGAGATGATCAAGCAAAGCAGTCCAGTTGGGCTCACCGACACACATGCCCAGAAGCGAGCCGACAAGTACATCCTGCCAGTGGTCTACTGTTAGCCACACCGCCTGTGGCAAAATAAGCAAAGGAGACTCACGGCGGTTGTCCTGTGTGCGAGAGATGGCGACCATCGCGCCAATCAGGAGCGGCGACAAAGCAAACCAGGCGCGGTTCTGATGTCAGCCTTCTGTGCCTACATGACCGCGCTCACCCTGTTGCCGTACACGTCCCAGAGATGCATCTTGCCGGCGAGGTAAAGTGCGAGGAAGCCCACACCGGCGAAGGAGACTGGCGTTAGTCCATGATGGTCGCGGGTTGATGAGGGAAGCGGTGAAAGAGGCGACAGGTGTGGAAGAGGTGCAGAGGAAAGGAAGAGACGAGCCTGAAGGCGTGAGAGTGGAGGCACGCCAAGCAAGAACCAGCTCAAACATTAACAGAGTTCAAGAACGAGAGACAGCTTCTGTAGACTTGAGCACGGCAAGTACTCACGCGAACTGTGGCCACTGGGAAAGCTCTTGAACCCATCGTTCAGGACGTAAAAGTCCTTCTGGGTACACATCTTCCAGTTGCTGAGCCCATACACTGGAGAATCCTGCTGACCTGGAGGTGGCTGGCAGCGGGCGATCAAATCGGGGCGTGGCCTGCCGACAAGTAGCTTGATGGCCTGGGTAATGACGCCTGCCATGGTGAACGACATGAAGAGGCCACAGACGGCGTTGTGTACATCCCACGCATTGCGCGCAACAAAGCTCGCAACGGGGAGCATGACGATCAACGGCAACCCGACCGTGATGAACATGAGCATACTAACGGTCAGTGTCTGGATCACCGTGGGGAAGGCGCAGCGCACGTACTTTTCGGGAACGCGCTCATCCTCTGCGTACGAGTGCTGCAGTGACAGCTCGCGCAAGCTGAACTCGCGGCGGTGACCCGGAATGCGCGAGATCGAGAGGTAGATGATCCTGGGGTGAGTGATCCAGTCGTGTTCGCATGCGAGCTGGAGAGGGCGAAATCAGGAGCCCCAAAACACATCCCAGAGACGAGACAGGGCGGGCACACGACATCGGAAAAGTGTGGAATGCCACACTTTGTGTCGCTCCGAAACATCCCAAGATTTCGATCAGCCACACATGTTCCGATCAGATATCACGGTTACAGCGCGACCGGCATATCGATATGCGGGTGCAGGTGGGCGCGCGCGTGCATCCGAGACGAAGTGATCTAGCCCCACCTAGGCTTTTCCCAGCCCACAAACCACAAACTACCCGGGTCATGTCGAGTTCCGAGAGGCTTCCGATCCGGATCGCTCCGAGATTACGAGCTGGAACGGACGCAATGACGCGCGTATCTCGGGCTGATACAACGCTCAGACAGGCGACGGATGCGATCGCGGGTAATAGCGCAGCGAGGGTGGACCGGGGAAGGATTGCTCACCGCTCTACCTTGCGCGAGCGGGGGGGGGGCGTATTTTCGGTAGATCTCGAACACTCTGTGGCTGTACCAACTACTGTACTCACCATAATGCGCCTATGAATACCCAGTCACTCCAATAGGATGAGACGAGGCGGCGCCAGGTAAATGCGCGTGACTGGCTTTCGCCGCCGCCCCTTGAGATGCGACGCTCAAGAGGATTGGACTGGTCTTCGCGGGACCTGGGGAAGCAGTAAGAGATGAGCTGAGACATTGGGGAGAGGGGAGGGTGATGGTGATGGTGATGATGATGATGATGATGAGATGGAATGTTGTTGTTGTTGTTGGTGGAGATTGATTGAGCGTATGGGGAGGAGGGCAATGCAGTGAGGGGGAAGGAGGGGGAGGACATGGAGGTGGGCTGTGTGGGCCGAGTAGAGAGGGGTGAGTGTAGGTGAGTGTACAGTATGACGACGTAATGGGGCAATGGGGGAAGGGGGAGGAGCGTCATTGTCATGATGGAAAGAGTTTAGAACAAGTGGGGCAGGAGCAAGATGCAGGCGCTCGCTTGCCTCGGGCGTCAAAAGAGACAGACCCCGGTCATTTGCGATGTATGGCGATGGCGAGATACCCGACACCCGGTTCACTCAAATCTCACAGTACCACAGTGGCACTCACCAAGGTTACGTAAAGTGTGTGATCAGAAGATCAGGGAAGCGCAAAGATGGTTGACTCGGGAAGAGGACGAGAAAAAGAATGTGATTGGCTCAAGGATAGAAATGGGTGCGGGGCGTACCGCTGTACCGCCGGCAAGTGAGTGCAAGACGAGCTCAGGGCAGCGCTAAGCGGTATGGTGACTCAAGGGCCAAGGGGGATACCGCCCATCCGCCAATCCACGGACATGGTCGCAATCGCTCGTTGGCCGAGTGCATTTCACCCGATACCGCCTTCCTTGCTCTCCACTCCAAAGTCATGCTCTCTTAGATATCACAGTCCACAAACTGCTCTTTCCTCTTCTCCCCCTATCTCTTTCCTCTCGTCTCTTTTCTCGTCACTCTCGTCGCTCTCGTCGTCAATTTTCCATCTCCCATCAATTTATCAAACCAATTCGTCACCACACCACACTGTAAGTTCAGATTTTCCGGGGCGGGGCACGCGGACAACGTCATTTGCGCGTCCAAGTATCAACTTTTGGCCCAGTCAGACCACGTGGCCCGCATATGATGGAGGATCGTCAGCGGTCGCCAGCATCACCCGAAGCCACCACCACACGCCCTGCTTCCTCGCTTGGCCTCCCCGATCTCATTCATATCTCGTATCTCATCCTCACTCACACTCTCTCCAGCTCATCCTCGCTCTTCCCCATCTCTCCATCCCCCAATGCTACCAAACATGGCCTTCCGCCAACTCGGTACGTACAACAATCACGGGCGGTAAGCACATTGCGTGCACCCCGCCCACCCTCCACCCTGGCGCCAGATGCTGATCGCGTCAATTTTACTCCCTATCCCTCCCCCGCGTCATATCGATATCCCATACAATCCAGCCCGCACGCAGCTCATCACGCGTCCCACAATCGCCCCCCGCGCCCTCGCTCTTGCCGCGCGCCCACCTGTCCAGTTTGTTGCCCGTCGTGCATACGTCGCGTCTGTTCAGCCCCCGCCACCCGGTCAACCCGAAGCCGGACCTCAATACAAGAAGGTGAGTCACAGGGCACGATCCCCGGTGACAACCCCGACCCCTCCCCTCCCCCTCCCCCCGCAACCAACCGCTAACTATCAGAAGTCTGGTTTCCGGCGCGCATTCACTTTCCTCACCCGTGCAACCGTTATCATCGCAGTTGGTGGTGTTGGCGCATTCCTCTACGGTGAGTGGCTCCTTATTCCCGTGTCGCATCTCAAATCCGATACGGAGAGTTTTGGGATACTACTGTGCACACAAGTCCGCTATGTCCGGTACGCTGACATTGCAAGTGACTCAGACTGAGACGCACCCGGGAGAGCAGCTCCCCCAGGACCCCACCAAGAAGACTCTGGTCGTTCTCGGATCTGGATGGGGAGCAACGTCGTTCCTCAAGAACCTCGACACTGAAGAGTTCAATGTCATTGTCATCTCGCCCCGCAACTACTTCCTCTTCACTCCCCTCCTGCCGTCGGTCACTGTCGGCACCCTCGAGGCACGCTCCCTCATCCAGCCCACCCGCTTCATCACTCGTCACAAGAAGCGCAGCGTTCTCGTCTACGAGGCCCAGGCTCAGGATGTTGACCCTATCAACAAGACGGTCACCTTTACTGACAGCTCGGAGGTGCAGGGCGAGTCAAGCACTGTGACCATCAACTACGACTACCTTGTTTACGCTGTCGGATGCGAGAACCAGACCTTTGGCATCAAGGGCGTGACCGACCATGCCTGCTTCCTCAAGGAGCTGAGCGACGCCGACAAGATTCGCCAGCGCCTCATGGACTGCATTGAGACCGCCGCCTTCCCCGGCCAGACCGAGGAGGAGATCGATCGCCTTATGCACATGGTCGTTGTCGGCGGTGGCCCCACCGGTGTCGAGTACGCCGGTGAGCTCCACGACTTCCTCATTGACGACCTGCGCAAGTGGTACCCGGAGATTGCCGACAAGCTCCGCATCACCTTGATCGAGGCCCTCCCCAACGTGCTTCCTGCCTTCTCCAAGGAGCTCATCCGCTACACCGAGTCGACGTTCAAGGAGAACAAGATTGAGGTCCTCACCCGCACCATGGTCAAGGATGTCGGACAGAAGTCTGTGCTCGTTCAGGACGCCAACAAGGAGGAGCGCGAGATTCCCTACGGCCTCCTCGTCTGGGCCACTGGCAACACCTCGCGCCCCATCACTCGCAACCTCCTTGCCAAGCTGCCCAACATTCAGACCCAGCGCCGCGGTATCGTTGTTGATGACTACCTGTCCATGCTCGGCGCCGACGGCGTCTTCGCCATCGGTGACTGCACCGCCACCCAGTACGCCCCCACCGCGCAGGTCGCGTCGCAGCAGGGCCAGTACCTTGCGCAGGTGTTCGGTCGCATTGGTCTCAAGGCCAAGTACGAGAGGAGACTCGCCAAGCTTCGTGCCTCGGGCGAGGCAACTCCCGACAAGATCGAGAATGTTGTCAAGAAGCTGAACCGTGTGTCCAAGATTACACCCTTCCACTACTCGCACCAGGGATCGCTTGCGTACATTGGCTCCGAGAAGGCCATTGCCGACCTGCCGCTGTTCAATGGCAACGTGGCATCGGGCGGTGGCGCTGCGATGCTTTTCTGGCGTTCTGCGTACGTGTCGACTCTGTACTCGGTGCGTAACCGCACACTGGTCATGGCCGACTGGCTCAAGGTCAAGCTCTTTGGCCGTGACGTCTCGCGCGAGTAGAGAGTGTTGTTATTTAGGACATTACAGCCGCGTGAGGCGGCATCATCCTCATAGTTTGTGTTCTTCTTCTTGGCTATAGACATATGCAGCATGGAGCCGTGCTGATCCACGGACTGTGCTGGCGTGCGGATGCGGGGTAGCGCGAGAGAGGTCGATTGAATTCCATGATCCCAGGAAGGGTCTATTCTTCCGAGTGTCGTCGCTGGGCACAAACGGTGGATTAACCGGTCAGCTGTGATTCCTACTTCCGCCCCTTGTGCTTCCCTTCCCAGCCGCGCCCATGCGCCCAGCCGCCGACGCCACAATAGCCGCCCACACCCATCTTTACTCCCTCCCCCTCATCACTATCCCTCATCACTACTCTCATCTCTCATCCAACACATCCACCATCGCACCCACCACCATGTCGAGGCCACTCACCGGCCCCTCCCCACTATCCGGCCCCTCGCCTCGCGCCGGCCCCTCCCCCCGCGCAGGTCCCAGTCCACTGGCCGGCCCCTCCCCACGCCCTCTCTCTGGTCCTTCGCCCCGCCCCGGGCCGGGCCCAAGCCCCATCGCGCGCGCCCGAGGCCTCCCCACATCCACGCCAACACGACAGGCCTCGACGCTGCCAGGCGGCTCTCCCAGCGTGCCGAGCAAGCGCAGCGCCAGCATCTCGGCGGGCCCAAGTCAAGGCAGGGAGAAGAAGGCCAAGCTTGCACCGGGCAATGCGTGGATCGTGGGCCAGGTCGCGGCTATGCAGGCTCAGTACAAGGTACGTGATGGTGAGGGCGAGACAATGGGATCAATCAGATCGGAGGAGGAGCGGGGCGACTATTGAGAATTGCAGCATAGAGGCTGACTCACAGGACGCACTCGTCGCCGCTACAATGATCATGCAATACCAAGCGGACGCCAAGGCAATGTACGTCCTTCTGTTGTTTGTTACAAACCGCATGTCTGACCATTAGCGGATACAAGAGCCGGCCACCTGCACGACTACACATGCGCTTTACGGCCGCATGGCGCAACTATGATGCGATACGGCGGCATGTCGAGTGGTTCATTGTTCGTCTCTCCTTGCGCTCACCTCCCTGCTGACGCCAGTCCCAAAACATTGAGTACGCGGCAGCGCCAGACAAGTTTGCGGCGCGCCGTCCGCCCCCACTTGCCCCGCCTCTCATGCCGACGCCGTCGCCGGCCAGCGCCGTGCCGGCGCACCTACAGAGCACCCCTGCAGCCGCCTCGCCTGTGCCCCTCTCATCTGGCTTCCTGTCCAAGCCAGACCCGCCTGTTGGCGGCGGCATGGGCGTTGGCATGGGCGTGGGCGTGGGCATGGGCGTGGGCGTGGGCGTCGGTGCGGGTGTCGGCGTTGGCGTCGGAGTGGGCGTAGACAACCTCTTCGACGGCATGAGCATGGACGAACTCGACGCCTTCATCGGCGGCGGCGATTTCGCGCCGCCTCCGCCTCCGCAGGCAGACGCAGACGACGCAATGACGCCGACATCCAAGCTCTTTGCATCCTTCAACGCCTCCAACTCGCCCAAGCCCTCGCCGTCGCAGCAGCCCGCTCCGCCCGCGCCAGCACCCGCGTCCGCGCCAGCGCAGGAGGACTTCAGCTTCGCCGGCATGAACTTGGAAGACATGGACCTGTCGGCGTTCGAGACGCTGTTTGACAGCGATGGGGCGGGCGCCGGTGACGCAGGCAACGGCGCGGACGGGGGCGGCACCGCGCAGACTAATCCCGCACCGGACTCGTCGTCGTTCTTCGAGGCCTTCCTCAACTCGGGCGACGACACCGCCCCTCCCCAACAGCCACCACAGCCTACCCAGTCCGCTCCCCAGCCTGCACCGGCACCGGCACCGGCCTTGCCTGAGCCTCCAGCGCCTCCTCAGCCACCTCAGCTGCCCCCGCAGCCTATCCAGCCCGCCCAGCCTCCACAGCCGCCCGCACAGCCCGAGCCGCCGGTCGCGCCATCAGTGCCGCCGCCTGCGCCGCTGCCCGAGCCCGACATGCAGGACACGTACGACGGAGGCGAGTTTGGTGAGATTGACTTTGACGCCTTCAACTTCGACGATATGCCTGGTGTTGACGGGGACGAGTTCGCCTCGCTCCTCGCCGAGTTCAAGTAGCAGGAGATTGATCTGTAGACTCGTTATTTTTTTGCCTCTAATGCTTCACTCAACGCTCTGCCATATGCACAGCACATGTATTACCTCTACGCTACAATAATGTACACATTATCCTATGCCCGCTCTTTGACGTTGATGCCGACATCGTCCCACGCGCGCACTTTAGGGTCGTCCTCGCCTTTTGGCGAGTACGTCAGGTCTGGCATGCTCTTGATCGAATCGCGGCAGACGTTGCACTTGCGCGTGAACGTCGTCCATGTCCCGACCTCTGCAAGGTGCAGATGTGCCTCTGCTATGTTGTACTTGATCATGCCGGCATCTAATGTGAGCTTGAGTCAAAAGGAGGGTACTCACGAACGCGCGGGTCAACGCTAACGACGAGAATGTAAGTGTTCTTGCTCATGGGTTCCAGGACGACACAGAGGCCGTCAAACGCTGTCTCGAAGCCCGTAAACACCTCGCCAGTACGCTGACACGTCTTTCGGAAGCTCTTGACGATTTCGCTGATCTTCTCGAACCGCTGCCGGTCAAGGTGCGGCACGCCGCGCGCCACTTCGACGTCCTCCAGCTCTGAGGGGTCGCAGTCGATCGGTGACCCACTCTTGGCCATGGCGAGGAACGTCTCAGCCTCGAACACGACACATTCGGCGGCACCGAGCAGGTCTCGCATGAAGTTGAGGTGCGTCGTGATCAAGTCGATGTTGGGGATGAGCGTGTGGATGACAGACGACCATGCCTGGGGTGAGCACGTGAGGTTGCGGAATGCCAAGGCTTAACAAGCCACAAACGCGAGTGTGTGGATGCAAGCAAACGGCACGGTGGCTTCGCTCTCGTCTCACTCCGCCACGCTCGCCGCCACGCGCGCCGCCGTACTCCGCCACGCACCTTATACAACGATTCGTCCCAGATACTGGTTGGGAAGCAACGCAGGGAGCCGGCGGCAGGCTCGTCGGCGCTCACGCGCGCGTTGAGCGCACGCACTTGCTCACAGTAGTCGGCGTACTTTACGCGTTTCGGATCGTCTTTGTCAACAAGATCCATCTTGTTGATGAGCACCCAGACGCCCGCCTCGGACGAGTTCTCGCGCAAAGCCGTGACATTGTCCTCGAAGTAGTGCAGGTCCTTTTCCCACTCGGTGCTCGTGATGTCGAACACATAGATGAGGACGGCGACGTTGGAGAACACTGTATCGCGCTGCGCACTGAGGTAGTTGTCAAGGAAGGCGTCTTGGCCACCGCAGTCCCACAGGTTCTGGCGTCAGCGAGGTACGGGAAGGAAGGGGCAGTGAGGGGCGAGGGAGGCGATGTGACGCGACGCACCAACACTAGAGAACCCAAGAGCCGGACAGCGCTCTGCTCGACGTCGATAGTGGCTCCCAACCGCCGCGTGTCTTTAGCCGTGTAGTTGGAGCTGCGCGTCAGCGTGTCCGAGCACGCGCGCAAACCTACAAAATGACGGAGCGCATCGACGTCTTGCCGCTGCCGCTCTTGCCCATGAGCAGCACCTATGTGTCAGCTCGAACAATGTGTAGCAGAAAACAATCGGCGCTCGTACCTTTCGTCGCGACGCAGAGCTCATGGTGAGGGTGAATGGGCCTTGGGGGTTGAGGTGGATGCGATGTTCGCGTCGAAAGTCGAGAAAGGGCATTGCGTGTGATGGCACCGATGGCGATGCCCGATGACGTCAGGCGACCGTGGGAAACCTGCTGCTGTGACGGTTATTTGTCTCGAGCCGCCGCTGCTGGGTGGCCAAGTCACGCGCGTGGTGGAGCTGTGGTGGAGGAAGATAGGTGGAGGTCGTGGTGGCCTGCTTGTGTCCGGATCGAGGCGTTGCTTTTGCTTTGCTTGCCTGCTCACCAACAATACGCACGCCGAGGCGCAAAACTACACGGCTAAACGCGAGCGAGAGTGGATAACTGTCAACAAGCAATCCACCTCCAGATCCCTCGACGCTTCGCCCGCGTCCATCCCTAAGGGAAGCAGCGACCAGCCACCTGGTCCGAGCGTGTGGCGCGTCGTACCGTGTTGTGGGCCAGCTCGGGCATAACGGACAAGGACGAGGACGGGGACGAAATGCCGCGACGTGCGGCGGTCTCGAACGTGCCCAGCGCAAGGGCGACGAGGGCGCGGGGAGCTGCCACGAGAGCTCCAGCAGCGAAGAGCGCCAAAGGCAAGCCTGCGGGGAGTGCCAGCAAGAAAAGGAAAGCAGAGAGTGACAGCGACGAGCTGTCCGAGCCCACGGGGTTGACGAGCGAGTCGGGGTCGGACTCTGAGCTGTCGGACGCATCGGATTTCGAGCCTGATGCCGATGTCGAGGACGACGACGAGCCCGAGGCGATCGAGGCGATCAGCGTGTTGGATGATAGCGCGGATGACGAGGACGAGGCACCGCCGCTCAAGAAGGCGCGCTCTAGCCTTGCTAGAGATCAGAAGCAGAAGCAGCCGGCCAAGGGTAAGAAGCTCCTCACTGGCCCCGGCCGGCTGGAGGTCAAAGTCGTGAACGGACGCCGGGTCACGGCGCTCGGCGAAGAGCTTGACGACGACAGTGACGACCTCGACCTTGAGGATGGCCAGGAGGTTGTGGGGCGGACGTACCCCGCACCGCGAAGTGGACGGGGTAAGTGGAGCGACTTCGCGGCCACCGGGCCGGACGGGTGATGGCTTTGCACGAGAACATGCAAGACCAGCAGGGCTGACCACAGTACCGCCTGGGCGTATTTCGCGCAATACGCTTGCCTTCCTCGAGGCGCTGATGGATCCGGCGAACAACGACCGTGACTGGTTCCGCTCGCACGAGCCCGCGTTCCGTCAAGCCGAGAAGGAGTTTCGCGACTTTGTCGACGTGCTGCAAGAGAAGATGGCCGAGGTGGACGAAGAGGTACCGGTGCTGCCGGCGCGCGATATTTGTGTAAGTTTAGTCTCACCTGTCGTCGTTGTCATCGCGAGCTGCGAGGTGAACCTCGGTCGTTCGACTGCAACAGGACAGGTCCATGCTCTTACTCGGCTGCGACGTCGCCGCATCTGGAGATGGACGAGATAATACCAGATGGCGGGCAGGTGGTCTTCTCTCCGAGTCGCCGCCGCATTCTGCCCGCTCAGCACGTCTGCCCTTGTCACTGTGTAACGTCTCCGCTCATCTGGCCGATATGCCCTCTTTCCGTTTTGCTCTCCCGCGGTCCCCACCTGACCCCAGCACCGAATCTACCGCGATGTGCGTTTTTCCTCCGACAAGACGCCCTACAAATGCAACTTTGCCTTCACGACATCGCGCGGTGGCCGCAGAGGCATCTGGGCAAAGTATCACCTTTACATCGAGCCGGGGTACAGCCTGATTGCGTGCGGCCTGTGGCAGCCCGACAAGGCCGTGCTGCAGCGTCTGCGCGACCGCCTCCTAGGTAACCCGGGGCCTGATCCCTTCCGCGAGGCAATCTCCAAGCCTGAGTTCGTTGAGCTCTTTGGGCCGCCGCAGCCCAACGGGCGCCGTCAGAATGTCTTTGGGCACTCAGACGAGCTCAAAGTCGCGCCCAAGGGGATCGAGAAGACGCACCCTCTCATTGATTTGCTGCGTCTGCGCACAATTGCCGTCGTCAAACAGTGAGCCCTCGGATGGCAAGCCTGACACCAGCTTCACGGACGATCAGGTCCTCGACCCAAACTTTGCTGACATGCTCGCCGGCGTCGTCGGCGTCATGGAGCCGTTCGTGCACATGCTCAACGACTACATCACTCCGTCGTAGTCTGTATCAATATACATGCCATCCTCTAGTCTATATCACGCAGCCACGACTGTCGGCCGCGGCTCCCTCCGCTCCTTTGGCTCCCTCGGAGGCCGCGGCTCGCGCGGTGGCCTGTGCCGCGGCGTCCATGGACCCAGCGAGGCGTCGGCATAAAAGTCCATCGGGTAGTCTCCTGCTCCTTTCGCGCCCGCCACCTCGATTCCCTCCCACCCGGGAATGCGGCCGCTAGCGACGCTCGCCTCGTATGGACTCAGCAGTGGACGCGAAAACGCGTACCCCCAGTCGATAGACAGGCGAGGACAGCTGGTCTGGACGAACGTGCTGATCTCGTCCTCGGAGAACAGGGCGAGTTTCTGCGGCGACAGCTCGGACAGGAGCACGAGCAGCGGCGTCTTGCCCTCCCCTGCACCCTCGCTCACGCTCCCCTGCACATTCTGCAGGACATTAAGGCTGCCCTGCCGCCCCAAAGTGCCGAGGAGCACGGCCCAGCTCTCGCTGCCCCGGCTTTCAAGGTTCTTGCGCGCTGTCCGCACCGCGTCGCCACGCAGACCACGCATTTCGGCGTGCTCGTACCCCTCGCGCGTAAACTTCTTCGAATAGGGATCGTACCGGAATGCGGGCACGGAAGGGTTGGCGATCATGATGGACTCCAGGTGGAAGCGTCCATCGCCGACGTAGATGAGCGCATCTACATCGCCGAGCTTGGGCGCCGTGCAGCCTAGGATCTCGCCGGGGGAGAGCGGGCGGACTTGTGGCACAGAGATGTCATATGCGCCACGCCAGACGCCAATCTCGCCACGCGCGACCTTGGCCAGCGCGTCGTCGCCCGTCTCCCCTTCTACGTCAAGTGGGGGGAGGGCAGACGACAGCGCCTCCTTGAGCGCCTGGACAGCCGCGACGAACTGGATTGTTCCTACCAGAGCTAGCCGCGTCGGCAGCTCAGTAGAGGTCGAAGCCATCGCATCTGCATCGCCCGCCTCAAGCGCAATGTCCACCTTGGCACCCGGCTCCGACTCTCCAGCACCAAGAATGACGCGCTCGAACGCTGTGCGGGAGGAGGGAAAGTTTCGCCGCACACTGAGCGCAAGGTGCGGCGTGTCAATTGCAATCTCGACGAAGATGTATAATGTCTTGATGGATGTCTGGTTGACGGGGACTGGTGTGAGCGGGGTTCGTGCCGGTCGGGAAAATTGGTGAGCACACAGTCGACGTACTTAGACATGAGTGACCATAGTGCACAATCATCTCGGCGCCCATCTCGCGCGCAGTGAAGTCGTCGATACAGCACGCGCCGTATGTCACATCGGCGAGGAGGAGCGGCAACGCGCCAGTGAAGCGCTCAATGATGTCGGCGATGGCTGTGCCGTACATCATGAGACCCTCGGGCATTTGCAATGCAACGGTACGCACACCCTCGCGCCGCACATGGTGAATTGTCTTTGGGATCTCGAAGTTGTAGTTTCCAGGAAGGGCTGGTGTGAGCGCTGAGCAGGCCGGGGCGCGCGCGGTGGGCAGTCGGGATGGCTGAGAGCGTAGGGGAGAGGAGGGAAGTTTGCCAGCGCCATGGAGAGCGACGCCGGACTACGAAGGCTCGAACTCGACTTACCTGCCATCGCAGCCTTGAGCGCGGGGTCGTTCAAGATCTCGTCCGGCACCTGGTTTGCGACACGGCGCACACCGGCGCGCGCGCCAGGCTTAGCGCCGACGAAGCGCTTTCGCGGCTTCTTCTCCGCGGCGGAAGTACTCGCCTCTGGGACGGCGGCGGGGACGGAATCCATCGGCGTGTCGATTCCCTCGGACATGGTGCTGACTGAACACGAAGGCATATGATCGCCCAACTTTTGGAGCCGAGTGGCAACTTTCCCACGGTGCGCTTCCGCTCAAGTTCAACTGATCGCGGCTCACCGTCGAATCTCAACATCAACAATCATGGACACGCAACTGGCGCAGAACACCGCCGCGCGCAAAGAGCGGCTAATTGCGCTGCGGCGGCGCAAGGAAGCGCAGGAGAAGGGCGAGAGCGTGTGAGTGGTCCGGACCTTGCGTGGGCTAGAGCAGGAGCTGACCACAGCGAGGCGCACTTCGCCTTCAAGCAGCGCAATTTCGATCCAGAAACGCGGCAGGCGCGCAAGGCCACGGGGCCGGAGGGGCACGATACCGTCGAGAAGGAAGTAGAGGGCCTGGCGGAGGAGATTGTGCGCGAGGACGAGGAACGGCGGGCAGAGGAGCTTGTGAGTGTTGAAGCGGAGGCCTGAGGCAAAGTGTTTGAATGGAATGTCGCCCAGAGGGCAATGCCATTATTCTTCAGTGGCACATAGCTGACCCCAGGACCTGTTCAATATTCAGCCCCGCAGGCCGAACTGGGACCTCAAGCGTGACATGTCGACGCGCATGGGCAAGCTGGAGCGGAAGACGAACGAGGCCATCGCCACGATCCTGCGGCAACGGCTACGTGAACAGCGCGGCGGAGCCGCAAGCGAGCAAGTCGACCTCGTTGCCGGCATTCGCGAGGCGGAGGCCGAGCGTGACCGCGATGTGGAGAGCGACGGCAGCGAATAGATGTAGCGTAGATTAGGTACATGTAATATCACGATTCGGTGCTGCAAAGATACATTGAATGATGTCCTACGGTAGTCCTAGTCCATTCACTGCGGCGTACGCCCTCTACGCGTCCGCCGTCACGTCAGCATCGGCTGGCGAGCTCGAGTCGTTGTCCTCGGCATCATTGTCTACAGCTTTCCCCTTGTCGCCCTTCTCCTTGCGCTCCGCGGCGGCGTACAGATCTTTATACTTGCCCGAGTTCTGGGCCATTGACTTGAAAATACTGTCGTCGCGACGCAGGAGGTTCTATCGTTAGCCTTGACCGATGGAGCCTCCTCTTGTCCCTCACCATAGGCGTGTCGAACTCCGCCACAGAGCCATCACGCAACACCAGCAAGCGGTCGTAGTCGATGACAGACGACAGGCGGTGGGCAATAGTGATGAGCGTTGAGTCCTTGAACTCCGTGCGAATGGCATTCTGCAGTGCCTCATCAGTCGCAAAGTCAACCGACGCAGTAGCCTCGTCCATGATCTGAAGTCAGCCAATGGGCAACGCCCGACAACTCACGATCAAGTTGGAGCGACGGAGGAGTGCGCGCGCCATGGCGACGAGCTGCCTTTGTCCTTGCGAGAAGTTGGCGCCACCAGCCGAGACATCCGTGTTGAGTGTGATATGGACACGGGATGTAGGCGTTTGAGTGCCAGATGCGCGGCCAGACGAGCTGCCCGACCTGCCACCGCCACCAGCCGCACGCTCCTCCTCTATCAACTGAGTGAGACGGTTGTGTGACGGCGCGTCAATCTCGGCCAGGGCAGTGAGGTTGCGGGTTGAACCCATGCGGCTGCCGGCGGGCGTCTGCCCCGTGATAAGCTTGACGCGCTGCAGAGCCTCGAGAAGCTCCGAGTCGGTGTGCTCGTGGAAGGGGTCGAGATTGTCGCGCATCGTACCAGAGAACAACACGGCGTCTGTAGTTAGGGAGTCTACTCAAAACCACACCAGCCTACCTACCTTGAGGAATATATGTGATCTTGGAGCGCTGCCGGTCAGCCCGCATCCTGCCTACACAACTGATCAATGAACTCACCAGATCATCAACTCCAATGGTGGTGATGTCCACGCCGTCGATCAGCAGCTTACCCGACGCCGGATCGGTGAAGCGCAGCATCATCATGGCAATCGTGGACTTGCCGGAGCCTGTACGCCCGATGAGACCAATCTTCTCACCCGCCTTGATGTCGAACGAGCCCTTGAATACGGTTGGCAGTTCCGGCGCATACTTAATCTCGAGGTCCTGCGCGCTGATGAAGGTGTCGGGCCTATCGTACGACGGCCAGCCAGAAGGCGGTCGGCTGCCGTCGATCACACTTGCAGGCTCTGAAGGAATTCTGAGGTACTCCTCGACTCGCTCCACCGAGTTAAAGTCCATTTCCATCTCGCCCCAGAAGCGCGAGAGCCAGTAGCAGGCCATGACGAAGCTCTGGGCGCTGGTGATCGCAACCGCAGCGTATCCGACGCCAACAGCGCCGGTGAGCGAGAGAAGCGTGGTTATGAATACAGCAGCCGCACCGAGGCAGTCGAAGCGGAGGAGGAGCTGGGGTTAGTTTAACCAGTGTCGGGGCATACCCAACGGTTCGTCATCTGCGAGTCAGCACACTCGACAGTGGAAACCCACCCAGTAGTAGTAGAACGCCGAGTTCGATAGGTCGACTTGCTCGCACAGCTTGGAGAACATGCGGCGCTCGGCCGAGAAGGCGCGGACCGAGATGATGCCGTCAAGAAGCTCAGCAAATCCGGAGCTGCGTGTCAGCGTCGTCAGAAGGGTTAGTGCTCACAAAATGGGCGAGCGAGTCGTCGCCTCCAAACGACGGAGGCTGCGGCCAGTGCGAAGCTGCTGTGAGCTCGTTTTGTCACACCTGAACTCACGTAGAGCACAGTGTAGTAGTAGTACAATGCGCTGATGAAGGCTGCGGGGATAAGGAACTGCGGGATGATGTACGCAATCATGCCCTGAGAGTCAGCAGCTTTCCACCGCATGCACTTACAATCGTGAATACGAGCGATGCAGTGAACGTGATGACCGTCCTCGAGCTCGAGTTGAGTCGCATGTCAATCGTCTCCACGTCCTTGGAGAAGCGATTGATAATACGACCGACGGGCGTGGTGTTGAAAAAGCGGATAGTGCCGTGCACAACGGAGTCGAGAAGACGGTCGTGCAGGGACTTGGCAGCACGGTATGATCCCCATGCGCCGATGCCGTTGGTAACGACCATCAACAGCGCGGAGCCGACCATGATAATTGCGTAACCACCGAGATAGTAGCCGGGGTGGTCGTCGGCAGACGGGAGATTGAACGGAGGGATAGCTTGTACCGTGAACAAGGGGCTGTCTGTCTGGTTGACACGCGGCGAGGCCGTGTGGAGCACGTGGTGCGCCGCATCACGGTACACCTCCATGGCGTGGCTGTACGACTGAGGAACGCTGAAGGTGAAGATCGAGTAGAGCTTACTCTCGTAATGCTCACCCCACCACTTGAGCCACAGCCTGTCGAGAAGCCCGAACGCCTGCGACACCATCAAGACAGCGAAGAAGAGCATCCAGGTTGTCCAAGTAGCGGCTCGGAAGTAGAGCAGGTAGGTCCCCAGCTTGACGCTGCCAACGGCACGCTCTTCGTCCTTGACAAGCTTGCGGGCTGGTCCGTCCTTCTTTGCGTCCTGTTTGGCGAGAAGCTTCTCCTCTTCCTCCTCGGGCTCATCAGGGGTCACCGGTTCCTTGGTTGCAGCCGTGGCGTCCTCGATAGCGACGACGCCGTCAAGCTCTCCAGAGTCCTGCAGCTCCTTGGGCGTACCCTGGCAGTCGACACGTCCGTCCAGAATGCGGACAATGTAGTCGGCGGTGGGGAGGAGGAGATCGAGATGGTGAGACACAAGGATCTGGAATTAGCCTAAGCTCTGTTTGGAGCTCACAATTGTGCGGCCCTTGAGAAGAGGGCCGTTAAAACAATTGTCGACGAGGTGCTTGGCGGTGTGCGAGTCAACGGCAGCGAGAGGGTCATCGAGCAGGACGTGCTGAGTGTACGAGTAAACGGCACGCGCGAGGGCGACACGAGCCTTCTGTCCACCACTGAGCGAGACCTGATGTTAGCTGGTCACAGGTTTCTTGACTCACTCCCTTGGCGCCGATCTCTGTCTGATCACCGTCCTCCAGGATGTCGAAGTCGGTGCGGCTGGAATCAGCGGTGCCCATCTCCTTACTCACAGCGCACAGGCGTCCACAACGTTCTGGTACCGCTCCTCGTCGAGGGGCTCGCCGAAAAGGATGTTCTCCTTGATCGACTGCTGCTGGAGCCAAGGAGTTTGGGCCGCGTACGCGCACGAGTTGCGCAGGCCAGTGGTTGGGTCGATCTGCGAGGGGTGCTTGGGAAGGAACGACTCGCCCTCAATCAGGTCCATCTCCCCAAGAAGGCCGATGAGAATGGCCGTCTTGCCAGCGCCTGTCGGGCCAGAAACCACAGATAGCTTACCAATGGGGAAGTCAATCGTGATGTCAGACAGCTCAAATACGACGCTCTCGATGCTCTCGTCGTCTTGCGGTGATCCAGCATCGGCACCTGTCACCTCAGTGGCTGACGGAGCCGCTGTGCCATTCTTGGTTTCGGCCTCATCTTTCCCGCCAGCGTTCCACTTGAATGTCGCATTATTAAAGCCGATTTTGGGCTTCTTTGAGGGGCCGTCATCGTGGCGCTTGAGCGAAGACACCCAGTCGGGCACCTCGCCCTCCTCGAAGAAGTCCTGCGTGCGCTTGACAGAGACGCCAGCCTGCAAGAACCAGACAATGAACATTGGCACGGCATTCAGTGGGGTGCGGAGCATGTTGAAAAGAGTAAGAGCAGTGAACGCGACCGAGATGGTGAGATCCTTCTTGGCGAAGTAGATGTAGCTGGTGTCAGCCACGCCCTGGCCTCACCCCTCACCAGAAGAAGGCGCTGAGGGTGACAAAGATGGGCACGAGCATCCATGTGAGCTGGAAAAACATATTGTTGATGATGGAACGAATCATCTGCGAAAGTTCGTTGTTCCGGGCATCCTGGGCCCGTCCCTTCCACTTCTCAGTCCACGCAAAGAACTGTGAATCAGTCAACTCGGCATTCCGAAACGTACCTTGATGAAGCTGATGCCGCCGATCAGTTCGTTCATTACGGTCATACGCTTGTCTCTCGCCTTGAGGAGGTCTTTCTGAATCTGCAAGCTCAGTATAGCCCCTGCCCGTACACCTACGCGCATGGCCTTTTTGGAGAGGTATGAATTGATGGGCGTCGCAATGAGGAGGACACCGATGCCGGCGAAGGCGGACCAGCCGAGAAGCCTAGCCTCAGTGGAGGTCAGATGCCAAGACTCACTGGTACAGGAAGATGGAGGCGACAGTGATCTCGATGGGAGTCGAGTACAGGTAATAGGCCATCGCAAAGACTCCAGCAACCCTGCTTCGTCAGATCGGCATGCTACTCAGACGTACATGTTGGCGTCGGTCGACATAAGGTTGACAACCTTGCCCGTGTCCGCAGTCTCCGACTTCTCGTCGGCTTTCTTGTCCTTCTTGTCTGACTTGGCCTTCGGATCGGCTTTCTTGCCATCCTTCTTGTCCGCCGTCTCCTCCTTGTCCTTGGACGCCACGATGCCGGCGGTATCCTTGCGGAGGAGTGCCTTGTGGTAGATGGCGGAGATAAGCTGCGACCTGATGCGAACGTTGGCTCGACGGCTGTGCCACAGGTGGATCATGTCGGACACGGCCTTGAGGATGCTCGTGAGCAGTGCGGCAAAGGCGAAGAGGTACGCCTGCGTAATGCTCGTGGACGTCGGGTGCGTGAGGCCATCACTATAGTCAGCTTGTGTTTGGGAGAGCAGACTCACAGAATCTTCTTGAGTAAGAATGGCGAGAGGTAGTTGAAAATGACTGAGCTGAGGGTGAACGCGCCATCCATCATGACGTCGAAACGGTTGGCAGAGAGGATTCTGAACAAAAGCTTGCTCTTTCGTACAGTTTGGAAGAAATCAAAGAGTTCCCTCGTGCGCAGAGTTGCTGAGAGTTGGGGGAGGTCCTCCTCGTTCAACGGCGTCGCGGACCACTTCATGATGAGGGGAGTCATCCATGAAAAGGTCATCCACTGCCAGAACGTGACCTGGTCGTCGAGGCCGACGCCGTCCGCCATGGCGAGCGTCATGGGCGAGTTGAAGCGTAGGCTCCCAGCGACGAGAGCGAGGAGGAGCGAAATGGCGCCAGTAGTGGCCTCGAGGACAATCTCGGAGGGTGTGGCCCACTCGGGCCTGGTGCCGTAGACGTAACGGACGTATAAGATGTCCAAGAACGCAAGGGCAGCGGACGCGAAGAAGACGAAGTAGATGACGAGCGCAGACCAAGGCGGCACGACGGGCGGGCGCACGAGCGAGCGCATAAGCAGGCCGGCCTGGTGTCAGCTGCGCAAACGTCTTTCCTTACCCAGATCAAGGCTGTGATGCCGGTGAGGAGGACGGCGCGCCACTCGACCGTGTGCATATTGGCAGCACGGGCGAGGCGGTCGCCAAATAGGACGGCCCAGAGAACGAGGCCGATGGCGTTGAGTCCGACCATGAGCGCGTAGACGATCGGGTGTGGCATCCACTTGCGGGCGCGTTGCACCGCCACCTTGCGGTCCTCGTCCGAGGGCACCTTCCACAGCGGGAAGGTGTCGTTGAACAACGGCGAGAGGAATCGGTGCACAGGCGGAACGTGATATAGCGTGCTCGCGAGTGCGGCCGCGCCAGCGAAGCCGACGCGGCCGAGAGTGAGTGCCGGGTACGGCACTGGGCCGCTCGCCTGGGGTTAGGTTTATGAAAGGCTGGGTGCTTGCGGCACTCACGGACATGGCGAGGGCGGGGAGACGCGGCAGGAAGTTACCACAGAGCAGAGGTTGGGAGGTGAGAAGGGGTTGACAGCCAGTCCCGCCTTTTGTTATATGAATAGGGAGGGAGTTGAGGATGCAAAAGTCTTGAGATCTCGAAAGCGAGCTAACTGAATGCGCGGGGCGAGCGGCGTTGAGCGGAGTGCACGCGGTGACAGCCCCGGAGGTGCGTGGTCAGTGGAAACCTCCACCAAGCGTCCCATCGCCGACTTTGGACTTCAGGCACCGGCCACTCATGCGTCACAACTGCTGCAAACTGGCGGGCCTAGTTTGGCCCACGTGTCATCACAGCCATACCGCGTTGTGTGCCTTCATAACAATTCTACTAGGCATGCAACCTCCATCCAGAATTCTTCGTTCTGAAATCACCACTCGACCACAACGAACCCAACATCAATAATCATCTCCTCCCATCTTCATTGCTCGACTTGTGAATCCGCTACGCGCGCAGTCTTCCCGGCTTATATTGAACCCCTCCGACCCCTTTCGCTGCTTCCGCCCTCCCGCAATCACACCAGCCCCGCCCAACGCCGAACATGTCGCTGGACAACGACCGCGAGCTCGCGCGGCTCTGGCGCGTGTCCAAGACGGTGCACGAGATGATCCGTGATCGCGTACGTCTCTACAAATTGCTTAGGCAGAGCTGACGGCAGGGCTACGAAGTGGCAGACTACGAAATCAATACACGCTTCGAGGACTTCAAGGACCTGTACAGCGGCGGCGGCGGAGTCGACCGCGGGCGGATGAACTTCCACGCCGACCACGCCGAGGACAGGTCAAACAGGATATACATCCACTTCTGCCCCGAGAAAAACGTGTCCAAGGCGGCCATGAAGACGTGAGGTGATTGCGGGGAGTGCGCTGACCCCAGCTTCATCACGTCGCTGGATGCTGCAGGCGCCAAGCGCGGGATCATTGTTTGGAGCGAGAAGATGAGCCCGGCCGCGAAGAAGACGCTGCTTGAGATGCAGAGCGAGTACCACCTCGAGGACTTCCCCGAGTCGGATCTGCTCGTGAACATTACAAAGCATGTTCTTGTGCCTAAGCACACGATTATGACCAGTCAGGAGAAGACGGAACTGATCAAGCGCTAGTGAGTGGAATGAGACGCGAAGAGAGGGTAGCAGGTGGAAGACACGAACGGAGGTCAAGCGGGGGTGCCGAACACAACCCGATTCCAGGCAGGATCGTTCATGCTCGGGCCGGACGATCCCCGGTACGACTTGTGATTCTGGGGCTGGATTGCTTCGGCAAGACTGCTCAACCTCGGCCCCACGTCAAGCCTGCGCCTCTTCGGCCCTCTGCACTAAGCCACCTTCTAGCTTTGCCAATAGTCCTCGCAGTATGCGCTAACCACAGCCGCCTGAAGGATACCCAGCTTCCGCGCATCATGGTGACGGACCCCGTTGCGCGCTACTACGGCATGCGGCGAGGACAGGTTATGCGCATCGAGCGCTCGTCCGAGACGGCAGGACGGTGAGTGCTGGCGTAATGGAGCGGTGGGGTGTTGTGAGAGGGAAGCAAGGCTCTGGCTGCGGGGCTAAGAGAACCATCGGAGAGTGGGCTGAGAACTCGCCGAGAAGCATAGACGCCGACTCCGTCCCAAGCCCCAGCATGCTGACGCCAGGTACATCACATACCGTATCTGTATGTAGGCCCGCAGGAGACGGTGTCTGGCTCCAGGGCATGATGTGGATGGATGCATTGTATGATAGGCGCCATTTCGGCTGAGCTGTGGCGGCAGGGCGTCGGAGCGTGCAGGTCACACGGTCAAGATCGCGCTTGCTCATGCCGCTTGCTCAGCAACAGCTGCCGGCTAGGCCTTGCAGCTCACGAAACCGAGACTACGGCCGGCGGAGTAGCTTGGTGACAGGTCCGGCTAGCGATGAGTACCCCTCTGCTCGTTGGTTGGCGCGTCGCACTCGCGCCGAGCTTAACTTTCGCTTTATTAAGCTCGCGCCTCGACCTGCGCGACCGCCCGCCCACACTACCACGCGCACCCGCTTGCTCCGCAACGTGCGAAATAATATGATGACATGCGCAAACGTTTATGCGTGCGGTGACTATGCTAACAAAGAGCCCAGTGGCAGAATCCAGAGTCCGGCGCGACGTGGAGCGCCCGCGGCCAGCGCTTTAGGAGGGGTTGGGGATGACCTCGCCGTCGACGGGCGCTTCGTCGCCGATCCACGCCTCCGACTTGTGCCCGGGCCGCACGCGGACGGCGCCGTCCTCGCGGTGCTTGCGCATCCATGCACCCTGGATGTTAGTTTGAGATCCCAGGGGTAACGCGGCGACTTACAGAGTTGGGACGCTGCTTCTTGAGCCAGTGCTGCTCGCGCTCGCGCTGCTCCTGGATCTGGAGCTCGCGGAGCTGGCCTTCGGAGGCGTCGAAGACTGGCCCGCCGACGATGAACTCGTTCTCGGGCAGGGCGGAGGCAGCGTCGGGGTCGACGTAGCCTACGCCGGCTAGGGCTCCAAAGAAGACGAAGAGGGCGCTGGAGGGGAAAGAGGTGGGGGATGCGGTAGAGTGGAGTGGACGAGAGTATGAGGAGAGACCGACGCGCACGGGTAAATGATGATTGGCGTCAGCTATGGACAGACGGAGTCACGGCTGGTTTTGGTGATGCGTGACCAGCCAGTGATCAACAAACAACTTACATGAGGAAGATAACAAGGAAGGGGAGGTTGCCGCGGCGTGCTGTGCGTGCTGCGCGGCTTGCGATTGCGCGTCCGACGTTCTGGACAGTGACGCTGCCCTTGAACTCGCTGGATCCGAGGGGAGGAGAAGCTGCTGGGCTCTCGCCGCCGTCGGAGAAACCCTTCTCGGCGAGGGAGTCGTAGAGGTCGCGCACGTGAGTGTCTGGGGTTGCCGGCATGGTGGATGGGTTGTGGGTTCAGAGGTGAGGAGGGGAGATGGTGAGGAAAGGTCAAGAGGGAGGAGGAGGAGGAGGAGGAGGAGGTATCCGAGGATAAGAGAGATAAAGAGGGTGTCCGTTGAGCGGAAGAGAGTGCGAGGAGAGCGAGAGAGCGAAAAAGAAGAGAGAGAGAGAGAGAGAGAGAGAGAGAGCAAGAGGAGGAGGAGGAGGAAACGCCACGAGTAGCGCCGAGTAGCGTTTTGGTGGCTGCGCCGTGGCTGAATGTGTTGTGTGGAGGCCGTGGAGGGGAGGCCTAAAAAGGGTCGATAGGTGGCAATTTGATCGTCAAGGGTTTCCAGCCAGGCGGGCAGGCGGGAAGCGGCGCTTCGGCGGCGGTTCAGTCCGTAAGCGACAGGAGGCGAGGTGTTGTATGATGGATGCGAACGCAAGATGGGTTCGAGTTGAGCGATGCAGTTCAAGTTATAAACGAATGCACAAGAGAGCGAGATGTGTTGTGGGAAAGAGCGGCAGAGTGCCCGGGGACGAGTTACGTATTGCCACAACTCGACTCTTCTCAACAAGAGCGAGATTTGCAGCGTGAATTCAGGGCCACAAATGCACGCAGCATATTGCCGGGCCTGGGCACAGGGTTCAAATCCATGCAATCCAGAGCAATCCCCCGTCCACCTCGGAGACGGTGGGGGATAAACAGCGGCATGAGCGGCATGCACCGCGGGATCGGGACTCTGGCGTACTCGTTTCTCTCTGCTCCAGAAGAGACACGCAGGCAGGCTGCGCACTTGCTCGGCGGCTGTCAGGGCTCGTCGGCGGTATAAACGGCATCTTAGGAGCGGAAGAGCATCCATAACTCGGCACAAACTCTGATTCTGCGTCCCGCGTTAAACCTGCCATCAGCCGCTGTGGAGCGTCGATCTCCCGTCTCTCCTCCCGCGTCCAGATCTCAGATCCTCTGGTTTCTGGGCCTCTCTCCTCTATTCAGTTGCATCCAAACATAGACGTTTTGGCGGTCATGCATGCCCTCTCGATCCTCAAGCCGAATACAGCCTGCTCGAGCCCACTCGCCGCTCCTCCCGTTTCCAGTGTTTTTCCGTATGTAAGGCCTCTCTCTTGCGTCTCCACTCAAGCGACATCTCCTCCGCACATGTGAATTTTGAAAGGACGAGGAACACCAGGCCCGGGGGATGGAGGATCGAGCGTTCGGCGCGTTGTCATGGCGACTCGGGAAGTGTGCAGGGCGCTCGGTGCACGCGAAACGCGTCTTCAACCTAGTCTCGAGGTTAGGACGGGGGGTTGCCTACTATCGTCCTCGCTTCCGCCCTGGGCCCATACACCTCTCCCATCCGTTTGGGGTGAGAGTGTCCATGAGCGATAAGCAACGTGCACGCTCTAAGACGTTCCTCGTGCCCTTCTCGTGGCGATCGTGGCAGCCGCGCATCGTACCTCATGCGGCTCTTTCGGACTCCAACGCCAGACGCTTCTTGAGACAAACGGCCCTCCAGTGCGCACCGTGAGTTCAGACTTGCGGCGCGGCTGGCACCTCCTTGCGTGACTCTGGCCGCTCCGACCGGCTTCGATGTTGTGTCTAATCGATTGAGACGGATGGACGTCACTCCCGCCAGGCCGCAATGTGTGCCTGTGCATTCCATAATGCGGCCGCCTCGTCGTCTGCTTCTTGACCTCATGCCTGGCCGCGGCCTCTTGCGCTAGCCGTTCACAACAGATACAGGGAGCCTAGACTACCCTGTCGTCGCACGCCGCCACGCCGTCAGCCACCCACATCGCACTCCGTTAATCTGGGCGACCTCGAGCATCACGTGCATGCCAACACAAGGCGGTGCGGAAGACCGCAGCTGGTAATGACCCCCGTCCAAGAAAGTGATGTAAGCCGGCTTCTCCTCGCCTCTGCATCTGCCATCCCGTGCGCCATCCGGGCACGCCTCGTCAGCTACCAGATGCATATTGCCTAATTGCCTAATTACCCAAGGTGTCGGAATTGTCGGCGGGTGCGCCACAATCATTTGTGCGGCGATGCATCAGCCATGCAGCCATACGAGTAGTGATCGGCGCCACATGGCGGGCGGTCAATTTCACCAGGCCTTGGCTGTGCTCTTGGCCTCGGAAGAGATCGGCGGCCGCCGCCCGCTGATCCACAGACCCACAGAAGCATGCAGGGCATGCTCGCCAAAGTCGAGTCGCTGATCGCGCTGGACTACAGCTTGGAGTGTGGATCAAGGTTCCGGTGTATAGGCTGCCGAAGAACTACAGCAGGGTATAGAGCTATAGAGGCAACGGAGGTGACCGTCCGGGTTGTCCGCGCAAATCGTATCGAGCCCGAATTCTGGAACGCATGCACACGATGATGATCTGCGATCCGGCGATCCGCGGATCCACGGTCTAAGCGCTCTTATAGTTTCGTTCCATGTCATGCTTGCAACGATCCAGCGATCGCCGCGACGATCACCTCGAAATCTTTCACTTGCCAACCCCTCCGCGCAGTCGCTCACCCACGCCGCTCTCCCGCTTCTCCGCTCACCCACTCGACACTCCCAACACATGCAATGGTCCATGAGATCTATTCGACTCGATCCGCCAACCAGTTGCGGAGAGGAACAAATGCGAGAGATGGCGGCCCCCAGACCACAACTACGTGGCTGGGGGGCTGTCGGGCAGGCGATGCTACAGGTGTGTGGGGTAGCCCCGCCGATGCAGGGATTATACAAGAGGGGAGAAAGAGTTCTATAGTCCACGAACGGAAGTCTAGACAAGAGACTTGGGGGTGGGGGTGGGCAAAGGCCGGAGGGAGTGCTTTGCAGCGCGCAGCGCGTTTACGCTCGCTCACTCGCGCTTGTGAAAGCCGAAGCTTAGGCAAGCTGGCACTTGCCGTCGACAAGCGCGTGGCCAGAGGCACACGAGTAGATCTTGCACTCGCCAGCCTCGCACCCGACGGCCTTGGCGCCGGGCAGCGAGGTGCAGTCGACGCCGGTGCCGCCGACGGCGCAGCCGCCGCACGACTCGAGCTCGGTCTGCGGGTCGATGCACTCGTAGCCCGTGCGCGCGGCGGTAGTGTAGCACGCGAGCTGGCCAGGTGCGGGGCAGTACGTGGCGTGGTCGAGGTCGTTGCCGCTCATAAGGGCTTGGTCGCGACGGAAGTGCTTGCCGCCCCATCCGCCGCGCCCGCCCCACCCGCCCTTGCCGCGGCCGTGGCCCTTGCCGCGTCCACCGTGGCCCTTGCCGTTGTCGACGCCGCCCGAAGGCTTGGGCCCGCCGCAGCACTGCCGGCCGTGGTCCCAGTCCGAGCAGTCGGGTGCCGGCGTCGTCGGGCACCGCGGCTTGCACTTCTTGCCGTCCCACCACCAGTCGGTCGGGCAGCTGATGCCCTCGGGGCACTCCTGCGCCGGCGGCGTGCCGCCGCTGTAGTCGTCGCAGCACTGGCCAGAGCGCTGGTGGTACCACTTGCCGCGGCCGCAGCCGTTCGAGGGGCGCTTGCACGTCCACGAGTTGGAGCCCCAGTTGAAGCCCTCGCCACAGTCGCACTCCTGCGACTCGCGCTGGGGCACGCAGCAGCCCTTGCGCTTGTGCCAGCTCCAGCCGATGGGGCAGTTCTGGCCCGAGGGGACGCTGGTCTGTCAGCATACATCGCATAGTGTTGTCAAGGCCGAAATAGTTTAGGTCAGGGGAAATGTGCCGCCGGTTGAATAGCAAGGGGAATATGGGAATAACAACAAGGGGCGTGATTGCGTTCCGGAATCAAGGGTGGGTTGGATGTTTCAAGTCCGCCGTCACCTCTCTACTCACGAAGTGGTTGTCTGAGTTGACACAGGCGCCACCAGCAAACTTGGCGATCCAGCCGTTAGCACACGAAATGCTGGACTGGCCGTTGCCGCCCCAGAAGGTGCGCTTCTCCATGTGGTTGGGGCCAGCGGCAACGCCGGTCGCGAGCGCCGCCGCGACGGCGACAAGAGTGTTGACGAGCATTCTTGAGGATAGGATGAGGGGAACGAGTGGCGGGTGAAAGAGTGAAGAGAGTTAGAGGGAGTCGACCTAGGCGGCCGGGACAGAGAGGTGGTCGGTAGAGAAGACGGAGGGTCAAAAGGTGGTTGATGGGTGGGAGAGGTTCCAACGAGCGATGGGGGTTTTAAGAGTGATGGAGAGAGGTGGGAAGGGGCTGGATGTTCTAGGCGAGCAGAGAGACCTGAATGAATGAAGAGGGGGTCGGTCGTCGAGGAGATCAAGACAGGAGGACTGACGAGGCACACAAGGGAGGGTTAAAGTACCGGGAGCTGCGCTTGGTTTTGCAAGATATGAGGAGGAGCAGCGTGGCGGTCGTGGTGGAGAAGCTGAGGAACCAGGCGAGGCTGATCCGGACAAACGCACAGGGCGAGTCTATCGGCCTGCCTCCGGATGCTGGGTTGCATAGGAACCGAGCCGGAGGAACGAGGCGGGCGCGCCGAGGTGTGTGGCTCGGCAGTGGGCGGCGGACCGACAGCGGCGGCTGGAGGCTTCATACTGCGAGTAATGTTGGGGTGATGGGGGCGAGCAAGGGTCTATCCATCGCGCATCAGTCGCACGAGTTGATCGTTTCCCCTGTTAGCTGTTCGAGTGTGCGTCGGCTTGCGCTGGCGGCTGGCGGCCAGCGGCTGGCAGGCCACCCCAATCGACGACATGCAAGGCAACAAGGGCGTCGGGGTGTGTGGCATGCGTGGGCACGCCGAGGACTTGGGGATGCTGGGCACACACAGGGATGAGCCGATGAAGCGACAGGGCTGGGGCACAACGACGCCGATGAGCGGTGAGCAGCGAGAGTTTTGCCCGTGGTGTCCAGTGCCAAGTGCCCGGGACCTTGGCTCGGTAAGTTGGGAACAGAGGCCAGAGGACGGAGAGGGGCGAGTAGTCGTCGTCAAGGTTGGCTTGGCCGGAGGACTGGAGCGTCGTCGTCAACGTCACGCTGCAATGTTGGCACTTTAACCCCTCCCGTCTGCCCAACAAATCCCATTGCTCCAACCCCCAGCCCATGGCACTACCACTGCGGCTCAGTAGCGTTCTGTGCTACAGTACGCGTGCACCCGCTTGCCGCGCGCCTTGAGCCAATGTTCCGGCTTGTCCGGTATGTGGGTGCTGGCCGCCAGACTGCCGCGTCGCTTGAAATAGGATGAAAGTTCTACGCTGCATGCAACACCCGCGCTGATATTCCGAACCCTCTCCGATCCCTGGCCCAGCGCCGTGGATCCGTGCATCGCACATTTCCTTATGTGCGGCAGAGCAGCTGGACAGCGTGCTCTGTAGAATCCTGCGGTGTAATGGGGCGCTTGGCGATCAATCGTTCTATCAACCTGGCGGGCTGTGAAGCAACGTCAGAGTGTACAGTAAGCATGCATCATGCATCAGCTGAGCAACGCCCGCCATGGCTTTGGAATGAATTGTCTCATCGTCGACAAGCTTTGCGGAGAGAGCGTTTGCAGGGTCAGGGATGAATGGAATCATCACGCGCGCTGCCGTAACCCCTGACCCGGCCCTGGTGCCCTGCAAGTAGCAATATCGAGTTCAAGCTCACGACGCCGCGGGAGTGCCATGTGCCTCGTCCACTCACGACGACGCGCCAAGCAACGTTGGCGACTGACACCTGCTAGCTGACAGCTTTGCCGACGTTTGCGATGAGCAGCTCTGCCGATTCTCAGAACTGCCTGTTTGTCATCGACGCCACTGTCCATCCAACAGGCCAGCAGGCAGGCAGGCAGGTAGGCAGGAAATGAAACGCGAGACAGCTGGTGTAGCAGTGGGCTAGCAGGCTGCAGGCTGACGATTTAGTAGATTGTACAGTAGTTAGTCGCAGTCTCCCCGGGTGCCGGGCGCATTGGCATTGTCTACGGCCGATGGGGGGGTCGACGATCCAGCCCACGCTCCTATCCGCTTCGTGCAGGTATTGCACACACGCGTCTGATGCAAGAAGCGATGCGCCTTGATACCGAGGTCTGTACGATCCCACACTGCCGCGTTCATGTGTAAATCGATGGTCTTCTGGATTTCTGGGAGCGCTGGAACGGGTGGCCACCGTGCTGCCGTAACCGCACGCGGCTGCCCCTCTTTGCCTGCTCCATCGGATCTATTCTAGTCGACGGGAGTGGAGTGACAACAGGTCTCGCACGATCTCGCGTGCCGTCCGCTTGGCCTGGGAAATGGTCGTCTGTTTCAGACGCGTCAGGCGGAGCAGACTACAACGGCACGCACAGAACACTTGCCCACGGATCAGCAGAGTGAAACGCAGGCGTCGAGCGCCATGCGCGGAAGGCGGAAGATCCGTAGTTTGGTGATCAACGACGAGCACATTCCTGGGGATTCAACATGCCGCGGTCGCGCAAGGCGAGGATCGCCGGACCGCCGGATCGCCTGGCGCGACGCAACGCGAAACGCACGCCACGCTGACTAAGCCTCGTTTCAGACCTATCTGACCTATAGCACAAGCAGCAGATACAGTACATTCATGTGCCGCTTACCGCCGGGGCATCATGCTGAGGCGCTGATGGATGGGATGGATGGGACGCGCTCCTCCTCCGCCTCCGCCGTTTCAGTTGTTGTGAGGCACGGATGTGCCCAAGACCCAATTCGTCAACTTGGCAACAAGTCAACATGCCAGCACTACGCGGTTTCAGATGTTAGTACCTCTTAGCATGATAGTGGCCTCATGTTTCTGGAATTCTGGACTGTCTGGCAATGCGGCCTGTGGCTACCCGTCACCCGTCACAAACCGGCGGGCATCTCGCAGCCTGTATCACTATCACAAACATGGCATCAAGATCGTTTCACAAAAAGAAGACCGAAACACATACACGAACACACCTACGCCCCCAAGCTCTTCCAGTCAATGACGCCCTCGACAGTGTACCGCTCCTGCAGCCACTCGTTGGCCTTGGTAAAGTGATTGTTTCCAAAGAACCCGCGGCTTGCAGAAAGAGGACTAGGATGGGCAGACTTGAGCACATGGTGGCGTTTCTGTGGTTAGCCCAGGCTCTGATAAGGCAAACGCACCGTGTTGAGCCCTGCGATCATCTTGGCTGCGTGCGCGCCCCATGCCATGATGACAACGCCGTTGGCGCCTGGCGTCTCGTCCGCGCTTGCAAGGCGATCAGTTACTACTCGGAGCACAGCTGCGGTGAACTGTTCCCAGCCTTGGTTGGCGTGCGAGCCCGCCTGGTGCGCGCGAACCGTGAGCGATGTGTTAAGCAGGAGCACACCGTGCTTTGCCCACTCGGTGAGGTCGCTGGCATTAGCGTCCTCAGTCCTGCGCTACTCACCCGTGCGTTGGTGTGACGAAGCCGGGCACCTCGGTGGCCATTTGCTTGTAGATGTTTCTAAGCGAGGGGGGGATCTTGACACCCTTCTTGACAGAGAAGGCGAGGCCATGCGCCTGGCCATCGTCCTTGAGGTCAGTACTTTCAAGTACGAGGGTACACCGCTTCAGCATGAACCAGGGTCTGGGGCACGGCCAGGATGGATGAAGGGGCCTTGTCACGATCGAGGTGGATCAACGCGACTCACATGGTAAGGGTCTTGGCCTGCGTATTAGCCTACTATCATCGGGATGCGAGCCGCCCACGGTGCAATGCATCACTCACCAACAACAATGATGCGAACGTCCTTGAGTGGGCACAACCGCGACCACGAATAGATGTCCTCAGCTATGGTCAGCTTTGCTACTCTTGGATGCAGACCACGCTCCGCTGGGCCTTGGAGCGTTCTCCGCCTCTGGACGCGAGAGGTATGTCCTTCCGCACCTGCCGTGCCTTCGCACTCACCAGGTGGGAAGACCTTTTTCGTTTCCTGCTCAGACATGACATATTGCTTGAGCTAACGTCAGCTATGACACTGCAGTTGGCTACCTTGAGAAAGTATGGCTTGGTGAGCTCGTCCTGGAGCGCGAGCAGCCAGTCCTCGCCGAGCGTGTCGAGCTCGAGTTGCAGCAACTTGGCTGTTCCCGGGTGGGCCTCGAGCACCTTGCGCAGATCATCGCGAGACTCGGCACGCGCAAGACTGGTCCCATCCACTGGGGCGGCGGTGGACAGTTTGGCACGTTTAGACGGGGATGGTTCCGCGTCGGCACTTGAGAGGATGGCGGCGCGCGCTGCATTGGACAGAGTGGCTTTGGTTCTGCGCGTGGAGGAGAGGGGCGCGGCCGCCGGCGCGGCGGGCTTGAAGTAAGAGGTGATGGCCTTGGGTGGCATGAGAGGTGGAAGTGAGTGGATGAGGGATGAGGGATGAGGGATGAGGGGGGGATTGGCGGATTGATTGGGCGGCATAATGACGACACGCGTGCAAGTCGCGTCAACCTCGCCTCACCTAACCATCGGGTAAACAGGGTGATCATCAGGTAACAAGAGTTCCGCAGTTCCGCAATCCGCACATAGGTCTGAGTGCCTGACGAGACAGTTCGAACGTTCGAACATACTTGCACCACGAATTGGGACTGCATATAGTAATTACCCAATGCACACCGATGGCATACTGCTCGACTGCAGTCGCTTATATGCAGGACGATCTGCGCTTGCAGATGAGTAATCCTTGCTGCACAGCTGCGCATGAATGACGGTACTATGGGCAACGCACAGCGAATTGTTTGCATCCGCTGCAACATGAGTGACAAACAATCTTGACTCCATAAAGCTGGATGTCGTTGCATTCATCTTTCTCTTTCTCTTTCTTTCTCTCTCTCTCTCTCTCTCTCTTTTCTCCCCCTCACTATATATCACTCTCAACACTCACAACCACCTACACGCGCCGTCTCAAGCTCACAATCATCCACTCCCGCATGCATACACTCTCCTTTCCTCACTCTTACGCTGCACCAATTCGCTCCCGATTCCTCCACCGTCGTGTCACTCTATCCAAGCCAATCCAATCGGTCCTCAGTGCGTATCACATTCACAGTCATTCAGCTACTCTCACGCGTCCTCCCCTTGTTTGCATACCCGTTCGCCCTGCGGATCGCTGACGCTCAAGCTCTTGTGCCCACCATCATCAACCTTCCTTGCCTCTGGAGTGAATCGTAGCAAGCCTGTCTGTACAAAGGCGCTTACCAACAGGCCCAGGGAACGATGCGTCTTATCGAGCTTGTACCGCAGATCCCACTGACGTTACCGTTGAATCCCGCCTCTCATAAGGCCGTGATAGATTTGGTCGCATCCCGCAAATGGAACGATGTGCCCGAGACAACTGTTCAGGTAGCAGTGAGCCAGCTGGTCAATTGCGCAGTTACCAGTACCACACCTCCCTTCAGTGATCTCGCCCGGGTGCAACCGATGGATGTGAGGAATCTCGGCGCCATTCTCAACTCGCCTTCCTCTGTGACGCAACGAGTGCCGGCACAGCTCGTAAATTGGCGAAATGAAACGCGGCAACTTGGAATCGCAGTGAGCCTCTCATTTTCACACTTGGCTGATAATCAGAGAACGCCTCGCTCCACTCATGAGGTGAGTGACCCATTGATGCCGTGCCTGCTCTCTTTCCCACCTTAACCGACCTAAGTGTCTCTCAGATGTCCTCCATTCTCGCAAGCGGAAGCGGTCGGACTCGAGTCAGTCTGGTGTCCGGCTCCCGGATATCATGATCGTACTAGAAACTCGCGAACCCCCTGTCAAGTTAATTCTGATGGTGTTTGAACTAAAGGTACGCCTGGCATCACCAGACCTGACACATCAGGCGCTTCTCGGGCGACGAGTTCACCAGTGGCGGCAAGGTCTGGCCCAAGCCGTGCTTTATCTTGTCCAGGCTCACGAGGGCTGTGGAACATATTTGGGCACATTTGTGCTCGAAAGCGAGTTCTCGAGGATGGTCGCACATGCGAACGTCGTCTACCTCGAGGTGGCTCCTGGGTTTGAATCGCATGCGCCCAAGATAATTCAGGAGCTACTCGAGAACGCCTCTGTCCTGTCGAATGCCTTCCCTCACGATATTGCCCCACAGGACTCGACCGCCAAAGTTGACACACACGGGTTCTCGGCCACTGGCTTTCAGGTTTTCTGGGACCACGTATCTCGAGTGCGGAGCATTGTCGAGGCCATCGACATTGACGACATGCCCTCTCGCCTCCAGCCTCTGGACATTCCCCGTTCCGATCTCCACGGCTTCGCATTTCGCAATGTCATCGATCACCCCGCCAACATTACCCCGGACGTCGACAACAGCGCAGTCTCGCATATCAAACTCCTAGAGCTCTTAAGACTGGCTGCTGCGGCCCACCCTAAGCAGTTTCCCCGGTGGTGGGTCGACGAAAAGAAACGCCTGATCGAAAATGGTCGTCCAGATGACCCGGTCCGGCGCCGGTCTCAGCAGGCTCGTCCGTCAACTCCGTCAAAGTTGTCGTCGATGACAGGACCGTTGCGGGACGAGGGAGAAGGAGACGGTAACGAAGGAGGGTGTGGAGGCGAAGGTGGGGCTCACAGCCAAGGCGGAGACAGCGGATTGGGTGGAGGTGGAGATGAGGGCGGAGATGAAGGCAGTCGTCACAATGACAAAGCTGTGCCCGACGGCGGCCAGAGCGGCGGCCCTCGCGACGGCCTTAGCGGTGACGCGGCCAGTGATGCGGAAGGTCGCAGCGCAGCGCGTGATATCGTGGACGAGCACTGTGAGTTACTATAGCAAACAATTCTGACATCAGGCATGCACGGACATGAACCGAACTACGCAATGTGGCCTTTGACTCATGCTGGCTCAAGTGTGGTCGGGTTCCCGCCGTTCACCAGTCCTCCCGAGAGCGAGGAGGACGAGGAAGCCTCAATGGCGCATTGCGCTCGATGGCTGCGCCATCAGCAAGCCTATGTAGGGGCGTCACCGATACTGCCCGCGCCCTCATCCGCCGACGCGCCACCAACTCCGAACATAACTCCAGTGCAGGGTCGCGTGCCAGAACGGCTCTATGCGCCCGAGGAGCTCTTACGCTCGCGTCCGCTGGTGGCGCCGGGCAGCACGGGCTCCACCGCCATATGCGAGATAGAGGACGATGCCATGAGAGAGGCATTACTTGCGCGCGTAACACTTGCGGGTTGGCGCGTCCGGCTCGTGACCTCTGAAGAGATGGATATGCTGCTCCAGTAGGGAGAGCTTCAGCACTTGTAGTGACATAGCACATGTATGTATAGGTTGTTTGTACCTTGGGCCCTCTGTCTGGAGACAGGTCGTGCAATCTCGTCACCCTACATTTGCTGTGTTGTCCGGCGAGCTCGCGCGGGGTGCCCCGTCTATCTGCCGCATCAAGTGGGTCACTCCGCTGATGTTCGCTCGATCGCCCACCGTCGGAGCAGGCAAGTCGCTGTCAAGCTCCTCCCTGTCAAGCTCCTCCGATCCTGCAAAGCGTCCCGAAGCCGCGAGGCACGACGCGTCAACATGCCGGAGGGAATTGCAGCATGTAGGACCCTACCCAAAGCACCTTACACCGCCAGTTCCAAAGCTATCATACAACGGGTTCCATGCATAAGCTAACAGGCCACTACAGCTGGCTGATGCTGCAATGCCCGTGGTGCCATAAGACACTCTTAAGCGAGGAAGCGGCCAGGGTCACTGAATGGTGGGCTACCAGGATAGGCAACTGGGGTGGAACAAGCGGTCATGCGGTAGGCGGCCAGGCGGCCAGGCGGCCAGACGGCCTCCACCTGCTATCTAATGACGCTTCGCCTTTCTCTCAGCTGTTTCCCTTCACCTCATTCTTTCGAGCTCCAGCTACTATGCCTCCCTCGCCCACAAGCAAAGCGCCCAAGTCTTTTGATGAGCTCAAAGAGCTTCTCAAGGACGATACTATGGTCAAGGTCGCCGGTGCGTCGCGACCCTGGATTCGGCGTGCCGACCCCCCCGCTCAACGATGCCGCTGACACCAGGCATCGACGTCGACGGTATCCTCCGCGGCAAGATCATGAGCAAGGCCAAGTTCCTCTCGGCCGTAAAGAGCGACTTCGGCTTCTGCGGGGTCGTATACTCTTGGGATAGTACGTGCAGATTGGGTTGAGAGCATTGACGTCACCGCCGATGCGCACCCTGTCGCCGACCGAGCGCACCTGTTGACACCAGTGCACGACCTCACCTACAGTCGCGAGCTGCTCGTATCCAACAAGAGCAACGGATACCGCGACATTCTCGGCAAGATCGACCTGACTACGTTTCGTCGCATTCCTTGGGAGGACAATGTACCCTTCTTCCTCGTCTTCTTCCAGGACCAGGAGTCGGACGAGCTTCTTCCGGTCGACCCGCGCAGCCTCCTTGATAAGGTAGCGAACAAAGCCAAGGGAATGGGCTGGGATTGCATGAGCGGCGCCGAGTTTGAGTACTTCCAGTACGCCGAGACGCCGCAGTCGCTCGAGGAGAAGCGCTTCGTCGGCCTTACACCCCTCACCCCCGGCGCGCACGGTTACTCGCTCCTCCGCCCGACATTGAACAAGGACTACTTCTACGACCTGTACAATATCTCGACGGCGATGGACGTGGAAATCGAGGGCCACCGTGAGTGCTAGCAGAGAGCGTGCTTACATGTCAGATACCGAGACAGGCCCTGGCGTTTTCGAGACCGCCCTTGCGTACACGGATACGCTCCGCATGGCGGACAACGCTGTGCTTTATAAGCTTATCGCCAAGAGCGTTGGAATGAAGCACAACATTATGCCCACGTTCATGGCCAAGCCGTGGGAGAACGAGTCGGGATGCTCTGGTCATATCCACGTCTCCCTGCGTGGCAAGGACGGCAAGAATGTGTTCGCTGCGACTGAGGCCGAGGTCAAGGCTGGCGGTCGCAAAGACGCCTCTTTCCCCGACCTTCGATTTGTGTCGAAGGAGGCTGAGTGGTTCCTCGCCGGCGTCCTGACGGGCCTTAGAGATGGTGAGCTTGGCGTTAATATCAGAGCTGACAGCAGTTATCCCAATGATGTGCCCTAACATTAACTCGTACAAGCGTCTGCTTGGCGGTGAACAGTATTGGGCCCCAGATACAGCTTCGTACGGGTACGACTCGCGCATAGCATCGATCCGCATCATCTGCCCTCCCGGCGTTGGCGCGTATGCCTCCCGCTTCGAGGTTCGCATCCCCGGCGCGGATATGAACACGCACTACGCTATGGCGGCCATTTATGGGCTTGGCCTCCGCGGCATCGAAGAGAAGTTGGAGCTACCGTACGGGCCCATTGGCTCGCCTGGCGTCACCCGCGACACGATTGTGCACCTCCCTACGTCACTGGAGAAGGCGACTGAGGCGTTCATGGCCAAGGATAGTGTCGCGCGCAAGGTGTTTGGTGACTTCTACGTCGACCACTTTGGCGGCACGCGTGAGCACGAGCTCGAGCTTAACCGCCGCGCTGTGACGGACTGGGAGATGCGTCGCTACTTTGAGCTGGCCTAGGAGCCAGTAAGGAACTATATTTGAGTCGTAGGCGACACCAGAAGGATGTATACCCGGACATGATATCAATTCCGGGCGTGGCGTTGTGTGCGATACTAGGATATGCATGTGGTTAAAGAGACCAGGAGAGCCCTCCGGTTTTGTTAGAAAACTAAAAAAACATGGATGGCCAGGCGGGAGGTAAGAATGTGATCCCAGCCCCCTGGGCAAGGAGAGGCGCGGCGATGCGCCATCAACGTATTTCCCAGCGCTTTCTGACGACAGACGCATCGCAAAGCGATATCCGACCGCTTACCGCCTCTCGTATACGCCTCGTGGCGAACACCAAATCAGTAGTCTACCCATTGACTTCCACGAGCCGGGGTCGAACCCTTCCACCTCCACCGAATTTTGCCTCCGTCGATCTTTTCGGTGTCGGCGCGGGCTTTCCGACGCTCCTCTGCTCGACGTAGCACTCGTATCGCGCGATCACACCCTTCACCAGCATGTTCGCGTCCACCTCCCGCGCGGCGATCGGCTCGCTGCGCATCGCGCGCGCCTTTTCCGTAAGTTTGTATCAGGAGACGGCGCTGCGCAGCCCGCGCCCCGCCTCCTCCTCTCCCGCATGCGGAGCCGGTCGCTGAGACCTCCTTCCTGGGAGTGCATGGAGCAAGCTGATCCACAGACGTCTGCACCGAGGGCCAAGAAGACGCAGCCGCTCATCGTGGAGCTTATTGAGGATGTGCCCGGTCTTGGGCGCAAGTGTGCGTGTTGCCACGGTGAAGATGGCAGGGCGGGCGGCAGGGAGAAGGAGAGAACTGCGCGGCGGTGCGACTTGCGGCGCGAATGCTGAGCGTCTGCAGGTGGAGCACACGGCGGGATACCAGGCACTCAGCTCCACATCCACTGTTTTCCGGCGCTCTTGCCTGATGTTCACGACGTCCCGGAGCAATGTCTCTAGATTACGGAGACAGCACATCCTGCTCCGGCAGGATTCGATCCTGTGGTGACCGCTGTGGCTTGACGATGGCGCGCGCGCGGCTCCGCAGCTTTACTCAACGCTGCGCGCATCACGCATCATCTCCTGTGCAACTCGCCCTCGCGCACATTACTGTGCTGCGCTCCGCATGTTCCTTGCGCTCGCCTTTCTCTGCCGCCCACACGCACGACACTGTACTGACTGCAGTTGACCGCGTTCCCGCCAAGCGCGGCTACGTGCTCTCGCACCTGCTTCCCCGGCGCCTGATCCGCCTCCTGCCATGGAAGAAGGCTGCCCACCGCCCGTCTGTTTACATCCGACCAGTGCGTCGCCTCGTTCTCCCTCAGTCACGCTAACGGCAGGAAGGCGTCGCAGCCCCGATGCAGTCGCTCATTGATGGTCCGAACGCGCAGGCCGAGGCCGCCAAGGCGGCAGCAGCAAAGCTTCGCGCCTTGCCGAGCACGCTTACGTTCAAGCGCCGTACGATCAAGCCTGACGAGCCAGCGCTGCACGGCTCAATCACAGCTGCCGACGTGACGGCCCTCCTGGCCGAGCAGTACCAGCTGTCGCCGGGCGAGGTGCAGTTTGCGTGGGCGGGGCTGGGCGCTAAGGAGCGCATTAAGGCGCTGGGCACGTTCACGGGCCGCATTGTCGTGCGGGGACGCAAGGAGAGCAAAGACGTCAAGGTCGCCGTCGAGCGGCAGGCGTAGGCTGTGTTGCATGCATGCATTTGGATAGACTGCTCCGTGTCGAGTGTCAGCTTGAGACTTTTGCGAGTAAGGGTGAGACGGAACTCTATTTAAATTGTTGCCGTCGACCATTGACCATTCAATTGTTGAATTTCGACCCGTTAATAGCCCGCCCCGGCGCCGATCCCCTTGTCCCCTCCTCGGTCAAAGCTCAGATCCTTGATAGGTTTGCTCCCTCTTGCTCGTCATCTTCACCCGCCCACTCGTGTTCGCTACTCCATCTCCTCTCTCCCTCCCATCTCCGCTTGCTCTCCTCTTGCTCTCCTCTTATCGACCGACTCCTGCACGGCCGGCGCGGCACCAGGTTTCCAAGATTCCATCAACCTGTAAGTTGTCACCGGCCCTGAAATTGTTGCACCCTTCCACCGCGATCCGATCCTCATCTCCCCTTCCCCCACCCAGCCGGCCATCCCAGTGAGACAAGTCTTGCATCGTCTTGCAATCTCCACCTCACAACTCGTGCTCTCTTCTTGTCTTTTCTTCACCTCCTCCACTCCGTTCGCCCGCTTTATTCTGCGCTAGCTCCCACTCCCACTCCCTCGCCCCACACACTCACGCGTCAGCACCAAAACCCCCCGGCTTAGGCGGCCGGCCCTTCCGCCAACCCTCCCCCGGCGCCGCCAACGTGCCGACAATGCCCATGCTCACAAACCGCGGGCTGGCCCTCAGCTTGACCCCCGCGACGAAGCGGTTGCTGCTGCGGCTCCTCCTGTTCGTCGGGGTTGTGTGGCTGTTCCGTTCTCTCACCTCGTCCACAAAGCACGAGGAAATCCAGAAGCACGGCGTGTTCGAGCGAGTGCTCACTTCCGAAAAATACCTTGATGTGCATGCCAACCCGTGGCTGCAGAGCCGCAAGGGACGTGACGAGAGGCCAGACTTGTTCGACGAGGAAGTGTTGGACGGCATCCTGGACTTTTGGACGCGCTTCCAGAAACCCTCTATCACCGGAAAGGAGACAGCGCACCTCGACACGCAGATCATGAAGGGTGTCGTCGAAGACCTGCTCAAGTTCAACGGCTGGGTCACGAGCGGGTGCCAAGGCTTGATTCGCCCGTTTGACTCGCACAATGACAACTACGACGACCTCGTTGAAGCCGACAACCTTTACTACGTCGCGATCATTGTCAACCAGGCCGACCACTTTGTTGTTGACCAGGTGGCCGTCATTATCGGCCTTGCGCGCCGCCTGGGCACGCGCAACATCTTCGTGTCCATTCTCGACCAGGGCTCGACAGACGGAACGCAGACGCTTTGCGACATCACCGAGGCTGTCCTGACCATCCTTGGTATCGCATTCCGCATCCGCCGCATCCCCGCCATGCCCATCAACTACTACCCACTGGAGGAGGCCGAGGTCCGCAACCTTGCTCTGGAGCCCTTGCACGAGCTCAACGAGAAACGCAACTTGAGGTTCCACCGTGTCATCTGGCTCAAGGGCTTCACCTGCCCGACCGACGTGCTTGAGTCGCTGCGCGTGTCCGAAGTTAACAAAGCCGCCATGGTGTGTGGCATGGACTGGGCTGAGCACGAGGGCTTCTTCATCTTCTCGGACCGCTGGCGCACACGTGACATCGCCGGCGGCCTGTTCCGCCAGGCGCGTTCCAGCTCCAAGCCCGAGGCCGGCCCTCCCCGCGACAAGGTCGGCACCGAGCGCTACGCCGAGCATCTGCCATTCCAGGTCTTCTGCTGCGAGTCGGGCACGCACGTCGTTGACCCCGCGCAGTCGTACTACCGCGGCATCCGCTACAGGGCCTCGCACGACGCTGTCAACATCACAGACATTGACCCGCCCAACACCGGCCCCGAAACCCCATGCATGGACTCTGCGCAAATGTGGTTCTGCCGCGACTTGTGGGTTGATGCGGCCAAGAACGGCGGCGGCAACAACAAGCCCGGTGGTGGCCGCGGGCACCGTCGTGGCACGCACAAGCGTGCGCTCGACACTGTGCGCGAAAACCTCGGCTCGCTGTTCAAGCGTGACGCTGAGGCTGTGGCCGAGGTCGAGGCCGCGCCTAAGGCCGACGAAAAGCGGGCCGCGGCTCCCGATGCCGCGCCAGCTCCCGCGCCTCAGGCTGCTGAGGAGAAGAAGATTAACAAGCCCGCCAAGGGAGGCGACAAAGTCAAGGAAGAGAAGAAGGACGAGGACCCGGCCGAGCGCAAGGACCGTCGCGAGGACGGCTCGGACAAGACGGCGGGCGACAGTGTCGGATCCAACCTCGACGCCATGGAGGAGGACGCTTCAGAGGTGTTGCCCGACGACGGGATCCAGAGCGACGAGCACACTTACCTCTTCCCGAACAGCGCGTACGAGCCTGCGCGCATCCTCGTCAACCCGCGCTGCCTGACGACGTACGGTGGTGTATCGCACACCAAGCTCGCGCTCGACTTGTTCGGCGGCAAGCACGGGCATTCGCACACGGTTAAGCAGAACCTCGTGATCGATGAGTGGCAGGGCGCTCCCGACTCGTTTATCTGCCAGGAAATGCGTACGACCGGTGGGCGGACGGCGCCGAAAACTCAGCGCCGCGTGAGCTTCCTGCTCCAGTACGAAGTGAGTGGACGTGCGCTGGCGTGATCGGATCGTGAACAAACTAACCCCAGGTTGAGCAGTAGACAATTTCCTTCCCTCTACCATAGATAGATGCATCAACTAAACGGCACTCGCCTTGCGTGTCCGAGAGGCCAAGCCAATGTCAGTCGCATGGTACATATGTTACCCACGAATAACAGTGTCTTCTCAGTGTCCCACGACACGCTGTGCCGCGGCATGGTTTCTCGAGTGGGCCGCGGTGTGGCAAGATCGGCGGTGAACGAAGCGGCGCGCCGAGGGGACTGCGATGTGGCTCCAGAGGGGAGCGCGGCAGGCCTGGGGGTGCAGCGCCGGAAGGGAGGCCAAGCGACCCCCGCCCATGCCTGCGTTCTCGAGGCTCGCAAAGCTCAAGTACCCATTACCGCACGTACGGGTCGCCCGTCGTAGAGCGCTGGTGACTCACGCTCGCGCCCGTGGCCCGCCTCTCTCCCGCTATCGCACTCCTCACCATGGTCCGCGTCGCGCCCTCGCGCAGCCGCTGTGGCCTCCTCTGAAGCCTCAAACGTGATACTTGTTCCGTGTGGTGTCACGTGCAGGTGCAGTGGGTCTGGCTCGGGCGTGTCGTCAGAAAGAGAGAGTCGGTGTCGCGACTTCCTGGCCCCACCATCGCAGGCTGCACCACAGGCACTGTACATGGATGAACAGGTCCGACTTGGAGGTGCTCGGCTCCAACTCTTTGCGTTCCAAGCTTGGTCAGGCTGCAGTACGAGTGGCCCGACGCAACTTTCACAAACGCGGCGCTCTATACGAGTGCGTCGGCGCGCGTACTGTCCAGCCTGTGCCCTCCCCCCGCCGATCCGCCAACGCGGCCCTGGGAATAGTGAACAGCGTCACAGACTATTCAGCTACCATGTCGCAGGTAGTATAATATAATACTCCAGTCATTTGAGGCTCTGACTGCCCCAATCACGTCTTAGTTGCTCCACAAACTCTGCTAATCTTCGGGGCACTCTATTCATCACCGAGACACCGGGCAAACGCTCGTGAGGCTCTTGGTGTTCTATCACTCCAGCCTCTAGCGCCTAAACCGGTTCGTCTCCGCTACAGTAATATTCCCAAATAAATAGTCGAGACAGCGTGGGGTCGGCACAATGTTCATGATAATGCGAGAATGGTTGCTTGTTGGTTCGTGTCTTCATGATGTTGTGCCTTGTCGCCATCTGAGTTGAGGTCGGGAATCGTTGAATAAAGGTGCAGGTATTCAGGTCTATCGTACACGACAGGATATAATTGCGAGGCCGCCGCCAGCGGAGGGGTTTGTTATGCAAGCGTGCTCGGACGCGTCGGAGAGGGTGTTCGTAGTTCGGATAACGTCCATTTCGTGTCTGCGACCAGCGCCGCGATGATTATCAAGACCGATGCAGATGTTGATGATGGTTGTGCGCTGTTGGGGAAATGGATGCGAGGGGATCATGGGGTGTAATGGGAGGGTTACGCTGTGAACACAATGCTTGCGATGCTGGATGGGCGGAAACTTGAATTGATGCGAAAGAACGAGAAAGAAAAGAATTGGTGGTTGTCGAAGGAATGACGCTTGTTGAGTGAGACGAGACCGCTCGAGCAACGTCGGTCAAGTGGCGTGCCAATGCACGCACGTCGCCACCAACCAGTGTTTACCACCAGCTGGCACCCGACGAGCCAGATGCAGGGGGGAATCCGCTACCGCCGCCGCCGCCGTAGCCACCGTAGCCACCGCCACCGCCGTAGCCACCACCACCACCGCCACCATAGCCACCGCCGTAGCCGCCACTGCGACCGCCGAAGCCGCCGCTGCTGCCACCGCCGCTGTAGCCGCCGCCGAAGCCGCCGCCGCTACGAGCGTCACGACCGCCCGAGCGACCGCCGCCACCACGGCCACCACCGCCGCGACGGCCGTAACCACCACCGCCGAAGGAGCGCTCCTGCGAGATGTCCACGAGCCACTGAGGCACATCCTGGTTCGCCTCCTTAAGAAGGTCGATGAGGTCACGACCAATCGCAAGGTTGTTGCGGTTGAAGAAAGCGGTGGAAGTACCAGTGTTGCCGGCACGACCCGTACGACCGATACGGTGAGTGTACTCCGCCACGTCGGTGGGAAGGTCGTAGAGGATGACGTGGGTGACGTTGGGGATGTCAAGACCACGGGCAGCGACAGCAGTGGCGACGAGGATAGGTGCGCGGCCAGTCCGGAAAGCGTGAAGGGCAGCCTCGCGCTCACGCTGAGTGCGGTCACCGTGAATTGAGGTGGCGTTGTGGCGCTGCGAGCAAAGGAAGTCGCAGAGCGAGTCAGCCATCCGCTTCGTCTCGACGAAGACAAGGATAAGACCAGTCGACTGCTCGGCGAGGAGTAGGTCGAGAAGAAGCGAGCGCTTGTCGTGCTCATCGACGTACTCGATGCGCTGCGTAATGTTCTCCGAAGTGGAGCCGACGCGGCCAACCGACAGGAAGATGTAGTCCTTAAGGAAGGAGCGGGCAAGCATCTGGATCTCCTTGGGGAAGGTGGCCGAGAACATGAGGGTCTGGCGGTCCTGGACACCAGGCATGTCTTCGCCTTCGACAATTCTGCGGATCTGGGGCTCGAAACCCATGTCGAGCATACGGTCGGCCTCGTCGAGAACGAGGTACTTCACGTTGGCGAGCGAGATGCGGCCACGCTCGATCAGGTCGACAAGACGACCGGGGGTAGCGGAAAGAAGGTCGCAGCCACGGTCGAGCTGACGGATTTGCTGACCGATGTCGGCACCACCGTAGACGACGGCGGGGCGGACCCACGAGCGGTAGGCGAACTTGCGAGCCTCCTCGTGGATCTGCGAGACAAGCTCACGGGTAGGCGCGAGGATAAGCGCAGTGGGGTACGCCTTGCGTCTGCTGTAAGACGAGCTGAACGAGTTGTCCGGAGGGGGAGCCGAAGGGCCGTAGGAAAACAGCGACGACAGAATGGGGAAGAGGAAACCACCAGTCTTGCCCGAACCGGTCTGAGCACAGGCCATAAGGTCACGACCTTGTCCGACGATGGGAATCGAGTACTTCTGGACGGGGGTGGGGGTAGTGTAACGGGCCAACTTGATGTTCTCAAGGAGAACCGGGTCGATGGGCGCGAGGAACTCGGTCACGGGCTCGGGGACACCCGTACCGGTAGCCTCAACGGGGATGTCGGCATACTTGTCAAAGTTGATACCGGTCGACTGTAGGTGGGTCAGCATGCTGCATAGGGCCGAGAAGTGATCAACAGGAGAAGTGTCGGTGGAGTCAAATTTTGCCTCCGCTGCAGATCATTTGCCACTCACCTGCTGAGTACCATCACCTTCCTCGCCGTAAAGCTCCTTCTCAAGGCGGGGGTTCTGCGAACCGAGGATGTGCTTGCCGTCGCGGAAGGCACCGACGCCAGGAGGGAGGTTACGCTCGAAGCGGCTGCCGCCGCTGGGAGGGCCACGAGGGGGAGCGCCCCAGCCGTTGGCGCCGTCGTTGCGGTCGCCACCGGCGTTGCCGTTGCGCTGGCTGGGCGGAACGTAAGAGCCCTGCGGGACAGGAGTCGGGGCAGGGGTGGGGAGACCCGTGGGCGACGGGCGGTAGCCGTTACCAGCGGGAGTCGGGGTGGGCGCAGCGCCGTTGAACTGCTTGGTGGGAGCGGGTCCAGTAACAGACTCGGCGGCCTTGCGGGCGCGAAGGTAGGGGGGAACGTAAGCCGGACGAGCGCCGCCGTTGGACTGGTTACCAATGGAGACGCCAGCTGCGAGATTGTTAGAACATTGGTCAAGGGGAGGAAGGTGGGTATGACGCGACGGTGGCGAGTCGCCACCGTCGTGTTTCGCACGCGACCAAAAACACTCACAGAGCTTCTGCTCGATGTCGTTGACAGTAGCGGTCATAATTTGGTTGAGAGGTTTGCTTTTGATACCTGCGAGATGTCGCGGGTAGTCGGTTGAAGAGCGTAAGAGGGGGGAGAGGTTGGTTGCGATGTGATTGTAGCTGGGGAAGCTGTTTCTTCTCCTTTGTAGTCTCTTCTCGGCCTATTGATACAGAACGAAAAGAGTGTGTCGGGTGTGTCTTCGACGGTCTATTACTCGAGAGAGAGAGAGAAAGAGAGAGAGGGGGAGGAGATGCTGTTTTGAGAGATGAGGATGAAGAGTAAGAGGGGAGTGGGTAGATGGATGATGACAAAAAGAGAAAAGGAGCACGGGTGCTGTGTGGCGTGGCTGCGACGCTTCGCCCTGCATGCCCTGCAGCGCTGCAGGAGCGCCTCGTCTGGCAAAATCTGGGTCCCGGGAGGGGTTCAAAGGAATTGCAGGGAAGCCGGGGCTGTTAGGGCGGGATAACGTGGCGATGGAGCTATAGAGTGATGTGTGTGGTGCGGGTGGGTCTGTGCACCACAGGGGAAGAGGTGGGAGCATTTCCAGATTCCCTAGACAGCCCTCCGTCCCTGTCTCGTGTGCATGATTTTCCTCTCCCCGGATGCCCTGCTTTACCAACGCTCTTTCTCCTCCCCACTCTTTCAGACCCTGAACTTACATATAATTTTCACCTCTGCCGTGATGCCACTGTATCATGTATCATTGAATACCGACATTAGTTCCGGTATTACCCGCTCCCCAATTCAGTTTATCACCGCAATTACCCCAATGCGCCCCCACGTCATAATTCCCCTCGGCCCAATGGCCGCTCCGACATTCACCCCTGTATACTATCGCGTGGCATTTGGGATTAACTATGATCAATAAACACAGGAAATAAGAGGTGGACGCGTCTCAAGTCGACAGGGACCAGCCACGTGCCCCGGGCGTCGCTGCCTGGTCATGCTGGTCACGATCGATCAACAACACGGTGCCATCATCACTCATAACACCTCGTCTTCGCATCTCGTATCTCTCTACACCCTCCCAACTGCATCATGGTGAGACTCATCTGCACGCCATAGCTAACAGCAGTCGGCTGCCAAGGACAACGCTGGTGCGTCGCCTCTGGGACCTATCTGACACCTTCCTCCTCATGCCGCATGTTAATCTCAGAGTACAAGGAGGCGTTCGCGCTCTTCGACAAGCGTGGCACTGGCCAGGTTCCGCGCGAATCGCTCGGCGAGCTTCTTCGTTCGCTGGGACAGAACCCTACCCAGGCTGAGGTTGCGCAGCTGGAAAGCGCCGTTGGCCAAACCTGTGAGTCACGTTAAAGTTAGGACGGTCCTGATGGCAGTCGACTTCAACCAGTTCATCGACATTCTCAACCGCCCCGACGGCTGGAAGCCCGCTGGAACTGCTGGTGCGTACCCTCTCGTCAATCACACGATTGTCACTCGCTGACCACTAGAGGAGTTCATCAAGGGCTTCCAGGTCTTCGACAAGGCTGGTAACGGCATGATCGGCGCCGGTGAGCTGCGCTACGTTCTCACTCAGCTCGGCGAGAAGATGTCGGATGAGGAGGTTGACGAGCTCCTCAAGGGCTTCCCTGTACAGTAAGTGGGATGGGCAGCGCAGGCAGAGCGCACATGCCTCGACTATCACCTGAGCCGCCACGTCTGGAACGAAGGGTGCCACGCTGACGCACAGGGACGGCCAGATCAACTACCACTCGTTTGTGCGCTCCATTCTTGCGCAATAGATGGCTTCTGCGTTCACACGCGCAATGCGGTTGCGCAGACAGGTGGGGTTTGTTTCATGACATAATGTATGACTGTGATACTGTGTTGGCCAGAAGCGGCCATACCCTCGCTCGCACATTATGTGCTCGTGAGAGAGTGTCGCCCGTGGAATGCCTCGTCACCGCCCTCCTTTGACTTCCTTGACTCCCCCTTGCAATGATGCGGCTGGCTGGTGACTGCCAGCCCACAGTCACTGACCCACAGTCACCGGGACATTGGTCACTGCCGATCGCCTCTACCCGATTCAAGGCGTAAGGTGGCAAATGGGGCTGGGCTGATGACTTCCTGCTCTTGCGGCCCCCTCAAATTGACCAGACGTATTCCCCGTTGCCTCATCCACACACCTGCTGACGCGACTGACTTTGCTCGACACGTGACTGACTTCTCGTCCTCATTCGCCCGTGCCGGTCCCCTGATCCCCTCAACACTCAAGCAAAGTACAGGTGTTGCAAGTACAGAATGCCATTGCCAAATGGATCGCTCTAGAATTTCTAAGTGCGGGGCACGGTGGAGAGCATGCGGCTCCACGCGCGCTCATACTGGCCCGCGGGGTTGGCAGCGACGCCGAGCTCCTGTGCGGCGCGGAGGGGGAAGTCGATGTGGCGTAGGATCTCGCGGCCGAAGAGCACGACGTCGGCCTGGCCTTTCTGAAGAATCTCCTCTGCCTGCTGGGGCGACGTGATGAGGCCGACAGCACCGATAAGCAGGCCCGGCACCTCCTTCTTGAGGTGCTCGGCAAAGTGCACCTGGTATCCCGGGCCGACGTTGTACTGGCCTCGCGGGTCGTTACCGCCCGAGCTGACGTCGAGGAGGTCCACGCCCGCGTCGCGCAGCAGGCGCGCGTACATGGTCGTCTGCTCGATACCCCACCAGCGCCATTCGCCGTTCGCGTCCTTCTCCGGGCCCTCCGCCGCGTCGAGCCAGTCGCTCGCGCTCACGCGGTACAGCAGCGGCCCATCCCAGTTCTCGCGCACAATGCGCGTCACCTCAAGGCCGAGGCGCGTGCGGTTCTCAAAGCTGCCCCCGTACTGGTCGGTGCGCTCGTTCGAGAGTGGACTGTAGAAGTTGTGCAGGAAGTAGCCGTGTGCGCCGTGGATCTCGATGAAGTCGAAACCCGCGGCCTTGCACCGCAACGTCGCCGCCTTGTACGCCTCCTTGACATGTTCGAGATACTCGAGGCTCGCCTCGGCCGGGTGCGGGTTCGTGGCCGGGTTGAAGCTGATCGCCGATGCGCCCTTCACGTCCTTGGCCCAGCCGTTCGCCTCGTCCGTCGCGACCTCACCGCCCGTCCAGCCCTCGTCCTGCGCCTTGCGCTGCACCCATGGGCTGAGGGTGCTCGCCTTGCGGCCAGCATGTGCGAGCTGGATACCGATCTTGCCGCCGTTGGCGTGCACAAAGTCCACAACGCGCTTCAGGGGCGCGATGTGCTCGTCGGACCAGATGCCCATGTCCTCTGGCGAGATGCGGCCCTCAGGTACAACGGCGGTTGCCTCCACCATGAGGTTGCACCAGCCACGCAGGGCCATCGACCCATGATGCACAAAGTGGAAGTCGGTCGCCTTGCCATAGTCGCTCGAGTCTGCGCGTCAGCCCATGACGTCTCCGAAACTGCGATCGTCGCTCCACGGCGCTGCGGCGCGGTCGGGGCCGGGGCCGGGCCAGTTTACCCGGTCTAAGGGCCTTATCCTATTACCGACTACCGGCGCACCGACAGTCTACCGCAATCCGCAATCAAGATGGTGGACTTGACCAGCTGGCCAGTCCAGGACCATGGTACTCACACATGCACATGGGCGCGACCCACATCCTGTGCGGCCACTCGACGCCGCGGATGGTAATGGGCTCAAAGAGCTTAGGCACATTCTTGTTCTGCGGGAAGCGCTTAGTCGACGCAAGCGCACCGATCTGCTCGGGCTGCTTGGGGATGTAGGAGGTGTAGTCAGCCGCCTCGCTTTTGAAGGGCGCGAACGGGGGATTGGTGTTTGGGGGGTTGCAGGGAGGGGCTTCGCCGGGCACTGGTGTAAGCACTCTGATGCCACGATCGCGACGAGGCCCATCCCGGCAAGGGGACGGGAGTCGGGGCTCACTTTTTGTTGATGAACTTGGGGAGTGACAGAGCAGGTACAGCTGGGAGGAAAGAACGGGGAACTTCGATTGGGTTTATATTGCTCGCGCTCACATCATCGTGACCTCCACATCTACCTCCACTTTACCTCCACTTCCACGACGCCAGCTTATAAAGCAACGTCTCGAAAACTTTAGAAATCGAAGCTCCACTTCATTACGACTGCGCACACAACACCAGCATCCAGAACATGCACGTTTGTCAGAGCTAACGAAGTCGTGATCCAAAGCATGCATGATACAAGACAACAGCCAGACATGTCTCATGGTCGTGGTCACAAGTATGATGAATACACACGGCCTCCACTTGGCGTCATGACGTCGGTTAAACCTCCACTTCTCCTTCACGGTCATCACCCTGCTTGACCATCCCCGCACGATTTGATGATCAATATCCTGCCGATCCTCGGAGGGATGCACAACCTCGGAAGGATACTCCACCAAGTCGCTTATCGCCCGGTGTCCATGACCTGGAAAAGACGTTCGATGTCCTCCCCCCCACACTCGAATGCTATGTCTAAAGAGTCGATGGACGTGTCACCATCAGAGCTCGGTTGGGCAGGGAGGGGCTCCCGTGTGCTGAAGGCCGTACAGCGCTGGGGTGTTGAGCGAGTAGCCATTGCAGCGCGGGGTGGAGGCGCAGATCTTGACGACTGGCGCATCGGGGTCGTCGACACGTGCACTGCACGAGCAGTGGGTGGTCCTGGTACGAGTCCTCTCAATGCCAGTGAGCTGCCGGTCTCCGGGCCCGGAGCATGGATGGGGACACCTCGTCGAGGGCTTGATCTCACTGGCCGTGTGGACGCCAGCTGCACTACAGAGCGAGGAGCGGACTTGGTTGCTCTCAAGGGCGGCTGAGGCTCGCTCTTCACAGCAGGGAGCGAAGTTGTCGATGTCACAGGGCGGCCGTTGGTGCGGTCGGTGAGCATACGTGGCCGTGCCGAGCGTGCATCGTTGAGGGTTTGAGAGCGACTTGCGCTCCCCGTGTTGGAGAACGACGTGCTTGCGCGAGATAAAGGGGTGGGAAGGACAGGGGTAGACTGCGATGACTGGTCCATGATCTTGTCGAGCAACTCGTCAAGTTTTGTCCTTTCCGTGGGTGCAGGCGATGATTCTGATCTCGTTCCGCGGAGTAAGCGGCGGGGGCGTTTTAAAGCAGGCTTGTCTCCGGTGAGCGATGAGGAGCCGATGGGTAGGGGCCGCTGCGTTGGCGCAGGCAACGGCAATGGATCTAGTGTGAGCGTTCACTCCGCAGGATGTGCATCGCACATGTTCGGCGAGGCCTGCCTCGGATCAGCCGACTCACCGTCCGCAGCAGCCTGCATGAGCAGCTCCTTTCGTAGCCGATCGTCGAGTTGCCACCCCACACCACTCCCCCTCTCGTCGTTCTCCCGCAGTTCTCGCTTGCGCCTCGCCCGGGTATTTGGCGTATCCATGTCTGTGAGCTCCCGCTGTGTAGGCGAGGGCTGAAATGCCTCCTCGGGCGAGCTCCGCTGCGGCGGCAACTCGGAAGGTGGCGGTGATGTCGCAGCTAACTGAGGAGGTGAGATAGGGGCAAGGGAGAGCGAGCGACAGGGGCTTCACGAGGGGAGGTACCGGGGCGGCGAGTGTGAGAGGAGTGGGAGGGGCGAGAGCTGTGAGTAGTCGGTGGAAGGCGGGAGGGCTATGGTGCGGACTGGATTGAGGGCGAGTAGTAGCAAGAAGAATGGCCGTTAAGGAGTGGTGTCGAAGGCTCGAGGACGTTTGCGGGAGGGGGTGATGCAGATGCGAGGATGCGAAGTGCGAAGGCAGTCGCGCGAGTGTGCCTTGTTGGGGTTGATGAAGGTGGAGGCAATTGAAGGCGCCCTTTGACCGACTACTTGTTTTTCCAGACCGACAACTACCAGCGGGATCAGATATCCCTCCCGTGTGCGTCACCGCTCGCACTGACCTCGGCCCGCCACCACCACCGGAGAGGTCTCAACAACATCTTACGTTTCCTCCCCACTCCACCTCGCCGTCATGTCCCTTCTCCACGCCCTCGTCTCGCGCGGAACCACAATTCTAGCTGAGCACGCCACCGGCGACAGCGTGCTCAAGCCAGGTGCGCGCTCCTCCCTGGCGAGAAGCTGACCGCAGCGGCCAAGATTACTATCCTCTCCAAGATCCCGCCCAACAACTCAAAGCTGACCTGTGCGCCGGTTGCCACGCAATAACTGACAGCAGACGTGTGGCAGGACCGGCTGATTCATTATGTCTCATCGGACGGGGTCATCTACCTTGTTATGGCGGACGACAGTGTCGGACGCCGCATGCCCTTCGGCTTCCTGGCTGAGGTGGAGCGTCGCGTGAGCTCCAGATATCGGAGGTAGCTCTAATGCCAGTTCACGGCCGAGTACTCGCCCGACGCAATCTCGGCAGCGGGTGACCATGGACTGGATGACTTTGAGAGCGAGCTGGCCCGACTCATGCACCAGTACACAGAGAACCCGCCAGCCGATCCTCTCAAGCAGGCGCAGAGCGATCTCAGCAACGTGTGCGTGTTCAGCTGAATGTTGTTTGGGAAGTAGCTGACGACAGCAAGGACATTATGGTGCAGAACATTGACTCGATCCTGCAGCGCGGCGAGCGGCTTGACCTCCTCGTTGACAAGACGGACACGCTAGCCGGGCAGGCGTATGCTTTCCGGCGCGGGGCGCGTTCGGTGCGCCGTCAGCAGTGGTGGAAGAATACGCGCATCACGGCTCTCACCGCTTTTGTCTGCGTGGTGGGTTTACTCTCCCTCTTGACATGCTCCCAGGCTTACATCAGCTTCTTATCTACCTCTTCATTGCTCAGTTCTGCGGCGCGTCGCTCTCGCATTGTGGCAGCTCCTAATCCTTCTTCTTGTATAGAGTTTTCATTGTTGTACCATGATGTCGTATGCACATCCTGTCGTCTGACCTGTTGACCTCTCACATCACCATGCGGCACCCGAGGACGATGTTATACAATGCATAGGCCACTCTGACGTTCAATGCTAATCCTCTCTCTACCACTCTAAAGCTCAGCAAGCACGCCCATTGCCAAGCTCTGGGTGACCTGGTCGCCGAGATTCTTCTCGACTGCCTCCTCAAGGTGGCGCTTCGGGTCGAGCTTTCCGACGTGGCGTGTCTTGAGCTGCTCAGGCGTAAGCGTCGCCTCCTCCTGCACACTCTTGGTGTACGTCTGAGCGAGCTTGAGCATGAGCTGCGCCGACTTCTCGTTGTTCTCCTCCTGCGTCTCAAAGTTGTCCAGCTTGAGCCCCTCAGTCCATCCGCGCTTGTGGAGGTTGAGCAACATGCCCTGCTCCGCCTCGGTTTTGCGGTACTCGATGGCAAGCGAGTAGTAGTGACGGTTCAGACCATGTATAAGCGCCTGGATGGACGGCTTGTTGAGGTGGCCGATGTTGGACGTCGTCTGTCGGCTCTCCTGCCCGGCCATGAGGGCCTTGGGGTTGATGCTCCGGAATGCATCAATGACGACCTTGCCGCGGACGGACTGGATCGGGTCAATGACGACAGCCACGGCGCGAGGGTGCAGCTGCTCGAAGGACTGCTGCGTGTTGACATCGACGGATGATAGCCAGCATCCGAAGCCGGGGTGGGAGTGGTACCATCCAACGACCATTTCGGGGCTACAGTTAGACGTAAAAAGGCGGTTGTGCTCACCGGCCAGTCTGCTTGAGCATTTCCAACATCTTCGTCTGGAAGACGTGGTCGACGGACTCGACAGTCACCGTTGTTCCGGACTGCGGCATTGCGAAGACGTCGACGCAGGAAATCTTACGTTAGGCGTAGTCAGAGGAGATCACGCACAGTGTACTCGTCCACAAACTCGCCAAGCATCAGGCCCATGACCTCCATGGGAACGCCTGCCCGGCCGTGCTTGAGCATCTGTTGTCAGCTGGAGAAATATATCTCAGCTCACCTTCAGGAGAGCCAAAGAGGAGATGTGGACAGTCTCGCCACTGAGATTGTTAGCAATGCCTCAAACGCATAATGAGACCCACTTGTCTGGCAGAACGATTTCCTCCACGCCGCGAGCGTGACCCCCGCCGAGAAGACTAGAAAGCGCGTTGCGGTTCATCGTTAGGTTCGGCCCTGTCAAGGGCTGGATCAAATGAAGAGGGGTAGAGCGGGCAAATATGGAGAGGCAGTCGCTCTTTGTTCGGCTTGTGGTCGCTGCGAAGAGTTGTGGCGAGCGCTGGTGTGACGATGGTCTGGATGAGGGGAGGTTGTGGACTGATATGGAAGCTGTAAGCCGTTCAGCCAACCTCAACACTGACGACAGCGAGGGCAGTCGACACGCGAGCGCCACTTCGATTTGATTCCGCTACACACTGTGTGGTTCTAGCTGTCTATTGAGGATTGCTATAGCATATATTTTGAAACCTAAATGATAATTCAACGACAACAAGCCCCTGTCGGCGTCAAATAGGCGCCTTGGAGTGGACTCAGTTACGTCAATTGGGGAGCCTATCAGTCGTCGACTTTGCCACCAGAGGCGAGGGCGGTCCAAGGAAGGCATAAATGGACCGAGTTTGTCGACCTCAGCTCCCCACACTCCAATACAACCAACAACTCCACTCAACCCTCTCCCCCCTCCGTCCGCCCGTCATGTCCGAGTACCAGCGCATAAAGGCGCGGGCTCAGGCGATGCAGCGCGAGAAGGAGGAGCAGCTCAAGCGGGAGCTCGAAGCTAAGCAACGGCGCGAGAAGGAGGCTGAGAGGGCCGAGGCAGAGGTGCGCCGCTGTGGATTCATAGCTTTGCCGCGACATCGTTGCTGACACTGTTTAGCGGCGCAAGTTGATCGAGCAGGCCACTAAGGAGGCGCGGTTGAAGGCGCTCAAGGAGGCCAACCAGGCTCAGGTCAAACCCACGAGCGCTGCGAACATCGAGTTTGATCCATTCGCCGACGATGCTGTGCCAGGGCTATCAGCGAGGGTGCGTGGGAATGTTGCGGGGTGCGAGGTGTCTCCGTTGCCTCATCAGCTCCCATGACGTACTGACAAGCAGCCACCTCTGCGGAAGCCATCAACAGGTGGTGCGAAGAGCAATGGGACAGCAAAGAAGCCTTCATCTAGCGGCGCGGGGCCGAAGCAGTCCAACGGCGTGAAGAAGGAGGGTATCGCACCGAAGAAGGGGGAAGCTTCATTGCTGAGCCGGAAGGAGAAGGCGGCAATGAAACTCGCCCGTCAGTCCAAGGCGGACTCGATGTTCAGCGTTCAGTCACTTGTCGATATGGCTGAGGGGACATCAAGTCGTTCGGTGTCGCCCCGCCGCGCACCGCCACCGCGACCCGCCCCGTCTGCCCTCAAGAAGTCGACGACACCCGTGATGGCTGCAAAGGCGTCCGCCGGAAAGGGCATTGCTGGCATGAAGAAGTCGCTGGACGTTTCTGGGTTGCGCAAGCTCTGCCCTGACCGCGACTCACGCGACAGACGCACTGTCGACGAGATACAGCGCGACATACGGGCGCGCAAAGGCGTCACGTCTGGTGTCGCATCAGCGACGAGCTCTAAACCGTCCAGCGCTGGCCCACCAAGGGATAGCAAGGATCTGGAACGGAACCGCGCCCGAGATCGCAGGTCGCCGCCGCGTGCGGCAGGCAAGATTCGTCGTCGCTCGCCGTCATTGTCAGGCAGTGATTCGGACTCATCAACAGCACCGCGTAAGCGCCACGCGATCGCCGGGCCGAACTTTGATGGCGATGCGCCAGCCTCGCGAGCGGCCGTCTCGGCTCTCATCCAGGGCATGTTCAGCCGCGGCCGGCCGCAGCGGCGGTACGATGACGAGTCGGACGGGTCGGACATGGAGGCGGGCCTGAGCGACATTGACTCGGAGGAGAAGAGGGCGGCCAAGATTGCGCGCCGCGAGGACATGGAAGAAGAGCGCCTCGAGGCCGAGCGCCGCGCGGCCAAGGAGCGTGCCAAGCGCCAGCGCAAGTGAGCGGTTCCGGGAGTGCGAGTGGCATTCCTCGCCCGCGCGCCTTAACATAATGTGGCGGCACTGCGCACCGGCCTGAGATGCGCTATTTGTTTATTAGTCGAACTCGGAGACATCGTGAGACCTGTCGAGATGGCGTAGCGCCTTGTTGTAATCACCAACCAGCATGCATCATATCCTATCAAGGTGTGGTGGGTGAGATGTTTATTGGGTGTTTGTTGGGCGGAAACTGGAGTTCAGCTCACGCCCGATGCGCGATCAGGCGATCAGGCGATCAGGCGATCAGGCCGACAGACAGACATACCGATGATGCTGCGGCATGCTACCCACCCAGGATGCGGATCGCGGTGCTCCACACAGGCGGCTCCGTCCGAGACTGCGGGCAAGATGTGACAGGAATCTCAGCAATGCCCAGCTTAGCTCGCTGGTAATTGGAACTGGCCGCAATGGCACGCTATCAAGATATCATCTCGGTAACAGGCAGGTTGTACGAGGCCGGTTCTCTGAGGGAGAAGGACCGCTGGCAGCTGCAGCCGGTCGACGAAGGGGGGCACTCTGCATGAAAAGTCCTCTTGCTAAGCAGTCCAGACTGTACCGCATCAGCAACGGCCCTGCTCGAAACGTAGAAGCGTAATGTCCGGCCGGCACGTGATCTTCCACTAGATGTTCTTCGATGCCCCAAGGCCGGCCCACAGTGGAGGGGCAAAGGAGCCCTTGCTCGATGATGCCGAGAGGGAGGTGTCTTAACCCCGCTCTGATCACAATACTCGACCTCCTCAATTGTGGGCGGCGCAACGTTGAGCTTACGTGGTGGCAGCGTGGCGGCCGGCGTGCGATCGGCGTGGCGCGCGTGGCTCGGTGCGGCGCACGAGCTCCGAGCTGAGCTACAAGTCTAAACACCATTGATGATGACGCCACGCGAATTGGGGGTGGACTGCATCTGCCGCGGCAGTCAGATCTCCTCCCTTGAACTAGTCATGGCAACATGTCCTCGCGGCTGTCCAGGCCTGGCCATGGCCCGCCATTCGCCGGCCGACATGAGCGCCTCAGGAGCAGGCAACGGAACCTTGCGATGCGAGGCATCGAGTCTGGGGTGCCTGCTGCAGTCGTCTATGGAATCTGCCGGCGAGCATGGCCAGAGGTTGCGGCCAGCGGCCAGAAGCTAGAGGGAATGATAAATCGAGGGTGTGCGAGGATACCAGGCTGACGCGGCGGCGCGGCGCGGCGCGCTTCCGGGCCGAAATGTTTTGCAGACATGAGGATGAGGAATTGCTAGCACCGTGGGGTTAGGCCGGCGCCAAGCGGACCGGCTTGGCGTGCGGCGCGGCGTGCCTTTCGCCGCGCAAGCATCAGCGGCGCCGGTGCATTCCCCCGTTCATTAAACCGGGCCGGTCCCTAGCCCGGAGCGCGTCGCAAGCGGCAGGCAAGCCGCCATCGGGGCGGGCGCTTGTGCATGCCTCACCGGGCCCACAACAGATGTGCGCTGCAGTTCCGCGAACGCTGTGTTGTGGAAGGATTATGCGTGGCGGGAAGCCTGCATTGATGTTGTGGGATCCGACAATCTCCCCCAAGGCCCGAGGGGCTGTGACGGTGGTGGATGTCGTGCAGAGGCCGTGGATGCTGCAGATCGGGGCGAGGTGCACTGATCGTACTGATTCATGATCCACGCGATGCACGCGACAATCTCATCCCACGCGACGATCCCTCCCTCGCTCCCTACGCTCGGCGTCCCATCCACGTCGAAACTGCGAGGTAACAATCTCCGCCGGGTCTACCGTAGAGCGCTAGAGCTCTCCACCGCACTGCCCGTATACTGCGCGTATTGCCATATGCCCACACTGCTTACAATAGCTGTGTGCAGCTGCATGGCATTCTATCATGTCGCATGCGAATCATCGAGCCAAGCTGCTGCCATGCGCCGAGCGGCCGCCACCAGTGATCGCCCATTGCCCAAATTACAGTACATCCACCACAGCTTGCATCCACAAGGACAGGGGGATGGAACGAAAGAGGGTGCATCCAAGTCCTGCCCAGCCCCTCCGAAGGCCTCGCCACGGTCCATGGATCCCATTCAGCTGATCAGCTAGCAGCTAGCAAGCATCGATGGCCTCATGCCTCATGCTGGACACGATGATTTAGAACAGCATCACTGTCTTTGACTAGGCACCCCCGTTTTGACCCTCTCTCATCCGCCAGCTCTTGCTCTGCCCGTGTGCCTTGTTGCCAACACCCTGAACACTACGCGTAGCCCAGGAATTGCGAGTAAGCTATATTTCCCGCAGGCGGTCAGTCGTGACAGAACCCTGAATGCTCATCCTCTGCTCCCGGGGGTTGACCCGCATTTGAAGGGGCCCTCCCTGAAAGCCCTGCCGAGCCAGCCATGCCGCGCCGGAAGAGGCAAGGGAAGGAAGAAACGTAGACGCGCTCGAACCTCTTGATGGAGTGCCGGAAGGACCGGAAGGGAGGCCAAAGGAGGTTCAGAGTCCACGCCAAGGGGATCAGCAACCCAAGGGTAAGACCAAGCCGAGGGCGCAGGGGCGCAGAGGGCGCAGAGGGGCGCAGAGGGGCGCAAAGGGATCAGAGGACGGGGGTGTTGGTGGTGGGGTGGAGCGCGGAGCGCGGAGCGACGCGGCGGCCAGGAGAGCGAAGGAAGGTCACTCAGCTTAGTGGACCCCAACAAGACTCTTGCAAACCACCCACCCCTTTTCTTGCTTTCTCTTCATCTCTCTCATTCACTCTTTAGCACACGGACCACGCACCTCCCCCCGCTCGCTCCCTCTCTCCCCAACTCTCTTCATCGTCGTATTCGACACTCTCCAACTCGCCACCTCGCTGTCCTTGACACTCTTTTCTTCTGACACGCTCTCTCAGCAACGTCTGTATCTGTCCATCTCTCAACCTCCTTACCTACTACTACCTTCCATAACTCAAATCAACAATGATTGCCTCGTACGCCCTTGCTGCTCTCCTCCCCCTCGTCTCGGCTGTAAGTAAACTCTCAATCATCGCAAGATGGCCGATCCTAACACTCTCCGCAGAAGTGGGCCGCCTACACCATCTCGCCCGCCGCCTTCCCCGACCTCTGTGTCGTCTCGAGCGGTGCCGACAACGGTGCCAACCTCGTTCTCGGCAAGTGCGAGTCCGAGGCTGCCGTCTGGAAGTACTCGGACGTGAACGGCAAGATCAAGAACGGCAAGTCGTGCATGGACGTCCGTGACGGTGTCGAGATCGACGGCACCCTCGCCCAGACCTGGGACTGCGCTGTCTGCAACGACCACCAGTCGTTTGACTTCGTCTCCCCCTCGAACAACTCGATCTTCCAGGTTCAGTGGACTTTCGCCGACTACTGCCTTGACCTTCACGAGGGCAAGGGTGTCGTGAGTTTTTACGTGGTGGACAATTCCATCTCTTGAGACAAACTTTGGCTAACCATCACAGGAGGGTGCCACCATCCAGCTCTGGAAGTGCATCGAGTACAACGACAACCAAAAGTGGATCGTCGACTCGGTCAACGCGACCGCCGCCCCCGCTGCTCCCTCGGGCAACGCCACCGCCACCGAGTCGGCTGGCAACTCGACCGAGACCGTCGTCGCCGCTCGCCGCGCCCACCAGAAGCGTCGCCCCGCTCACTAAACGCTGGCTGGTCCTGCGACGAGGCCGGAACCTCTAGAGGTCTGGCCCGCGCTCGATACTGGTGATCGCTGCGCACCGGCCCCGACCATACGACTCTACCCCATCATTGTCACGAACCCTTTCCCTCTTCTTCCTAGGTCTTTGGCTAGGTGCTCCGTCCGTGACGGAGCGGCATGCACTCTTTTTAGGTGTGCGCTACTATGTTGCATATTTCTGCTGTGTATTGATTGACGCTGGTGCCATGGTGGTGGTGCTGTTCGGTTGCTTGCCGCGAGCTTGCTCGCATGTTGTGACGTGGTCCGGCTGGAAGCTGTGCAGGGCAGTGCCTCTACGACCAAAGTCCTTCCCGTCACATTGGGGTGACGGTCGTCTTCATGACGGGGAGTGAAGCGATGCGGTGCCTCTACATTTAGTGTGCGTCTGCCAGCGAGTAACTTCCGCGATGTGCTGATGGCAACTCGTTGCAACTCTGGCGCGTTGATATGGATGCGCATAACTCGGAGTGGAGTGGATTCTGGTGGCCCAGCGCCACCTCGGAAGTGGGTGCAGTAGTAGTGCCAAGCACCATGCTTACCAAACAGCCCAGAGCACGAGCACCTCAAAACATACCAGACCACCTGCCAAGCCGCACTGTACCTTCCGGGGTGCCTCCCTCGGTCCGCCCTCGGTCTGCCCTGGGCCGGAAGCATGGAAGGCGTCAGCGAGCGGAGGGAGCAGCATGTGAGAGTCTGTGGCATCGCGGGCGCCAACGATTGGGCGAGATACATTGCAGGAACTCTTGAGTTGACTTGGTGAACGGTAGTATGGCGCAAACTGGACCCGCGGGGCGGCGCGAGGTGGAGATGGGGCGGCGACGAATCCGCTGGACCATCGTCCTCCTGATCTCCTGTCAGGCGGTGGTCTGAGTCGTGGTGGATTCCGTTGCAAGCTTCCAACTCGCAGAGCGGCCAATGCGACATCCGCATCGTATCACATCATTCTTATGTGGCTGCATGCAGCATGCACGACATCACGCGACGCGCGGATACATTCCGCAGTCAGCAGCCGGAGCGCGCCGAGTGCCTGTGGAGATGCCGAGCTCACGGTACGCGGCAGTGACAACCGGCTCTCAGAAGTTCTGTTCCGTGCGGTCCCAAGCTCGCACGCCACGCGCCACACTCCCAACTGTCGCCATGGCCGACGAAAGCGCGTCTTGTCGCTGCACATTCCAGCTAATGTCCCCTCGTGGCTCTGTCTCACTCACCCCCGTCTCGCTTTCCGGCCGTGGCCTGCGGGACAGTCGCCTCGTCAAGCCGCACGGCCCGTGCGTGCGCCACCAACCCACTCATGCTGTCGACATCTACTGACAAGGCCTAACTCACGCTCTTTGTAACTTCACTCACCATGCCCGAGCCCTACGGCTCGTTCGCGTGGATCTGTACGCGCCGCTCCCGCTCCGCTGACGCCAGGCGCACACGCGCCGTTGCCGGCGTGCAACATCCTCTTCCGGGCGGCCTGGGACGCAGGCGCCCTCACCACACTCTTTCCTTCGACCTCCGACTTCTTCTCCCCCTACAACATCGTGCGTGGCTAGATGCGCAGTGGCTGCGCCTCATGCCTAATGCCAGACGAGCGCGACTCCCGCAAGCCACCCGTACGCGCGCGCCGCCCGCAGAGACGCTGGCACGGGGCTCGGCGCCGGCTGCGTCGTTCCGCGGGTCGGGCAGCGCGGCAGCGTCGGCGACATAGGTGCGTCGCGCGCCGTTCAGCTGACCCAGTCCTCGTCGTCATGTCCCTCTTCTCCATGGTCGTGCCCGCCGCCCTGATCTGGCGCTCGTTCCAGAACAAGCTCGGCGTCGGCGCCCTCGAGCTCAGCCTCGTCCTTGGCGTAGGTCTTACGCCATCCGGGCTGACGGGAGTCTTTCGCCCTCCACTCCGCCCTCCAGGCTGTCACCCAGTCATCAATGCTGCTGCAAGGTGCGCACGGAGATAGTGGCGCTAACCGCAGGCTCGGGGGCCCTTCTCGTCCTCTCCGCCGTGCACCTCGCCGTCGTCGCCACGCTCGTCTGGCTGGTCCTCTGCAACACCATGGTGTTGTGGGGGTCGTACGAGTATGTCTAAGCCGGTTGGCAGCTGACAGCAGCGAACTGAAGACGGTGTACCTCGTCGTGCAGAGCGTGGGGGCATCCGCCATCTTCGGTGTCACTCTCTATCTCGCCCTCGCCACGGGATACGGGTGGACAAGCGCGTTCGCCTTTGTCCCCGAGGTACGGAGCATAGCTCTGTTTACCCTCACTTTCGTGTGGCCCGCCTTGTGAGTGGATTCTGATAACGAACACAGCCGCTGATAGCAGCGCGCTGGTCGCGACATACGCCGCCATGTTCTACATCGCCGAGTACCGGATGCGCGAGCGCGAACCAGCATGTGAAGGCTGGACCAATGGAACTGGGAGTTGACGACAGTGTGGCTATTTGGAAGCGCGTGCGCGCTCGCGGGCGGCCAAGTCGTCCTCTTCGTCGCTTCGCAGCCACTATGCAGCGTGAGCAGCACGCCACATCATCGCAGCTGACGCTAGGCGTCCAACCGCATCCTCAACGGCGCCTTTATTTCAGCACTCATGAACCTCCTTGCACTCGTCCTATTCTACCGCGCCTGGAACGTGAGCGAGCCCTCGTAGACGTGCTGACACCAGCTCATGGGCGAGGCAAGCTGGTCTCTCACGGAGGCCTGGATGCCGCGCTACTCGTATGCTTCGTACGGGTATTAGCGTTGCTTCTACTTCTCCGTCCCCATTGTGTCTGTTCTTACATGTCCTGGAGCCTTGTCGATGTGTCCCTATGCATAGTTGTGCGTCGCCCTATAACATGTGCGTCGACCCGCGCTGCCACATTCACCTTCCCTGCCCCACTTTGAGCGGTCACGGCGGCGGGATCAAATACTTGGCCACCGGCATGTTGACACCTATCTCACTCTTCGCCATTCACACATCATCACTCCAACATGGACGGGGCAGAACTCAGCCTCAACTCACCTGAAGCGGATGGCGATGAGTTCCGCCCACGCGGGCGAGGGCGGGGACGCGGGAGAGGGCGGGGTAGAGGGAGAGGCCCGGGCCGCGGGCGGGGCAGAGGCCGGGGTGCGGGTGCGGGTGCGAGCGCGGGCGGCGCGCGCACGAGCTCGCGCATCAGCCAGCGCGCCGCCGCCGTGCCCGCCAAGCTCAAGATCAGCCTCAAGACGGGCGGCGAGAGCGGCAGCGGCTCGGGACGCCTCAACTCGTTCCTCGGCGAATACGACCGCGAGCTCGACGAGAACCCCGACGAGCCGCTCGCCTTCGAGGAGCAGTTCATCCTCCGCGTGCCGCAGAAGGTTGCGGACGGCGTCGGCGGCGAGCCGGGACTGCGCGACATGGTCCGCGGCAAGGGCAAGGGGCTCGAGGGCGTCGAGTTCAAGTTCCTCGGTGAGGTGCGCCGCTGCCCAGCTGACACCAGATACGCGCCGCGCCGCGTTCAAGATTAACGGGACGACGTATGCGGCCAAGCTCGTCGACTTGCCCAATATTATCGAGGCGCAGAAGACGCACGACAGCAGACACCTGTTCAAGGTCGCCGATATCTCGCAGATGCTCGTCGTCGAGAATCCTGTGCGCGATGAAAGCAGCATCACTGCGTCGGCATTGAATGTCGACGACTACATTTGGCCGCACGGCATCACGCCGCCCATGCGCCATGTCCGCAAGCGTCGCTTCCGGAAGCGTCTGTCGCGCCGCACGATCGAGGTTGTCGAGGAGCAAGTGGAGGAGTTGCTGAAGAAAGACGAGGACGCGGATGACAACCCTCAAATCGGTAGGTCATTGCGCTCAGCCTTCCTCCGCCTAGTTGCTAATATCAGACCTCATTGACGTCCTCCCCGACCCAGACGTACCTGATTCGTACTACGTTGAGTGGTCTGCTGAAGACCCCTATGCTGGCTGGCGGCAGGGCGAGGCGTCCGAGTGGGGCGACGGCTACGAGGACCCCGGGTCTGTGGCTACCGGCGGGGACTGGTACGACGAGGAAGGCGAGGAAGGCGACTTTGAGGAGGGGGAAGAAGAGGACGACGATATGGACGAAGACCTCCAAGCTGCGCTCATGGAGACGATGGAGCGGAGCTCGGAGGAAGGATCCGACGACGGCCTGTCGGACGAGGAGGACGAGGACGATGGTGTCGCCGAAGACGACGACGACGAGACATCGGAGCGCAAAGCCAAAATCAAGCAGTACACGGGCGAGATCAAGCAGCTCGAGACGCTCACCGAGAAGAAGAGAGCGGGCTTCACCGGCGGCAACCCGATCATTACCAAGCGCTTCGAGGAGACCATCAAGGGTCTGCAGGACGACATCAGCACCAAGGTCGCTGCGCGGCAGGTGCTGCTCGACGCGATCGAGAAGGAGCAGTCGGACGCGCGCGCCGCCGCCGAGGCCGCGGTGCCGGCCGCGCCCGAGGAGCACGAGCCTGCAGACGATGGCGGGCTCTTCGACGAGGGCGAGATGGACTCGAACGCGACGCCGGCTGCCACACCGGGATTGCTTGGCGCAACGCCCGCGGCCGAGGAGTACGACGACGACGACGACCTGTTCGGCGAGGCGGACGACGGCGAGAGCGACACGGGCACAGCAGCTGTCAATACTCCCCTGCCACCTGTGGATGACGTTGAAGTCGACCTCGAGATGGCGCTGTTTGGGGAAGAGGCACCCGAAGACGCACAGGGCGGCGCGGGCGATGGCGATGAGGAGATGCTTGAAGAGCCCGACGACGACATGGCCGCCATGCTCCAGGCCGAGCTTGGCGATAACGACGCCGACCTGTTTGGCGATAAGGCCGATGACCTCTTCGGTGACGAGGGTGAGACGGCCGCAACAGATGCGGCCGCTGCCGCCCTGGACGAGTTTGCCAGAGAGACAGATGCCGCTCTTAATGCCAGCATGGCCGGATTCGCGGGTGTCGAGGGAGGGGTTGGCATGCGTCGTCTCGCCAGTGGCATTGTGGATGACGGTGACGACACCAGTGGGGAGGATAGCGATGACAGCGACTAGATCGAGTGCGTACATTATGCATGTTGTAACCATATTCAAGTCATGTACATGTCTGCGAGTCGTTCCGTTGGTACCAGCTTCGGCCAATCTCTACCAAAGTCTATATACTCACTGTTCTGGGTCTACAGCGTTCAAAAACCTAGACAATTCCCCGCTGGACTACCTATCTCTCGCTAGGACTTGATGCCATGTTGTGCCCGGGAGCCGATGCCAACCGCGCCATTAGCCCCTCGATCACAGGCGAGTGTGGCGACATGCTGCGAGCCCGTGACCCAGAACGCTCACGTATGGGCGACGCGCTGCCCTCGCTCGCCACACGGCCCCGTATGCGTGGCATGTCGTGGTCGGCACTCAGACTACTCGGAGCGGTGCGGCGCGTGCTGCTGGCTCCGCGCGATCCCGCATTCGAGAACGAGCTGAAGGGCCCGGGTGGAAGACCACTGAGGCCCCCGACGCCGTACCCGGTTGGTAAGCCAACACCCGAGAAGCCGCCGTCGCGCTCTCGCTCGGAGCGCTCTCGTTCAGCGGTCAGACCTGAGCGGTACCGGTACTCCCTGACCGGAGAGTGTGAGGGCGACGAGCTCGATGTACTCGCCTTGCTGGAGGCGCTCGGCGCACCGAAGCCGCCGCGCACTAGAACGGGCCCGCGCCGGGTAGTGCCGCCGGTGGTCTGAGGCGAAAGTAGACCCGCACCATTGCTCGGCGTCTGTCGCGAGGGGAAGGGTGAGCCGGGCGTCGTGCCCCCGATCTTGGGGAGGCTGGGCGTCTTGGCCGTTCCAGCAGGGAGGCTGCGCGCTGCGCCAACGCAGGGCGGCTCTTCGGGCGTCGAGGCCAATGCGGGCGCTCTAGGTAATGAGCCTGAGGCGCGCGGGACGGAGCCACGGGGAACTTGTCCTGGCGAGCCTGTAGCTTCGTTTCGGAGACTCGTTACGCGTGGCGAGCCTGTGACTGGTAGTTGAGCAGTTAGCCCCCCGCCGCTGCCGATGGGAAGAGGTCGAACACCAGCAGCTTGGTATGCCTGGTCCTCTGCTGAACCACTCGAGTCACGTCTGGAAGAAGGCGTCGGCTGTGAGGACGGAGGTCGCGAAGGTTCCGCGCTGGGCGATCCGGTCGCAGTCGGACCGAAGCTGCCAGCCATGCGCTTGAGCATGTCGTCCACATGGGCACGGGTCAGTGGCACCCTTGCCCCCGACACGCCGCTACCACTCCCGCTGCCCATAGCCGGTGACCGTCCCCCAGAGCTTGGTGTTGCCCCCGTCGTTGCCACCGCCGGGTTGGCCGGCTGCGACTGAGCCATACTAGTCGACGAGACCCGCGGCGCGAGCGACGGTGGGGGCGTCCAAGAGTCGAGCGCGCGCAGGAAGGCATGCACATCGTCGCTATCGGGGGCTGCTTCATCGAGACTATGGCGTAGCCCTGACTCGCGAGTGCTGGGCCTTCTCGCCAACGCCACACTGGACGGTAAGCCGTGTGTTTCCTGTGGACTGCTGCCTATGCTGCGGCGGTGGTGCGACAACGACGAGGAATAGCGCTTTGGCAAAGCTGGCGCCGTTAATGGCGAGTCGCGCTCGACCGAGGAAGGCACGAATGGCGACGATGTTGAGTGCATCCCGTATGAGGTTTGCCTCGGGAGCGCTTGCTTGGCGAAGCTGAGAGACGTGGGGACGAATGGTGGGGGTGAACCTCCTACAGGGCCGATAGGAGGAGAAGCTGATGCGCCGCCGTGCAGATGCGCCATCTGAGCATGACTGTATGAGCGGCCAGATTGGGAGAGGAATGAGCTTTGCCGACCAGCTGATGATGGTAACCCGGGTATTGCACGCCCACTTGCGGGCGTTGTGGGTGTGCCAGGGGTGCCGGGCGCAGCTGGCGTGCCACTCGTGCCCGCTGACGCGCCCGTGAGGTTGCGCAAGATTGAAGCGGAAGGGGAGGCAGAGTAGGAGTGGAAAGGCTGGAAGGAGTGACCCGAAAGGCGGCGGTAAGGAATGGGTCCTGTGATAGCGGCATTACCAGTGGCGGCACTGGGTGAAGGTGGCGTGTCACTTTGCGCACCCTGCGCACCGGAAGCGAAGGGCAGGTTGTCACCCAGTGCCCCCCACTTGGCTGCGCCGAGCGAGCTTGGTTCCTTAGGCGTCGCGCCCGTCGAGGCGCGATAGCTGCCGGCCTCGTAACGCAGCGAGCTGCCGGGTATGGGGAAACGAGCTGGAGACGGCGATGCTTGGACAGGTGATGGTCTGGACGGGGATGGGGAGGAAGGCGGGACTCCGGCGGCGCGCGCCTCAGCCTCCAGACGGTGGCGCGCAACTGTCGGCGTAAACCAGTCTTCTTCCATATCGACAAAGCGCTCCGAGAGCACGCTCTCCATGTCCTCGACATCAAAGTCAGCGTTGGGCCGGTACTCGACGCCTAGTTCGTAGGTGCTGCCAAACAGGTCCAGCGCGGGGAAGTCGTACCGCTCGCACATGGATGTTGCGGTAGCCTCCGGCTCATGACCTGGAATCATGTATTCGAGTGGGACATCAATTCCGACAAGATCTCTCTCCATCACGTTCCATGCCTCGTTCAGACCTTCAAGACCGTTGGGATACCCCTCTGGACCCCACAGCTTGATGCCCAGGCGGAGGCCGCTGTTCAGGCGCCGCAGTCGGCGGAATAGGCGATATGCAGGGAGCAGGCGAATGAACGCGTAAAGCGCTCGGAAGTGGATGATGCCGAGACGGTATGCGGTGGGCGGGGCCATCTCGGATGCGGCGGGGTCGGCAACTTCCTGGTCCCTGCTGTCAACGACATTATCGGTGTACACGTACGATACACGGAGCGTCCATCTCTCGAGGACAATGCCGGGGCGGCGAGTGCCTGGCCCTCCACCCTGCTTGACGAGGGAAGGGTCAAGAGCGATGCGCGCGCCATCGCGGTTCCATAGCAGCGTCTGGCCGGCTGGTATGTCGTTCGTGTCGAGGATGAACGCGATAAGGAGTGGCGGGACAGTGGAGCGTGACGTACCCGCTGGCGGGTCAGGTAATGGCGTGTACGACGAGACTGCGCGATAGATGCGCAGATCCGCCTTGTGTACCTCGGTGTCTGCGATAGTGAGATTGAACTTGCGTCAGCGCGATGGAGCGAGGCAAGTGTCACGAGACCTCGCGAGGAAGAGAAGGTGTCTGACGGCCCGCATTGGCGCCCGCCCTGGACTGCTCCTCGAGCGACCTACCCAGCGGTCTTTCTTGCGTTCCCCACGCTGAGCGCTGAGGTGCGTCACGCGTCCATCGACGAGAATGGCCACTGTCTTGAGGTAGAAGCGGTAGATGATTTGGTCTGCACGCGAAGCGCCGACGACCTGGGACGACGCGGGACTCGAGGTGGCGGTCGCGTCAGAGTTGCGGCGTGGGTCTGACCCGGCGCCGGAGAGGGCGCGAGCGCGCGCGGGAGTGACGGACATGGCTCAGCGAGCGGACATGGTTGATGCGAAAGAGATGCGGATGATGAGGATGAGATGCGAGATGATGCGGAGAGCGGAAGAGGGGAGAATGCGCTCAAGTCTCAAGGTGGGTGTGTGGAGAGTGGGGGTGTCGCGTCGTGGTAGAGCAATGTTCCCCTTCAAGGCCCGAGGAAGGCGGCCCGAGCTGGGATGAGTGTGTGCGTATGGAGGTGTGTGGAATGTGACCCCACCCCGTGTTCCCCACCCCGCTCAACGGCACAGCCGGATCCGTTCGCCACGCAATATGACGTCAATCAGGACATGCCGAGAGTGTGTTGGTCTCATTATCCACGTGGAAATAAGGCGACGGCCAATTCATGGCGCCTATTTTACTAGTGCTACATGCCTAAAACCGCGGGACGAAACTTTGGCCAAACTGATATCGCCGCATTTTCCCGACCTTATTGCAGCTGTGGCGGGCCGAGGTGAGGTTTGAGAATTGGTGACGGTCGCTCATCGTTCAACTAACGCTTCACAGTCTCAAAAAGTGAGTGCTGCCCGACACGCCGACGACACCGACGACACCGAGACACACACCGCGACATGCGCGCGCCGACGCATATCTCTCGGCGTTCGAATGGCGACGCTGGGAGGCGCGGGAGGCGCTGGAGGGAGGAATTGTGGGCGTTCGTGTGACGACGACGAGAGGGAAGGAGAGGGAGTGCGCTCGCTGCATACCGTGGGGGTGCGGCGAGGCGTGCTGAGACGAGCAGCGAGGCAGTGCGGAGTGAAGCGCGTGTGTCGGTGCGCCTCGTGTCTTGGTGTCTTCGGTGTCTGGTTTCGTCTCGAAATGCTTTGCTAACCCGCAGTGGTCAAGGGTGAGCATCCGCGAACGGAGCCGGCGCGATGAAGAGGATCTGGAGCGATTTGGGACAGTGGATGGCTGGACTGGACGAACGAATCGACATCCCAGTACCCGGCCGCGATGGTCACGACGAAGATTTCCCCCTCCCCCCGTCGACACTTGGTCCTGCCCTTCGTTCCACCGACTCATCGACCACTGTGCACTCACAGCACGTCCGCGTCGACAGAATATGCCCGCTACGCTTTCTGGGGCGTGCTGCAACGCATTTTCGTACACGACTGCATCGACGTCCAGTCTTCATTCGTCCTCCATCTGTCCCTCCATGCTTGCTCTTCCTTCCTCATCCGCCGGCGCCCTTCTGCGCCAAACCCACGAGCAGATTCTAACCCCAGTCTACAAGCCCGGCAAGGTTGCCGTTGTCCTCTCGGGCCGCCAGGCCGGCAAGAAGGTCGTTGTCATCCAGCAGCGCGACGAGGGCACCAAGGAGCGCCCCTACCCCCACGCCATCGTTGCCGGCATTGAGCGGTGAGTAGTGCGCGCGAGCGAGAGCAGAACCCGATTCTCGTGCTAGCGCTCGCTCGGCTGTCAACGCAGTACTAACCCCAGCTACCCGCTCAAGGTGACCAAGTCCATGGGCAAGAAGAAGGTTGCCAAGCGCTCCAAGGTCAAGCCCTTCATCAAGGTCGTCAACTACGCCCACCTCCTCCCCACCCGCTACGTGCTCGAGCTCGAGAACCTCAAGGGTGCCGTCACCTCGGACACGTTCAAGGAGCCGACCCAGCGTGAGGACTCGAAGAAGGCCATCAAGAAGGCCTTTGAGGAGCGCTACGCCAAGGGCAACAACCGCTGGTTCTTCTCCAAGCTCCGCTTCTAAGCGTATCGATAGCTTTTTGCTGCGTTGCGGACGGACGGATGTAGAGGCCACCCCAGGGGTTTATGTACCAGATCGTGATATGCGATCACCACCTGCATGACCATGTTGTGTTGCGCCGGGGTGAGGAGGTGTGCAGGAAGGGCGCAGAGGGGTGCATAGGAGCTCGCGGCGGCGCGAGCAGAATGTCCTCGTCACCGTGAGCAGACTGGAGGTCGCCGAAGCCGTCCCAGCCTTGCGCAGCTAGCGGGATCAAAAAGTTGCGATTGGCCGACTTCCATGCTCTTGAGTCTGTTCACTCGCACCACCCACCCAGCCATATGTGAGCAGCATCGATCATCTATAACGTATTCATCGCACGACGCCTCCCAGTAGAACAAGAAGATATATATCACAACTAGCTGTCCATACGATCGATTACCTCATGCGGGACAAGTTTTTGCTGGTGGAAGGCGTAGCTCCCACAAAGAGAGTGTGGAGTGTGTGGGCAGAGCGGGGTCTAGCTGGCCTGGCGCTCCTCGCCTCGCTCAGAGCCCGGGTACGAGCCACCAATGGGGCTGTGGTCGCCATTACCCGGCGCGAGGCCCTGCTGGAAGTGGGCCTGCGAGCCACCCCAAGCCGAAGCGGGGCCGCCCATGCCTGGCATTCCATAACCAGGGAAGCCGCCATACATGCTCTGGGTCGGCGGCATCCCGTAGCCTGGGAAGCCCATGGGCGGCATCTGGCCCATCTGGAAGGGCTGGGGAGACATGCGCATCTGGCTCTGGGGCGAGACGCGGCCATCGGGCGCGTCACCGGCCTGCGAGCCTGCCTGCGACATGGCCATCATAGTCTGCTGGTACGCCATCTGTGCGGCCATCATGGCGTGCTGCTGAGCGGCGGGATTCATTGGCATGCCGTAAGGCTGCTGTTAGCTGCAAGCTTCGCTGACAAACTCACGTTGAAGCCCATGGGTGGCATACCATAGCCGTACGCAGGGAACTGGCCCGGGAACATGCCGCCGCCGGTGTACTGCTGCTGCATGTGCTCCATTTGCTGACGCTGCAGTTCGTCAATCTTGCGCTGCCGCTCCTCGGCAAGACGGCGTTCACGATCGCGGTCGGTGAGCGTGGCGCCAATGCCGCCGGGGTTTTTGCGGTCGCGCTCGTGTGCTGCCACAGCGCCAACAAGACCAGTCTGAGGAGGGGGAGGGGGCTCGGGCACATTGACAAGCGCGGAGCCAGTTTCCCGCGCAACTTCTTCCTGACGCTTGGCCGAGCGGTCACGCTTGTCCTGCATGCCGGCTTGGATGAGACCACCCGGAGTGAAAGCCTTTGTGAGAGCAACCTGGGGCTCCTCGAGCTCGACGAACGTGCCCTTGCGGTCCATGCCGTGTTCGACCTCGAAGTTGGCGTTCCACACGTTGGTCCTGGCCGCAGGAGGCTGAGGAGGAGGGGCAGCGCGCTGCTGCTGCTGACGCGGTGCTTCCGTCTCCTGGGCAAGCAGCGGCTGCTGAGGAAGGTGACGGTGAGGGGCGGGCGGGGAGCGGGAGCGAGGACGGTCATAGCGGGGGTCATTGATCGAAAGGTTGCTCATCTTGGGGAGCTCGAAGCGGTCGCCGTTCGCCGGTCCGCCGGGACCACCGTAGAACTGCTGCTGTTGAGAATACTGCTGCTGTTGCTGCTGTTGCTGACGGAACTGAGGTGGCTGCTGGGGCTGATAAGGTGGCTGCTGAATCGTTGGAGGCTGGGGGATCGAGGGTAAGGCACGCGATCCGCGACCTTCCTGTACATGGTTCCCGTCTTCATCGTCGTCGCTCTCGTCCGTGTCGCTGCCGTCCCAGTTGTCGGGCTTCTGGGCAGCCTTCTGCCTGCCAGCACCGGGAACGTTCATTGAGCGCTGATGCTCTGCAGCGGCAGCTTCTGCCTTGGCGCGCCGCTCGGCCGCCTGCTTTGACGGGGCGAACGACGAACGTGCCTCCTGAGCGGGCTGGGGCGGGGAAGGGAGCTTGGCGCGGCTGTGCGCAGGCGCGGGTGTGGGCTCATCGGCGTAGGCGAGGAAAGCGGCAGTGTCTGGCGCAAAGTCGTGCATTTTGGAGTTGGCGTTGACGTTGGCCGCACGAGTAGTTGGCGATGTGACAGAGTTGACAGCAGTTGGAGAAGTCAAGACACGATTGTCGATCGGGTGGTCGTCAGCCGTGCCTGGCACGGTGGCGTTGCGTCCAACCTCCACCTGCTCCTGAATCGCAGGGACGGCTTCTCCGGATGCGCCGCTGCCTCTCCGCACCGCGCTGAGAGGCGGCTGCTGCGCACGCGCACCAGATGGCTTACGCTGAATGCCTGGGCGAGAGTGGTGCTGCTGCTGGTGCTGGTCAAATGCAGTGACTATGGTCGGGCGAGCAGGCTTGTCTGAGCCAATGGAGGCTGGGGAGCGGGATGGGGACGGCTCCTTGACAGGCGGTGAGCGCGAGTAGTGGGCCACAGCGGCACCGAGTGCGGCAGCACCAGCTCCGGCGGCAGCAGCTGGACCTGCACTCGATGCAAAGCTAGACGGGGTGGCGGCAGGCGCAGCAGGCGCAGCAGGTTCCTGTGATGGTGGCGGTGAGCCCGCGAGCGCCGAGGAAGCGACTGGGCCGCTGGCTGGCGCAGAGGATGCGGTGGGGTGAAGAGGAGGAGAGGTCTGGGGGGCCGCCGCACGTGTCGTTGTAGCCGCAGGGCCGGCAAATGCGGCGGTAGGGCCTGGAGCAGCCTGAATGGGCGAGGTGTGCGTGGGCTTGGGCGGTGAAGCAGGCGCTTGAGCGGGTGCAGGAGCTTGTCTCACGGGTGATACGTTGCGAGGAGCGTCTGTGATGCCAGTGACACGAGTCCCCGAGCCTAGAGCATTGCCCGGTGCAGCCCTGTTGTCTTGCATGCTCGTAGGGGCTGCAGGCTCCTCAACCATGTTCATAAGATACATGGCAGCCGGCTCCTCACGCAGGCCCGGCACCTCGGTCATGGACATGCGCTGCGAACGCGAGGGCTGAGGCTGGTGCAAGGTGCCGTCCGAAGGCGGGCTGCCACGGGGCGGACTTTGGCGCGTGAAGGCCTGAGTACTCAACGCGGCAGCAGCGGCACCTGCAGTGCCAGCCGCGACGGCGGCGATGGTGGTGTGGCTTGATTTTGAATGGCTGTGGCTCGAGTGCGACGCTGCCGCCGGGGGCTGGTGGGCGGCGACGGGCGGTGACGACGGCTGGCTAGCAAACTGCTGCTGCGTCGCCGCGTTATGCGGCGGCGACTGAGCAAACTGGGAGACGGCGGGCTTCGCTCCGCCCATAAAGGAGCCAGCAGAAATAGTTGGTCCCATATTGGGGCTCTTAGCGATTGGCACAGGGCTGCCCTGCTGAGGCGGGGTCCGTCTGGCAGCGTTACCGTTCGCCATCCCATTAGTGGGCGGAGGTGTGCGCGCATGACCTGCAAACGAAGGGTTGTGCGACTGGTTGAACGGCGTGTTGGCGGCCGTCGGTGTGGCACCGGAGGACTGCGACCACATAGAGGGCTGCGTGTCCTCGGAGCGGAGTGTACTCTGGCGCGTGCTAGGGTCGCGGCTGGGAGAGGTGACGCCGGGAGAAGTAGCCGTGACGATGCTAATGTCGTCACTCGACTCGCGATTACCAAACGTGGCCATAGAGACCGGTCGGACAGGGGGCGCGGTAGGATTAGAAGCAATTCCAGCGCCCGAGGGCTCGCCTCTCTGGACAGGAGCACGCGACGGGTGTTGAACCCAACCCTGTTGGCCAGGAGGAACCTCAGGCTGGTAGGCGTGTGGTGCAGCGTTGTTTGCAGGGATCGAGCGCGAGGCAGGACTAGGAGAGCCCAGTGCAGTGCCGACCTCAGCACCCCCAGTTCCCGCTGTAGGGCGGCGGGCCGAGTTGTTGCGCGAGGCGTCGGACTCAGTGATGGGCGTGAGTGCGCGTGCGTCGTCGTGGTACATGGCTGTAGCTCCTCCAACAGCAAGAGCCCCAGCGGCCGCAGCGCCAGCCAGGGCGATGGGCGTTCCGGAGCCAGAATCCTGGTCCGTCTCATCGCTGAATTGTAGTGGGGGAAGGGTGAAGGAGTTACCATGCCCATTTTGCTGCTGCTGGGCTTGCGGTTGCTGCTGCTGCTGCTGCTGCTGCTGCTGCTGCTGCTGGCGAAGCTGGTGGGAGGCGGCCGACTCCTCCTCGGCCTGACGGAGGTAAGCTCGCTCCTGTGCCATCTTCGGATTGTCGTTCTCGATAGGCGCGGCGTTGACCTGCTCGACTCTGGGCCGCTGGCTCATTCTACGCTGCACCAGCCCAATGAACTGTCCGCGGATGGCTGGCGTGTTGAGCCTCTGGTTGGCGCGCATGGCCTCGTCCATCGTAAGGAACAGGTCGCCTCGGAACTCGCCACGCGGGTAGCCGAAGAACAAGCTTCTAGGGTCGTTCTCGCTCCACGAGTACTGCTGAGGGCGGCCATACAGCTTGAAGGCATCGTGGAATGCGGTGACCCAACGCATCATGATACCGAGCGGCGACACCTGAGGCGTGGCAGAGGGCTCCTCTCCGGGTGCTTCGGGCATGATCATGGCCCAACCCGACTCACGCAAGCCACCCTCGATTGTGACTAGCTCTCCACTCACACGACCCACAACCTTCATGAGGTTGGACTGCGAGATGACCTCGAGGCGTTCGGGGAACATGGCGTACGCTTGGGTGATGTTGGTAACAGTGAGAACTGGCAGCGACGACGTGCGGTTCTTGGCGGTGCGGGGCTCATTGTAGAATGTGGCCATGGGCACACCCGTGTTTGGCTCCTGGATGGTCTCGGGCTTCTCGTGGCCCAGGCCGAAGAAGGACGACCGCCGCCGGCCTTGAGTGCCTGCCACCTCGGGAGCAAGCGTCTCGGGGTCGGACAGCACGAGCCAGAGACGGTGCCACTCGATGCCACCCATCACACGGACGCGTACCCAGCCTTCCAGGCGGCCTCCCACGAGAGGAGAGCGAGGCTCTCGACGACCTGCTTGGATGAGGTGGCCAGTGTAGATCTCCTCGAGACGGGAGCGCTCCCAAGCGGCCAGGCGCAAGCCCGTCGTCCAGCGGTTGAGGTCAAGATCAGTTGGGCAAGAGAAGAGAAGGCGGTTCGAGCCGGCAGTGTTGAGTGAGAAAACGTGCTTGTGCGGGTGCGAGTTAGGGCGATGGGGAGGAGGAGGGAGCGGGCTGAGCAGCTCAAGCGTCGACTCAGTTATGTTGAAGTATGTTGGGGGCACCTTGGTGCCAGCAGCTGCGGCTGCGCGAGTCTCCTTCATTGACCACATTGAGAGCGAGGTACCCGAGAGCTGGAGCCAGACAGCATCCCAGTCATTGGTGGGGCTGCCAGGAGCACCTTGCCTGGGCTGCTGTCCCGCGCTCGTGCGCGCAAAGATCATTTCGAGCTCTGGCGGGCTCGCAACGTATGTCTTGTGCGGCTGGTACGAAATGAGCTCAACCACAGGCTCAAATGACTGGCGGAATCCTGGGTCCTTGCCGTCAATAACGGCAGGAGAGCCCATTGATGCCGGTGACTCGGCAGGCGGAGCGTTGCGAGTCTGGTCACCCCCGGTCGGACGGGGTGCGACAGGTGGCCCTCCCATCGTCTGGTTGGCGCCGAGGCTCTGTGCGCGCGCATGTTGGGGCGGGGGCGTAGGTCCAAAGTCGCTGCGCTGCTGTTGCTGTTGCTGCTGATACTGCTGCTGCTGGTACTGCTGCTGTTGTCCAGGAACGACTCTTCCGTTCTGTTGGACAACCATGCCCGGCTGCTGGGACAGGGGTCGCGAGAGCTCGGGGGCGGGGCCGCCAGACGGGCGGCCGGAAACGGAGAAGGACTGGCGCTGCTGGCCCTTTGACTGCTGCTTATGTCGGTTAGACCTGAACATTGGGGGTAAGGAGAAAAACAGAGAAGGTAGGAAGACTTGGAGACGGAGATGTAAATAGAGATGAAACGGGGATATTTGTGTTGTAATCGTAGGATGAGATCGGCGAACCGAGACGAGGAAAACGAGCAGATCCTCTCAAGATTGTCCAGGCGTGCGGGCGCCCGAAGCCCTCGGATGCCATCCGTGTCGCCCTCACGCTCAAAGAGAGCAAAGGGCGTACAGGCGCGAAGGAGGCCCGAGTGGTCAAGTGATGTGCGCGTGCACAGCCAACTACTCTCACAGATTCATGATCCATGTTCCTTCTTCAACCCGTGCACCCATCACGATCTCTCCGGCACTCGCTGCTCGGTGTGGACTCATCCGGACGGAGGACCGAGGGATAGGGAGGGAGGGAGGCAACCGACAGCGCAACAACTCACCTCGTCTTGCTCTTCGACCTTTGCCCTATCCTTCTTTCTGCCGAAGCCGAGGAAGCCTCCGGAGCGTCGCTTGCCGCCCTCAGTGACGGTGGCGTGCGAGTCCATGGTGCCGACGGACATGCGAGACTGTCTGGATTGAACGCGCTCGACAGGAATGCCACCTCTTTCGTGGATCAATTGGGTTGAAGCCATGGAAGAGACGGAGGCTCGACCCGAGGATGGGGGTGCGGGCAATGGAGAGACAGCTGGAGCTGATTGTTGGTTGGACTTGCGTTTGAACATTGGCATGATGAAGAGAAATGACGATGGGGCGGCCAAAAGGATGGCGCCCAGCCCAGGCAAGCTACGACGAGGGGCGAGGGCTCTGAGGGCCGTGAGGCGCGTGAGGGATGAAGGGCGAGGGGTGAGGGGTGAGGGGGGCAGGGGCTAGGGCGCCCAGGGCGGTCTGGACAGGCGGAGCCGCGTGGGGCAACAGAAGGTGGGAAGCAAGTGAGCTTGTGAGGGAAATAACGCGCCGCCGAGGGTGAAGGGCGTCAGGCGTCAGGGAGAGAGGGGGGTTTGGTTGGAGGATGGCAAGGAGGACAGAGGCAGAGAGGGGTGGAGAGGATGTGGATCGTGGAGAATAGTATACGAGATGAGGAGAGGGAATGTGGGCAGGTGAGGTGGATACTGTAGGAGGATGTGTAAATGACAGATGAGTAGATGAGTAGATGGATGGATGGAAGATGGAAAAGAGAGGGAGGAGATTGATGAGATGGCCGGCAGCAGTGTATGAGCTATGGTGAGAGATGCTTGTTGGCTGTTGGCCAGGTTGGGCGATCGGGCAACGAAAGAAGCAACCACCTGCAACCTCCACAATTCCACAAGGGGTCATCTCCTCATCTCCTCAAGTCCTGTAAATACACTCTATTCGTCCATAATGTGCCTACGGCTTACTCAAACCATAATTCCTATTCCCCCCCCCCCCCCCCCCTTTCCATTAGCCTACTACATAGCTCTCGTTATAGCTCTTGCCCTACACAGCTACACAGCCCCGACGTCATTACACCATCCTTACCCTGTGTTGCATGCGTCCAAGTACACGGCCGCTGATCCGCTGAGCAGCTGACGGGCCAACGGGCTGCGTAATGACAGGTGCATAATAAACAGAGTACACATGCTCTGCCGCTCAGCTCATCAGCCGCCAGCCCACATAACTCATACATGCATGCACCTCGTTTGCTGGTTGACCTCCCACCTCCCACCTCCCACCTCCCACCTCCCACCTCCCACCTCCCACCTCCCACCTCGGATCACTTGCCCTTGCCGTGCTGGCACCCCATTCCCTAGGCCCTAGCCGTGGCGTCCTCCTCATGCTTAACCCTTTCCACTTCAACGTTGGGCCGATCACTTGACACTACTACTACTCTACACCAGCCTCATCTGTTACCTACCGCATAATGCCATCTCCTCAATGCTATAACCTATGATCATCCAAGCCCTCCCGTCTCCGCCAGTCCAGCCGGATCGCGTCACACTTCTGTGCGAGGAATTTTGCCAGCTCGGCGTGCTCTTCCCACTCGTCCACCTCGCCGTACTTGACCGTTGGCGCCCGGAAGCGTCGCGCCACGACGTGCATCTTGGGCGCCGGCACCTTGCTCACTGGAACGAGATAGGCGCTCGCGACCATCGCGCAGTAGAGCATCGGCAGCGCGCCGTCGCTCGCCCACACCGGGTGATGAGGCGACCCGAGCAGGTGTGCGAGGTAGAACGAAAGCCAATAGCAGATCCACTTGACTTTAACCAGCCATTGCCAAGCGCCGAGGCCTGCAACGGCGATGTTCGTCGCGACGCACCCAGGCTCAGCGATCAGGCAGCGCACAGGACGCTCGCCGGCGCTCAACTCCGTGTCAAGCTGCGTCATAACCAGGTCGCCCATGTACTTCGACGGCCGGTAACTCGTCGCGTACTGCAACAACTGGTAATCTTCCATAGGGTTGTCGTTGAGCGCCTCGGCCTCTGCCTCGATGGAGGAAGTGTACACCACACGGGGCTCGAATGGGAGGTTCTTGGGCGACTTGCGCAGCAGAGGTGCGAGCTCTTTGGCCTGGAATGAGCCTGTGCGGACGTGATGGGTTGGCACACGGAATGAGCGCCGCGCAACGTCGCGGCTGGACTATCATGCGAAGCCGACGTCCAGTACAGACCTCTCGAGCTGCCTTCCCCAGCACTCACAATGATATAAGGCGCTAAGACGTTGACACCCCACACCTTGCCCCGCTCTCCGTCTGCACTGCGCGCCCCAATCTCCTCAGTGTTATACCGGGGGTGGTGGAGGGAGTGGAGGAGCCCCTTGGTAAGGATCTGGAGGATGAAACGAGGGATCACGACCTCCGTGATGGCAGCATATCCGGCGTTGAGGAAGAGGCTGGTGACGTGCGGGTACTTCTGCGACACGCGGCGGCAGAAGGAAAGCACGCCCGTCGGCCCGCCGACGCAGTCGAGGTCGACGAGTTCCGTCTCGACGCGCAGCCCTTCCTCCCACCCCTCGGGGACAGATTCACCGGCGCTCCGCCGCGTACGGAGGTCCTGTGCGTGCTGCGTCAGGATCTTGGTGCGCGCCTCGTCCGCATTCCGCTGCGACCGGCAGGCGAGAATGAGTGTGAGCGTTGGGTGCGGGGAAGGCATCATGCCCGTCGGTTCGAGCGGCGCCTTCTCTGTCGTCCCGGGGTCCGTGAGGGATGGAGCGATGGCGGTCGGGCGCGGCTGCGCGGCCGGGACACGCTGCCCGACACCAACGGAGAGGTTGGCAAGGAGGTCGTGGCAGAGGCCGAGGCCGAAACCGCTGGTGGTTAGCTTGGTATCACATCGGCAGCAGAGGGAGTCGGCAAAGCAAGCTGGCTACGCGCCGCTGTCGACAGTATCTGCCTACTCTCCTGCTCACCTGTTGGCGCCCGTCACGATCGCGATGATGCGGTTGGCATCAGGAGACGCCGCGCCATTGGCGGCGCCGTTTGTCGTGACTTGTGCTGCTGAGCGCGTAATTGGCATTGGTGGGTGTGGAAATGCAGAAGGAAGACGATTAGTAGATGATCTCCATGAACTGCATAGTCTGTGGTGGAGGATACGACGCGCCGACTTTTGGGCGCCATGGCACGATGCGTGCCTTGTCCGAACCCGGATCTGCCCCTGACCCTCGACCAAACCAGACCGCCAGGCCGCGCCATCGGCGTCGAGTCACTCTCACGCCGCCAACAATCGGCATTGAATCCCATTGACAACGACGTGATCGCGATTGGTATGTTGGTATTTCGTGGCTGTAAGATGCATCCCCCTTTCTCGGCGTGTCTTCCGACTTCGTCGTAAGTTGGCTGCCGTGCCCATCACGTGACCAGAAGACGGAAGCAAACTGCCCTCCGTCACCAGTCATGAATGCGAACTCGACGTTCAGCAACAACATACGTACAATGGACGACGCCGTAAACACCACCATCAGCGAGCCTCTCGACGTGGTCAAGCTTTCGCTTGGCGAGTGAGTTGCGGCGGCGGCGGCGTAGCTGACGGTAGACGCGTGTTCATCAAGTTGCGCGGCGACCGGACGTTGACGGGGACGCTGCATGTGGGTGTCGATAGCTGCGGGTCGGGGAAGCCATGACGGCGCATTCGGAGGAACTGCGGCCGAAAGGACTGGTTGCATATGGAAGGAGGAGCTGGAGAAGGGGAAGGAAGAAGAAGAGGAAGAGGAAGAGCGAGAGGCGGAGTTGAAGCAGGAGGAGGAGGAGCAGAAGGAATTTCCGCGGAGCTGACGCCAGGCGTACGATGCGCACATGAACCTCGTGCTCTCAGGCGTCGAGGAGAGCATACATACCGTCGACGTGTCTGAGGACGGCGTGCCGGGGCAGCCTAGAGTGAGTGCGGTCGGGGAAGGCGGCGCCAGTGCGTGTGACGACATGATCTCCTATCGCGGAGGGCTGCAGCGTACACACTGAGCGCATTGCTGCCGTGCTCTTCTTACTGGAAGAGTGTTCTGCTTATTGGCGAATGAGACACTTCGGTATGCGGGGTGAATGGATGAGCGCCAGCGTTGCACGCGACTCTTGCGCACCACCGACTGAACCCAGGTTGAGCGCCGCACGTCTGACATGCTCTTCGTCCGTGGCGACGGCGTCATCCTTGTGAGTCCGGCTGATCTTACACCTGCTGATCGCAGCTCTCGCCCATCCACCAGTAGACCGACCGACCGATACCCGCGCCAATGGCGATGTACAGTGTACATGCATAGTGATAGCAAGACGTGACAACTGCGGAGGGGTGGTACAAGTGCTACTTACCAACTCTTGAATGAGTCTACCTGGGCGCGGCGTCGAGTGTGTTCGTCCCGTCGCCCTCATACTCGTCATTTCCCTCGGGATACTCCCCGTCCTCGCCCCGGCTTCCGTCGCTGCGCATGTCGTCGTCGTACCCCTCCTGCCGCCGAGCACGCGCCGTCGCCAACGGCAGCCCATTGCCAAGGTCGTGCCGCTGCGACGCATACACACCCGCGGCAGCGTACGCCTCGTCTGTGTCGAACACGTTATCGTCTTCGTCGACGGTCGCGCGCGCGCGCCGGCTCGCGCGTTCGGAGCGCTCGAGCGCGTCCTCTCGCTGACTGCCTCGGCTACTAGGGTTCCGCGAGCTTGCGGGTGTCTCGATGCCGACGTTCGCAAACCGCGCTGTCCACTGATTGTCAAAGTCGCGTTCCCCGAGAGCGAGTGTCGAGTCTATTGGTCTTAGGTTAGCGGCGCTGTAACACAAACTCACAGAGTCATGTGGCTCGGTGGGTGGACGGCCTCGCCCTGCCGGATCGCGGCAAGAGCGTTCGCTTTGGCGCTGCGCGTGGGCGGTGATGAGGCCATCGGCCCAGCACTGAGGTCCATGCTCCCCATACTCTCCGCCATGAGTTCTGCCTCGCGCGCACACAAGGAAGCTCGGACGGCGAGCAGACGAGCGCGGACGGGGTCGTCGGACCCTGAAGCGCGCGACGAGCCTGGCGACATGGCTGACGCACCGTTGGGCATGCCACCTGGACTTGTGCTGAAGAGGGCTGAGTTGAGCACGCGCTCGTTGCGCCCGAGTCGGTCGCGCACCTCGGCGAGAGAGAGGTGTGAGATTTCGTCGGTCGGAGACTGACCGCTCGCGCCGGAGAGGGATCCGCGCGGGCGCCGAGGTACGCGCACGGGCGCAGTGGCGGCTGGCATGTGAGAGGGGGCGCGAAGCGCGGCGGTATGGGCTGCTCAGACGGTGGTGGAGCTGGAGGGGGTGACGTTGGTGTCCAAAAAGATATCGATCCGCTGCTTGCGCGGCCTGAGTGACAATAGAGGGTGGCGTTGAGCTGCTCTCTCGGAGTTAAACCACTGCGGAGTACAGAGGACGTCGATGGTGAGACGCGTCGTCGCTGGTCCAGGGCTCCGCCAGGGGGAGGGGCGAAGGCTCGAACGCGGAACTTGGATCGGGCCGCAGTGGCTGATCCGGGTTGACTGTGAGTTGATTAAGGTCTACACTGTCGAAGCTATGATTTGGATGACCGGGACGACGTTGAGTAGCGTACGTAGTGGGTGGTGGCTGGGTGATGGGGATTAGTGTAGAAAGTGTGGAGGAGGTTGACGGGATGAGTGGCCAAGAGGTGGGTGATGCAGACGCGAGTCGGACGTCATTTATACCGCCAGCTCACAGTCTGGGGCCCATGATCACGTGATTTCATCGATCTGTTGGGCCCGAGGTGGTGGGAAGCCCAGTACGCAACGGAGCCTGGATAGATATTCAGGCACCGCTGCCACTCAGTCTGATGTTGCCTCCTCAACTGTGGCGACTTCAAATAAATGAGCCCGGGATCATTGATACGGGGAGCTGGCAAGACACAAGGCCAAGTGACTCTGAAGTTGTCCTTTCACGCGCACAGGGCGAGACTTGCATGAGCATGGGAACAGCAGTGCGTCGAGGGCATCGCGAGCATCTGTAACATATGCCCGCTACACAGGCAACATGGGTGTGTACCCAGGCAGAGTGGTTGTGCACCCGCCCAGCTCATCCGCTTACAAAGGATGGGTCCTCCAAGATTAGGGAGAACGAATAATGATTGATTATATACTCGGCCGGAGACGATATCAAGAGGCTGCTCTCCGATCTACGAGTTAACAACACCTCGCGGGGTTGTACCCGAACACCCAAGTATCCTCATCGAGGAGGCTATCCCGAACTCGCCCCTGTCGCCTTGGAGTTTGCACGTCCTCACAGCCGCCTGCGATTCACAAACAAGGTACATCACCTGTGGCCAAGCTCTACAGCCACCTGCTCTCTCCTCTCTCACTCCTCACCTCCGCCGTCTCTATGTAAGCCTCTCTGCGCCGGAGAAGAAGCCTACCCGTTCTTCACTCCCCCATACTTCAGCTGGACCATCTCCTTGAGCAACCCGTTCTCTTTGCGTAGGTCCGCGACCTGTACTTCGAGCTCAGAATGCTGCGCCTCGAGTGCGCGGATATTCCGCTCGACGTTCTCGACGTGTGCCTTCTTCTTCGCTCGAAATCGGGCGGCTAAAGTTAGCTGTGTGATGGCGTGATGGCATTGAGATGGGCGCAGAGATGCAATGTGGCGGCCGATAAGGACACTTGTGGTGGTCGTTCTTTGGGACGAGTGCGCCCTCGGAAGGGAATTCACATGCCTGCCACCCCACTTTGGCTACGAGCCTCCCCTCCTTCCCTCTCCCCCACCCCAGCTGACCACTTACATGCGAGCGTGTTGCGTACACGCTTATCTTCGACGTCGTCGGGGGCCGAGGGTGTTGGTGCGGATGTGCTCGACCCCACGCTGGGACCAGTGCTAGGTCCGGCAAGTGGTGGCGGCCGCCCTGTCGGGGTGGGCGCAAGGCTGGGGGCACCACTGAGGGTTGGTGGGGCGGGTGCGATGGGTGTTCCCAGAGTAGGCGTTCCAGAGGGAGTTCCACCCGGGGTGCCTGAGATGCTGCCGCGAGCAGACCGAGGTTGTGACGAAGGCGAGTTGTTCTGGGAGTGCGCTCTCGAGCGCGTCTGTCTGGCCTGCGAGGGCTGCTGGGTAGACTGCTGGGTGAAGGAGGGTGGGGTGTGGCCGTAGAGTTGCTGGAGTTGCTGGATCTGGAGGGCTTGCGTGTTGGTCTGCTGCAGGAGTGCCATGTACTCGGGCGAGAAGGCCTGGAATGCTTGCTGAGGCTGTTGTTGCTGGAGAAGTTGCTGTGTAAGTTGCGCGATAAGATCGGTGCTGGGGGCCTGTCCTTGGCCTTGCGCTTGTCCTTGCCCCTGCGACTGAGGACCTGGACCTGGTGCACCCCACGGAGCGTCAGTTGGAGACTCGGCAGGCCGCCCCGACCCGCCGCGGTTGAACGCAGCGAGGATAGTGTCCCAGTCGCGCCCGTCCGACGTGCCCGAGTCGTTGGCCATCGCGGCCTCGTCGGTGTGGGGCGGGGGCTAACTCGGCGCGACGCTCGGTGTCGCGCCCGCTCTCGTTTCTCGTCGTTGTGTGTGCTCGCGCCTGATGACCAGCGACGGTGAGCAGCAGCTGGCGTGGTCTTGGCGCTGGGCAGACGCGTGCGCTTCGTGTTCGCGTGTCCGAATCGATGTAGAACGCCTGACTACGAATGTTGTAGATTCGTAGATGAGAGGGGGCACATGTCGCGTCCGGATGGGAATGTTAAGGCAGGGTGTCAGACAGAGAAGACGGAGAATGACAAGCGATGAGTGAGCATGCATAGGCGGCGCAGGTGGTGATAGCTGGCGTGCTGCGTGCAAAGCGCCGCGCCCACACCAATTAGTCGCCGTACTTAGCAGCCATGTATTGTAGATTACCACTGTGCAGTGGCAGAGTGCTCAGCCGGCGGGCTGGATGAGGTTTGATGACGTGATTTCCACCACCGTGACCGGGGGCGTTTTGCGATCGCGAAATCGCCACACATGTCGCCACTGATTTCTGGCTCGCCGCAGTTGCTCATACCTCAGTGGCCCGGCGTCCCCTTTTACCCAAGCTCGGCCTCATGCAAAGGTCATTATAAGAATGTATTGCGGCTAATAAGCCGCCAGTCCTCGTTGCGCTGAAACGATGCTCAACTGAGCGCTATGCACACGCGAATGGTGTGCGGACGCGTGCTGCCCTCGCGCGCTCTGACTGTCCGCCACCTTCCGGGTCTCGGTCGCTGGATCATGAACCCGCTGGACCGTATCCTCGAGGTCGCTCTCGTTAGCCGAGAGGCAACCTGTATCATGGAAATCGAGACTTTTCCCAGGCCGTCGCTTCTCGGCTGTGACGAGCCGATGCTTCAACGGCGCTTTACTCAATCTTCTGGGTTCGTCCCTCCTGGACATGCGCGCCCAACCGCGGCGGCCGCTATCTGTGAGGCATCGATCGAGGCTCAGTTGCACATCTGTGCAATCAGATGTTTCGCCTGCCCATGACTTCTGTATCGATTGAAGCCCGTCCCTGCATCTGGCACTCGGCGATCACTACTGGCGACGTGGGCCGCGTATCGCCTTCTTTCAGGCCAGCTCGCTCATCGCCGAGACACGGACCAGAGCCCGACTCTGAGTACTTGAGTTCCGAGCCAGACGCGGGCAGCTCGGCGAGGGCGCAACTGGCGATGCCATCTTGGAAATAGCAGACAAGTCTGTAGCAACATGAGTACCACCGACCGGAGCCTCCGCCTCGAGAGCTGAGCACCAGGCGGACATCGCGGACAACTCTGTTTGCACAGATCACCCATGCCCGGCTTTGAAGCGTTCGGGGGTATGCTGAATAAGCCAAGGAGCGCTATTGTGCGCACATCGGGGCGACCAATGTTTCCCGATCAAGATGATCATAGAAGTGCTCTCGGCCTCTCGGTCTTCGGAAGCAGATCCGAATCAGAAGCCCGAAACGGGGTGTTGGAACGGAGTAGACGAAACGTGTCCGTGTATCCGTGACTCGGTGTGTGTGTGTGTGTGCACATGTGTGTCAGCCAGGGGGAACAGGGGGGAACAGGGAGAATGATTCGCGGCTTCGCGGGAACGCAGGGTCCTCTCATCATGTCCTGTGTGCACGGCCCTGTTTCGACAGAAGACATCCTCATCCATCCTTATCCAAAAGTTTCACCTCACCTCTTGTACCTCTGGCCTCGTTCCCACGGGTCACTTCACAGTTGTGGACGATACCGCTGGCCGCTGGCTGCTGCTGACATGCTGACACATGCCAAGTTTAGATCTCACAGGGGTTCCAGATCTGTACCACGGCATCGCCGATGTACGATGTGGCATTGTTATCGGTATATCGGGCCGAAGTGGCGACCACCACCACTAACTGAACAGAACCGTAGCGACCGCTCCCCGCCGCGTTAGTCACCAGCCCTTGGAAACTGTCACCGTCGCGCCCACATACCGTCCACGTTGGAGACTTGGCACCGTTCCACCGGGCCACTGGTTGGTGGCTGTGGGAAATACCTGAGAGCATAGCTTTGTTATTATTAAGCGACAACATGTTAACATGAGTAACGTGGACGTGCCTTTCAAACGGTGTCCTCGCAACATGCGGCGGCAGGAGCGTATCTCGAGGCATCGCAAAGGAGACGCAGACGCCCTTTGTGCTTCTTTTTGCGCCTACACACTCGCACACATCCGCAGCATTACAGCATTCGTGGCGAACAACGACTTCTAGCGTGAGTACGACGCGCCGCCGCGCGCCACAGGCGCCACTGGGCGCCACTGGTATCGCAGGACACCCGCGCTGATCTGCGTGGCGAACGCGAAGGCGGCGGGGCGCCTGTGGCGGATCTGCCAAGCGCCCCACGCATGCGTGGCGTACCACGCGCCCACGCGGTAGTGGATCAGGCTGGCAGCCTGCAGCTTGCAGGTATCGCTATATCGCAGGCGTGCAGCATGAAGGTCGTGGCGGGAACCGGAAGACTGGGCGGCTGGGATTGGTCCGGTACGCGGATAGCCTCGAGCTTCTGGACAGGGACGACGAGGAGGGGGGTCGACAGGGAGCGATGGGACGCTGGGAAGCATGGGAAGATGGCGCATCAGCAGATCAGCAGGACGCCCCCCGCCGCCGGTCATACCGTTCTGTAACGGCTGTGCAGCGTGCTACATGTTGCAGCTCCTGCAATCCTGCAATAATTGTTAGAGTATTCAGAGTGCTAGAGGACAGAGTTGCAGTGCGGAATGATCCCACAGAGCAACACGGCATGGTACCGGGAGAGGCGGAATGGGCATGGAATGCACGTCAATATTGGTGATCGAACTTTGGTCGGCTGTGGAAAGGAGTACGAGAGCCGTCAATTAATTAAGATGAGGACCTGGCAGAGCAGAGCGGGGTGTGGACTGCGGAGGAACGGAGGAGATAACATGGGTGATTGAATAAGCGTGCTGCCGACGACGCCAAAGGCAAAGGCCACCAGAGGAGAGGCGTGCCCGCTGGCCGCATTCGCACTGTCAACAGTTGTGCCGTGCAGCTGGATTCGTGTGCTCTGGACTCTGCACTTTGTTCTTGTGGGCCCTCAGTGGCTCGGTGGGCCCCTGAAACGTTGAGCCATGAGCCAGGCTTTGTCACTGCACGCTGCGCGCTGCGCACTGCGGATTCACCAAGCCGCGACCTTGATCTTTGTGAATCCGTATTCCGTCAAGCGTGAAGCGTGAATGCATCGAGGGTAAAGAGATGGAGGCTACCATTTCAGGCACCCCAGCAGCCAGCAGGCAGGCCCAACACAACGGCACCTACGGCACACGTTCCCTAATCCCTAACCCCTCTATAACACCTCTGCTCCTCCACTCTTCATGCTGTTCTCGACACTAGCAACCTCTCGAGCTCTCGAGCGCTCGAGGCCTTGCGGGCCACAGCTCTGGCAAACATGGACGTGCCTGTATCTTCATCTCATCCAGGTGCTTGGAAATTACAGAATTGGAGACTTGGAGTATTGAAGACTTGAATGCTGATTAACTACTTTGGACACTGTCTAGCCGTCTAACGGACAGGGGCAATAGTCTCAAACAAGGTTACCTTGGGCAGCTTGGCAGCGTCCGCCCATGGCCGCCCATGCCGCCCACCACAAACTGCCTGTTGCCTGCCAGCTGCCTGCAGCCTGCTGTCAGCTGAACAGTCGCCTTTGATCATCTGGGGTCATGGGTCACTGCAATCCATGCAATCCACACAGTCGCGCAGCCGGTCAGCCCGGGCACATGAGCAGCATGAGCAGCTTGCTCGTTGGATCCTTGGGCTGTGGGTCGTTGGCCGAGCCTGTGGTATCTTGTATGAATCGTGTCCCTCCAGCCCTCCAATCCCTCTGCTTGGCCTCTTGCCTCACCACTGCACTGCCGCGGCCTCTACCGCTGTCTCACATCTCTCACGCTCGCTACCGATCTCCTCCTCGCTTCGCTTGTTCACATCCTGCTTGTCAATCATCCCATCTTCCCATCCTTACATCCGCAACAGCGCGACATTTCCATTGGTACATATATAGACCGGCCCCCCGTTTCGACTCTCGTACATCACCTCTTTATCTCTGCCCACTCCCCCATTCGCTCATCCGCCGGCCGCCCACCCGCACGTCCGTCCATCTGTCGCCCTCTGACTTTGGTGTCCACCTCTGCGCTCTTCCCCATCTGTGCGCCGCAAGCGCCCACGCTCACGCGCGCCCAGTTTGGCATTACTGGATTGTGACAGCTTGACGAGCCGACGGCTTGACAGCTTGACAGCTTGACAGCTTGAACCCCTGCGCCCCTCATCTACATCGCCTGTTCCCCCGTTCCCTCTTTCCCTCGTTCCTGCAGAGCTGCAGAGTTGTACGAGGCGCAGAGGATACTTCGATACGCCATACGCCGTACACCGTGCGCCGTCGTACGCCTGTACGCCTTCCGTCCCACATTCCAACTCGGCCCCCCCTTCCCCTGTCCCTCCCCTCCCCCCTCCCTCACCATCCCCTATTCCTCCTATTCACCACCCCTTATTCAGATTCATAACTCTCTCTCCCTCCTCATCCTCTCTTCCTCTCTTTTCCTCCATCTTCCAACACTCATCCACGCATCGTCACCTACACCTCTCTTCATCTTACAGTCACCTCTTCTTTCTCATCCCCTCGCCTCACCTCTACCTTTTCCCCCTCGACCACTTGGCAGCACCTGCGTCTCGCCTCTCATCACACCACACCCCCACGCCTCGACGCAAGAGATCCCCGAGGCGGTCACTTGGAGTCCGCCTTCCGGATCGAGTCTCAAAGTTCGACCCAAGTCACCTCCTACGATCCACCAGGTCCCACGTCCAGTCCGGCAACAAGGCAGTGAACGGCGGAGAGAGCGGCGAGCAGCAGAAGCTTGAATCGCAGTGGCAAACCTCCACTCGCAGCTTGGTTGCGTCGTCCCAAACCTTCCTCTCCTTCACTTGACACATCATTCCTCCCACGAGATGACTGCTGCCGATACACGTCCGCACCCGGTTGACCCGACAACTGCGGCATCGCAAGTAGACAATGTAGGGGCGCTCCTTGGGAAAGACTCTGTACCGTCGACGGCCACCTCGACTGCGAGTGCAGCGGCCACGGCGCTAGGCGCCGAGTTGGGCGCTTTGCACATCTCCCCCGAAAGGGATGGAAGTCCAGGCCCTACGAAGGGAGACGACAAGAGCGAGAGCATTTCCGCCGCCGTCGAACTACAGTCAACACCCTCGCACGTTACTCCTACTGCGGCCGCACCCACTCCAGCGGCCGCTGAAGCTGTTGCGGCGCTTTCAGGAACCTGCGTACCCTCTTCTTCACCCCACACCAACTTTCCTCCTGGAACCTTGCGCGCCCCGGCTGGTGCGAACAGTGTCGATGTTCCAACCAGCTTCCGCCTGGACGCGAGCGGCGTTCCTACCATCGCTGGTCGTGCTCCCGTTCCAGTGCCAGGTGCTGCCGGTGCACCGCCTGGTATGCGCCCACCGCCTGGAGCTGTTGGCGGGGTGCGTCCCCCTGCTGGTCGGGGAATAGCAGGCCCTATGGGCATGCGCCCTCCGATGGGCGGCCCCATAGGCATGGGAGGACGAGGAGCCCAGGTCCCGGTCCAGACCCGTTTGCCCCCTTCGCTGCAGGCTAAGATGGACAAGGTGCGTGCGACTTTACATTAGAGACTGACGATGATAGCTCGCTGCTCAACGTTCTGGCGCTCCCAGTCCGACAACCAATAGCGGTATGGGCCCGGCCCCGGCTGCGACATCGATGGGAGCCCTCCTTCGTCAGCAAGCTTTGCGTTCTGGGCAGCCCGCGGTGCAGCAGGGGCCGAACGCTGGGCCTCTGGGACTAGCAGCCCGAAGAGCTGCTGCAGGGCGGCTTAATCTTAACTCACCTCCTGGGGCGGCTACGGCAGGTCGAGGAGGTCTTGCTGCTGCCCGTGGCGGCATTGCAGGTCGGCGCGGCCCGCCTGGCGGGTTATCGTTGGCACAGATGGGTGGCCCCGTACCGGAGGATTCCAAGTTCAAGGACTTTGGTACCATAGTGGATCCAAACGGTTCCCTCAGATTCTCCAAGGCCGTCTTGCATGCTGGCGGTGTCGACTTTGGAGATGGCCAGAGCTTCAAGATCAACATGGACGAGATTGAGGTTCTGGGCGAACTAGGAAAGGGCAACTACGGTTCGGTACAGAAAGTGTTTCACCGCCCTACCGGGGTGACGATGGCGATGAAGGTGAGATACTCGATTTCCCACCCAGCTGACATTAGGAAATCCGTCTGGAGTTGGACGAGTCGAAACTCAATGGCATCATTATGGAGCTGGACATCTTGCATCGCGCCGCGTCACCCGAGATCGTCGAGTTCTACGGCGCATTCACCATCGAGTCCTGCGTCTACTACTGCATGGAGTTTATGGACGCTGGGTCTCTCGACAAGCTTACTGGGCAGACCTCCAGTGATGCGCTAGCTGAGGGCGAGCTTCTCGTTCCTGAACCTGTCTTGAGACGAATCACAGCTGGCATCGTCCGCGGCCTCCGCTTCCTCAAGGATGAGCTCCAGATCATGCATCGCGACGTCAAGCCCACCAACGTCCTCATGAACCGCAAGGGCGAGGTCAAGCTGTGCGACTTTGGCGTTTCGGGGCAGCTCGAGAAGAGTCTCGCCAAAACCAACATCGGCTGCCAGTCGTACATGGCACCTGAGCGTATCAAGGGCGAGTCGCAGAACCAGGTTTCGACATACACGGTTGCGTCGGATGTCTGGTCTGTGGGCCTGTCGATCATTGAACTCGCCAAAGGCTGCTACCCCTACCCGCCGGAGACATTTGCCAATGTCTTCGCGCAGCTGACGGCCATTGTCAACGGTGCGCCGCCTACACTACCCGAGGGGTACAGTGACGACGCCAACGACTTTATCGCCAAGTGGTGAGTGATTACCGAATGTTTCATTGCTGACAAAAGTCTTCAGAAGGATCCCAATGCGCGCCCAACTTATGGCGAGCTTTTGAAGCACCCCTTCCTTCTCGCAGACAAGGACGCGGACGTGGACATGGCGGGCTGGGTGGAGCACGCGCTGGAGCGACAGGCTAAGCGCAGCATCGTTCCCCTCGCCGAGGTTGCTTCCTAACTAATTCACAACGGTTTCAATGGGCTTTTTTTTCGGTTTACGGACGACAGGGCTTCGCAACACTGCGACGGTGGCGCCGGCCAGGCATCGGCCGCTGCCGGGGGATTATAGCATGGTAATGGCCACTGCGCTGTTCATCTACTCTGTGTACTGGGACTCAATGGCATGTACTCGCAACGTATCGTGGAACCAGCGAAGGGAATGACGCCGTTCGCAGCTGACGTGGGTATTCTGAGCGGGCTCTTGACCGAAACGACGATGACAGCGCCCAGCTGTTCCAAGGAGGCGCTAGTTGCACCTTGTTGCATTGCGGTGGTGTGGCTGACGTGGGCCAGTGAGGGACTCGGTGTGCCTGGCGAAGAAGTCAGTCGCGCCTGGGTGAAACCGTGGCGGCGGGTGGCTTCCTCCTCCACTCGTTCATATTAGCCAGCTCAACAGCACTTCATTAATGGAGCTTAGCGCACACCAGTATGAGTGTTAGCTGTGCTTGGAATTGGAGTGCTCTCCCTCAGAGCAGAGATAGCATGATAGCACCTTGGAACGTGCGCTTATGAGTCCCTTCCGGGTCCACGCCAAGATAGAATGCGCAGTATTCGTGGGAATCACCTAGCCTGCTAGCTTCCCGCGCGCGAGTCAAACTACGAAACGCGAACTGCCTACTGCATGCTGCTACTAACTCTTCCGGGTGCCGGAGCTGGATGGCTCATGAATACCACGTTTGTGTCTTCCAAGGTCGCAATCACCCCGGATTTACACAGGCGCGGACATGGACATGAGGGCGCTCAGCCAGCGGCGATAAGTGGGGTTGATTAAAGTGGGGGGTGAAACAAGATAAATTTCCTAGTCCGAATGCAAAACGAGTGATCACGACTTCAGTCGCCGCAGCAGCAGTGACGTCTGACTCATGCATACATGGACGACACGGGCAGGTATTGCGGGCGATGCGGGTCATTTGCTCCGATATGCAAGGGATTAGATCAAAAGATAATGCTTTCGACTCGGACTCGGATGACCTCCTCCTTCAAACCCTGTCGCGTCTCCACACCTCGTCTTCTTTCTCCAACTACTCATTTCTCTTTTATTCAGTCCACTAAAACGCTGGCTCTTGCTTAACCACACAGCCGACATGTCTCAGCCGCAGAAGATCAGAAGGGCCTCCGTTTCCGCCTCGGACCCTCCCACCACGTAAGTATAGTCCTCAGAGCAGAGGGCGATCGTTGGCGACACTCTTGCGTGTCGTGGAGCCGTTGTCCACGGTCCTGCACAACTCGATGACTACGGAGACGACGCCCAAAGCGCCCGAGTGGGGGAGCAGATGGCCTGCCGAACCTCGTCGGCGCATCTCCACGCATCAGCCTTTGCAGTGTCTCTTCCAACGCCTTCCTCCATTTCATCGCTGACAATGAGTATCCCCATTCCTTCCAACCCTCGCGGCCTCCCGCCGTCGTCTTTCGCTGGCACCTCGCCTACGCAGACGCTCAGCACCAGCCCTCGTCTGTCTACCTCCCCCGGCGCTGCTGGCTCGTTCGGTGGCCGCTCCCTCAAGGCCTTTGGCACTGCCCGTCAGCTTCAGGCCTTCCTTCCCGCCGCCTTCCCCGCCTTCCCAGAGGAGGAGGGCACTGCGACCCCGCGTACCGGCAAGATCAAGATTCTCCTGCTCGAGAACATCTCGATTGAGGCTGCTCAGTTCCTCAAGAACGCCGGCTACGAGGTGAGTTACAGAAAAGGAGCGACAACGGGAGGGTGCGGAATCTGGGGCGCACGGGCGGATTCAGTCGCATCCGGAAACTTCCCTTCTCCTCCTCGACCAAGACCATAACTGACTCCAGGTCGACCACGTCACCAAGGCCTTCTCTGAGGCCGAGCTCCTTGACAAGCTCCCGGGCTACCATGCCGTCGGTATCCGCTCCAAGACCAAGATCACCGCAAAGGTGATCGAAAAGTGCTCGCAGCTTCTCGTCATCGGCTGCTTCTGCATCGGTACCAACCAGGTTGACCTCGAGACTGCCGCGAAGCACGGCATCGCCGTATTTAACTCTCCATTCTCCAACTCGCGCTCAGTCGCCGAGCTCGTCATCTCGGAGATCATTGCACTCTCGCGCCAGCTCGTCGACCGCGCTAGCGAGATGCGCGCCGGCATTTGGAACAAGGTCTCCAAGGCGTGCTGGGAGGTCCGTGGCAAGACGCTCGGCATTGTCGGCTACGGTCACATTGGCTCGCAGCTGTCCGTCCTCGCCGAGTCGTTCGGCATGAACGTCATCTACTACGACATTATCCCCATCATGCCCCTTGGCACTGCTCGCCAGGTGGACACGTTCGAGCAGCTTCTCCAGACTGCCGACTTTGTCACGCTTCACGTGCCAGAGATCCCCGACACCATCGGCATGATGGGCTCCGCGGAGTTTGCGCAGATGAAGGAGGGTGCTTTCCTCATCAACAACGCCCGTGGCAAGGTCGTGGACCTTGCGGCGCTTGCCGACGCGCTCGAGAGCCGCCACCTTGCTGGTGCTGCCGTCGACGTTTTCCCCAAGGAGCCTGGATCCAACGGCCCTGGCTTTAACGACGACCTCGGTGACTTCATCCCCCGCCTCCGCAAGCTGCCCAACCTCATCATGACCCCTCACATCGGCGGCTCGACTGAGGAGGCGCAGCGCGCCATCGGCAACGAGGTCGCCAACGCCCTCACTCGCTACCTCAACTACGGCACCTCGATCGGCTCCGTCAACTTCCCCGAGGTCGACCTCCGTGCCATCACGGCCGACGACGTGCGCCACATCCGTGTCTGCCACGTGCACAGGAATGAGCCCGGTGTTCTTCGCGCCATCAACGCCATTCTCGGCAGCCACAACATTGAGAAGCAGTTCTCGGACTCGAAGGGTGACGTCGCCTACCTTATGGCGGACATCAGCGGTGTCGGCCACGAGGAGGTCCGCGAGATCTACGAGGCCATCAACGGCACGCGCGCCAACATCCTCACCCGTCTGTTGTACTAAACGCGCGGGCCGAGAGAGGCGTTGACGTGTTGGCGAGGTGAAAGGTGATGGCGTAAACAACTTGCGCCCCTCAACCGGGTCACTGTGTAATAGTCGCTCATCTGTATAGTACTGTAGTGCTCCACCACTCGGCGCGAGCGGCCCACAGCATCAAAACTAGACATGCATTCTTGGTAACATTGCCAGATATATCTGACGCGCAGGTGGAGGTTGTCCTGTCCTCCGATCTCCGATCTCCGATCTCCACTCCGCACTGGTGGCTTTCGGCGGTCTGTGGAAGCGTGAGAGACACGTTGTGCATTGCCGGTCTGCCGGCCAGTCATTAGAAGTAGGCAAACTACTAAGCATGAACAAAGGCCAAAGCGTGCAGATGTCTCGGCATTCATCACCAAGCGAAATCGGCCTGGGCCGACATTGCTTCATTCCACGACGCGGCGGCCGCCGGCTATGACCCCGCAACCTCAACCCGGGGTCCCCGATTACCGGCATCGCACCACATGATCAAACGCGTACATACACTTCGCGAAGCACTGGCGCGAACGGCCTTGTCCGCTAGCTCGGCGTTAGCCCACTGCCCACTGCTCGTGTCTCGCTACAAGTACCCAGCCGGTCACTACCGCCCTTCTCACCACTACTCTTCGCACTCACAACCCTTCCACCAAGACAAGAGCGCAACCATGGCCGTCATTCGCACCCAGCTCACCGACATGTGTAGGTGTCCGCGGGCGCAGGTCTCGTCGTCATCTCGTCTCTCATGTGATCTGATCTGAAATCGACCCCACGCTAATCCTGCCGATACGGCACGCCGAGACCCCCCCGGCTAACCCCAGTCAACATCCCGCACCCCGTGCTGCTCGCGGGCATGTTCGTTGCCTCTGGCCCGCGCCTCGCTGCGGCCGTGACGAACGCGGGCGGCCTGGGCGTCATCGGCGGTCTCGCTCTCAACCCCAAGCAGCTGCGCACGCAGATTGCCGAGCTCAAGTCGTTCCTGAACGACAAGTCGGCGCCGTTCGGCATCGACCTCGCGCTCCCCAAGATCGGCGGCGGCGCGCGCGCCACCAACCACGACTACACCCACGGGCACTTGAACGAGCTGATCGACATCATCGTTGAGGAGAAGGCGGCGCTGTTCGTGTGCGCGATTGGCGTGTGCCCGCCCGAGGTCGTCGAGAAGCTGCACAAGGGCGGCGTCAAGGTCGCGAACATGATTGGGCACCCGAAGCACGTCGGGCCCGTGGTCAAGGCCGGCGTGGACATTGTGATCGCGCAGGGCGGCGAGGGCGGCGGACACACCGGCGACATCCCGTTCTCGGTGCTCATCCCCGCGGTCGTCGACGCCTGCTCGTCCCTCAAGACCAAGAAGGGAAACAGCGTCTGCGTCCTCGCCGCCGGCGGCGTCAACGACGGCCGCTCCCTCGCCGCCGCACTCATGTACGGCGCACAAGGCGTGTGGGTCGGCACGCGCTTCGTCGCGTCCGAGGAGGCCGCCGCGCCCAAAATGCACAAGCAGCAGATCATCAGCGCCAAGGCTGGCGACACCACCCGCACCCTCATCTACTCGGGCCGCCCGCTGCGCGTGCGCAACACGCCGTACGTTACCGAGTGGAACGAAACACGTGCCCAGGAAATTGCCGACCTGACCTCGCGTGGCATCATCCCCCACGATCACGAGCTGTCCAAGAAGCCCGAGCGGTCGATCGAAGGAAAGCTGTGGCTTATGGGAGAGGTCGCGGGGAGTATCACTGAGGTGCTCCCGGCCAAGGTAATCGTTGACCAGATGGTCGACGGCGCCAAGCGCTGCATTCAAGGTGGTGTGTCCACCCTCAACGGCGGCGCGGCTCGTCTTTGAGCGCTAGCGAGTCTATAGATGTATCAGAAGTATTGCGTGGTGCAGTAGTGCAGTAGCGCGATGATGGTTTGGGCTGAAAGCTGGGGCTGCCAGTGGCGGGTCGAGACTCAGATCAAAATCGTGGAAACGTAGGATGAGTGAGATTCGAATTACCTCTTACCACAAAATGGACTACACTAGGCTTAATCAAAGATACCCACAATCGGCGATGCGGGAGATATTTTCCAGGTATTTTTGCAATTAACACTGATATTGGTCGTATGGAATACGGGGAGTTACAGTGGCATGGTAGTAGTCATGCTTGCGCCTATGCCGTAGCTCAGCCGCTTCACCCAGGATCTTTTCGTCGAACCTGGACACTTGGCAAGCCCTCATTACGGTGGACAGTCTCGGTGCGACACTTAAGCCCTTGCTTCAAACTTGGCCGCAGTAAAGCCCTCCCAGCACCTCGCACCAACCGTCTGAATCTTAAGCGGTAGACGACATGTAGGGTAGCGAGACGTCGACTGGGTGCGGAGTCATCATTCGAGGCGTGTATTGACCATTTTACTGAATGTAGCACCCAACCGTTGGTGGCAGACAAGTGCCACATGTCACGGCAAAGGGAGCGCCGTCCATTATCCCTCTCGTGCCACACACTATTGGAGCAAATTGCGACAAGAGTGTCCATGCTGTCGAGAAAGTCCTACAAGGTAGCAACTAGTCGACGATAGAGGTTGTGAGGCTGGCGCCCGTGCCGATGGGGCGGTGCGTGATGACAGAGACAATACAGAGGAGGTGGAATGATCTACTTTAATGTTCAGGTGTCTAGAAAGCGACAGCAGCAATGCCAGCGAGCACGGCGACAAGGGAAGCGCCAGCAATGGCGAAGGCCGGGCTCGCCCCGCTGTTCCTGCTGCCAGACTGGGAGGCGTTGGCAGCGGCAACAGAGATCGTCGCGCGGACCTGACCGTTGGCATCGGTCACAGTCGTGACAACAGCCGACTGAGAGGAAGCACGAGCAGTGGGAGACGAGAGGGAGTTCGGGTCGGGGATAGCGCCGCTCCAAGTGAACGCGGCACCGGCGGTCAGGCTCTCGGTGGGGATGCCGTTGCCAACCGACGAGAAGGTGGTGCACTGGCTGGACGAAGGGGTCGAGTAGGGGGCCGAGGGAGTGACGGTCACTCCAATGGTCCAGAGCTCGGTCTTGCCGCCCGCAGTGTTAGTGCCAGTGTAGCGCTGGTGGAAGGTCGAGATTGAGCCGTCTGGTTGAGGGTACCATCCGGGCGGGAGGGCGGCGTCGGCCTGGCACTCGGTGAAGGTGTTGTTGGTGTAATTGCCAGGCATGACCCACTGGCAGCCCATGAGATCGATCTCGTGCTGGCAGACCTGTTCCGCGGTGTACTGGCCCTGCTCGGCAATGCAGATGCGGAGGCAGTACATCGAATAGGACATGAAGCTAGTGTCAGCTGATGTGCTTGATGCAACTCACTTCATCCACTCCTCGTACGAGACGTCGGCGCCGGTGGCGTTGCAGGTGACGTTTCCGCCAACGGGGTTGCCTGTGCCCTTGGCACCGTGAGGGTCGAGCTCACCGCCCTGGTCGCCAGCGGCAATGTTAAGGCGGGTAAAGTCACCGTAGCCGTGGATCTGCCAGTAGAGAGGCGTCTTGACGAGAGCAGCAGACTGGATCGTACCGTCGGGGATGACGCGGGCATTGTTGCGCGGCTGGACGCACCATGCGACCTGCTCCTCCTCGGTGTCGCCGACGACCGAGTTGGGCAGCATGGGCGCGAAGATGCAGAAGTCGTTGATCGAGTTGAGCGAAAGAAGACGGGCTTCCGACGTCTGATTGATGGGCGTGCCCATGACGGCAGCCGTGGGGTTGGTGACGCCCATAGTGCCGGTGGCAGTCACAAGGGCGTTGGCCTTGGGAGTCAGCGCGCGGCGGTTGTGGGCGCCAGGTAAGCAAAAACGTACCGAGCTGGCCATGAGGACGGAGGTGACGAGCTGCACGAGCATGATGACTGTGCTGGTGTTAGGAGAACAATACGATGGCAGCCTCTAGATGCGGCGGATGTTTGCATTTGAGCAAGTGGCCACAGCTCTGAGGAAGATGCTTGCCACAGAACAGCATGTTTACTGGGGTGGGGCAAGAGAGGGGCGCTGTTCGGGACACGCTCATGAGGACCAGAATAGAAGGTGCGCTGCACAGCAACGCTAGCAAGGATGCCGCCTGTTTTGAGAATGATAGTACTCACGAAAGAGAGTGAGGGAGGGGGAGATGGAGGGAGCGTGAGGAGTATGAACCACAAGAGAGAAGGAGATGATGAATGCAAGATGAAGAAGAGATGAGTAAAGCAGCAGTCAGTTATGCTCCTCGACCTCCTCGCTGCCAGCTGCATGCAAAGGCTACGCCCGCCCCTCTGTCGGATTCTGCGCAGCATGGATGGGAGGCCTCCCAATTTCCCAAGCTCCCAACTTGTGCAAAGGGGCCAAAATGCGGTGTCATCTATTCTGGGAACGTCCAGCCTGGGCTGATCAGGGGAATGTCCTTGGTTATTATATGCGCCTCGGTTCCTCTGGTCGTGCACCCCAGCCAGCCCTGCCCTGTTTTACGCGTCCGAGATCCTTCCGAGACGCGTCTGGAGGCAGATGAAGGCTGGAGGCTGGAGGCTGCGAGGCTCAAGGGCTGGCGTCACCCCCGACGACTTGCCGTCAGGCGGTCAGACTGCGCATCTTGTCTTGAATGGCACACGCACATATTGTGGCTTGGGTCAGGAAAATGCCATCGTTCACTACTCTGATCTGGATCAAACTGGCCACACTGAGCTTTGGTTGGCACACATGTTCACCGCAATCTACGAGATACCAGCTAATTACCTAAGAGCTAGGAGGCGTTCACCTCCCTCCTCACCACAGTCACCATGCCCCGCGGTCCACGAGCCACGTTCCGCAGGTCCGACCCAACGGTCAGTTTCGGCTGCTTGTTCCTCCTCCCTCGGATCCTCGGAGAACTGCATCTGCGTCCCGTCCGTGCCGTACTCCGTGGGATGTGCTTTGCGGGCCTGACCAGCCCATGACATGCAACCTTGATATCTGTATCATTCGATCTATCAGCCAACAACCCCAAGCCACCTTCAAACACAACTGCGTTATTGGTGGCCAGCCGGTGGCCAGTGGACGCGTGGGACTATTGCACAACTCGTCACGCTCACCTGTTCGTCCAATCGTCCAATCGCCTTGATCGCCATCCTCACGTCGCCAAGGTCGCTCCACCGATCTATGGATCCTATGCTCCTATGGAAACGCGTAAGAGTTATTTCTGGCCCAAGCCGCATGGAATGCGGACGTTGTTACGCAGTTGTGCCGAGCGCTCAAACTGCTTGTATTCAGGTCCGAAACAAACACGCCGCCTCCTCACTGCGGTCGGGCTGCGAGTCATCGCAACGAGCCGTACAACGCCGTGTGGCGATGAGACGACCAAACACCAGCCATGTCTGGTACGTTGGTACAGTTACATTTTGATTCTTCAGCTGTTCTGTTCCAAGCCCCGCGCTCCTCGCCATATCGCCATGGCTCTGCACCTATTACAACGCCTCCAGCACATACTTGACCCATGCGTTCCCTTCAAATTTGCCACGGAACTCATCCACAGTCGCACGGAGAGCTGTGAGCTGGGCGTCGCCATCGCCGCCCTCCGCGCGTTGCCGCCACTCGTCGAGGAAGGCGCGTACGATTTCAGTGCCGGCGTCCACTTCACCCTTGGGGAACTTCCCGGCGGGCGACGCCTCACCCTCGCCAAAGTCCTCGAGCTCCTCAGCCTTGCGTTTCGCCAACTGCTTGTCAGCTTGTTCTTGATGTTATTTCTCACTCTTACGACAGAGTCGGGGAACCGCGCGAGCTCCGCGACGTGTATGCCAAAGCTCTGATCGCTGTGGCCATCCACAACCTGGTAGAGAAGCGTGATCTGGCGATCCTGCTTCGACCCCGCCGCAGCCTGCTGCACCTCGGCACGAACCTGAAGGTTCTTGACCCACGCCATGTGGTCCGCGAGCGTAGTGAGCTCGTGGAAGTGTGTCGCGAAAAGGCAGAAGCAGCGGATTTGGCTTGCGATGTGCTCTGAGATGGCCCATGCCAGGCCGAAACCGTCGTATGTAGACGTACCGCGGCCCAGCTCGTCGATGATGATGAGCGAGTCCCGGGTCGCAGAACGCAGGATTGTCGCCGTCTCCAGCATCTCTGCCATAAACGTCGACACACCCTTGAGCTGGCTATCGCCGGCGCCGACACGTGCCAGAATGCAGTCAAAGACGGGAAGCTCCGCACTGTCGGCTGGCACGAAGCAACCGAGCTGCGCCATGAGTGCGATCACGCCAATCTGGCGAATGTACGTCGATTTGCCGCCCATGTTGGGACCTGTAAGAATGTGGAACTCGCTCGAGCCCTTGCGCATCTCATGGTCGTTGGCGATGAACTGGATATCGTCTTGCACTTCGAGGCACGGGTGACGCGCAGCGCGCACAACGACATCACCCGAACCACGCTCCTTCATGACCGGCTTGACGTACGGGACTGGGGCGTTTGCAGACACATGCGCGAAGCTCACAGCCACGTCGATCGCTGCGATGAGGTTGTCAAGAAGCTCAAGTACGGGGGTGTACGAAGAGGCGATGCCAACGACCTCTTTGACCAGGTGCCGCTGCTTGGTCTCGTATTCATCTTGCAAGCGCGCGAAGTCATCGCTCGCCTCGCGCAGCGTGTTGGTGGTGAAGATGGTCCCTGACTTCTGTGTCGACAGCTCAATGAACTGTTTTTTGCCCCTCAGCAGGCTCGCCTCGGCTTTGGTGATGCGGAATGAATATTTATACACGTGGTGGTTTTCGAGGTGGAGCTTCTTGTCAATGTCGATGCCCAGGTCGGCCCCAACGCGGCGGTGCTCGGCATCCAGTTGGTCACGGACGTCCACCAGCTCGCCTCGGATTCTCTCCAACTCGCCATCCAGGGAAGGTAGAAGCGTGTAGTTGTGGCTGGCCAGGTCGTCGAGATCGATTGTGTTCTCCACCATGTCGTTGAACTTGCCGAGCTTTTCCAAGTGATCGCTCAGCTCATCGACATACACCTTGTTCAACAGAGTGGCATGAACTGGGTTCTCTTCCTGCACCTTCTCCAGGCACTCGATAATGCGCGGAAGCTTCCCGACGGCTTGGTATACTCGCACGATATCCTCAAGGGTGGCGATACCGCGGTGGAACTTCTTGCAAATGCGATGGAAATCTGGCATTGCTCGAAGGTATTCCTCTTGCAGTTGCCGCCGACTGATGTCGTCGTTGACAAACATTTCAACAATGTTCTGTCGCTCCTGAATTGAATGCAGATTGACAAGCGGCTGCTTGAGCCATCGCCCGAGCAAACGCTGCCCCTGGCTTGTCTTACAGCGGTTCAGCAGACCATACAGGCTCATGTTCTTATTTCCGCCAAGTTCTGGGGTAGGCATGAGGTTGAGAGCCTTGAGAGCGCTCGCGTCCAGCTTCATGTACTGCGAGAGGTCGTGGTGGTGTAACCTGAACTGGCCGTGCATGGGCGAGTCTGACATGAGACCAAGATAGGAGATGAGAGCAGCTAGCGCCGACACCGCCGTCTTCAGGTCGTACTCAGCTGGACTGGTTAACTAGAATCGGCGAGCAGACTTACGAAGAGTGGCTGGGTGGGTCTCATCCAACAGCCGCCCGAGGTCTTGCTGGACGCTGCCCGCCTGGAATTCGGACGCTTTGCGCTCCGTAACAATCACGCCGCACCGCTCGACGAGCATCCGCAGCTTGGAGAGCTCGTGGTCGACTCGCTTGTCGTCGGTCTGGAGGAGGCATTCCTTGATCCCAAGTTGAATCAGCAGGCTCTCCGTGTTGCCGTAGTTCTCCCCGTCGGCGTACTCGGCCACGCCAATGGTCTTATCCTGAACGTCGACGAACGCAGCCCCAACAGTGCGCTGCCCGTCGCGCATCTGGATACGGATGGCCATGCTCACGGCGTTGGACAACAGATCTTCGCTCGCGAACAGTAGGTCATCGAGCTGACTGATATTGCCAGGCGACGCCACCTTGGCGAGTTGCCATCGCGCATTATTCTTGGCACGCGCGCCTTCCTCGGGCTCGTAGATCTCGACACGCATCTGCTTAGTTGTCAGGCAGTCGCGAAGAAATGCCTTCGCAAGCGTCATGCTGATCGTCACGGACGGAAGGCCACGCGCGTTGCTGGGTCCCACCTTACGCGAACCAAGATATTTTAGCACGTTGGTCGTCTTGTATACCTGATCCGCGATGAGGAGAGCATCTGGACCATGGGCAGAGAAAAACTCTCCGCGGTCGAAAAGGCGTACAAGTCCATCAGACCGGGGACCCAGTCTTTCGACGAAGCGGCAGAAGCGGTCTTCGGCGTCCTTGTCTGAAGGTGAGCTACAACCTGGGGGAAGACAGCGGAGAGCTTACCCATGTCATCGAATTGGGGCTTGGCCGTAGCCAGCTCCTTCTCGTACATTGGCTGTGGTTAGCTGCTAAACCATGAGTTGAGGGCTAACCATGCTAATCAGAGGTGATGTAGGATATACGTAGCGAAGAGTGGACAATACCAGGAGCGACGAGAGGAAGTAGGCTAATGGGCGAGTACGCGAGTGGCCAAAGTCAACATGGCATCCAGGGTTGACTGGACGCGTCGCGTTCGCGGGAGCAAACTCAGACATTCTCCGTGCTTGTTAAGTGAACCATCGCTAATCATGCGGTACCATGCAATAACGCAGCAATGCAGTATACGCAGCGCCAAGCAACAGCACTGGGGTGCTTCATCATCCTCTATAATGGTCGCAAAAGCCCCAGCGTATCTGCTCCTCCTGCGGTCACTCTGCCCCCGAAACATGATACATTACATGAAGACTCTCTCAGCCCCAGTGGATCAGACCGCAACTCCCGCTCAGTGCATCTGCTGGTCCTCCTCTGTGCTCTCGAACAGGAAATTGGCAGCAAGCTCCTCGTTCTTGTCACACAGAAGGAATGCTTGAAGGACCATCTGGCGGTCAAAGCCAAGCTGCTCCAGCTATGCGTCAGCAAGTTGTGGTCGCAAGTTAACAAAACTTACCCTCTCGACAGCTGCAGCCTCCTCCTGGGTGAGGTCGACCTGCATCACCTGCTGCGGGTACATGGTTTGCTCGATCTCCTCAGGCGTGATACCGAGCAGGTCGTACAGAGACTGGGGGTTTTCGTTGATAAGCTGGGCAAGTGCGGGATTCTGCTGGGCAACCTGCTGGAGGAGCGGCTGGATAAGAGCCGGGTTCTGCTGCACAGCCTGGCGGATGCGCTGCAGCTGAGGCGAATTGGCGATAGCGGCCATGGTTTCCTCGTCAAGTCCAGTGCCGGTGGGTACATTCGGACGGTCACGGCTCATGGCGGCCTCGGCAGCCTATGGTGAGCTGGGATCGGGAGGGCCTGATAACTCACGGCGAAGAGGTTGTCGGCTGAGCTGCTGCCTGCGGAAGGAGCAGTACCTGCCGCGGCCGCGGTCGAACCTGAAGCCGCGGCCGGAGCAGCAGCAGGGACGGCGTGAGACGGAGCAGCCGGGGTGGCCTGCGGAGAGGGGGCACGGGGGGCCGCGGGCTCTGTCTCCGGAATGTGGCCCTGGCTGTCAGCGAGATTATGCCTTCGCCACTAACAGTCATGAGATACTCGACGGCGCGGTCGGGGTTGTTGAAGCTGGCACGGAGAGCGCGGACAACCTGGTCGCGCGGGAAGCCCATTTCGATGATGGCGTCCGTGGCACTTTGGAGTGCGGAGCCGGTGACTGGCCGTCAGCTGTAGGCTGTGAATGACGAAACCAACGTACGGAAGGAGGAGCCCATACCAACATCGCCCGATGGTTCAGTAGGTTGAGTGGCGGCGGCAGAAGACTCTGTAGCAGCAGGTGCAGAATCGGAAGCAGACTGAGCCGCAGCAGGAGTCGTATCAGTCGCAGAAGCCGATGGCGCGGGAGTGGGCTCAGCCGGAGCAGCAGCGGGAGCCGCGGAAGGTGCAGCAGCAGGAGTAGTAGCAGGCGCGGGAGAAGATGTGGGGACAGGTGTCTTGGGCTGCTGTTAGATAGCGGATGCACAGGAAGACGTGCCTTGGACACCATTACAACGAGGAAGTCCTTCTCCTTGATCTTGAGCTCGCCGACGGTCGACTCATCCTTGAGGATCTTGCCTGAGGTCAGTCACGCACGGCGGCGAAAGCGCACCAGAGTAGATGAGCTTCTGGTTGGCAGCGGGAAAGGTCTGGCTCTCCTGGATCTTTGCCTTGAGTCCGCCAACCTGGCATTAGACTGTCCACCGGGAGCGTCGCACGGTCTCCGACTCATCAGCGTCGATAGTGAACAGCTGTGGGGTTAGCGAATCTGGGCAGAGCTTCAACGTGGACTTGCCTTGTTCTGCACGGTCTTGAAGGTGATTTTCATTGTCGCGGAAGATGGAATGTGGGGAGTGAGATGGAAGAGTAAAGAGGGAGAAGCGATAAGTGGACGATGAACGAGAGATCGAAAGATGAGCCGCCGCTCGCGCTAACGCTCAGTACGCCTAGTGACGCTCCTGCCTCCTGCCAGATCCCACCATGACACAAGCGTCAGCGTCCACCGGCCAGCGGGATCATATCAATCAATCAAACGTGTTTACACTCCACGTGGCCAAACTTTTATTATGACATCCATTCACCCACCCATGCCACCCATACCCCTAATGGCATGCACGTGTTCGTGCTGATCGATGCCGGCCCAGCTCGAGACGTCGGGAGAGCAGCAACTGACGCAAGCACCACTGACGGTAGCACTAGCACAACGCACGCTCCGACGAGCTGAGAACAGTCAATTGGATTCCTCTCGCGAAGCTGCCATCTCAAGAGGCATCATCCGTCACAATCGCTTTCAGTGGTGGGTGTCCTCGTGCTCATCCTTCTGAGCCCTCAGACCGGCAAGTACCTAGGTGCAGGCCGCGAACCACCCTCATCCTTCCCGCGCCTGGGGCTCGTCTTCCGTGGGACGATGGGCCGCGTGCAGGCAACATCATCGCGTATCATCTTCGTTCATGGCCTCTGATCCTCTGACCGCCTTCTCGCCGGCCTCGTCCATCTCTCGTCCATCCAGCTCATGGCATCCATGGCATCCGCGAAATCGATGGTAGTACACTCATGCATCCATCCTCAGGCCCAAAGGTCTAACCGCTCATGCCTTGAGGGCGTACTCTGCTTCGTCAGCTCTGCTCTACTCCTTGACGTCGGGAGATTTGCATCTGCAGTCTGCCACGTTCAACTTACTCCGCTGGGGGAAGTGGATGGCCTTCTTGTGGGCCTTGACGGTGACGGCGTTGGCCTCCTTGGTGGTGAGGCGGCGGCGGATGGCGCGAGTCTTCTTGTAGCGGAGGTCGAGGGGCATGTACTTCGACTTCTTGTAGAACTCGCGGAGGTTCTGGCGCTGCTTCTGGTTGATGACCGTGAGGACACGCGCGATCGACTTGCGGACAGTGTTGCTGCGGTCAGAATGAATCCTCCGGTGCATGGCTTTGCAGTGCTCTGCCCTCCGCCCTCCTTCCTTCTCCGCCAGCCTGTCCTCCAAGCCCTCCTCAGAGCCGGCAGAGCACACAACCATAAACACACGCACATCTTGGTGAGCTTGGACGACGAGCCACCAACGACCTTCTGGACGCGGAGGGTAGCGAGCTCAGTGCGGAGCTCGGTGAGCTGCGCAAGGAGGTCGGCCTTGTTCTTGGAGGCAAGCTCCGAAGCCCGGACTTTCTGGGAGGTCGACATTTTCTGCGTGTCAGCGCCACTCTCGTCTTTCCGCCTCAGCCGTCTTTCCATCGATCATTCGTTGCCCCGCGCGCGCGCACGCGCATGATGCCCCGCCCTCTCCGCGAGTGCAAAGTTGGTCTCCTGACCATCAGAGACAAATATGAACTCTGGGGCCGGCTGGAGATTCCATTTCGATGCGGAACTTTTGCCAGGAGAGCGCGCGGACAGGACGCGCGGGCGGCAGCGCGGGGTGGCGACGACGATGGCGGCGGTGACGGCGATGGCGGGGCTAGGCTACGCACTGGTCCGTGGATGCTTGAGGGTTGCAGACTCGCCAGCTGAACGTCGACACCCAACTCTGGCGGGGGAGGTGCAGGTCAGGGTACTCTCGCCTCTGTCGGCGTTAAGCCAGAATTTCTACGATTTTAATCTGGTTCCGCTTCGACACCTGTGTTTGTGCCAGGCACTCCCACCGGGTGATCGACGGTGATCCCATAATTCGAAGCGTGCAACCTTTCCTCGCGTTGCTGAGCGATTCGCGATCGCGAGTGGCGCTTTGCACGCTCTGATGCTCTGACATTCTCAAGTTTGAGTTGATCCTCTACAAGGGACCGATACTGGAATGACATCACATCCCCCCAATCTCCAAGCCAGACCTTGCCTTACTCATACAATCGCATGGTATGCTACAATTCTAATGTCCAGCGTCCCAACGTAACAAGCCCGGGCTCAGAGCGACGCGGTTGAGCTCCTCCGGCGGCGGTGAAGCTGCCAAAGGTCTGCGTCTGCGTCCTCATCCCGCCCGTAGCCTGTGCGGTCTTCTTCATCCCATTTGTCTTCACTCGTATCGTCCGACTCCTCCCACTTGCCATCATCGTCTTTGTCGTCATCGTCCTTGTCATCTTCGTCGCTCTGTCCTTTGTCGTCAGCTTCCCTGTATTCGTCTTTCTTGTCATCATCGTGCTCGTGAACACCGCTCCACCACGCGGCTCTCGCGGTTCCGCTGTCGATACTGAACTGGGAGGGCGTGCGCTTGCCCCGTTCTCCGTCAAGGCTGTCCACGTCCATTTCGTCGTCTGTCGTCTCCTTGCGCGGGCCATCGATCTATCGTCAGCTGAAAGCGTCCCTGTGCGTCAGCAATTCTTTCTACGATGGAGGGGAGATTGGGGTTCAGGACCGATTTAATGGCCCTCCTCTCTTGCTCTTGCTTCCACAAGTATAAGGGTGTGGGAGTGCAAGGCCAATGACTCACATGAAGATCCGAGTCGAGGTTGCTTTTGCTGTCGGTCCACTCCGTGACATCTTCCTCCACACGTCAGCCTGCTACGCACCAGGTGCATAAACTCTCTCGCCACGGTCATGTGGGGGTCGACCTTGAGCGCCTTCGCAAACCACTCTCGCGCTTGTCGGAGCATTTCTGCATTAGGAGGCGCTTGATCAACTGTTTGTCAGCAACGACGGAGAAAGCTCACGCCCAGCAAGCCGAAGTTGCTAGGGCGTGATTTCCACTTCATGGGGCCGGTCGACGGGGCACGGATCTAAGGCCCAATATGATACTCGTGCAGGCATCTGCACGGCATCGAAGGGGTTAAGCACTGACCGGAAGCATCCGACATTGACCTCGAGCGTGTTGAGTTCGCCTCGCTCCCAGATTCCCTTGGGTCGTGCCGTGCGTTCTTTGTCCCGTTGGCGTTGTCCGTTGCAGACCCACCGCGCGCTGACGCGGGCTGGGCGAGGTAGAAGCACACGAGGCCGGCGTAGGTAAGCAGGGGTGCGGAGTTGAGGTACGTGAACGACGACAGGTACCTCATTGTCAGGAATGAGTTCGACATACATCCTGCTTACGTTTCAAGCTCGTCCAGCGCTGTGCGGTAGCGTCCAACGCGGATCAAGTGCAGGACCAGCTCACCAAGGATAACGGGTTTCTGCAACATCAGCGCCACACACATGATGGTAACGGCTTGGACGTACATCCGCTTCCTTGGCAGCTACTTGCAGGGACCTAAGATAGCGCTCGCCTTCAATGCCCGGCTCGTGCTGAGAGAAGCGAGAGTCAGAGGGATCCGCCCCATCCGTGAGGAGATAGAGGCCCCATAGCCAGAGGTCATGCCAGTGTACATCTGGACACCTCACCTTGAGTCAGAGACATACTTCCGATGAGGTATCCTACTGTCACCACGCGGAGGAAACGCACCAGGATAGCCCATGCTCGTCGCGCGCGGTCCAAGTCACGGCGTAAGAGACAAGTTTGAATGCAATCGACCAGGTTATAGATGTATGCCCCGCGAACCGTGCGAGGCCTGTTTGGGTCGCCTGGTTTTGGGCGGTACTTGATCTTGCGATACACTGTTGATGGTGGCATGAGACGAGGCTGGCGTATACGCACAAAAGTTATTGATGATGCCGCTGTTGTTGTTGTGAAGCGGAGTGGAATGGCAGCTGGAAGACCTCCACCGGCTATCCACACCTTGACGCTGAAAGACATGAGTGGAGATTGGGAGGTTTCAGGGGAATGCACGTGAGACCAGGCACGCTTCCCTGTGTGAGCATTGCAAATATTTACCGCTATTGGCAGCTGGCATTTTTTTCGTCGGTCTGGTCGCGGATGCGCCGATGAGCTGGGGTAGGAGAACAAGAGCGCAAGAATGCTAGCGATGCACACGGCATGCGATGGCCAGCGCGCATAGGCGTGGGGGTATGCGACTGTCACCTGCAGCCTGCGTAGGAAAGGTTGTAAGCCAGAGGCCAGAGGCAAGTAGGCTGGCTGGCAAGGCAGGCGACACAGGGCGGGGGAACCAAGGCCAATAACCCATGGCCCATGGCTCATGGGCCCAAACGCAGCCCACACCCACCAGCCTTGTGGGCGCTAAGGCGGTCGGGCCCTCCCTCCGCCTCCCTCCCCCCTCCCCCTCCGCCAGCACATTTCGTCCACCCATCCATAACTCTTCTTCTTCATCCACACTTTCGTGTCTCTTATCTCAACAACTCTCCCAATACCGCTCTCCCACGCGCACTCCGACCGCTTTGTCACAGTAGACGAAGCGCTCATAAAAACAGAAACAAAAACAGCAATCATGGCGGAGTGAGTATGATCTCTCGAAGGTTTGATCTTGGGTCACAATGAGTCTTTGAAACTTCTCGCGCGACCGTCCCATCCATGCAGCCAGGTCACCCAGCCGGGCCATCCAGCGTGCAGTAGCCCAGCGCTTACTCAGACTTGGGGAGTGTTGTCGCACTGTATTGCTTCAGACATCTGGCGGTCTGAGAGTAGGATGTGCTCATAGTCAAAAGCGACCTGGGGTGGTGGTCACTTGGGGAAGGAGAAAATTCGCCACCGTCCTGCTCGGAACATTGACATGCTGACCTAACAGCAACAACGAGAATGGCCTCGAGCTCTCGGGCGACCTCATCGAGTCCAACTGGGACCAGGTTGTCGACAAGTGAGTTCTACTGCATCTCGCACGAACCAGCACCCGTGCTTACGCTCCCTAGCTTCGACAACATGGAGCTTAAGCCCGAGCTCCTCCGTGGTGTCTACGCCTACGGTTTCGAGCGCCCTTCGGCCATCCAGCAGCGCGCGATCATGCCCATCATCACTGGCCGTGACGTGATTGCCCAGGCCCAGTCGGGTACCGGCAAGACTGCTACTTTCTCTATTTCCATCCTCCAGCGCGTAAGTTACTGTGCCGGCGATGCTGTGGAGAACCTTGGGAGCTCCAAACAATCGAGGACAGCGTTGTGCAGATTTGTTTTTATGGGCAAACATCCCATTAGGCGCCAACGACATCATATGAGATAATGGCTAACGCCTCAGATCGATACCTCTGTCAAGCGCACCCAGGCTCTCATTCTCGCGCCCACCCGTGAGCTTGCGCAGCAGATCCAGAAGGTCGTCATCGCCCTTGGTGACTACCTCAACATCGACTGCCACGCTTGTGTTGGTGGCACTGCCATCCGCGAGGACATTGCCAAGCTCAACGACGGCCCTCACGTCGTCGTCGGTACCCCCGGCCGTGTCTTTGACATGATCAACCGTGGCGCCCTCAAGTCTGACGCCGTCAAGATGTTCTGCCTTGACGAGGCTGACGAGATGCTCTCGACTGGCTTCAAGGACGCCATCTACGACATCTTCCAGCTTCTCCCCGCTGAGACCCAGGTTGTCCTCCTCTCGGCCACCATGCCCACCGATGTCCTTGAGGTCACCAAGAAGTTCATGCGTGACCCCATCCGTATCCTCGTCAAGCGTGACGAGCTTACCCTCGAGGGTATTCGTCAGTTCTACATCGCCGTTGAGAAGGAGGACTGGAAGCTCGACACTCTCTGCGACCTCTACGAGACTGTCACCATTACCCAGGCTGTCATCTTCTGCTCCACTCGTCGCAAGGTCGACTGGCTCACCCAGAAGCTTCACGAGAGGGAGTTCACCGTCTCGGCCATGCACGGTGACATGGACCAGACTCAGCGTGAGGTCATCATGAAGGAGTTCCGCTCGGGCTCGTCGCGTGTCCTCATTGCCACCGACCTTCTCGCCCGTGGTATCGACGTGCAGCAGGTCTCGCTTGTCATCAACTACGACCTCCCCGCCTCGAAGGAGAACTACATCCACCGTATCGGCCGTGGCGGTCGTTTCGGCCGTAAGGGTGTCGCCATCAACTTCGTCACCACGGACGACGTCAAGATGCTCCGCGAGATCGAGGCTTTCTACAACACCCAGGTGGACGAGATGCCTCTCAACGTCGCCGACCTCATTTAAATTTGGCACCATCACAAGAGTTACATCTATGGTCTATTTGTATCACCTTCGCCCATGTAGGACTCCCCATCACCCTTAAAAAAACGCGTTGATTTCAGCGCCACTTGTCAGTTGGAGCGATGACGATGCACGCATCATTTCGACGTGGGAGCTTGGCAATGTTGTCTGCTAACTTGATCTCGCGCACTGCTTAGGCACTTAGGAGTGGCGGACGGCAGGTAGAGGAGTGGGCTCTGGATAATGATCCTCAGTGAACCGGCTGGCCTTGAGGACGGTGGAGAACTCTGCTGTCGACTGCGCGCCGGGGCCATGCCTGCATAACTCTCTTCACTCAGCTTGCTTGAAGCCCAACTGCCATGAGCTAGGTCACTCCGAATGGAATCGCCGCGATCCGCAGTAGTTCGGCGTGCTTTCCCCCTCCCTCCCCTCTTTCCTCCTCCTCTCCCCATTTCTCGTCCCCCGCACGCCCCGCAGCCCTTCTATCCCCTTCTTCCTCTTCCCTCCCCAGCACTGCCTGATGAGTAGTGGTATATGCATACAATGAGCAATGGTCGCCTAGACAAGACGTTGGTCTCCCTGGGCCCAGCCAAACTGTCCCCTCCGCTCCTCTGGCACGCTCGTAAGCACACTGATTGGAGCTGGCTCTGGCTTTAGCCCAGCCTTGACGAGGCGCTCGTCCTTGTATCGCTGAAGCTCGGCCTGAACTTCGGACGCGGTGTGTGGTGGTTTCTATTGTCAGCAACGACCACCTGGTCAGCTCACGTTAGTATCCTCGCGAGGGTAAAAACGATCCTTAAACTGCGCATTAGTCAATGAGAGCCCAATAAGGTCTTACGGGCTGAACATGATGCTCATACCTGCCATCAGCACCGAAGTCGCTTGAAAGTCGGAGCCACACTCACCAGTCCGGGTCGCCGAAGTGGAGCATGGCGAAGAGTGGGATGAAAAGGTAGGTCGCGAACTTGAAGACCTCGACTGTCGTCAGCTACCCCCTTCAGCCTCAACGGCTAACGGTTTGCGCCCATGTTAACGAGGAAGGCGATGGTTATGTGGGTGTAGGATCGAGATGCGATCACGGCCGAGGTCATCTCGGACCACAAGTGCTCTCCGAGTTCCGAAGTTCTAGGTAATTTGATCCCGTTATTGCTCCTGGGTTTGCTGCCGTCGCCACCCAGTTGAGTCACTCTGTTCCTGATGATGCAGACTTCATCTCTCATTCACGTCAAGCTTTCTCACTTCGCCTCCCTCAAACCACCACCCATCAGCTATGTCGAGGTCCCCGTCGCCCGCGTCGTCTCTCGACTTCATGCACTCGGATGGGTCGGAGGATGAGTATGCCGAGCTCCGCAGGAGTGTGCAGAAGAGGAAGCCCAAGAAGGCCGCGGCGAGGGCTGTGCCAAAGATCAACCTCACGGCGCTGCAGCGCGCGGCAGCGGCACACCCCGCTGAAGGGCAGTTTGACAGTGACGCCGAGAGCGATGATGCTGGCTTTCTGGATCGTCTTGGCGGGACAATCGACCTGTCTAAGCAGGACTTGAAGCCCGACCACGCTGCGCGGCCACTGTGGATTGATCAGACGGGCAACATGTGAGACACCTTCATTGTCCATGAGTCTGGGTACTAATTGGAAGCATCCTTGAAGCGTTCTCGCCGCTGGCAGGCGCTGCGCAGGATTTCCTGGTCGCTATCGCTGAGCCGGTCTCGCGTCCGGACCTCATGCACGAGTATCGCATTACTAAATCTTCGCTACATGCTGCCATGAGTGTTGGCCTCGAGACCAACGACATCATCGAGGTGCTCCGCCGCCTATCGAAAATTCCCCTTCCTCATAAACTAGTTGCACATGTTCGCGAGTGGACGGCCAGCTACGGCAAGATCAAGCTCGTCCTGAAGCACAATCGCTACTGGCTGGAATCTAGCGTGCCCGAGTACCTCCAGCGACTGTTGAAAGACGACGTGATCAAGACCTGCCGTGTGCATCGAGATGAGGAGCAAAGCGATATGACTTTTGGTGTCGAGCAGGGCTCTAAACCGAAGCGCGATTATATGATCCCCGGCACGACAGAAGCGCGTCGCGCTGCTGGAGAGACGACAGAGAACGGGAACAACGCCAACGGCGACGACGTCATCGGCGCCGTCATCGGTATCAACGAGACGGATGAGCTTGATGAAGAGGATGCCGTGCAGGCCTTCGAGGTCGCGGGCGACCGCATTGAAGAAGTGCGCCGGCGCTGCAAGGACATCGATCTCCCCGCATTGGAGGAGTACGATTTCCGCAATGACTCGGTTAACCCAAATCTTGACATGCAACTCAAGCCGATGACTGTTATCCGGCCTTATCAGGAGACGTCACTCTCCAAAATGTTCGGTAACGGTCGCGCTCGCTCCGGCATCATCGTTCTCCCGTGTGGCGCGGGTAAGACGCTGGTCGGTATCACTGCCGCGTGTACGATCCGCAAGAGCACTCTCGTGCTTTGCACATCTGCTGTCTCCGTTGCGCAGTGGAAACAGCAATTTCTCCAGTTCTCCAACATCAGTGAGCGCCAGATCTGCGCCTTCACTCGTGATGAGAAGGAGATGTTCCAAGGTCCCGCGGGCGTCGTCGTTTCGACATACTCTATGATCGCCAAAACGGGCAAGCGTGCGCACGACGCCCAAAAGGTCATGGACTGGCTCAAGACGCTAGAATGGGGTTTCCTATTGCTCGACGAGGTGCACGTCGTCCCAGCAGAAATGTTCCGCAAGTGCGTGAGCAACTTCAAGGTCCACGCCAAACTCGGCCTTACGGCTACGCTCGTGCGAGAGGACGATAAGATCGGCGACCTGGGCTACCTAATTGGACCCAAGCTGTACGAGGCCAACTGGAAGGATCTTACCCGAAACGGTCATATCGCTGCTGTGCAATGCTCTGAGGTGTGGTGCCCAATGACACCTGAATTCTACCGGGAGTATTTGCGCAATCCGAGCCGCAAACGCATCCTGCTCCACGCCATGAACCCGAACAAGATGCAGGCGGCACAGTTCCTCATCAACTTCCACGAGAACCGCGGGGACAAAATCATTGTCTTCTCCGACAACGTGTTCGCTCTTGAGCAGTACGCACAGAAGCTCGGCAAGGCATTCATTCACGGTGGAACGCCCGAGAACGAGCGTCTACGCATCCTGAGTCGCTTCCAACACGATCCAAACCTCAACACCATCTTCCTCTCCAAGGTCGGCGACACATCGATCGACCTGCCTGAGGCGTCGGTGCTGATCCAGATCTCGAGCCACTTCGGCTCGCGTCGTCAAGAGGCGCAGCGTCTCGGCCGCATCCTCCGTGCCAAGCGCCGTAATGAGGAAGGCTTCAATGCCTTCTTCTACTCGCTTGTGTCCAAGGACACACAGGAGATGTACTACAGCACGAAGCGCCAAGGCTTCCTTGTCGACCAGGGCTACGAGTTCCGCGTGATCACTGAGCTGCACGGCATTGAGAAGATGGAAGGCCTCGTGCACCGCACTAAGGCAAGCCAGATCGAACTGCTCGAGCAGGTGCTCAATGCGAGCGCAGACGCGTCCGAGACTGCCGATCACTACGGGCGTCAGCACGGCGGCAAGCACCAGAAGCGGGCTGCGGGTGCGCAGCCCAAGAACCTCGCCTCGGCCAAGGGGACTGCCCCGGCGCAACGCTACACCGCTCCGCTTGAGCATCTCTCTGGCGGTCAGCACATGAGCTACCGAGAGCAGAACAAGAGTGTCAAGTGCGTACAACTTCTAGAGGGCTGGAGAGTGCAGAGCTAATGTCAGCAAGGAACTTAATCGCGAGGAACGCGCCGCTAAAAAGCAGCGTGTCACGGGCGGTGGAAGTCACGCGCTTTTCCGCAAGCGCGAAGAGCAAAAGGCCGCAGCGAGGAAGCGTCGCGATCATGCAGACTAAAGTCAATTGTATTTATTATCATCAGCGTCAACAGAGGGCTCGCTCCTCGGATCCATTAGTAAGCCCTTCAGGTGGTCATGTATCATGTACTTCGGCGAGTGGCGGTGTCGCTTTAAGCTATGGTCCCACTCTGAGCTAAACGATCTTGGCGTCGCGGCGTCTCACACGGCCTCGCATCCCGTCGCCCCGGACGACGTCTACAACGCACTACGACGGGACCCACCCATTGGGGTTTCCGGGCTCTTCAGCAATCCAGCGACGGAGTGGTACCGCAAGTTCTGGGTTGCCCCACGTTCTGGCTCCCGGTCCTGCAATCCACTGGTTAACCGTGTCAACCATTTCGGTGTCCTTCAGGTTGACCGTTTCGATGCCAAAATGAGCAAGCACAAACTCGCCATGCGAGCACGTCTCGTTCTCTGCCATGACGACAAGCTTGAGGCCGAACTGGGCACACGCACCCGCGCACATCGGACACGGACTCATAGTTGTGAACATGCCACACTCGGCCATCATGTTATCGGGGACCGGCGCGCCTCCTGGCTTGCCCGTGAGGGTCGCATTCTCGAGCGCGTCTGTCTCGGCGTGCAGCACTCGACTGCCGCGCTGCAGCCGCTGGTTGTGTCCGCGGCCCAGAATCTGGCCAGTGGGGAGGTGCACAACCACCGCGCCGATGGGTTGCCCGCCTTCCTTCATCCCCTTCGCTGCCTGCTCCTTCGCTCTGGCATCAGACTTCCCAGATACCGATGGAAACATACGCCGCAATGAACTTTGGGTAGTCGTCCTTTGTGACGGCGGTCCGGCCAGAGCCCTCCTTCGGAATGTGGAAGGCCAATGAGTTGCGCAGCTTGTCCAGATCGTCTTTGCCCGACATTGTGTGTGATGGGTAGGAAGGTCGTGAGGTGGCGACAGTGATGGTTCATGATATGCCGCGGCCGGCATGACGTCGGGTGGGCAGCATGCCGACGTTCCGGTCTCGTGCGGATAGCAGATCGCCCACCACCGGAATGTTATCGAATGCATAATGCGGGAACGGATGCAACTCTCTCACGATTCCATGAGATGAGAAGATGGCCTGTTGCTCGCTGCTCCAGCGATCAGGACATCTCACCGATGTCCTCGTTCCACACTCGTTGCCCCACATCGCTAGCAATCCAGTCGCGCATCATCTTGGTGATCTCGGGGTCGCGGAGGTTTACAATCTCAACCCCTTTCGCAGCCAGGAGGTCCTCACCGCCGATAAAGTTGTCGTTTTCTGCCATCACGAGAAGCGGAATCTTGTAGAGGACGCACGTTCCCGAGCACTAGTGTGAGCTTGAGCGTGGAGCGCAGCCATCGCTTCAGTCCTTGCTGGGCAGCCACAGTGCAAGGCGGCAGGTCAGAGGAATGCACCAGGACGCATGGACTGAGACGTTCAACGAGAACGAGCATTTGACACGCCATGCACAGACGGCATCGTTGCTGCCGACTCGACACTCACCATATAACATGGGCTGAGTGTCGTGAACATCGCACACTCGCGGAGCACGCCCTCGCTCACGCGGCCCATGTTCTCAAGCGCGTCTGTCTCGCCATGTCCTGCGTTCAGCGCGCTCTCATGATTGCGCACGGATGTTCGAATTCATCTGCACGCGCTGGTTGTGCCCGCGTGCCAGCACCTTGCCTGAGGGAAGATGGACGACGGCGGCGCTGTTGTCAGAATGGCGGGCGAAACTCAAGAACTCTCAAGGGAGTGGTTGCAGCTCACCCGATGGGAATACCACCCTCGCCCAAGCTTTTGAGTGCTTGCTCGTGCGCGCTGCGTCAGCATTGTCAGCCGACAGCGTACATCTTCATGAATTCTGGATAGCGGTCCGGAGTCACTACCATCGCTGCTGAACTGCTGTGTGTTGTGAAGAGATGAAAATCACAGCAGAGATTAGAGATAAGAATAGCGCTGCGGCCGCAAAGCACGAATCCGCCACCCAACTCCTGACCCACGTCACGGCGTCATCAACACCATCGTCCTTCCTCCATCCCATCCGCCTTTCGTTGCAGCACCATCGTCCAGACAACTCGACCGCGAGTACGCGGCCATGGTAAGTCCCCTACTGGATGTGTGCGCATGTGCTGATGCGCGCTCGCGACGCACTTCTTTCCCACCCTCCACCTCACCCATCGTGCACCCTCCACATCGACACGTCAGGACCACAACCTCCTCGTTTCGGAGCTCCAGTCGCTCGTTGTCGAGAGCAAGCGACGGAACCCCGAGGTCAAGGAAGTGAGTTGCCTGGCATTTGAAGATGGCTAACAGCAGGCCGGTGAAGCAGCGCTCGAGATCCTGCGACATGGTCCGCAGCCGCGCGAGCTGCTCGCTTCGCGCGCGGAAACGCTCCTCGCGCCCGTGACGCTGGGGTGTAGGACGAAGAATGCCAAGATTGTCGGCATCAGCATTGCAGCGCTGCAGCGTCTTGTTGCGCTCGGCGGTGTGCCGCTCGCCTCCCTGCCAGACGTGCTGGCCACACTTGGCAGTGTCGCAGGACAAGCGGTCGACATCCAGCTCAAGATACTGCAGACGCTCCTCTCCATTTTGACGTACTGCAAGGACATGCACGGCGACACGCTCGGCACTGCCCTCCTACTTTGCTTCAAGTTGCAAGACTCGCGAGTCAGCGTAGTCTCGTCGACTGCTGCCGCAACATTGCGACAAGCGATCATGGTCGTATTCGACCGCGTCGCAGCTACCGACGATGCAGGCGCAGCGGCAACCCTTCCCCTCACCCTCACCACTCCTAAGCAGGTATCACCCAAATCCCCCAAGGCTAAGACCCCGCCCAAGTCGCCACCAAACAAATCGCCCTCGCCTGTGCACGAGGCCGTCGAGTTGACTGTGACGCCCGCCGCCATGGATGCGTTCTGCATACTCTCTGATCTCTGCCTCCTCACCGCAGGGTACCAAGGATCGTCGAGCCTTAGCTTGTGGAGCACCGGCGACAAGGCCAAGCCCCGTATGCTTAAGCTGTCCGCGCTATCGCGCACGTTCGGGCTGGAGCTCATCGAGTCCATCCTCAGTGGGTATGAGGGCGTCGTCAAGGCCCATCCCGAACTGCTCCACCTTCTGCGGCATTCACTCCATCCCCTTATCTTGCGTCTGCAGAGCGAGCGCCCATCGTTCGCGGTAGCGCTTCGCATTTGCCGGCTCCTTTACGTTCTTATTCGGAGCTACGCGGACCAGCTCCCTCTGGAGGTCGAGAGCTACCTGCTTTGGCTCATCCGGATGGGCGCCGGCGACGAGGACGAGCGGAAGGAGCATCGTCGAGATGCGCCGCCCTGGTTGCACGTGCTCGCTCTCGAGATTCTACGTGGCATCTGCGGCGATCCTGCGTTGCTACGCGCCATCTGGGCACAGTATGACCAACCCAACGGGCCAAAGCTATTCGCAAAGCTCGTCTCTGCGTTGGGCCGACTAATCAACGAGAAGCCGGCCCTTCTGGGTGTCGGTGTGCAGATGCACGGCCACGGAATTCCGGCGAGCTCGACGGACAACATTAATGCCAGCTACTTCGACATGGGCCTGGGCATGATGGCCAGCGCGGCCAGCGTGGGCGTGTCGGCCGTGGGCAACCTCGTCGCGAGTGGCGGCGGTGGGTTGGGACCTCACTCGGCAATGAAGCAACGCCTCGTGGAGCAGCATGACAAGGCTGAGGCGCCGCCTGTGCCAGAGACATACGTGTACCTCCTGGGTGTCCAGTCCCTATGCGCCATTGCTGAGAGCATCTCCACCGCGTCAGCAGCGGAGGACACTGCAGAGGCAGCGAAGGGCATGGCTGAGTCGGCATGGCCGGCTCTCCTTGCTGCGCTCTCATACTGCATTGTCACCGACCTATCCGACGGCGTCTTCGCGGAAGTTCTCACAGCATTGCAGGACTTCACCGTTGCATGCGGCACGTTGGGATTGTCGACACCGAGAGACGCGTTTCTCAATACACTCGCCAAATACGCAGCGCCACCACCCGTCGTCTCAGCAATGCAGCATTACCTCGAGTCTGGGGCACCCAGCAAGGGCAGCGCTGCGGACTCGCTTGGGCTCACCGCTTTGACTGGACAAGTGTCCGGCCCCCCCAGTCTGTCGGAGCGTAACCTCGCATGCTTGCGAAGCCTCATTTCCGTCGCGCAGACACTTGGTGGCAGCATTGGACCGGCATGGCATGACGTGCTGGAGACACTGCAGAATGCGAACTACCTCATCGCTTCCGTACCGCGTGGCACACAACAACGGCGCCCAACGCCATCGACACCGCAGAGCCCTTCAGGCCGATCATCAGGCGAGTTCACCGGGCCTCGTCCCGAAATGTTGCAGGACCTCGACAACGATCACATCCAAGCGGCTGTCAACATGCTGTTTGAGCAGTCGCGCGATCTGGACGACGAGGCATTTAGCACATTCGTCACTGCACTGTGCCGACTAAGCGCCGAGATGATCGGTATGGACTCTGTGGTCGACCTGAGCACGCCGCCGGCCTCTGGGCTCAGCCCCGTCCTATCATCGGTTGATGGACGACGGAGGACGAGCGGGCTGTATGTCTCTGGGACTATGAAGTCAGGCGAGCGGTCTTTTGGCCTCGCCAAGCTTCGCACCGTTGCCGTGCTCAACCTACAGCGCTTGGTCAATCGCGACCCGGGTGTGGGGTGGAGTGTGGTAACGCAGCACCTCCTTGGCGTGGCGAGGCATATTACCGCGCCGACAACAATCCGCATCCAGGCGTCAGACACGCTCGGCGAGCTACTCCTCGCATCCCTCCGAATCACTGCAGAGCCGCGCGTCCAGCACCAGGTCTTCGACGTGCTGGTTCGCCAGGTCGATGTTAATCCTGTCAGCAGCACAGTCGCTACCGATTACGATGTCCGCTCCTCTGGTTACCAAACCCTGAACCAGATACTGGAGTCGTCAGGCCACAGCCTTGAGGTCGGTTGGCCTACGATCTTCGGCATGCTCAACGACGTTTGCAAGCGACCTGAGAGTGGGCGGGCCACTCCTCCGACCGCAGCCCACCGCGGCGACGCAAACCTTGTGCGCATAGCGTTCCCCTCGCTCCAACTTATCTGCACAGACTTCCTCTCGTCGCTTGACAACGCCGCGATGCGACAGTGCATCTCGTGTCTCGGCTGCTTCGGCCAGCAGCAGGACGACGTCAACATCACACTCGCAGCCATTGGCCTTCTGTGGAGCGTCTCGGACGCGGTGCAGGCCGACTCGAAAGATTTGTGGTTCTTCCTTCTGCTCGAGCTTTTGGAACTCGCCCGTGATCCACGTCTCGAGGTGCGGAGCAGCGCGATGCAGACGCTCTTTCGCTGCATCGAATTATACGGATCCACCCTCGTTCCGCAGCTGTGGGAAGATGTGTTCTGGAAGGTCATCTTCCCCCTGTTGGAGGACATGCGTGGCGATGAGAGCCAAGTGCTGGCCCTCACGTCGGTGGGATCCATCTTCGGCTCATTCCTCTCGCAGATTCACGCTCTGCCCTCCGCCACCGCTATCTTCCAGCACCTTCTGGACCGACTCGAGCGGTCATTCGTGTCGGAGCCGCGGAACTGCAGTACGGCGGCGCTCAAGACGCTCGAACGCGTGCTCACCGCCAGTACCAAGGGCTCTCCAGTCCTTGAGCTGACCTGGAAGACGTTCGTGAGAATGGGCGACTCGCTGTCAGAGGGCGACCCATACACGCAGGAGAATTTGGTTGCGCTCGTTCGGGTGTCTCGACTACTGCGCGACCGACTTGAATGGTCGGAGGGTGACCCGCGTGCAAGGCAGCTCTCGAATATACTCCGCGCAGCGGTGGAGTATGGGCGATCACCAGACTATCGCGCCGACGTGGACAGCATGCCCCCGTTGCAGTCTTCAGTGGTGGACCTTGTGGCCAGCTCAAGTGCGTTTGGGCCGAGTCTCGTGCTCTCCGACCTGGCGAAATTCGCTGGCCTCCCATTTGGCGCGGAAGGAAAGCAGTCTTTCGTTGCGCTGTGCAAGTTCTGCCTTCCAGCCATGGCGGATGTCTTTGAGAAGCACGACGTGACATCCCTCTACACGGAGGGGACAGTTGAGGCCGTTCTCAGCGCGTACGCAGCACCCATTAAGCTCAAGTACGAGTGCCCACCCGCCAATCGTTATGGCGACGATCCACCTCTGTGGCGCACGGCCATCACGTGCTTTGTGCGTGTGTTGCAGCGCGCGATGCCGCGCCTCGAGTCACTGGAACTGCCACCAGAGCGGTACGAAGCTTTGTGGGAGCGCATCATGGATGTGTATGCCGGCATGTTGCTTGCCGATGATGGGGAAGTTCCCACATCTGCGGCGAGCGCAAATCGTGCAGACGACGACGAGACGTTCGTGCTCCCCGCCCTCACAGCCGTGCGCGACGCCGTCGCTCCGCGCTTGGTCGATGCACGGGTCCCTAGAACGATTGTGGAGGCGTACGCGGAGACGCTCCGAAAGGCGAGCGTGCTGTATCACTATGATGTGCGTGTACCGGGTGGTACGACAGCCCCAGTGATTGCGGAGGCCAAGGAGGCGACAAGATACTGGGCTCTAGAGCAGCTCATAACGAACGCTGGTCGACCTAGGAGGCGCGACCGTCCGGCCGACAACGGGATGGCAGAAGATGACGACGGTGCAAAAGGCAGAGGTGATGGCGCAGAGGACAACGCGCGGCGCGTCGCGGCCTACTTTGTTCCTTCGGTGCTCAAGCGCTTCGAGAGCACGTTGCGGCATTTCCTGAGCGACGCCAAGCTTCGCGGACAAATGCCTTTCACACGGTAAGTGAACACTCCGTTCTCGGATACCTCGCTCACCCCAGTGTGCGTGAAGACGAGATTCTCTTTGTTCTGCGACACATTGTGACGCTGCGTCTGTGGCCGGACATGGCCAACGGTGCGCTGACGCCGACAACGCGCGCTGCGGCCTCTCCCCGCGCTCATCTGTTCCGGTACTACCCGCTGCTGCTTGAGCTCGCATTCGTGCCCGCCCACCTGCCGAGCATGTGGATCCTGCCGTCCGAGCACCGCGTGCTGTTCGAGGACGAGTTTGAGGAGGGAGAGGAGGGGAGTGAAACGGACGCGGGTGACGGGTCCGACCTCATCCAGGTGAGCGTGCGGGATCTTGCGCGACGTGCGCTCGAGCTGGTTGGCCTTGAGCTGGGTCTCGGGGCCGGGATGTAGGAAAACATAGGTTAGATGCAGCGGGACATGATCCCGGATGAGGATGAAGTCGGTGACAAGGGCTTACCTGTCGCTGCATATCGCTGGAAGTGGCTGCAGCCTTCGTACGCAACGAGAAGGTGAGCGAGCATCAGAGTGCAACAAGGCCAGCTTCTGTCTTTCGTCTTCTTTATTGCCGTTCCGTCTGAGGTCGTGTGTTCGTAACTTTCATAAAAAACATGCTCAAGGCATAAGTACAACGCTACATGGAGGACTTGTTTCCTCTCCTATGCTCCTCCACTCAACGCCCACTACTTGGCCTTCTTGCTCGATCTACGAGCCATCAATGAGCCAAGGAACGAGTGCTCCTTGTCCTTCTCCTTGTCTTTCAGAACATCCTTGCGATCGTTCTTAAAGTGCAGCCAGCTGTGCTTCTCGCCTTTAGAGAGGCTGCGAGCCATCGGCGTTCCACTACCGCTCATGGTACTGCCCGCGCCGCTGCCGTTCCCGCTCGACAAGCTGCGCGCCATGTCAACGCCGGTGGGCGTGCGGCCGTCGCGGGACGGCGGCATCTCCAGCACGAAAGTGTGGTCAAGCGGCGGCACCAGGAGATGCGGCCGCTCAGCCTTGAGCTCACTCGGACGGCGCCCACGGCCAATCGACATGTGCAATGCGTCGCTGTCGATATTGATGGCGCCAAAGTCTGGCGAGCCTTGCTGTGGTGTGAACAGGGCGTGTCCGGTGTTGTGCGATGATGTGCTAGCCGTTGCGGGCGGTGTCGGGGCAGATTCAGACAGGTCTGAGCACGTTGAGGATTCTTCGGGCTCAAGGGTGGTCGTGAGTCGCAAAGGCGACTCCGAAACCTGTCTAACGGGGGTGCCTAGGACATTGCCACCTGTGTGAAGGGGGAAGCCAAGTCCGGCGGGCCCTTCGGCGTCGTGGAAAGAAGAGCTCTTCCCTCTGCGCACAACTCTCGTCGTTAGCGGTCCCGCCGCAGCAGTCCCGGAACGAGGTCGATCCGCGGTCGACCGACGAGGACTGGGCCAGACAAACCCGCCGCTAAAGCCCGAACCATAGCCGGATGACGCCTCGGTGGGGGTAGGTGGCAATGATTCGAAGTACCCCGATGTGGTGCGTTCGGCCCACTGGTGTAGACTGATTCTGGGCGACCCGGGGCCACGAGAGCTCGCTCGCGACTGGGAACGAGATCTGAATGAGTGTGATGGGGGAAGCTCAATGGTGGGCGAGCCGGCCGCGCCACCAGCAGCGGCTGCCAAGGACGCCACACTTGGCGACGCGAACCGGGCTATCGGCGACGGCGGGACCGAGAAGCTGAAGTCCCATGAGGGGGCGCCACTGACGATAGATGTCATGGTGGAGACACGCCGCAGCTCCTGTCGGTGGTTGACTGGTGGCAAATCTCCAAGAATTGACTCCGCAAGGAAGGAAGGCTTCTTCGCGCCTCGCAACCAGGGATGCTCGGCCAGCTTCGATGCAGTGGGCCTGGGGGCGTGAGCTCAGTCACGCAAAGGCGACTCACCGTTTCCGCGGGTCCTGCTGCAGGCACGAGTCCACAAAGTCGTGCATGTGTTTGCTGAAACCGGGTCCCAGGGATGGGCGAGCGCTTCCGGAGGCGGTCGCCGAGAGAATGTCGGAAGGCTTCCCGCTCAACGGAGGCGAGCCACTCGCGAGCTCGATGAGGGTGACGCCCAGACTCCAAATATCGGCCTTTGCATCGTATGGCCGGCCGAGGATGACCTCCGGCGACATCCAGCATGGCTGGAGAAAGTCAGCCTCGGTCAACGTATCGACTCACAGTCCCAACGAAGCTTTGGCGCTTGCCAATCTCGCGCACCAACACTGGTGGGGCGGGATCAGCCGTTGTCGGAATGATCAACTGTCTCGGGTGATCAAAACGCACGGCCTCAACGGACGGCGGCTGCGCCACTGCTGAAGTGGGAGGAAGGTTGACGTCTCCGCCTACGCCAAAGTCGGCGAGGAGGACTGTGCCGTCGGGCTGGATGAGGAAGTTGCCAGCCTTCAAGTCACGCTGTACGTGCGTTAGCACGTGACAGGAGGCTGAAGCTTACGTGCAGGAACCCGTTCTGATGTAAATACGTCAGCCCGTCAAGCACCTGCTTGGTGATGGCCTTGACCTCGTCTTCGTTGAAGCCATGGGAGCCTGCGGGCCGACGTTTGGACGGCGTGCAAGCGCGCCAGTCGAGAATTCCTGCCAAGCTTCCACCATGAATGAGTGGAGTAACTATCGCGACGCGCGCGTGATCTGGCGGCAGGGTAAACGTTGCTAGCACGCTGTGTGTCAGCCGCATGCTACTCCACTGCGGAGTGCTTTCCTCAGGCGACCCCACCGAGCCCACCGAGCCCACCGAGCCCACCGAGGAAGAACCTACCGGAGCACATTCGGGTGACGACATAGCGATAGCAGCCGTGCTTCCCTGGACAGAAGCATCAGGTCGCTGCTTGCACTGGACACCTTGACGGCGCACTCGCGCCACTCGCCGCTGGACGAGTTGGGGACGTTGAAGGCTGCGGCATAGACGGTAGATGATGCTCCGAAACCTGGCGTGAGTAGTTGAATCCGGCGCGGCTCGCATTCCAGCAGGCTTGTTTTCGGTGGCGATGCAGGCGGACTTACCGACAGGACCTCCGAGGTCGTAATCGTTTGCGTCGCTCGTGAACTTTGACCACCAGCCGTTGTCGAGCATGCTGCGCCCGGCATCGGTGGCCATGGTGTGAATGGAGTGAAGGAAGGTGAGATGGGAGATGAGATGTTGTTAGGAGGGTGACGACTACGGTGATGGTTCACGGTGGCGGTGGTGACGCAGGTACGGCGGGTGTGTGATCGGGCGGATCAGGTGGAGGAGGGAAATCGTGTACAGTAGTATCGTGTATCGTGTGTGTCGTGTGTTCCGTACTACTTCCCCTTGGCCTCCCCCTCGCCCCGTCTCCCTTGTTGTGCGTTCCAAGCATGCATTAGTACGGAATGCCCCGGCGCGATGCACTCAAGTACCCAAGTACTCTCAAGCGATCAAGCGAGTGTGCCGGGGAGAGGGACAGGATGCGAGTCATGTGACGAGGAGTGCATGGGATGTGTTGGGGGAATTGGCGGTATGCTTGTCGCATGTGCCAGGTGTGTTATGGGATAGTTTGATTCATGTTTCATCTCGATTCAACTCGACGTTCTGTCAACCACAATCCACTTCATCATCTTACTCATTCATATTCGCCTCACGCATCATCTACTTGTCTGTGTACTGTATTCACTTACTCTGCAAAAGCACATTCTTGCCTCAACATCATCTCACGCCATCCAACAGATGCTTTGATGCCAATCGTCCCGTGAGTGCGATTGTTTGTTCCTCCGAGCCTCCGATGGCCTCCTGTAACTCAAAACGATATCAACGCCACTCAGGCACTGGCTGCCTCGCCTCGCCCGCGTCTCTTTGGTTCATCGCGCTCCGTTCTGCACCGCTAAATGTCATCAAACGAACCGGTCGGGTTCCAGGAAAGAGACTGTTTATGGGCCCCACATTCCACTCTGCCCACTCTGCACATCGTTTGACACGTGCGTGGGCAGTTGTTGCGCCCGACAGCCCCATGACACCCATGAGGCCCATGCGGCCCATGAGAGCAAGTCTGATCCTCAATTCAGATTTGATCACGACACAGCAGCACAGCAGACGCCTCCAGCGATTCTGCGGCGCGTTTCCGCGCCTCAGGCACTGCCAAGGCTTCGCCCCGGCCCGCACGGTCCAGGTTTTCCTTTGTCAGATCTGATCAACGGTCCGAATGTTCGGATTGACAGCCTGTACTCAAGGGCATGTCTGCGTGGGTCACGGCGACGGAGACGGCGACTTTGAGAGATGAGACTGACCACCTCGGCTGGACAAGAGCACGATACATCCGAACGTCCGTGCACATTGAACACGAGGCACACGGCGCCAGGCGGACAGATGGAGGGTCTATTGCCGAGAACTTGGCTGGCATGCTGGCCTGCACGCCTGCAGGGCTGCAGCTCTGCAGGGAGTGAGCTTAATTCTCCCACGGTGTGCTCATTGATGTTCCTCGTTCATGTTCTGGCGGCGGAAAATCATGGGAGAATTCGGGCCAACCGCTCTATATCCGATGACGCATCCCAATCAAAGTGTTCGATGCCAACCATTAGACTCAGCCTGACCACGGGTTAACGGCCATATGGCCTTCCGCATCAGCACATGCATAAGCAGGAACAAGACGTACGGACTCGAATTTCTGGTCCGAGTGAGCAACCCGTCGTTAGGGGCCAGAGTGGCGATTGAACGGTCCGGAATGTCGGCTTGGTCGACAGCATGCAAGGGTCAACTGCTCGGAGGATCATCACGACAATGCGAAAATCAAGAGGTCGGGGCGCTCCCGAGTATGGTGGATGGGTGCAGTGACATGGAGTTGGCAAACCGCAAGACAGGGATGCCCGACGGCGAGTGCGACGGTGTTGGGTGTTGGGGCCGACAGCATCCCAGTTCGTCCTGCGCAGTTGTGGCGGAGCGGTCGACTGACGAGACGAGATGGTCACATGCCACGCCGCCACCCGGTGGTGGCGCGGCAGCGGGGCGCAGGGCGCCATTCGATCCAAATTGGAGTTGACTGATGCGATGCATTGTGAGGGAAGTGTTTCTACTATGCAAATGGTTATGCTAGTGGTGCAAACGTTGTGGGGGACATGCCTATAGACAACAAGTTGCTACGGAATGGGGATGAGGCTGCTAAGTGATACAATTTGGGGAGCGTGGGATGGGGAGAGGGGGGAGGGGCGGGG